ATCACTAAAACAGTATACACATTCACGGTTGCAAACATATTGGCTAATTATAAGATTTTTTTATGTGAATGTATGCACTTATATTTTTAGAGATGTTAATATGGACTAATATATTTAATTTGACATATATATTTTATATCAGATATTTTTCATGTTTTAGATTTTTAATAGATTAATCCACGAAAAAATGCTTCGTAAAAGCATTGAAATTTTATTTAAAATATTCAATACATACAAAAAAATATACTTCTTTAGTTTTATATTATTAATTAGTTATTAAAATTAAAAATTATATTTATAGATCTTGTACTATTTTTAAGGACTCTTGATAGAATTATTATTAGAATATATTATCATATTAATATTTAAAAATATTTATCAAGTTAAATAATATATTTTCAAATAAAACTTATAATATTTTAAAATTTTGATATAAATATTTAGAATTTAAATTATTATATAAGTTAAAATATATTACAATTATGATCAAAATTAATAATTATTTATTCTATCTAATTATACAATTTAAATGAAAATCATATTAAATCGAATAAAGAAAAAAATTTACATTTTGATGGCTACAAAAAGAGGATTCCTACTCAAATAGTTGCACAAAGTGTACATCTTTTTATAACTGATTTTTGAACCATTAACAACATATTCAATCTTTATTTTAACAATTTATTGATTTATTTTATCATAACTTATTCACATTATATCATATACAGAAAAAAATGTAGATTTTTTATTCTAATTTTATATAGATGATTCAAAAAATTATTTTAAAATAAAGTTAAACAAAGATGATAGGAGAAATAAAATGATTTTAAAAATAATTAATATGATTTAATTGAATTGAATATCTTCCTTATTTACTAATTTTCGTCATGATCAATTAAGGAAAGAAAATAACTGTTTTTAATTTATATTTAATTTATGAAGACATATTTGATTTTCTAACCATAGTATATGAGTGACATTGTATGTAATCTACATAACTAATAAGGCTTGGACAATCTCCAGCCTTTGACACGTGGCACTCTCTTTTTTTTTTTTTTTTTTTCGCCTTACACCAAAACGACGTCGTTTTGCGCTTTATTTTTTTTTTTCGTCTTACACCAAAACGACGTCGTTTTCGTATTAAAAAAAAAAAAAAATCTAAATCAAAATTATGTGTAATGCTGTTCGTTTTGATGGGCTTGATTATTTATCGGACCTCTTCGTTTCCATGGTAGCTTTAAATGGGCTTACTGGCTAATTAGCTCATTTCATTTCCTTTTAAAAAGGATTGCAATTATTATTATCTATGAGTCTGTAGGATAATAATCAATCTATAATGATTGTTAGTATAAGGAAAATTAGAAGAACTCAACTCCAGTCGATAAATTATTGTATAAAAGAACAAAAAACATATGAAACTATTCACTATGAGTCTATATAAGATTTCACGTAAATAACAACTAAATTTTAAAACTATATGAAAAAAAACAAAATGCAAAACTTACAGAATCTAATATATTCGAGTAAAAAACAAATGATATATTCGAATCTAATGTTCTGAATAATTAAATTAAAAATATTTGGTTTAATAAACCCGCGCATTGCGCGGGTTCTCTCCTAGTTATTCTAATAAATTTAACATTATTTCATAAGTAGTATGAGAAGCTTCCTAATGATGACACATCAACATGACATTTTTGTTAATAACACATGACACAAAGGTTATTTTCAAAATGTTTTCTCTTTTAATATATTAGGGATTTGACTCTATAGTTGACATCATAACAAAAATCTTACGAATACTAGTGTTGCAAAGTCAATATAGTGCATAACATGCTTTCTTGTACATTTACTTAGCCAAGTATTAAAAAACAATTAGCATAATAGTTTTGGACTTAATTTTCTTAATTGAATGTATGGTTGTTTACAAATAAAAGTTTTGAACCTTCGGTTCATATATTTCCTCAAATCGAAGACCAAAACATCTAATTAAATTATTATTTTTTGTTTATTTAAAGTTAGTGCTTGAACTCAAGAGCTGTAGGCTTTTTCCAAAACCTGACTCCGAATTCAAATTAGTACTTATCATCGCTGAAAATAGTCTTATTAAGCTAAACCATGCATTGTTCCAGTCGCCATAGGCGTTGGATTGTAGTTAGGTATTTCGGATCAGAAGAAAAATCTTCATAACTGAATGATTTACCTGAATTTTAATTTGAGATTTGTATGTGAGATTTTCTTTGAATTAGCTGAACTATGTGCATAAGAATCAGATTCTGTTATAATTCATTTTGTTTAACTTCCCAAATATTCTTTTACCATTGCTTAAGACAACTAGGGAACAAAACTAAACCTCTTTTTAGCTTGGGAAATGGCAAACACGTCATATTACCTATTTTGGGAATCATTCTTATTAGTTTGTTTTGTTTTATGGTAAAGTTTAGAAAAGTTGTAGTAATAAGCAAAACCAACTCATAGTAACATGTGAGGCTGACTTCGCAAAGCAGTGGGAGGAGAGGAGAGACAAAAGGCAATGTAATGTCATAATGTGGAATATCATCATGCACTAATGCACATGAGCATGAGCTAGTTAACTATTCATTACTTTTTAATTAAAAGTTAATAATTAACTATAACCATGTCTATTAAGTTACATCTATACCTGTTTGTGTCCCTCGTCCAGATACAACGTATTGAGCATTTTTTTTGTTTTTTTTTTGTTTAATACAGTAAAAAGAATCTTATGTTTATCTTCATACAATCAAATTCAGGATTATGGTGAAAAAATAAATATTTTGAATTTACACCAGAACATACATCATAATTTTCTTATTTATTTTGTAAACTCCATTTTTCGAATTGGTGGAGATAAAAGAGGACTATACATCAAGAATTAGAAATACAAATTTTTGACAAAAAAGGTGGCATGGCATTTTCTTTTTCCCAGTTTATTGTTAAACATAGCATATGAATTATGAAAGGTTGAAACTGAAACTAAACACATTTAACCATTTGATGAAGAAAAATTGTTTGTTAACCGTTGGATTGTGTTATTCTTATTTAAGTAAAATGCCTAGATTTTGAGACAGCATTCTGCAAAAGGAAGTAGCGCTGAACAAGGCACAACGAGGGAAGAGAATCAAACCAAACCATGTGCGCAAGACTAATTATTTTCCTTTTCGAGAATTTTCTTCTATCATTCTTGTGGCAGATGGAGAGAATGAGAAGAGAGAATAAGCCAAAACAACAAAAAAAGCAAATGAACGGGGCACAAAGAAAAGGATACACGTGTCCGGGGCACAAAGAAAAGGATACACGTGTCTTTGCCTGATAACCAAGTAAAATTGAAAATTGAGAAATTTTATGAAATACACTTTTTGAAATGTAAATTTTCAAAATTATACCTATGATGTGGAAATTTTCAAAAATACACTTGTTCCTAATTTTAATATATATATGTTTGGATTCACTAATCCTATATTAGGGTTTAGATTTTGGGATTTAGGGTTTAAATTTAAGGGTTTAATGTTAGATTTTAGGGTTTTGGATTTATATTTTAGGGTTTAGAGTTATTTTATTCAATAAAAAAGTGTAGTTTTGAAAATGGACACCATAGAGCTGTATTTTTTAAAATTGGCACATCAAGATATGTAGTTTTGAAATTTCCCCAAAAATTAAAATTCTTTTTTGTTTGTGTGTAAGCATTTTTGTCCAGTGCAAAAAGTTACAAAGAAAGAAAACCTCATTAATCAGTGGCATGTATGGTATATAAGAAAACCTCATATAATCAATGACATTTACACAAGACGTTAGATTTTGTAACACTCTTATTTGGACCTTTAACATATTTGGTCTGAATGTGATCAGGTTGAACTGGATTGTGGAATGTTAATGGCTGCTGCCTTGTTATCACAAATTCACAATACAGATTGATGGCATTCATGCTTAATAATGATCATTAGGTGGAAAATCAATTTTGTGCGCTTAATAAGTTCGTCATCCATAAAAGCTCAAAATTTCTTTATATTTAGGAAAAAGCCTTTTGTAACCTTTGAATTTTATGATTATCATAACCAAATTATTACCATATCATCTACACAAATTATCAAACGAGTTAACTTTATTTCGTTGTACTTTAAGGACAATGTGTGGTCTGAATTGCCTTGTGAATATCCATATCATTTCATAATCATAGCCATATAATATTTTTTTGAACCATGCTCTTGGAATCTGTTTCAAACCATATATCGCCTTATTCACCATGGTACAGTCCTTTGTTCCATTACTGGGAGAAGATAAGAGAAGTTTTTGTATCTTTAAGTGGACAAAGCTACCTTCTCCACTATTGAATTCAAACACAAAGTTTTTCAGTTCCTTAATTTTGAGACCTAAACCAAATTACTGTCTTTTCCGCCTCTCTTCGCAGCTGCCCTTGTCTCTCAATGATGAGACACATCATTCTCAATACAGACTACAGAGACACCATAATACGAGTCAGACAAAAATACGAGCAAAGCTTAGGTCTGTTTAACTAAATGACCGGATTTCAAACATTCTATGAGACAGACTAAAACACAAACTCAAGAGTAATTAAGAACAACAATGTCCCCAAAAGAGACGGCTAAACTGCAAGTACACTTACTCACAGTTCAGTTAAAGTCCAAATAAGATTTCACCATAACAATTAAGAGACATCAAAATACGATTCAGAAACGAGCAGAGCTAAGGTCTAACTAAATGACCCGATTGCAAACATTCTGAGAGAAAGAGTAAAACACAAAAGTCAGAGTAACAGAACAACAATGTCCCCCAAAAGGGACTATTCAATAGCAAGTATACTTCACCACAGATCAAACCAAGACCAAATAAGATTTCATCAAATTGCAACATTCAGACAACAAGAGCAAGGCTCAGCTCTAGATAAAGCCCAGATTTCAAACATTCTGAGAGATAAAACATCATAAAAGTCTATAAAATGCCCAAAAGACAAACCAAAGGAATCACTTCTTAGCAGGTCCTTTGCCTGCTGCTGCTCCACCACCGGAACTCGCACCTGCAGCCTGAGCAGCTTTCTTCGCCTGCTTCTCTTGCAATGCCTTTCCATCTCTGATAATCAAAATCACAATACATCAAGCAACGAAGACCAATCCAATGAAAAAAAAAAAAAAAATTGGTTTTTTATTCGTTTGTACCTTTCACGGCGTTGCTCCGGAGTGAGTCCGTCGTCACCATTCTTACCCTTTCCTCCGGCACGAGCAGCGGCTCTTTCACGGTCACGCTCTCTCTGACTTCCACGTGCAATTTCGCATCGAAATCAAAAGCTTGAATCAAAGAAAACAAACAGAGATTCGAGAAGAAGTCGACAAGATCTAATCAACAGGAAACAGATAATCAAATCCGAGACAATCTAAGCACAGCTATCAATTACAATTGCATCTATTAAAAAAACCCTAAATTGAAATTAAAACCCTTTTAAAGACGGAGGAGATTGGTGGATCGAGAAACCGTGCGAGAAACAGAGAATCTAAAATCGAAAACTAAGGGAGGTAAAACAAGCGATTGAGAGAAGCAAGCAAACAAAATCAAAAGGATATGAGTCATGATGATAACGAAGATAGATCCGCGTAGAGAAGAAGCGATCCGGAAAAGGTCAAATGCAGAAGAAACGCAACGAAAGGATTTTTTGACGAATCGATTTGGATTTTATATTAGAGTCAAGTCGACTTCGTCGTGCGCCTCTCCTTTTCCACATTCTCGATTTGTTTCTTTAATTTTTTTTTTTTATCGTGATTTTCAATTTTTTAAAAATAAATATCAATATTTTCATTTTTCACAAAAATATATATTTTATTATATTTAACCTTATTTAAATGCAAAATCACCAAGTATGGTTTCTCTCTTCGAATCCTACCACCACATGTCAGATTAGATCTTAGTTTCCTATCGACAAAGATCCTATAGAACTATATTCTCATTACATCCTTCTCTCGAAAACAAGTTTTTTCGTCATTTTGACCATATTCATGTGGTTACCTAATTACCTCGAACATTTTAAAGAACAAGACATATTCGCCTCTTCCATATATTTTAGAGATTTATGTGAATTTTGGCTCAAAGTTTCTCATTTTAGAAACCAAATATTTGCACGATCTTCATAACTTTCCTAGATCTTTCTATATGTTTTTTTAAGCTAAGGAAGTGATCTTTCTGTATGTTGCATAGGTTTTAGGTACTATAGCAGCCGTATAAATCTTCTGCTAGTAACTTCCAACTTTATATAAGTTCATTTGAAATATTCATTATACCATTGTCACTTATCAAATATAAATGTTGGGAATAACTAAATCCAAAATGTGGCCAAGCCGATCACACATCATATATTAATTTAAACTTTCGCAAAGTTGAAAATTATTTCAGAAACATGGTAATATAACTGAAAATATAAAAACTAATTTAAGTACAACAAAAGAAAGGTCTTAATAGATTTTGAAGGTGTTAAAAGGACAAACGGAAATGGTCTTTCTTCTTCTCTTTCTGCTGAATCAAGGGCACTTGGGTTTGCCTTCTTTGGTCTTCATATCATTGTAACAAGAACATTCTTCCTTGTGTCCGTATGTTCCAGAAGGGACACATAGACACTTCTTACAACAGTAGTTGCAAAAGAACTTACATGGTTTCTTGTGTGACGTCTCCGAGCATCGAACGTTACAAGCCGGCGCACACTCTTCATTACATTTAGCAAATTTATTTTGAAAAAGGACAAGTTAGACATTATTTTTGCATGAATTAGGTCGATATAGTAAGGGTTAATTTGGATATCAATAATACGGCTGCAAAAATACCTTCTAGAAGAAGAGATCCTTTGCCTTGCTTCTACAATCATGAATGAAAAACAGTTTTAAAACTATAACTATTAGATACATAAAGCTAGTTCGAAAAATATTAAAGACAAAAGAAAATATCCAAACTACTTTATGTAATTACTTTCTTTCGTAAGATCTGCCGAAACATTTTCTATAGTGTTTTCGAAAAAGATTGTAAAACATACTTCCAAGGTTTCTAAGTATTTGTGTCCTTAGAACATTATAGACAATGAATTGTATCTTTACCGTATTAGGTGCCGTTGATTTCACTGCCTGCAATAACACAAACCAAAATAAAGATTAAAAACTAAAACATATGTATAATATATCTCAGAGACTTATATTATATTTTTCGAAGACGTCAACCCAAATTCAAACTTGACATCTGTAATAGATTTATTAGATATATTTTAAAAAGTTGACAAACACAAATGAATGAGAAATTGACCTTTACATCGGAAAACTGAATGACGAATAAAAAGCTCAGAAGAATTAAGAGAGTAATGTGCTTAGACATTTTTTTGCTGCTTCGACTGTTTTGTGGTGGTGTAAGCGTAAGCGTTATTGATCTATATAAATATATCTAGATTCTAGGGTATGCTTATTTATAGAAATAATTTATTATATCATCAATGCATTACAATGTATTCTCTGAATAATTAAATTTTCCTTCTATCCATATAATGAGAGTTAAGTGTTTAAGGAAAACAACATATCCTACAATATATAAAGATATAACTTGAGAAGCAGTTTACATATAATTAAGGAAAGAATATATAAATAGTTTTCTACTGTTATAGAAATTATTAACTTTTTGCGGACAATCCAAACAATTTTTTTTTCCCATCACAAATCTACCCATTATTGGTTTTAGATATTGATATATACAGTAATTGGTGTGTCAAAAGTTCTTTTTGAGATGTCCCTGATTCTTTTAGAGATGTCCCTGAAGCAAACATTTTATGAAACCTATTGAGAGTAAGGAAGACAAGTTCAATACTCAATGAAATCGCATTCGGAATGAATACAACTATTGGGTTGGCAAAGAAGTGAGCTGAGAAGATCGGGAAGCCTAAAGCAAAAAAAAAAAAAGAACTCAGAAGAACGGGAAGATGAATATTGTGGAGTATTGGGAAGGGTGCCACTTAACCCGCCAAGTTAAAAAAAAAAATATAGGAACTCACATTGTATCTCAACCCAAGTAAAAGTCCATTAAAAAAAAGAGATCCAAGTCCATAAAGAAAAACAAGAGGATGAATCTATTCAAACAGAAATGCCTTAAATACCCATAAACCAATAAGCAAATATGTCTTACTCGGAGTCACTCACATCAGTGATCAGTCGACTCAACTAGAAAATCAAATGCAATCACTAGTATATGAGGCTAAGTCAAGTGAAATGTAAACTTGGAATAGAAAAGAGAAGAGAAGATATATGAGAAGCACTGAATGCTTTTTTTTTGCTCTTATATCTTCATTCCGACTTGAAATCTTATAATCAATATTTGTTATACTCTTTTTTTTTTTTTTTTTTTTTTTGAATTACTAAGAGGTTCTGGGCCGAAGCCCGTACATCCCCTTAGGCCCGAAACCACAGCATGTAATATTGGTTTCGTCCCAAGCGGCACTCAATCCTGTGACCTCTAAACTTTGTCTAGGGTCCCTTTACCAGTCGAGCTATAACCACTTGGTTATATATATTCATTCATTCCGAATCGCATTGAGTATTCATTCCGCCAAATCCTCCTCCGGCACCACCCCCTTGACCTCCTCCAGCACCACCGCCGAATCCTCCTCCAGCACCACCACCACGGCCTCCACCAGCACCAGTACCACCGCCAAATCCTCCTCCAGCACCACCCCCGTGACCTCCACCACTACCTAGACCACCACCTCCACCAGCACCACCACCAAATCCTCCACCTCCACCAGCACCACCACCAAAATCCTCCACCAGCACCTCCACCTCCTCCAAAACCACCGCCTCCCAGTCCTTCTCGAGTCTCCTACATTCCGCAACTCCAATAATGAGCAACACTAGGATCACACCCAAAAACCCAAATCTTTTAGAAACTTTCCCCATTTTTTTCTTTCTACTTTTATTTTTGAAAGTGCTGTACTTTGTTTGAGTGCAATTGGTTATTCATCTTACTACTTACTAAGTTTATTTATAGGAGCAACGAAAATGATTAAATGAGCATTAATGAGAATTGGTTGTGACCTCCTTTCATCATACACGACTTTGAATTTTGTAGTGCTTTTCGCAATCTTTGATGCTACAGTTTTCTCCAAGGTAATTAATGTGTAGTGAGCAAGTGTTCCCTTTTCAAATTGTATAATCTGTATTCCTGTTTTCCTAATCATACTTTTCAAGCCTACCATTTTCTTTAATCTCTTTAACAATATATTTTTGGCAAGTCTAGAGTATTTTTTATCACCGACCAAGTCTACTGCAAAGAAATAGTTTGACATGCATGTGATGTTTTACGAACTTTTCCTTTATACATTTTATTTTTCCTTTTGGTAAAAACTTTAAAACAAGTTTGCAATAGATAGAAGAATGACTGCATATGCACCTTAGCAGAAAATAAAAAGTTTGGTTGTTTTTTTGTTACAAACACCATAGCATCATATCCGAATTAAAACATGAAGGTTCGCGATGTACTACGTACGTACCTCTTAAATATCGATTAAAAACGTTCTTTTATGCTTTATATTATGATGAAGTATAATAGTTAGTTTAAATACCATTCTCTCGCAAATTACTTATAATCATGCCAAAAAACGTACTTGATGAGAATACACGAAAATAATGAAGGTTTTTAGATTCTGAGACATGTAGTGCTAAATAATTTGTAAAGGAAGTGTAAAGTGTTTATAATCCCATTATGAACTAATTTTATAAATCGATGAAAAGTAAGAATTATAATTTAGTTTATGTTTAAGATCAGTAAAAAACGAACTAAAAGAGCATCCCATTGTGGAATAAAGGTGAAGAGAAATTCAACATGGGTTTGAAAATTGTAGGGTCGGGCAGGTGGTGGAATTAACTAAGATTCCTCTCATTTTTCAGCGTCTCAAATACTTTACCATTTGGTTTACATACATTTGATCTTCTTTAATTTTATCCTAATCATGCAGCTTATATCCATCCACAAATCGTTATCAGTATGATCTGCCAACAAATTTAATATGTAGTCTGAATTTGAATGGAGACTAAAAATCAGAAATATACTAATCAAATTGTTTTGCAAGTTGGTAATGTTCTAGTGATAAGCATGATCCGTCAGAAAGAAAGTAGTCATTCTCTATAGTTTGAACCATTTGGGAGGGATACATCTTTTACTAGCTAGGAGAAAAGCGATTCTCTGAAATGAACCATATTTTTGTTTGTAACTGTAACAAAACTTTTTCTTTGGTTTAACACTTTAACTGATAGTGTGCATGCGACTTTGTCTTTGAGGTCATGAACTCAACATTTTCCTATTAAAATACTTTTCCATGTTCCCGTTACTAACTTACTCCCTATATCCACCTACACAAGAATCAAAACTTTCACGGCCACAAACTAAGAGGCATCATCGTCCTCACCACAGGAATAAGTCTCTCAATGAGGATAGCAATATGATAAATAATTATAAATAACAGCTATCAAACATATAATGATATATTCCAAACCCTAATTATATGATTCTTATCAAGAATGATGCAAGGCTACATGGTGTTTCAATAAACAGCTTTTGATCACTCACATGGTGCATTTATCTGGATTAAGCTGTGAGACATGATTTTTTTACACTACCGACTCTCTATCTCAAAACATTTGATGTGAATCTCCATGTTGTGGGATGTGGAGTAATCCAAAGTCTAAAGACATGGCTGGACAGAATATGAAAGGTTATAACCTGGCCCGTCTCATTACCGAGGTCCGTCTTCTTAATTCATGAATTACTGAGGTCGGTCTTCTTGGTACAAGCTCGTGTTCACTACCATTAGAGAAAAATCACAAGTTTCTTCTTGATGAAGATCTAACTCATCAATATCGTCGCATCGTCGGTCAGTTGGTTTACCTTGCAATTTTGTATTCTTCAATTTTACTGTCTGTACTATTGAATGGGGGAGTAAATAGTAAATTGCATTTATCCACGTAGAAAAATCAGCTTGTTTTCCTAAACCAACCTAGTCTTTTGTATAAATACTTTTTCATACTCATCAACGGTGGATTTCCAATACATATTACTGAAAAAAAAATCAATAAAATAAAGTGATTGCACGTGAATGAGTATAAGATTTGTTTCATCTCGTACCACAATATAGGGAAACAATCCTTCTAAGTTCTAATACATAATTGCAGTTGCTCTTGCATGCTTGTACTCTAATCTCTTATTGACTGGTTTCATAATTTATGATAACAACTTCTCCATATATATATTTTGGACCTTTATTTTAAAAACAACTTGGAAAGCTCAATTTCAACATCAGGAAGAAAAGAAAAGAAAAGAAAAACAAAGAAACACAAAAAGAATATAAAAGAAAAGATAACAAAGCAAAAGCAAAAGAGAGTGGTAAGGCTCCACACTCAAACTCTTCACTCTCACTCCTTCTCTGTCTCTCTTACCACTTCCCAATGGCTCTCTGTCTCCCATCTCTCTCCCTCCTCCTCCTTCTCCTCCTCCGCTCCTCCGCAGCGATGTGGTGCGTTGCTCGGTTCGATGTTACCAGCCAGGCGCTTCAGGCGGCTCTGGACTACGCATGCGCCGCTGGAGCCGACTGTGCTCCGATCCAACCCACTGGTCTTTGTTTCCTCCCTAACACCGTTCAGGCTCACGCATCTTACGCCTTCAACAGCTACTTTCAGCGCAGAGCCATGGCTCCTGGCTCTTGCAACTTCGCCGGGACTTCCACTATCGCTAAAACCGATCCCAGTACGTATCTGTTTACTTCCGGTTCTGTTTACCGGTGAAACCTAGCCGGATTTGGTTACTCTCAATTTGCATATTTATGTTTTTAAAGTTGCATTTTTTAACTATTTCAAACCTTTTTGGTTTACTATTAATAAGCTCGATATATGGTTTATTGTGGTTATATAACTCTTTTTATCTATGTTTATTTTGGTATAGGTTATGGATCATGCGTGTACCCAAATTCTTTGAGGTACGTACAGCTTTCTAAGGTTTATGCGACGTGTTATTTACATACTCGTACGTAGTACAGTATAAACTAAATTTAGAACAGAACATTTCATAACCAATAAGTTTGCATATTCCAAACATTTTATGTTCGTTAATATACTACATTTTCCAACGGATTTGATTTTTGTTTTTCACTTGATTTTTTGCTTGTACCATGAAACTAACAGATAATTCTTATTATCGCTGTCATAAGAACAATCACGTCTCTTGATAAAAAAGAAAAAGATAAAACGATGCACGAATTTTTCATTCATTTGACTGAGAGAATCAGTGATTCCTGAGTCGTACTGTTTTGCATGTCTTTAAATGTATATCCCATTTCACGTTTTGGACCCTTGGATGATCTTCGCTGGCAATTGGGTAATCACTGAACGGTATAGATCTTTAGTCTAAGTATGTGATCCCAGTTAATCTTTAGTTTCTGTATTCGGTTGTTATTCTTGTTCGTTGGTCGTTTACTTTTCTTGGTCAGAAATTAGAATAGTAGATTAGTACACAAAATAATTAGTAAACTCTTGAAAAAGGAAAAGAAAGAAAAGAAAAGCATGTCATGATCTTGTCACAGAGCTTTAGTTTCACTTTAGAGATTTCTTGACAAACAAGCTAATACAAGTTGATGAGTTACATCTACTACTCTTGTTTCTGTTTAAATATTATTTCTTAAAACATGTATTTTGAAACTCATTGAAACGTAGTCTGTTATAAGCAAATTTTATTATAAGAAACACCATAAAATAAAATTTTAAACCCAAATGTCCATTAATTTTGAATAAATTGCAAAACTACTACAAATTTCAGATATATTAAACCAAGTGGTCGTATCCCAGTGGTACTTGAGGGAGGTAAGTCCCAATACGGACCCGGGTTCGAAACCACTTGGCCACAACGGATTTAACATCCCTTCCGTTGGGGCCCTGGACCTCTTTCGAGGGTATAGTCGGGTTTTCCGTTCGGGTAGATCCTCAGAATAACTGGATACAACTGGACAAAGCTCAGACCATCGGTTTGGGCCCTAGGACTGGTCGGTGACTGTTCGGTCGACTCCTCAGACCCAGATACCAGAGATACAAAAAAAAAAAAAAAAAAAAAATCAGTAATATTCAGGTTTCATAAGTTTTGTTAGAAGGACTTTCTAAATCATGTAGCATCTCTTGGTTCTTCTCAAACCTAAGACTGTGATATTTGGGATTTTTTTGTTTGTAGTTTTTAGAGAATAAAAATATATAATATGTGGTATTTTGTGAAATGTGATAACACCTTCGTTTTTTTGTAATGACTAAAACTCATTGCATATCAGCAAATTAAAATAGATGCATTTATTCTACGGATCAACAACATACAATATATTTTAGTATATTGTTGATGTAACTTTTTCGATAACGTGTACATCCAAAATAATCACCATAAAATTGGTTTTGCCACGGCAGGAACGCAGGAGGGTCAGCTTCGACTACAACGGTGGGAGGAACGCCGACAGCAACCGCCGGAAATGTTCCCATGACATCACTGAGGCCACCATCTGCCAACACGGCATCACCGTTTGGAATAGGCGGCGGTGGGCTTATTCCACCTGGAACCACAGACACCGATGAATCTGGAGCTTATACAAACACGAGTCATGTCTCAATAGCTTTATTGGTGGTCTTACTTTTGTGGTTTATATAGGTTTTAGATTCACGTTATACATTTATATATACATCTGTAAGGCTACAACATTTTTGTTAAATTAAATGGGTTAATCAGTCGGAAAGTTCTTTTAGTATTTGTTTCATCTGGTTATCTATCTCTGTAATCAATTTTTTTTGTTAAAACAATTGAAAAAAAATCATCTTCGATCGTTCGCACAGAAAAAAAAATAAAAAATCTCAATTATAGATCAAAAGGTGCATGATACATGCATATGTAACAGTGAGTAACACTAACTAACAAGTTACGAGCATCATAGTAGCCGAAACGATGACGTTTAGATTATCTTCTACTGCTTACAACGAGACACGTGGAGCATCTAGAAGTCAAGCCCCAACCGCACAGACAAAGAACTCGAATTTGGGCAAATCCTATCTCCCATCACCAAAACCCATTCTCTCTGATCTGCTTCGATTCAAGTAAAATTCATCCGAACGAAAGTCTCCATCTTTCTTTGTGGGTTTCTCATCAACACAATTAGCAAAGCAATGATTCACTAAACTCTCTACTTCGTTTGATTCAGTAGTCAAAAGAAACAATGAGTGCTAATTGTGCAGCAACAGTAGCTCTATGTTCATTACGGAAACTCCCGTTTCTCTCTGTGTCTGAATCATTTCCCTGCCCGAAGAGCTCCAGAAAACTCACGTTTCCTCCTCGTAAGTTAATCTCTTCCCAGGTTTTCGATTTTTTAAATTTCCATGAATTTCACCAGAGAAATGATTTCTTTTACAACCATTTTACTGGTTTCTTTCAGCTGATTGATTAAAAGGATATGCTTGATCTGATCATGTGTATAGGTGTTTTAGCGTTAAGGCAATTTTACTAATGTACTAACTAACTAGTTTGTAGTAAGATGTAGACAAAGATCAAAATTGGATTCGCTCTGCGGAACATTTAGAGTTCGTGCATCAAATGCTGGTGTTGGATCTGGAAGCTATAGTGCTGGTGAGGATGATGGATCTCAAAGTAACTCTTCTCCTGATCAATCTCATGCCACTCCATCAGAAAGGTTGCTAGCTCACATTTTCGTCATTTGATTAGTGTATTCTTCTTAAAAGAACATAAGTGAGTAGGAACTTTATAGGACTAAGTTTGGAATATTGTGCTATTGGTGTGTCTTTCGAGCTCTTTCGGTAAGAAAGCTACTTACTCTTGAATAACCTAAGAAGTTGAAGTTCTTGTAAAGTTGGTACTGTTACTCTTACTTGAAGAATTTCCTCCACTCTGTGAATTATAATATACTAAATTTATGTGTGTAATTAGGTTTTATTTAAGCTTTATGTGGTCTACCTCTCTTTTGAAATGCATATGTGATTACTCTTCGTTGAAGAATTCCCTCTAATCTCTGTGAATCATATAGTACAGTACTAAATTTATGTGTGTAATATGGTTACTTTGAAGCTTATGTGGCTCTACTTCACTTTTGAAATGCATATGTGATCACTGATCCTTTGTATATTTCATTGTATCCTGGCAGCTTAAAACCTCGAGAGCCATTCCCTTACACTCTATCGATAGCACTTGTGCTACTTACCTGCGGTTTGGTATTTTCTCTAATCACTTTTGTGAAAGGAGGACCTTCCTCAGTTCTTGCAGCAGTTGCAAAGTCAGGCTTCACCGCAGCCTTCTCACTCATATTTGTTTCCGAGATCGGAGACAAGGTAATATATGTTTCTGTATAGATAAGTTATATATATATATATATGCCATAACATATTATTGTATATTGTCCTGTTATCTCATAAATGTCGTTTTTGGTTGGGCCAGACATTTTTCATTGCTGCTTTGTTGGCCATGCAGTATGAGAAAACACTGGTATGTTTTCTTCTAGTATCTACAGTTTCACTCTCTTATTGCTCTAGTTTGATGGTACAGAAAGTGAACACTGATGTTGTGTTGACATTGGATATCTTGACAAGGTCCTTTTAGGTTCAATGGGAGCTTTATCTTTGATGACTATCTTATCGGTTGTTATCGGGAAGATATTTCAATCCGTGCCTGCTCAGTTCCAGACGAGTAAGCTACACCTGGCTTATTCATCTTGAAGTTGTTACTTTCCTGATATGATGAACAAAACCATTTTATGCTTCTCTCTCTCCTTATGAACAGCACTACCGATAGGAGAATACGCTGCAATTACGCTTCTCATGTTCTTTGGATTGAAATCCATAAAGGATGCATGGGATATTCCACAAGCTGAAGCCAAGAACGGCGAGGAAAGCGGTAAAGAACTTGGTGAATACACTGAAGCTGAGGAGCTAGTCAAAGAACAGGCCCCCAAAAAGCTCACAAACCCGCTTGAAATCCTCTGGAAATCTTTCAGCCTCGTCTTCTTTGCGGTAAGAAATAAGAAAACTTGTTTGCATTTGTCAAGAACCGTTCACATTATGAGTATTTCCGGTTCTTTGATTATAATCAGGAATGGGGAGATCGGTCAATGCTTGCAACTGTTGCTCTCGGTGCTGCACAGGTTTGATCCAAACCGTTCCACAACACCACAAGCTTGTAGCTCAATAAACTCTAAACATTTCTCTCTTTCTTTTATTCAAATCTGTGTTGCAGTCTCCATGGGGAGTTGCGAGTGGAGCTATTGCTGGACACTTAGTGGCAACATTGCTTGCAATCATAGGCGGCGCGTTCCTCGCCAACTATATCTCTGAGAAACTGGTATACAAAGCAAATGCTTCCATTCACAAAAAAACTGAAATTTACTCACAAACTGATTGAAAAACTTGGTGGCCTTTTTGTTGCAGGTGGGATATGTTGGTGGAGGTCTCTTCTTAGTTTTTGCTGCTGCCACATTCTTCGGCGTGTTCTAAGAGCAAACAATGTTTGTTCCAGCAATTCACAGGCCTTACAGTATTCTTTTTGCCTACTTCTTTGTCTTGTGAGCCTATGAATGGTTCAGAAACAGAATAGGATGTTTTGTTGTATGTATCAAATCTTAATAAAATTCAAATCTCAACATTCTCATTTCACAAATGGGGAAGAATCACACATTTCACAAACACATTACATTCTTTCACAAAGTTTTAGTACTTGAGATGTACAATGATCCTCAGCAGCATCTCTGCTCCATCAACAAAGTGTTGCCCGGCGGGGATCAACGGCCTAACCTCGGCGAACCCGCAAGCGTTCTTGAACCGTCCGGTTCCTCCGGTGACAGAGAGATGCGACATGGCGCTTCCGATCCTATAAATCCCATAGAAGTTGAGATTGTCATTGTACTCTCCACCTTCAAGCATGGCTGTGAAAGCCATCATCTGTGTGCTTCCATCAGCTGAGCTTGCAACATAAACACCCTGAGCCTTGCCAAGTGGCTGTGAGCCCAAGTCAGGACCAGATGTGATTATGTCATCGATCACTGTGATGGTTCCAAACCCAAGGCTCAGACCGTCAGGACCTAGCTGTGTCTGAATCCCGTTTAGGTTCTGACCAGAGAACGCTGTACCGGACAAACCGGTACCTAGAGGAATACCGTTGATACCGTTAACAGTTGGCATTGCACCGTTTGCGTTTGGTATGGCTACACCGTTCTGAGGTGGGACGAAACCGATCTGCTTGGCAAACGGTACTTGGCCATTGTAGATGTTTCCAAGCAAACCGGTGATGGGTCTTGCCGTGGGACTGCTTCCGCCGAGTATGTCGTGCATGTACAGTTCGAAAATCGGGTCTTCCGGTGGAATATCAAGCGCGGTTGTTGCAATGAAAAGAGCAACTATGAGAAAGAATGATGTTGAAAGCGAGAATGGTGAAGTTTTAATCATTTTTGGAGGCTGTTTTCTTGTTTTGGATGATTCTTGGTTTTGTTTTGCTGGAAAGATTTGAATGATTTGATGATTTAATTTGGTGTATAAATAAGGAGGAAAAGGGATTTGTGAAGTTGTTGCATTTTGAGGATTTGTGAAGTAGTTGAAATGGAGAAGTTAATTACAGTTGTGTTATCTTTTAAAGTATTTTATATTAGTGTTTTAGAAGTGAATCAGATTTGGGTGGTTTAGGTTTTGACATAATTTTGTTAGTTAGGTTAAATCTTAATGAACAAGAGAACCATAACTGAAGCTTCTTAACTATAGCAGAACCTCAAGCTTCATGATTTTTACTTTTACTCGTTTGAAAATGTTCATAACCGGTTCTTAAAACATTTGAAAAGAATTGGTCAATATTCGGTTCGGTTTTTTAAACGAACTACAGAATTACCGTATCGGTTATCAGAAATTACAGTAAAACCTTTAGGAGTTTAGGGTTTAGTTAAAAGTTACTCTGTTTTTTTAACTGTTTATCTTCCGAATTTTCCGTCGCGTAGCTCTTCTCTTCTCGATTTCTCTCCTCTGCTATAAGCCGCTTCTTCTCCGTCGTCCATTACCTGACACCAGCGTTTCCGGCGAGTGCGACTCCAACTCCGGCAACACAACATAGCGCGATTCCAAGGTGCCGAATTCTCTCTCTCTCTCTCTCTGTGTCTTCCATAGTCTTCTCGTCTCTCTCTGCAACAATTTTGCTTCATCTCTCTATCTCTAATTTTCTACGATTCTGGAGAACTTCCTCTCAGTCTCAGTGTCAGGTTTACTAAAATCCCCCGAGTAGACGAAAAACAGAATTTTCTCTCTTTCAATTTACGATTCCGGCAAATATGACTGGAGATGATAGCAATTTAGATATAATGCCGTCGAGGAAGAAGAATAAGGGATCCAATAAGGTACAAAAACCCTAATCAAACCCCTTTCTCAATAAATTTGTTTCTTTCGGATGACAAATTTTGGAAATCTATTAAACAGACGCGTGATAAGCTGAATGTGAAGAAGACGGTGTTAAGCAAATCTCATAAACGAAAGCTGAAGAAACTGGAGGAAGAGAAAGAGAAAGAGCTCCTCGTTGCAAAAACCGCCGAATTGTTAGAGTATGTTCAATGCTCACATTCCAATTCCGATTTTTGATTTTTGATTTTTGATTTTGTTGGTTTAAATATGAATTTGGGTATTGAATTTCCACAGCAAGTATAAAGTATCTGAAGATGTGTCTTCGCTTTTACAATCTTCAAAAGCTATGGGAAGAGTAAGCAATTCTCTTCTCCATCTTTGTTGTTTTTTGAATTTCTTGAAATGTTTAGTATCATCTTCTGATTCTTCTTCTGTAACTCAGTCAGCGACTAAGCTGGAGAAACGTAGAAGAACAATGCAACTTTCTAAAGCTGGTGTTCTTGCGACTGAACAAGAAGAAGAAGAACCAGTCGAGGATGATTCTTGTATGGACGAAATTACCACACCGGAACATCCTGAAATCGAATTACTCGAATCCGAAGTGATGATTCCTGCTCAAGAGACTAGTAGCAAGATCGTGGAGGAAGATGAAGCTGTGGAAAGAACTCGTCAAGATGATGAAGAAGATTTCGAAAGAATGGTTCGTCAAAAACAGGACGGAGCAATTGAGAACGAAGAAGATGTAGCAACTGTGAAAGGACCTCGTGTGCCTGCGTTTGTAGTTCATGTGACAAGACCAGCTGAAGTTGAAGAGACTAGGAAGAATCTTCCGATAATAATGATGGAGCAGGAGATCATGGAGGCGATTAATTACCATCCGGCGGTAATTATTTCAGGACAAACCGGGTGTGGTAAAACCACTCAAGTCCCTCAGGTCAGTTTCAGTTTCCTGATAGCTGAGTTTTTGGTTTGCCGTTTTATTAACATCTTAGTCTAATCCAGTTTCTTGAAATCTTTCAGTTTCTTTATGAAGCTGGTTTTGGCTCTAAGAAGTTCAGTTCTCGGAGTGGGGCTATCGGGATTACTCAGCCACGCCGTGTCGCTGTCCTCGCCACTGCCAAGAGAGTGGCGTTGGAGCTTGGTGTTCGTCTTGGTCAAGAAGTTGGTTTTCAAGTTAGGTACGACAAGAAGATTGGTGAAAACTCTTGTATCAAGTTCATGACTGATGGGATTCTACTTCGTGAAATTCAGGTAATTTGTAGATTCGTTTTTTTCCGTTTTTAAGTCATGGAGGTGAGGATTTGATTGTGTGTAAGTTCTTGTGTTGCAGAATGATTTCTTGTTGAGGCGTTACTCTGTGATCATTCTCGATGAGGCTCACGAGAGAAGCTTGAACACAGACATTCTTATTGGGATGCTCACTCGAGTCCTCAAAATCCGTCAGGAATGTTACGAGGAGCAGCAAAAGAGTCTTGAATCAGGAGGCACAGTAAGCTCAGAGAACCAAGTGAATCCGCTTAAGCTTATACTGATGAGTGCGACTTTGCGTGTGGAGGATTTCGTGTCGGGGAAGAGGCTGTTCCCTAAGTCACCACCGGTTATAGAGGTTCCCACTCGACAGTATCCAGTGACTATACATTTCTCCAAGAAGACTGAGATTGTTGATTACATCGGCGAAGCTTATAAGAAAGTGATGTCGATTCACAAGAAGTTGCCACAAGGAGGAGTGCTTGTTTTTGTGACGGGGCAGAGAGAGGTTGATTATTTATGCGAGAAGCTGCGTAAGTCTTCAAGGGAGCTTGTTGTTCAAGCTGCTAAAAGAGATGCTTTCGCTAAGAAGAAGGAGAAGAAGAAGTGCGATGATGATGGTGATGGTTCGTTTGGTGGTGTTGACATGAAGGAGATTGCTGAAGCATTTAATGATGGCTCAAACAGTCCAGATTACAGGTTTAGCTCTCATGGGGAAGATCCTTCCGAAACCCGTGATGGTAAGTTTCATGATGATTTTGACGAAGAGGACATGTATGAGTCTGATGAAGAAAGTGATTGGGAAACAGTCGATGACGGCGGCTCTGCAAATTCATTAATAGATGAAAAGAAGCTTGATGCTCTCCGAGCAGCGTGTATGTCTTTATCAGATAAGAAAGGATCCGAATCTACAGAGAATCAAGAAGCTGATGAGCAGGAGAAAAAACCACCACCTCCAGGGAAATTACGTGTGCTTCCACTTTATGCAATGCTATCTCCAGCTGCACAGCTCCGAGTGTTTGAGGAAGTTGAGGAAGGAGAGAGACTTGTCGTTGTGGCGACGAATGTAGCTGAAACATCTCTGACAATTCCGGGTATAAAGTATGTGGTGGACACAGGTCGGGCTAAAGCGAAGAACTACGATATCAAGACTGGTATGGAAACTTATGAGGTGGATTGGATTAGTCAAGCTTCTGCTAGCCAACGAGCTGGAAGATCTGGACGAACTGGACCTGGTCACTGTTATCGTCTCTATTCATCTGCGGTTTTCAGCAATATATTTGAGGAGTCTTCACCACCTGAGATCACGAAAGTTCCTGTTGATGGAGTCGTTCTTCTCATGAAGTCTATGAACATTCCAAAGGTAAGACGCTCGTAGCCATCATTTTCAGTAAAGTAGATATTTTCTTGATGAATCTTTGCGTTTTTGTTTGGCTTTCAGGTTGAGAACTTCCCGTTTCCAACTCCGCCTGAGACATCAGCTATTAGAGAAGCGGAGCGATCTTTAAAAGCTTTACAAGCTCTCGACTGCAACGGAAGGTTAACGCCACTAGGGAAGGCCATGTCTCGCTATCCGATGAGTCCACGTCACTCAAGAATGCTTCTCACAGTCATCAAAATGCTGAAAGAGGCACAGAGTTACTCCCGGGTGAATCTTGTCCTCGGATACGCGGTTGCAGCTGTAGCCGCGTTGAGTTTAGCAAACCCTTTGATAATGCAGTTTGAAGGAGATGACAAGAGAAACGATGCCGGAGACGCTGGCATAACCGGCAAGCAGGAAGATAAACAACGGAGGAAGGACCGGAAAGAGAAGATCAAAGCCGCACGGGACAGATTTTCCAATCCGAGCAGCGATGCTTTGACTGTAGCTTACGCTTTGCATGCGTTCGAGGTCTCGGAGAATGGTCAGGGCTTCTGCGAGTCGAACGGTTTGCATTTGAAGACCATGAACGAGATGTCTAAGCTGAAAGATCAGCTTCTGAGGATTGTTTTCAGCTGTTGTAAACCTTCTGAGACCGAGGACGAATTCTCATGGACTCATGGGACTATACAAGACGTAGAGAAGTCTTGGAGAATCTCCGGATCGTCTTCGTTTAAAACCCCGCTTTTACAGAACGAAGAAGAGCTCTTGGGAGAAGCCATATGCGCTGGTTGGGCTGACCGTGTAGCGAGGAAGATGAAGTCGACGGAGTACCAAGCGTGTGCGGTTCAAGAACCTGTTTTCTTGCACCGTTGGTCGTCTCTCATAAACTCAGCGCCAGAGTTATTAGTGTACAGCGAGCTCCTACTAACCAACAGACCGTACATGCACGGAGCGACACGGGTGAAGCCAGAGTGGCTGCTCAAACACGCAGAGTCTCTCTGTGTGTTCTCCACGCCGCTCAAAGACCCGAAACCGTATTACTCGAGTGAGATGGATAGAGTTTTCTGCTGGGTGGTTCCTAGTTTCGGTCCTCATCTGTGGGAGCTTCCGGCTCACAGTGTGGCAGTAAAAGATGATAGAGACAGAGCAGCGGTTTTCGGATGCGCTTTGCTTCAGGGAGAGGTGTTGCCTTGTTTGCAAAGCGTGAGGCCGATGTTGGCTGGGAAACCTGAGACGCTGTTGGAAAGAGAAGCTTGGGGTTTGGAAAGAGTTGGAAGTTTGGTGAGAGCGTTGGAAGTAAAGAAGATTGATAGTTTGGAGAGTTTAAGGAAGACCTGGGAACAGAATTCGAATGTGCTTTACTCGGAGATTCAAGCTTGGTTTCAGAAGAACTCTCGGCATCATGTTACAGAGCTTTGGCAGAGAATGCTGCAGGAGGCTCAGGTCTTGCCTTCTGAACAATCTAGGAAGTTGAAGAGGTCGAAGAGATAAGTGTGTTTTGACCTTTTTTACTATTGTAGTTTGCCTCTTTTTTTGCTGTGTGTTTTACTTTTACCACACTTCATTCATCTCTCAGAATTTGGCTATTATATGTTGTCATTCGTTTACAAGATGATTAACTCATTAAGCCTTTGTAGAAGCTGGTTAATGGAGACATTGTTCTTGTTTTAAACTTAAGAGACTTGTATGAACTCTTCTTCTTTTTCCTTTTTTTTCAGAATTTTCTAATTCCACGAATCGAAATTAAATTATTAGATAGAAAAATGCAGCTTAAAACTCGTCATGGCTTCATGGTCTCATCAAATTGCTTCAACTTTAATTTAGAGCACTGCAATAGAGAAAAACGTAAATCTCAGAACGATTTGGACTTGAAGGTGTATAAATAAAGGGAAAAATGGAGACATCATGCTTACTTGTAGATGTAAGAGACGATTCCAAGGACTACGCAAATAAGAATAATGTCGATGCAGAAGTTGCGGCTGGATCTCATCTGAAATCCCCAAACCAGTATTAGCAAAGTTTCCCATTAGACAATAACAATAACAAGACTTGATGATCCCTTAAAATTTTCAAAAAATAGTTTATGTTTTAGCTTTTTTACCTTCACAAGTTGTTGCTTGAGCCTAATATTGGTGTTCTTCAAATCTGAAGTTGCTCCATCAACCTAAAAAATCATGAAGACAATATATTTTCAACATTTTTACTACTGATCGACTAATGAGGCGGAAAAATTAATCAAATGAAAACAAATCTGACCTTTGATTCCATTTCGTCCATCAATGGGACTTGCTTGTCAAGTTCCTGAAACCAAAAAAATGTAAACTCAATGGGATTTGCTTGTCAAGTTACATGGAACACGAGAAAACAACAAACCTCGTTCATATCACGCGCCAAGTTCTTCAGTGCATCCAAACCTTCTGATATGACATCAAGACCTTCATCCTGAAGAAAAGACAAAACATACACTAGTTAATCTGAATTATCATCAATGAAAACTAAACCAAAAAAAAAAACATGATCAATGAAATTCAAGTACTTGTTTTTGCCGTCTCATCTCATATTCTTGCCTAAACTGGCTTGATTCTTCACTTTGTTGGAAAAACCCATCATCCATGTCTTCCTCTAATGGTAAACACAAAAGAAAGAGAAAAAACAAGTCATGTCTATATTTACAGAATCTCTAACATTAAGGATAACTAGAGAAAATTGAAAAAAAAAACATTCACACCAGATATATCAAACTTGATGTTCTTGTTTGGTGCAGAAGCACCTCCCCACTCATTATTCGCTTGTTTGGTTGCATGTTCGTTTCCATCAGGTATTACTTGAATCCTATCCGCTAGTGCGATAACCAGATCATACCGGGATTCTCGTCTCTCTTTTGTTAGACCTTTCTCCTGTACATATATAAAATACATTTAATCTCAATTTTGAACAACTATAGATATTTATTCATCTTAACTTATTAGGAGATTAACATTTACTAAATAAGTTAACCTTTTTAACGATCATTTTTTGCAGCTTAACAACATCTTCAGCTAAACGTGCTTTTGTCCTTCGAACCTCAGCATTCAAGGCTACGGCTGCAGCTCTGTTGTTTTCCGTTGATGCCAACTCTGCTTTCTACATAATTTGATAGAAAAAACAAAACAAACACAATAATTTTTAGAGTTAGTTGATGAATTATTCATTATTGATATAGAAAAAAACATTATATATCATTTTTGATAATTTGGCAGATCTAAGAACTTTTTTTAATTCAGAGCAACAAAATTCAAAAATATGCTAAACAAATTTCTGTTAAATAATTACCCATTCACAACTTGGTTAAAAAAATTAGAACAATTAGAAACGGTATTAAAATAATAATAAATGGATTCAATTAAAATGACTATTACAGTAAGTTTTCTATCAAGAAAGAGAAGGAAATTAACCAAGGGAATCCAAAGATTGGAAAAAGATAAAGTGTAGGAGACAAACACGAAGAACTGCTTCAATGTCAGAATCAATGGAGGCGTAGAGGCGAGAGAAGGCATCATCGCCTGAAGCGCCAAGTTCACGCTGCTTATCAACGTCGTACTTGTCATACTTTTTGCAAATCTCTTCGGCCCTAAAGATAATATCTATGACAGTCATATCTGCGTAATTCGTCGCTTTTTTGCTTTTTCTTGTCCAATATCTCCGATTTGGTCTATGTTTTTTTGTTTCCACCCCATGAACCTCTCCATTCCCATTTTTGGACTCTCCACCAATTCAGAAACAAGGCGTGGCGCGCAAACAGCGGAACTTATGTATTAATAGTTGTATTTTATTTTTTTTTCACCAAAATTGGTATAGTTTTAGAAAAGAATACTCTATTATGGTTGAGCTATTTTTAGACACTAACCATGTCAACTGATATTTGTTGTCCGGTTTTTGTTGTCTTGTTTTGAAAAATGTTTTTGATATAATATAACTAAAATCGGACTAGTAAATAATTCAATACTGGTCAAGCTAGCATTAATAGAATATTTATGATAAGAAATCGACTGTGAAGTGATTCCCAGTCCCCACATATCATAAAATTGAAGATAAAATATTAATAGAAGTCTCATACTGATTGGTGATGCAACTCAAAACATGTTTTACACTTCAAAAATAATGACCTAATAATTTACAAGAAGCCTTGAAACATACTACCATTTGACCAAACAAACAGCCAACAAATGGTCAACACAATAACCAATGCTTGTAATATAATCACCTAGTCAAATATGAATGCTTGGTGTCTTTGTGTCGCTTGAATCTTGCTTTATAGGATCTTGAAACACCAAGAACGTGTAGGAAAGTAGGAAAGTGTAGAAACCCAGTAAGACTTGAACAAGGTTGTTTTGTGGGCTTTACGTGACCTTTGGTAGTTACATTAGTGATCCTAGAGGGGAAAATAAGTGTCGGTTTGGTTATAATATATGATTCGGCACCCATGTTACTTTCAAATGTGACCCCACTTACCTGCTACTCCGCTGGAAATATGTGAGACAGCTTTATACTTATTATTATTTTTATCCCTCTTATAATTATAAGACCCCTTTGCAATGGCACTACACAAATAATCCTCTAATCACAGTTGCTGAATCCTCCTCCCACCACCAAAATGGCTTCTTTCCGGCGAGCACACAGGAACTTCCGGCTACGTCAACATCACCGACATTAAAGGCGGCAAAGTCGCTTTCGGAGTCCAAGACGACGATAGCCAGCTCACAGCTCACTACGTCAAATCCATCTTCGAGAAGGCTTACAACATCTCCGTCCTTCACATCAGTCAAGTCTTGACCTCGCCGGAGGCAGAAGCTCCCACCGCAAGCCCTAGCGATCTCATTCTCACCACAATCCTAGAGAAACAAGGATGCAAAGCTTTCTCCGACATCTTGAAATCCACCGGCGCCGACAAAACGTTCCAAGATACCGTCGACGGAGGCCTGACGGTGTTCTGTCCGTCCGACGCCGCCGTCGGGAAGTTCATGCCTAAATTCAAAGCTCTCTCCGCTGCGAACAAGACGGCGTTGGTCTTGTACCACGGCATGCCGGTTTACCAGTCGCTGCAGATGCTTAGATCAGGTAACGGAGCCGTTAACACGTTAGCAACGGAAGGTAACAACAAGTTTGATTTCACCGTTCAGAACGATGGAGAGGAAGTGACGCTTGAGACTGACGTTGTGACGGCGAAGATCATGGGGACGTTAAAGGATCAAGAGCCGTTGATAATTTACAAAGTCGATAAAGTTTTGCTGCCGAGAGAGATTTACAAAGCCGTTAAGGCCGCGGCTCCAGCTCCTAAGGCAAGTAAGCACAAGCCTAAGAACGCGGAGGCCGATGAAGACGCTGATGGACCTGGCGCTGATGCTCCTGCGGACGACGACAGTGAAGTTGCTGATGATAAAAACGACTCCGTTTCGGTGATGAGTAACCGAAGGAATACTGTCACGGCGATTCTCGGGATCTGTTTTGGAGTTTGGCTCATGTGATGATGCTACACGTGGCATTTGCCTCGATTGGGAATCTTTTTTTTCTTTCTTGTTTGATCTTTTTATTTTCGGTTAAAATATTTTTCAAAAAAAATTCTTTTTTTCCTTTACGTTGATATGTGTGTGGAGATTTGGAGTAAATTAATTTGTTCCACTTGTTTTTGGATCGGATATGTTTCGCGGAGGCCGATGAAGACGCTGATGGACCTGGCGCTGATGCTCCTGCGGACGACGACAGTGAAGTTGCTGATGATAAAAACGACTCCGTTTCGGTGATGAGTAACCGAAGGAATACTGTCACGGCGATTCTCGGGATCTGTTTTGGAGTTTGGCTCATGTGATGATGCTACACGTGGCATTTGCCTCGATTGGGAATCTTTTTTTTCTTTCTTGTTTGATCTTTTTATTTTCGGTTAAAATATTTTTCAAAAAAAATTCTTTTTTTCCTTTACGTTGATATGTGTGTGGAGATTTGGAGTAAATTAATTTGTTCCACTTGTTTTTGGATCGGATATGTTTTACTTATTAATATAAAAAGTGTAAGGATTCGAATGAGTGACTGATACGCTCAAATCACGTGTCGGTGTGAAGACACTGTCGGTGGGATTTGTAGTAGCGTGAGCTGAGCTGTATATACTGCTATCTCCATTGTTGTCCCAAGATGATGCTCCTCCATAATTAGTCCACTATAATTAGTTTTGTTTTGGTCGGAAACTATTTTATTAACAAAACAAGTATACAAAAAAAATTTTGGTACCAATGTTAAGATAAGCATACCAATTCTATAATTACACTTCATCATTTATCCAAGATACCATATTGTTTTTAGGCAATGTTCTTGTAGATTTGGCTAACTGGTCATAGTTCAATATAGTTCAGTAATTAGCTACTGAAAATATTAGCCCAATAAAGTTTCTAACATATTTTTTATAATAAAAAAACAAGACTAAAATGAACTAAACATCTTTTGATAAGGTACGTTTGATTGCCACCTAAAATGTTGAAAGATGCTTTTTTCTTTTTTTTTTTTTTTTTTTTCAACAGCCTCAATTCCTAGAACAGTTCGGGGATCCAAACTGGTGAAATAGAGTTTATATAATACACATCAGTATGTAGAGCTCGAGCACTCCGTGCTAACTTGTCTGCCTTCGTGTTTTCCTTCCTTGGTATATACATAATGGTAAAAGAGTTGAAACTCCTCTTGCATCTGTCCACCTCATCAAGTAATAGTGAGAAAGCTGGCCAGTCTTCTGGTTTAGACACCATCTTCACCACATCAGAACAGTCCGTCCGAAAAACCATAGTTAACTTATTCTTCCGTAACATACATTGCATAGCCCAAATGAGAGCTTCCAATTCCGTCTGAAGTGGTGATATCCCCCGCCTCAGATTACATAGAATAAAAAGATAGGGAGATAGCGGATCCCCTTGTCTTAGACCTCTGTGGAGAATGATTACACCTCTAGGTTGTCCATTAAGTAACACCCTGTATTTGACAGATGTGATGCACCTCATCACCAATGAGATCCACTGTTCCGCGAACCCCATTTTCCTCATTAAAGCCTCAATAAAGTTCCATTCGACCCGCTCATACGCCTTACTCATATCTGTTTTAACTGCCATGTATTTCCCCTTGCACGACTTATTTGTCCGAAGCCCGTGGAACATCTCCTGAGCTATCAGAATATTATCCGAGATTAGCCTACCCGGTACAAAAGCGGACTGTGTTTCCGAGATTAATCTCGGTAGAAGCACTTTAAGCCGATGACACAGCACTTTAGAGATAATCTTGTATCCCACATTGCACAGGCTGATTGGCCGGAGCTCCGTCATCATGATCGGCCTTCCCGTCTTTGGGATAAGGCAAATGTGGGTCATATTCAACCTTTCATCAAAAACACCCGCTGTGAGAAACTTATTACCCAACTCAACAATATCCCTCTTGATGATATGCCAGGAACGTTGAAAAAATAGGGCAGTCATGCCATCTGGACCCGGCGCTTTCTCGGAATGCATCATGAATAACGCTTCGCGCACCTCCGTTTCTGTCGCCGGACGAGTCAAAACTGCATTCTCTTGTGTTGTAATTTGTTGTGGCAGGTTCTCAAGGACACCCGTGAAATCCACTGGTAGAATTGACGTAAACAATTTGTCAAAATAATTTACTGCGACCTTTTTCACCTCTTTTTCTCAGCTACCCAAATATTAGCATCATTATGAAGGCCAACAATCCTGTTAACTGCCCTCCGCTGCTTCGTTGAAGCATGGAAAAATTTAGTATTTAAATCCCCATCCTTCAGCCACATGTTCCTACTTTTTTGTTTCCAGTATTCCTCCTCATCCCTATATGCTTCCTTTAACTTATTAGTTATGTCCATAAGTTCTTCTTGGGTACTGTTATCATCATCTTGGACCTCCTCCAGTGCCCTTTGTAACTCGGCTATCTTTTGCCTTCCATATGGTTGATTTTCCTTCCTCCAAATCGAGATTTCATGGCGGCAATTACCAATTCTGTCCACCACATCAGGCAATCCACCGGCTCGAGTGTGATTCCATCCCCGATCAATAGACTCGAGCAAACCCTCCAGTCCAATCCATCTTTTATCAAATCGAAATTGTTTCCGTCTCTTAGTTATCTTTGAATCCAGGGTGGCCACAATTGGCCTGTGATCAGAACCAATCATTGGGAGGTACTCAACATAGGAGACCGGAAACCGGTCATTTTGGCCTTATGTGCCAACTCCTGCGCCTCCATGGACCTCTGGAAACCCCTCTTGTCTCCCCCCTGCCGTTTCTGTAGCTCCTTAGTTGGTATGTAAGCCGAAGCTGCACGGCTGTGAGAGGGGCCTTCACCAGCGTGACCCTCAGGTCTGCTGCTTCCCCGATGCTCCTGTTGCCCCCGTCCCTGTTCCACACTGCTTTCGACCACCTTAGCTTTTCCTTTATAATCACCTCTTCTATCCTCATACTGCGCTCTTCCACCATGTGAAGCTTGGACCGCCCCTCTGTAACTTTGCGCCCTTGCCTCCGTCTTCTCTTCCCTTCGCCTAATACGGTCCCTCTCGGCTCTATGTGCGTGTAGAAGCGGGCACATCTCTACATCATGGCACAAGCTCAAACATTCCTTACAGAAACCGAACAAACGCTCATACCTTAAGACCACCAGAATCTCACGTCCTTTCTTAGCCTCCAGCGTAGTTTCGAAATAAAGTGGTTTGAAACCGTTGACACTCACTTGAAACCGACCCCCAATGACGTCAACGTCCTTCACCTCTCCCATTGCTTCGCCGATGCTACATAAGGTTAATTCTGCCCAGACATGCAGTGGAAGATTCAGAACACGAACCCAGAATGTGATCTCAGAGGGGTAAAAAGGATCAAAGTCTGGTTGCCAACGAACCAACGAAACCATCCATGAGTCAAAATGGTACGGCTCCATCTTCAAAACCTCGATGATGTCCGCTTCCTCATCAAAGTCGAACTGAAATCTGTCAAGACCGAGATCCGCACCAGTCACCCGGTTCTCCATCTTCCAGATACGAGGGAAAGTGAAAATCAGGGATTGCACATCTTGCTTCTTTGGATTCATACACCTGCCAATCAAGGTTTTGGAATAGCCTTGGATTAGCTCTGAGTCATCAAAATTAGGAAGAGTAACCCGCAATGTTGGCCTCAAGGTCTCCTTCCCCTTGTTGGAACCACCAGACTTGATCAAGCTCGCTTGAGACATCACTTCGTCGAACGCAGAGAGCAGGAGAAAAATGAGAATTACACTGAGAAAGGTAATGAGATGAGAATGCCTTGGGATCATCCATCGATCCCTCCAATATATAGCCTTTACTATGGAAATTCTCCACCGGATTTTCCTAACTCTGAGATCGCCAAATAAATCAATACCGTAATTCCTGGAGATTCCATAGTCAGTATTGATTACCTTTAGACTTTCCGGCTCACCAGGATTCATATCCATTCCCATCACTCCCCTTGGATCTATATTCCATAGTTTCCGTGGGAGCTCCGAAATCGATCTTACCAAATCCGGGATCTCTTTGCTCCGCTGAAAATCTTCTCTCGCCACTTTCAACAAAGATCTTATAAAGAAAGTGAGCCCGTATCCTTGGGAGAATCCTTTCCATTCTTGTGAAAAAAGATCCCCGAAATCCCATTGAAATCTCTGATCAACCAACTCCCCAAAAACCCAATCCAAGTCCACCCAAATACTTCTGTTTTCCCCATATTCCCATCCCAGATCAATCCCCTGACCATGATACCACCAAATCCTCTGCAAAACCAATCGGGAAAGTCGTGATTCAATCCCATTAAACGTCACTTTGATTTCCGTCAAAGGACCTTTCGGCAGTGAAATCTCCTCAGATCTCCCCCGTCATAACCATAAATCCATAGTGACCCCAAAATAAACACCAAATCCTTCGTGATTCTCATGCCCATGATCCAGATCTGGAAATCGCTGTCGTTGTCGCCATAGTCTCTTCTTCTAGTGTAACATTTGACTCCTGTTGAAAGATGTTTCTCCGCAACAATAATTGTGATAAAAAAACCGCGCGTAATAATGAATTAATGATGCTGGGTTGTCTAGTTTGTTTTACTACAAGTTTAGTGTTTGATTAAATGACAAATGAAGCAATGATAAAACAATTCTAAGATATGAGTGAGTGTAGAATACAAATTTGAAATGAATATTCATGGTTATATTGTTTTAACAAAGATTATACACTTTAATTCGAAATATTATTATAACCCATAAAAACTATATTTGTCTCCACCTACTAAGTTGGTGTAGATTTGTCTCTTTCTCCACACATATTCTAAGGACCAAAATACAATCTTCTTTATGATTTGAATTTTAAAAACTCTATAATTAAGGCCGTTTTCAACACCCTAACCGTTCTAGGAGCGGTAACAAAAACGGGGGAAAACAAATTAGATGTTGTCGTCGGGTGTAAGTAGATAAAAGTCATAAAACTAGGTTGTGTTGTTTACTCAAATCAAGTTTTCGATCAATTTTCACCTATAAATTGAAGCCAAAACGAGTTGACCAAACTTTGGTTTTATTTTGGTTGCAATACTAACCGGTGTTATTGCGACTCCAACAACATTGCCATATTAGTTGCAATGATCCTAAGGTTTTACACTTGATGATTAAAGCTACCATGGACAAGTTCAAGGACGATCGTTTTTTCCACTCATCAAGGACTACTTATGTAGACGTTTAATAATAGGTAAAGTTGATGATTTCTCATTGCCGGTGAATGGTGAAGCAGTGAATGATTCACTTCCCGTTGTTGAACACGAAAAATGCGTTTAAAAACGGTAACTACTTGATCTATATTGATGGAGTGCAAAAGCATGAACCATTATTTTTAGTGGTTTCTTGTGTGCAAGAAGGTGAAGAAAAATATTTTAATAGGACGCTAGTGATGGATCTGAGTCAGTATTTGTCTTAGAAATACACATTGCATGGTCAAAAAGAGGAAGGCATGCATGGACTTCAGATTTAACTTGGATTTTAAGCATCTAAATGTTGGAACAAAACAAACAATATAAAAACAGAGAAAGAAAAGAACAGAAAATAAAAATAGAATATTTAAAACTGACTGATTAATACTTTATTTTGCGATGATTTAAACTGAAAACTTATAAAGAAAGACAACCGTGAATCATGGACTAGTTATGTCCTACAGTAAAAGTGAAAACAAAACTCCCAAATTGATTAAGAAATTGTAAATGACACACGTTACTACCAATTGTAACACTAGGTTGCTTCGGTTTTAGCTCCGTTTTTTCTTTATCTTGCTATAAATATCTTTTCTCTAACCCCCTGAAAGACAAGTACATAACTCATATTCTGGATGAGTTCAAGGATCTCTGGAACGAGAGCAGCGAATGGTATTCAGAGACAATGAAGCTCAATGGAGTAAATCCAGTCGAGTCTGATAGTTACATGAGAGCATCTGTTGATACACAAGGGTTCTTGAGAGGGACAACTGTAATTAAGGCGGAATCGGCACCTGTGACGTAGCTGCAAGCTAATCTTTCTGGTAAGCATATTAAAAGCATTTTTTTGTTTTATCAGGTATGGTTGTGTGTAGCTTGATAGAAAGCTTGAACAATCTTGAAGTTGTATTGTTTCTTAGACCATTTCCATTGCTAAACCCAGAATTTGGTCCTTAGCATTTTTTATTAATAATTTTATCTTAAATCTATGTTTACAACTTTTGTGTGGGACGTTAATTTTTTCTATAACCTTTTATATGGTTTGTTTTTTCTAAAGTTAGTTTTCCAAAATTTAATATTTTAAACATAATACATAAAATATATTGCATTTAATAAATTTTGAAATACTGAAATATATACAAATTTTAAAATATAAATTTGCAAATTAAAACAAAGAAAAAATAAACTAAATTTTCAAATTAAAACATTTGAGAATTAGATTTAGTTCTTTGGAGCCAAAATAATGATGATGAATTGCAGACTCATGAAGAAGACGTAAGTGAATATTTATAAGTAGCTATTTCGATCCAGCTTTTGTCAATTTTGTTTCAAATCAAATTGGTTTGATGAATGAAGTTGTTTTGGTCTCATTGTTTTGATTGATGAATTTGTTTGATCAATGTGGTTTGGTTTGGTATGATTGATGAATCAGTGGATACTGAGAATTGTAAACATGAAAGTACAAAGACGGATCCAAATTTTAGCAGAAAATGTTCCAAAATTTATCAAAAGTTTTACCTAAATCAAACAGCAAATCACAATCCATAATTTTGGCTCGAAAGGAAAACGTTTATGCATTAAGTTTTGAGATGAGAAGAAAGTTTAAGACAAAGGTGAAATGAGAATCTCTAAAAGCACCAAACCAAAAAAACAATACTAAATCAGTTTTGAAGCAAATACTTGTGGTTCTGCAATAAACATTCTTCTCTTTTCAAGATGCATTCATGTGCTCACGAATGGATCTTTCATAAAACCTCGAGTATTCACTTGCTTCAATGATAAGTTCTTCTCCAAAAAGGCTTTTCATGATGAACTATTGGACGTTTTCAGCTTGTACCAACTTCTCCAGATAAACTCTTAGATCACCACCATTACCTTACAAAATTACAATAAAGCCAAGAGAATATTTTCAAAATCTTGACAACAGAAAAGGTTGCTAGGTTTGAGAAACTAATTCAGTAAAAAACATTTAGTTACCTAATGATGTGTCTGTCCTCTTGTTGATTGTATGAGTGTGGGAATATTGCAGAGAGCCTTGTAAGGCGAATCATCCAGCAAAACAGTGTTTGTTTTGTCATGATCACCATATTTCTCCGAGATCTTGTTCAGTTCCTTGAACACAATAGGTTTGATCTTGTTTTCAAGGCAACCAACATTTGTTGTAGCACAATAAGACATGTCCTACAACAGAAAAATAGATGAAAAATATAGAAAATATTTTTATTGTGCTACAACGAATGTTGGTTGCCTTTGAAAACAAGAACAAACCTATTGTGTTCAAGGAAGTAAACAAGATCTGGGAGACAAATGGTAATCATGACAAAACAAACACTGTTTTGCTGGATCATTTGCCTTACAAGGCTTTGCAATATTCCCACACTCATACAATCACCAAAATAAGAGGACAGACGCATCATTAGATAACTACAACGGTTTTTTACTGAATTAGTTTCTTAAACAGAACAACCTTTTCTGTTGAAAATATTCTCTTGGCTTTATTGTAATTTTGTAAGGTAATGCTGGTGATCTGAGAGTTTATCTGGATAAGTTGGTACAAGCTGAAAACGTCCAAGAGTTCATCATGAAGAGTCATTTTTGGGCATGATGAATACTGGAAGTTTTACAAATGATCCATTCGTGAGCACATGAATGCATCTTGAAAAGAGATGAATGATTATTACAAAACCACAAGTATTCGCTTTTAAACTGGCTTAGTATTTCTTTTTTGATTTGGTAATTTTAGAGATTCTCCTTTCACCTTTGTCTTAAATTTTATTCTCGTCTCAAAACGTAGCTCATAAACGTTTTCCCTCAAACCAAAATTGTGGATTGTGATTTGCTATTTCTTTTAGCTAAAACTTTTGATAAATTTTGGAACCTTTTCTGCAGAAATTTGGATCTTTTTTTGTACTTCCATGGTTACAATTCTCAGTCTCCACTGATTCATCAACCATACCAAACCAAACCAAACCACATTGATCAAAAAAATTCATCACTAAAAAAAATGAGACCAAAGCAACTCCAATTCATCAAACCAATTTGATTCAAAACATAATTGACAAAAGCTGGATCAAAATAGCTAATTAGAAACATTCACTTACGTCTTCTTCGTGAGTCATTTTGGCTCTAAAGAAGTAAATCTAATTCCCAAATGTTTTAATTTGCAAATTTAGTTATTCTCTATTTTAATTTGTAAATTTATATTTCAAATGTTTGCATGTCTTTTGTTTCAAAATTTATTAAATGCAATATATTTTATATATTATGTTTAAAATAATAAATTTGGAAAAACTAACTTTAAAAGAAAAAAAAACCATATAAAAAGTTCTACCAATAAAGAAAGAAAAAATTAACATCCCACACAAAAGTTGTTAACTTTGATTTAAGATAAAACTATTAACAAAAAATTGTTAAGAGCCAAATTAACATCCCCTACAAAGCAAATTAACAGAAAACCATCCTCGGACCATAGAATTTGTGCTTATATACAAGTTCTTAATTATAAGTTATCTTCTGTTTTGACTAAGACGCTAATAGCACTAATCAATCGTGGGAGAAACAGCCTGTCATAGAGGACAAGCGCTTAACACGTCTTGGTGAACCATACTAATCAACTTCTTGTTTACCAAAATTACCAAGAAATGTCGCACACTAAAAACTGATATTGAATGTGAATAAGGTAAAGAATTTACACTCAGGCAAACAAAAAAGAAAGATTGAAACCTTTTGGAACTTACTCCAATTTCCACGCATAAAGAAAGAGACAAAACTCAGGGGAAGAAGAATCACTACTAGTCTTGGTTCCATAACTTCCATTGCTAGTTTCACTCTCACCACTTTCCATCTCGCAATCCGGTTTAAAGATGAACAAACCATGACCCGTACCGGGCGTGCTAAACAACCAATCATACACATCCCAAAACACTTGAACCGGTTCTTTATCAACCAAAACCGTCTGGTTCCCTCTGAATTTCCACTGCAGATTCTTCACCTGAACAACCACGACCCCATCTACACTAATCCACATCTCCGGATCCTTCGCACTCGAACAAGAACTCGAGCTCTCCACAACGATCTCATGCTCTTTCTTCCTGTCGTGAAACTTTGCCCTAGTCGAAAAACTCTTCTTACCAAACACATTCTCTTTCTTGTAGAACAAGGCAGCGTCGACCAAAGCAGGTCTCGACCTTGTTCTCTTGAACGCTTTCTTCTTGTGATCACCAATCAACAACACAACTTCCTCCTCCGAAACGAGAGCCACGTAGAAGTCCGAGCTCGGCTCAGGACCATTGTTGTTGAATTTCGCAGACCTAAAATCCCAATACACGTCGACATTGTTGCCTTCGACTTCCAGCGATTTGTATCCTTTCTTGTTCCAAAAGTGCCATGGCTTTAGATCGATCTTGCAGCAGTAACTCATGTCGCCTTGTACGCTAGTCACCACCACGGTCAAAGAATGGTTCATGAGGTTTTTAGACCAAAGAACCCTAACGTTTCTCCAGAATCCGGTTATGTGCGCTTGGTAGATGCACGTCACGCTGCTTTGTGCTGTCTTGTACGTCACCGGATCCTCTGTTATCTTCTCCGCCGTCGATTGTGATGATCTCAGAGACATGATTCTCCGATTTCAATCATTCACTTCGAAAACATACAATCAAATCCGGATCGCCTCCGAAGCCTATCAGATCGATATATGAATCAGAGGAAAACGGATTGATTTCTGAAAATAAATAAAAAATTGGGATTGAGGAAGAGAGAAAATAATTAGATGATTGAGGAAGGAGAAGAAAACTTCATGTAACCCTGACGACGCGCAAGGACCTTGAAGGAACCTTATCAAACAAAAATATAAAAGCATTATAAGATTTTCTCATTTCCAGTTGTTCTTCTAATTTCTTTTTCTTTTTTGAAGGAAATTTTATTTTGAAATTTTAAATTTCCAGTTGGTTTCGTCCCCAGTTGTCTCGTTTTACTTTGAAAATTAAAAATACAAGAACTAAAATTAACTCACTTGTTTTTTTTTTTGTTTTGTTTTTTTTTTTAAATTGCCGAGATTAAGGAGTTAAATAATTTATATATCCGATGCTCCCATATGTAGCATAGATAAATTGCACATGGAGAGCAGACATTTTTGTACAGTTCTATTTCTTGAATTTTGCAAAGTTTTTAGGTTAAGTGTGAGTACAAAATGATACAATGATTTTGTTATCTTATCTCTGATTTAGGTAGGTCTTAAGAGATTTGGAAAATAAATATTGGACGTGTTTAATGGTAATAAAATTAAAATTGGATGTCCCTTTGTTTCCTTTTATATAATGGTAATTTTATTTTATCATTTATGTAGGTTTGAAAATGCGCTCTTCACGGTGACCTTAGTGTCGGATAATTGCTTGACAGCCGGGAACCGCCACAATTTCGGTATAATCGGTGAATAAACGAGCATAGTTTGGAGATCTTAATTTTATAAGGTGTATTTTTTAGCTTCTCAGAAGTTAGTACAAGCAAGATCTATATTTTGATTTGTGACATCTTTAAGCAGGCCATGTTAATCTTTTTGTATCGGTCCCCATGGTTGATAGTACTAACGGTGGAAGTTGAAATTGATGGATATTTTATTTCTATTGGATTACATCTAATACCAAGATGCTACCCGTTTAAATTTTAGGTAGAAACGGTGATATTATTAATAATTGGATTACATTGTTTGTCAGTTCTTACTTGTACACATGTTTTTATTAATGTTGTTGTTTTAGTGGTTGGCATATTATAGGAGAAGGAACATATGTGAGTGGTATGGGTCGTCCACGTGTTGTGTCTTATCTACTTGTGATTTTGTCTTCAAAAGGCTATCCATTGTGTGTTTTGTAATTGACAATGATCGGCTTTGCTTTCTTTTTTTTCCACAGAAAAATACTTTATGAACAAAATCAAGATTTTCCACCCAAAACCAGGATTGTTTGTATATTTGTGTTGAATACTATTTTTTTTTTTTTTTTTTTTTGAACGGTTTTTGTGTTGAATACTATAAGACTATAAACCAGTAAATAACAGCACAAATTCGAAACTCCATCCATTAATAAAGAAAAATTGTCACAACCATAGGCCAAACGAAGCCCTTTACGTTTTTCAGTCTAATCCGAACAATTGCAACTAAAAAAATAATAAACTAGTGAACAAAAGACATAAGATCCAAACCACATTGCTAAAAGTAAAGATTAAAAAAAAAAAAACAAAGGTTGTGATAGTAGATCGGGCGGAGAGACTTAGGGGGAATCAGCGGGGCTAGTGCAGCAGCTTCGGATAGGATCTTCCGTAATCTGAGTTCCGTCTTCACCAAAGACGATCACAAACAGATAATTGTCTCGTTTATGGTGAAAGGTCAGAAAGTTAGCTTGTGTTAAACAGTTGTCATCCACAAACTCAGACCACTTTTGCTTCTCAAAAAACACATGTCCTCTCTCGTTTCGGACTAGTGGAATCTTAACTTCCCCACACAACCTCTAGCTCTGCCTCGTCCGTTAGATTGTGAGGTGTTCTCTCCAAGAAATCTTGTGGCAACATTCTCTTTTTGAAAGAGAAAAAAAAAACAGATTAATTTCTTTTCGTTAGTGTTTGTCTTAAGCAGTGAATGAAAGTGAACCCGTAATTAAAACCTGGACACTGGAAGAGAGATTTCTTCCTCTGGCTAGGACCTTCGCGAAGCTTTTTCCTCCTCTTTCTGTCAACATCTTTGATCTTCAAAGAGAGACCGCTGTGGCAAATCTTGGAAAAGCTAAGCTTTCAAAATGAGTGTTAAGAGTTATGATGATAGAAGTTGGTTGCAGCTGTTAATAGTACATCATTTACAACTTTGACTGTACACTTACTTTTTCATAAGTTGTATAGATGACTCATCTTACTTTTGACCAACTTTACAAACTTTGATAGAGCTAGAGATCTATTTGATTCATTTTGAATATTAAAATGAGAAAATTACACTCATAAGGCACTTTTCTATTTTCTTATTATATTTAAAAACACTTTGTGCTACAAAGGTGATTTTGGCCAAAAAACAAGAGAGCAAAATTCCAGAGATGCTCTTTTGTTAAGTTTGCTTCATTCCCCGTTTACAATCGAAGACATTTTTTTACTGTAAGTACCGCAATAACTTTGTCTAATCTGAAGCTAGATGAACTCGCCGGAATAACTCTGTCGTACGTCGAAGGAAGAAGATCATAGCGAGACTAAGAAGAACTTATGTTAAATCTGGAAGAATTTATATTGTTATTAGATGAATTTGGATTAACTCTAGATCTGAAAAACTTTATGATGTTATTAGAAGAAAAGCTATTGGATTTGGAAAATTTTCAGTTTCTTTGAAATTTGGAAAAGATGAATATACGTTAACTTGCAGAAGATGAATCTGAGAAATTTGGAGAAGATGGATCTGAGAAATTTCAGTTTTGTCCACATCTACATGTCCACCCAGTCGTGTACATGTCATGATGCGCCCATATGGACGTCTTTATTTGGATAATTGTTTTGGGATGTGAATGGATATGGCATGACATAAACTTCACATCGAATTGGTATGTGTGGCAAGCTTTGAGAGTCTTATATAATCAATGTCTATACGATCATATCCTAATCAATGTCCATACGATAACATATACATATTATCTTGATCTTTTTAGCGAATTTCTTAGACTTCATGTGGACATAAAACCATGAATACAATAAGAACAACAAATTGGACAGAGCCATATTGAACATCTATGAAATGACCTAAAAATGAATGCATGTACATACACAACAATTGGACAGAGCCATATGGACGAATCCGTTTGAATATAGAAAACAATCAACTAATCTTAATGCAATAGGTCTATGAGATTCATTAAAACTACTAATATTTGTGTCCACACAGTCATGTACACGCAAGACATGTCCACATACACATCTCATTAAAGATACAAAAATTTAAACATTTGTTTGCTAGTTTGCTATCTTGGTTCCATCAAGTAATTCCTTCATAAACGTATTGTTTATACTAGTTGTGTCCACGCAACTGCATCCATGTGGATACTGTTCATTTCTTACTATAATACACTGCTTTCATCCACTGATTCTTGCATAACTGCATCTATTCATGTGTTTTATGTCATTTATAAGAAGATAGAAAAAAAATTTCATTGGTAAATACGAATAATATTCACGATAAATATTAGGTTTCTGTGGAGGGGGGGGGTTCAAAGACAAATAATATATTTGTAGATAGTTTTGAAGAGTTTTTTTTGTCCATGTCTTATATCTATAGTGTTCTTGGATACCAACTATTGTTTGATCATGCTTATTTATCCAACAATTAGTATATTTTTGCTAGTTTGCTATATTGATTCCATAAACTAATTTCTTCATAAACGTATATATTTATGCTAGTTTCATCCATGCAACCGCATCCATATGGATAGTTATTCATTTCTTAGTATAATACATTGCTTTAATCCACTGATTCTTGTATAACTGTATTTAATCATGTGTTCTATGTCAAAATTATCATCTATTTATTATTTAATAAAAACATATATGTTCATGCTAGTGTCGTCTACTAAAACAGAAAATGCTGGCTTTGTCATTTAAAAGAAAGAAGATTGAAAATTTTTGTACAATTAGATACCAATGACATCAACCTTAGGCAGTTGGAGTTCGCCATCCATGGACTACTGTCCATCAGGCCATCCACATCATCCTGTCCACCAATGACAATTAGGTACCAATGACATCAACCTTAGGCAGTTGAAGTTTGCCATCCATAGACAACTGTCCATCAGGGCCATCCACATCATCCTGTCCACCAATGACCATGTTCATTTCATAGCTGTCAGATACGACACTATCTAATGTCGGCATTGCAGCATGTATGCCTCCCACTTCTTCTCCTCCTTGGATGGACAAATCTGGATGGGGTTGTGTTGACAGTTGTAAATGTAATAAATTTATATTCACCATTTGCACTACATAATACTTTACTGTTTCCCATTAAATCATAACACTATAGGCGGATAGTTAGAAAGTACAGCCACATAGCTAACTATATCACAACTATCATCTATCTATTCTTTAATAAACTTATATGTCCATGTTAATGTCATCCACGACATTGCATCCATTTCTCAAATATCATAGACAAGTTATCTGTCAATACAAATATATTTGTAGATAGTTTTGAAGAGTTCTTTTTGTCCATGTCTTATATCTATAGTGTTCTTGGATACCAACTATTGTTTGATCATGCTTATTTATCCAACAATTAGTATATTTTTGCTAGTTTGCTATATTGGTTCCATCAACTAATTCCTTCATAAACGTATATATTTATGCTAGTTTCATCCATGCAACCGCATCTATGTGATAGTTATTCATTTCTTAGTATAATACATTGCTTTAATCCACTAAGCGATTTAAGTGTGGATATCCGAATGTATGTCATGGATATACATGTTATATATTGATACAATTGATACAATTGATAACCATTACAACATATATTGCCATCACATTTTGCACTCGATAGATGGCTAACCACATGTGGCTAACATTATATGGACAGCTGAATGTGGATAAAATAGTCTTTCCACTCATCTTTCTCCGTCAGCTTATTGATTATCGAATCTTCGACAGAAACTTTACTTCCTCTGAGAAATCAGGAAAATTAAAAGATATTTAAACTATTTTTCTTTCTAAAGTTATGCTTATTTCAACAGTAAGTGGAGTGAGAGATTAGAATCACCTTTCATGGTTTTTTATGTATCTCTCTTTCAAACGCACTTGGAGATGATGAAATTCTTATAGGATAGCTATCCTTTAGACAGAGAAATCTTGTCAGAAGAAATCGCTGATTAGAGCGGCTGAAAACTCGTTAATTGATATTACAGTGATATCGGCAGCGGAAACGGCGGAGAAATCACGGCTGTGAATTTTAGGATTTTTTATGTTTTCACCGTTTAAGTTTTTGTGTTGTAAAACAAGTAAAATGTGGAACGAGGTGAAACTGTGAGATTCAAATAAGAAATAATAAGAAGGAGTTTTTGGTTTTTCCATTACACCAAAGTCACCTTGGAGCACAAAGTGGCTTTATTGTAAGATTGAAACTCATAAGTGCCTATGAGTGTAAATCATTGGATAATAATAACTCTACAAAATAAGATAAATTACAAATATTTAAAATTTTACATGATGAAATTTAAAATTACCAAAGCACAAAAGCTAGAAGCAAAGCACCACCATGATATATACATGCAAATAGTAAAATACCATAGATTTTGATTCACGTATACAAAAGAAATTAAACACCAACGTGTAGAGAACTAAAGATTGATCAAGCGTAGGAGCCAAAAGAAAATTGATGAGAATGATAAACCATAACCAGTTATACAACATCCATATCTAGTGATTTAGTCCGATCCTCCACGCTATCCAGCTTTCCCGTTTGGTCTCTGTCCGGTTTGAGGATCCCTCCAGCTCGGTTACCGGACGCACCCATCCCAAGAGCTTCTATGTACAACACTTTGACCAAGTTCATGAATCTTCTTCGAAACGTTGGTATCCTTGACATTGATGCCACCATCCCCTGCAGCCTTTCCATTGATATAATATAAACATAACTTGCCTCAGTGATTTCATTTTCTAACCAACTCAAGAAATGTGGCTACTCATATAGAAGAGACTTAATTACCTTCTGATTATGGCTTGCAATTGTGCTTTTCTCACTGTATCACTTGACGGGAACCCGGTGCTATCCCAATCCTCGGTCGTTTCGTTTTTGCAGACCATTACTAATTTCCTTAGACAAAACTCTTCATCCTCAGTCAGCTCCAGATTCTTTATCTGCTCCTTCATTATCATTAGAGGACCAACGAGCCATGCAAATACTTTGTCTCTAGGGCTGTTCAGTTCCGTAAGCTCCACGCTATCACCTGCCATGTGAAATTTCATCATAATAAATCTGTGTGGAGGGAGAAACGTTGTATTAAGAAATTTCATCATATATTTATATACGTACTGATCACCAATCCAGATGAATTCGATTTAGCCGATGCAAGGAGACATTGTAACACGGTCCAAGCCGGTAGCTGAATATAAAGCTTCTTACAATTACCCTTAAGAAGACATTCCTCTACATCTTTCACATCTATCAAGCCATCTCGAACAAGTATCCTCCCATTCACTTCACACGACTTAAACAACCATTCCCATACCTTTAAAAGCAGAACACACACAAAACGTTCAATGATATTGTAAAGTCAAGACTCAAGGTGTAGATCGAACAAAATTTATACCTGAACTGGTTTATATAGTGTGATTGCTTTTTTCAGTGTCCTCGAATGTTCTGAAACAAGCATTGAACTAAGTGAGCTGCTTCTTTTGCTCTTGAGATCAACGTTCTTCTTCTCTTCTAATATCTTCTTCCCATGACCTGCGTCTGTTTTGGTCCTATAGCAAGGCCTGGCTGTCACAAGCATACATACTTTACAGTCATAAATCTTGTAATTAACCAATGCACAATCAAGAAACACTAATGGAACAGAGTAAAGACGATTTACCGTGGTAGGCAACTTCCTTCATTCATAGAGAGTAAATCGTTTACATATTCATCATAAAGTGAGACCGCAGCAATTATATAGTTAAGCCCCATTCGCAAAGAGTCCTCCTGTAAAGATTCCATCATGTAAAGAAACAAAATATCGCTGAACAGGATTTTTAGTATTGTTTACAATACCTGATGGACAATGACTCCACTGTACAACCCTAGAAAGAAACTTGAGAGAACCGAAGCTATTACAGCTCCCGAGACAGCTAGTGGCCATAGCAATATAGCAAGACCTGCAAATGGAACACACACAGTCTCCAAGAATGGACCTTCTCTACCAACAAGGTCTTCTAATAGCCTCTTCCATCCTTTGAGCAACATGTATGGACTTTTGTAAAGCGCAACAGCTGTTATCAGTAGAACATCTACAACCACACCTATCAAACTAGCAAGGAGACAACTCGGTAGCCGAGATAACCTGGAAAGAACACAAGATTACCAAAAAGCAACCGATCTTTTTGAAAGATGATACGAAAGCTGTTCTTTTACCTTATCTCTAAGGGTTTAGCATCGGCGGACACCATTTCTCTTAACTCATCCATGTAGGAGAAGTAAGAATGGAAGCAGAAGTCACTGAAGTCCGTAACCACGGTACAACTCCCTTTAATAGTGGAGAGTGAACCATCAACAAAGCAATGATAGCATTTGCTAGTAACAGACTCTCCAACAGCTTCAAATGTAGCCATAAGCGGTGTGAAGAAACCGTAAGCGATTCCGCCTAAGAGACTTCCTGCTATACCAGCAACTGGCCATAGGAGTAAAGGCACTGGAAACAATATCAATGCCATGGTCTTCAAAACCAACCCGATTCTCTTGGTTCTGGAATAGTTACAGAAACAAAGATTAGTTAGTGGAGATATATACAGGGGAGAAAAAAGGTTTTGAGTTTTGATAGATTTTGAAACCTTGCTAAACAGTAGTAGGTCCAAATGAAATGTGCTGGCCAAAGGCCAATGATCACTGATGAATTTCCAATCAAAATGATAGCAGATGAAACTGGACCAACTAACAAAGCTGTGAAACACAATCAAAAAGTAGGGTGAGAACTTTACACTTCACATAACTTATAGTGTTTCTTATCATTTGCAGTGAATATATAATTTGGCATGTTCTAACAAAATGATTAGCAGGATGATATGTTTCTTTTTTTTTTTTTTTTTTTTTGTTAAAAGGCCTTCAATGATGATATGTTTCTTTGCAAATAAAAACCTCATGACACGTTATGAGCTATTGTAAGTCTAGATTCACATGTTTTTTATAAAACAAAAAATGTCTAGATTAACATGTAAAAAAAAAAGAGTATAGATTCAAATAGCAACTATTTCATTTTGGCGGTGGAAGATTCCAAAAGAATTAAAAATAATCTGAAGAATGCGGGAAATGGAAAAATCGAGTTGCAATTACTCTGCACCTAAGTCAAGAGACTTATTATATCAATGAACTTGCTTCAATGAACTTATGGTTATGGAACTACGGTTTTGTATCAACATGATCATCATGGAAAGTAACGATGATAAAGCGAAGAACAGGGGATTTAATTAATGACCATGGATTACATACCTTTGGTGAGGCCGAGGAGCAGCAAGAGGAAGAAGAAGGGAAGGAAAGAGAAGAAACTCCACAGTTTCTCCAAAAACCCTATTGGAACCTCCATTTTACCTTCTTTTTTTGTTTGGCAACTCAGTGTGAGCGGAAGATTATGCGACAGAAATAAGCCGAAAGTGGAGGTGGGTGGGTGTACGTGGCACTCCCCTGGGACACGTGGTGACTTAAAGTACCATAGTGGGACCGACCCTCTGTCACGTTTTATCTACTTACGCTTTTTAGCGGGAATCTCTACCAACATTTCGTCTAACAAATTATATTAGAGTGGGATTGAAATAAGAGCTGGAAATTACAAATTTTGTGGTATTGTTTCGTTTCATCCGATTAGTACTATTTTGATGCTGCCACATTAATCAGATATTTAGTGTCTCGATATTATCTTTTAGGAACCACAAACAACACATGTGGAGCAACTTTTAATCCAACTAATGTAAAGAAGACACTCAGCAAAAGGTCCGAAATATGGGATCGTTACACGAGAACAAAGGGAAATCGTGACGCTGACGCATCTATCACTATTGCCAAAAGGTCTTCACTTGTCCTACAAAATAAGATATTGATAGTTTGATACTAGTTGGTTTAATTTAATCTCTGTCTATTTTCTTTGTCACTGAATGAATCACGTAATGTCTGAAATTATGGCTTCTTAAATAGAGATGAGTTTTTACAAGGCATTCTCACATTTTGAATCACGTAATGTCTGAAATTATGGCTTCTTAAATAGAGATGAGTTCACAAATTAGCATATGCTAATCTGCGAGCACTACAAGGCATGGTTAGACGATCAAGGTGACAAACAACCTCTTATTAATGAGAAGGCAGCCAAATTTGCATGAGTCCATTGTCAAAGAAGCCTCCAATGATAGATTGTGTTAGGTAAATTGCTACTATTTTCCGTTGAGTGGCACTGAGAAACTCATCATGTGTTTAGGTTAGAGAGATTAACTTCCAGTTATTCATTGTTTTAATTCTCTCTTTGTGAATCTAACTGACTGTTTCACTCTTGTATTTGTTTTAAGGTGAACCTGTACAACACTAAATTGACAAAGTAAAGAACTCGATCTCTACTAACAAGCAAAAAGTCTTTCTGACAATTGATATTCCGGTTTCTCAAGTTACATGTAATGTTTATTCAATAACTTGTTTCTATCCTTTTTGTTATGATCCAAGAAAGAAGATAGCTAAGTTAGTGCGAATATCAACCTTCACACATCAGAACTTCAATCATATAATGAGTTAGAAAACTCCTTAGTGGATCAAAGTTTCGACAACTAAAGCTAAAAACTCTTAGAACACAAGGAAACGGTCAATTTGTTGTTGTTAACTTATTCGTTCCATTTTGGTTCATGTGACGGAAATGATACATATCTAGCTCATATGACATTAGTATTAAATACATTTTATCACGTGGCTTTGATAAGAAATCAATTAATCGACCACTGGAGCTCTGTCTCGATTACAGTACAGCGGTAATGACCATATTTTAACGATAAATTGGTAAAGAAAGTCCACTAACTACACCTAGTTAGAGATAATGCATGCGTGATGGGTATAAAATAAAGTCCCTAAAATCATACTATCTCATATATTTATAACATTTTCAGTTTTGTGTCAGTCCACAATAAGATATTGTATTGTTTGTGTGATCATTAAAAACAATTTTTGTCATTGATGATAATGAAATAAGAAAATAGTTAATTCTTTCACCAACAAATAATATTATCCAGCATATGTAAAGTTGACAAACGGAATCAAATACAGCCCATGTATTACTGTCAGATTAATATTTTTAAACGTATTTCTCCTTTTTATAATCTAAACCACGTTTTGTACGTGTTAAGAATACAATATGAAATGATGAAACTCAGTGAATCCAAGGCGCTTTGCAATAAAGAGGGGCATTAAGCTCACACTTGCTCCAAGATCACACAAATAATTTCTAAAATGATCAGAAGATTTACTACACAGATCTATAAATCATCACCAATGGTGAAGAAAGCGGTATTGATTGGGATCAATTACACTGGAACCGAGGGAGAGCTACGTGGCTGCGTCAACGATGTCAAGCGAATGCACAAATGCCTCATCGAACGGTTCGGATTCTCGGAGGAGAACATCACTCAGCTCATTGATACCGACAAGTCTAAAACCCAACCCACCGGTAAGAACATCCGACAAGCTTTGTCTGAGCTTGTCGGATCAGCTAACTCCGGCGATGTTCTCTTCGTCCATTACAGTGGTCACGGTGTTAGGTTGCCACCGGAGACTGATGAAGACGACAATACTGGTTTCGATGAGTGTATTGTTCCATGCGATATGAACAACATCACTGGTAAATTATCTTTTTTTTGTTTCTTTATTTTGTGATAATAAGATCCATACAGTAGTGTAAAATGGTTTTATATTTAATATACTTCCATTCTTTTTGAACCAAAAAAAAAACTTCCATTTCTTTAAACTAATTAAGGATGATATTTGATGAAAACATGACTCTAGACCAAAATGATTTATATTTGATTAGGAAGTTGAACTTTCTCATAGTGCAAAGATGTTTGTTTTTTCTTTTTAAAAGTTCCTTCATATTCACAATAATTTCATTTTTTTTTTTTTCTCAGATGATGAAATCAGGGAAATTGTGGACAAGGTGCCCAAAGACTGCTCCATGACAATTGTGTCGGACTCTTGTCATAGTGGTGGTCTCATTGACGCAGTCAAGGAGCAGATCGGAGACAGCACGAAAAAGTTGGAGAAAGGAGAAGAGAGCAAGGAGATTGAACAAGAATATTGGAGGGACAACAACGTCCACGTTGTAAACAGATCTCTGCCTCTTCACAGTATGATCAATATGCTGAAGCAAGAAACCGGTAAAGATGATATAGAAGTTGGAAACATCAGAACCACTCTTTTCGATGCGTTTGGAGAAGACGCATCTCCAAAGTTGTTGAATGTACAAGAAACTGAAGGACAAGGTGAGATATTGGGAGATATTGTGACGGAGAAACCGAAAGACAATGGTATTTTGCTTAGTGGATGCCAGACTGATCAAACTTCAGGAGACGTACGCACCAAGGGACAAGCCTATGGAGCATTCAGCGATGCCATACAGACCATACTTGCTGAGAGACAAGGTAAGATCACAAACAGAGAACTGGTTTTAGGTGTCAGAGAGTTTCTTGAGTACGAATGCTATCCTCAGAAACCGGGGCTGTATTGTAGCGACAGTAATGTGGATGCTCCATTCATATGCTGAAAGGAATTGTTTTTCAGATTTGGTTGTTCTTTTGTAATTTTCGAGTTTGTTGTTGAATAATGGATCACATTTTATCGATGCATAGCCGCAAATGAGAGAACCGTAAATGGACTAAGGAAGCTAGTATGGAAGAGTTTGATAATTTTTCAGAAAAACATAAAACAAGAAACATAACTGTAATTTTTTTACCAATAACTGTAAAATTAGCTCAGTCTTGTGTATCCTCTAAACTAGGCAGGATATAATGGGAAAGTTAAGTTAGTTTTGCTACTTAAGCTCCGTTCACAAACTATGAACAAGGTTGTACAGAAACCGCAACGCAATGCAGGCATTGTTTCCTATCTCTACTCGTCTAAGGTCTAAAAGCTAATTGGATTTCTCATTCAGAGGCAGAGTTATTTGGTTGTCTTTCAGTTTGGGAGGCTTACCCATTTCCCCGCCTCAGACGACATCTTGTGCATGTTCTTCCACTTGTCCTTGAGGTCGCTTGGAGCCCGTTCTTCTTGAAACACATCCCGACCATATTCCAAGATCTTGCGCCATGGAATATTCCTCAAGCCCGGGAATTTTTGCACACCAACCTAAAAGAAAAGAAGAGTCATCATCAAGAATATTACTTATCTCACATATACCAATACTGGAAGATATATTGACAACAGAACAATTGCATTAGCCTCTTAGGAGAAGCTAAGAGGCTCATTTCAAGAGTATATGTTAACAAGACCAGTTACCCTTGAGTTTTATGGTAAAAGCGGATAATCTAAAGCTGTCTTAAAAGTTAAGGAATAGAGAGCTGTAGAATGTGTAAGCTCAAAATAAAGAAAAAGACGATTGCAAAATGAAAGAAAATGCTATGTGATGGAAAGAAAATGCTGAAGTTTCATACCCTAAGCATCTCTTCTTCTGCCGGCGTCCAAAATATTCTTTTACGTTTTCTGTCACTGGATACAACATGCCTCCTGCGCATTAAAGAGAAGCAAAATAGTTAGCTGCTGCTAAGGTTTCTAACGAAAAAAATCAACCATTAGAAACAGCACAAGTTCCAAATGAATGGAGACCTTTGTCCGGGATCATTAGACGCAGCTCCATTCTTCTCCATGTCACTTTGGTGTCCAGAACTTTCAGGTGGCACAGAGCGAAAAGGTCGTGCTGCGATCGGTTGTTGTTGAGCACCAGCCTTTGGTTGGATGATTAAAGCTAACTCTTGAGAAGCTGCGTTAGAGCCATTAACATTCTTTGTAGACATAGGAGATGAAATAGAGGAACGATCCTTCCTGAAACCATTCTCTTGCTCATTCAAGGTCACATATTCATTTATCAGAGCAGCTTGGGATTGTCTTTCTTGATCCTCCGCCGTATAAAACTCACCTCCATTTCTCTTAACAGCTCCTTCCCGCTTTCTCTCCAAATCCTTCGAAACTTTCTTGTCCTGAGTTTCAATTTCAACAGTTTTGGTATGCTTGTTCTTTACACTATATCTTCCCTCCACTGATCCAGAACCTCTTTTATCAGTCCTAGTGACTTCCTGATCACAACTTTCACTAGAAGAAGCTTTCTGTTGCTGGTTCTTCTCATGGCAACATCTTCTTCCCTCACCCAAATCAGAATCTTTGCCTTGTGTTCCTTCACCATTAGTAAAGACCTCCTGCTCATGAGTTTCTGCAACTACTTTGTTCTTATGGCTTCTCTCACTAAATCTCCTCTGCGTTCTTGTTTTAACATCCACTTGTACTTCCTTCTTTCTTGTTTCATGGTTCATATCGCATCGTCTCTGCTTCTTCCTTTCTTCACCTACGTCAGAATCACGCACTTGAACTTCTTCTTGGTGTCTCTCACTCCCCTTTCTTCTCTCGCTAGCCATGGAAATGAATGCAAATGAACCTACCTGATTCACATCATCATCACCAGCCTCAGAAACTTCCTGAGACTGAGTGTCACCCGCAACTTCTCTCATCCGCTGATTCTTCTCCATCGCCATGAATTTCTCATATGATTCATCATCACTTTCTCTTCTATTCCCACTAGTGTCAACACTTTTGGTTATTCTTCTTCCACTACTACCTCCTGTAACATTAACCTCCACTACATTCTCTATATCTTCACCTACTTCATCCATCTCTAAACCCAAATCTACTCCTCCTAAACTCTCTCTGCTTTTTCTAGACTTCTCAATCTTCTTCCGTAGCTTCAAAGACTTCACAGCTACACGCTTATACCAACAATAAGGACAGTAGAAATTACCGAATTCGTCAAAATCAGGCTCATCAGTTACACATCTTTGATGAATGGCAATGGGGCACTCCTCTTCGTGACATAGCAGCACCCAATTGTCATTTCCATCGCACACCAAACAAGTATTAGACTTTGAGCTCGTTTCTCTGCAAGCATCTCCATTGATACCATTTTCGTGAGTTTTAGGGTTCCTTTCATCTCCGTCGTCGTCCTGCGTACAGTATCACGGAAAACACCAAAACCGTCGATTAACATCTTTGAAAGTACCCGAATTCAATAAGAGAGATGAAAATTTCGATAATTTTGTCAAGTGGGTATCAAAAATGAAAAAGCTGTTCTTTTATTCCCGAGAAAACAAACAGAAACGCAAGGAGATTTACCGAATTGGAGCCAGGAGATGAAATTCGAATCCTCTTCTTATTGAAAGTAGTCATAATTTTCCGTTTAATCCAATCAAAGCCAGCCGATTCTCCTCTGCCTCCGAGAAAGACAACGAATTCAACGGAGAGTGAAGATGAAACGAAAGAGATTGAGATTGGTGTCAGGTTTAAGATCCTACTTCAATTCAAAATTTCAGAAAAGGTATGTTATTTTTCTTTGGTACCAGAACTGAATGTATCGTAACTTTAGGATATATATTGTAAATATGCGCAAGTATGAAGCTCAAATAAATAAATAAATAAAACTGGGCCGATTTGATGATAAATCGGTTGTCCTGTCCATGTGCATTTGTGAAATTGCCGTTCGAAGAGAAGAAGAGCAGAAGTTACAAATTTTGATTGGGGATTTTTCTAGCCCTAATTGTACTAGAAAACTACTTTTTATAGTCCAGTGAAAGTGAACAACAGTGATAACGACGGTGCCGAATCTCATCTGAAATCTCCGATTACTCTCTCTCTCTCTCTCACATCAGATCGGATCACGTAGAACCAGAAGAAACTCGGAAACGCTGCAATGGTCTCTACATCCATTTCCTTGTTTCTCCTATTCAAGTTGCCGGAGATTTGCTGATCTCGTTTTTATCGCGGTGTTTTACAGTCAGTTAGAGGCGGAGGAAGAGAGAGGATGATGATGAAGGAGGACAGAGGGAGGAATCCGCCGTCGCGTCATCTCTGGGTCGGGAACCTTCCGCTTGGGATAACGGAGCGAGAATTAGCCGATAGGTTCGCGAGGTTCGGAGAATTGGAGAGTCTCGCGTTTCAGCCTTCGCGGAGCTACGCGTTTCTGAATTTCAAACACGACGAGGATGCTTTCGCTGCCATGGAGTCGCTCCAAGAGTTCCCACTCGCCGGCAATCCGCTTAGGATCGAGTTTGCCAAGGCGGTTAGTGATGATCTCTTTATTTTCAGTGATTGCTTCTCTTCTCGAATCGTTATCTTACTTAGTTGTTGCCTTCGTATATGTACTCTTGGTTTGCTTCATGTTCGTTTGAATCTGATCTTCCTGTTGATTGAATTTGGGTTAGGTTCGAGGCTTGAGGCTGCTTAGAGAGAACATAGAGCATAGCCTTAACATCATATCCGTCATAGAAATTGCTTGAGAGTTTTAGTGTGTCTCTACTCTCCATTAGATGTCGTCGTTGTCTAAGTCCATAGAATTTAGCAATGAGCAAAGCAAACACAGCTCGTATATCATCAGTGTCTCCTCTTTATATAAGCCTCACATTCTGCTATACAAATAAGGTGAACAAAATTTTAGCAGGATTTTTACTGACATAGCAATTTTAGCTGTAGGTTACACTGATGATTATGTTTCTATAAATGGAAACTTAGAATCATTCTCTCTTAAACCATATCAGAGCCAATTCTATAATCAATTATGTCTCAACATCAAAAGGTATCCAGGTTTTACCTCAAAAGCGTTCACCTTTTTCCACATCAAAGGCATCCAGGTTTTACCTCACAAGCATTCACCTTTATCATTCACAACACAAGCACTCAGCCAAAATGTTGAGAAGTATCCAGAATGTCATTGACAAACAATACGAATTTGGTAGTAGACCCCAAGTTTGCAACTGTTTCTTCCTTATGGTGAGAAATATCAAATGTGCTGTTCATTTGAGGCAAGTGTTTTCCAGGAACATCTACATATATTGCAGAAGTTTGGATATGTTTTGAAGTTAATCTTACAACAGAGAAATAGTCCATGAAGCTTTCTGGATCTTGGAGTATGTTTATCAAGCAACTTAGGATCCAATTCCATTAGCCTTCATTTTCAGGTCCACATTCACTCATAACTTGTTGAGCCAAATTAGTAAAACTATATTGGCATTAGTCCACTTGATGTGAATTTGATTGCAACAGTTTTCTCTCAGTAGCTATGAAGATGAGTGACGAGATTAACTATATGATACGACCTGAGTAACGTTTCATACCTTCCATTGTTTTTGAACTTAATACTTACAGATGATACACTATTATTTTGCTAGCATATGTTCTAGTATATATCAGTTACCCACCATGGGTCCAAGGCATAGTCAAAGTTCGTTATCATCTTCACCATGCTTCGTAATTTGCCTATGGTTCTATTCAACTTGCCAATGCCAACCATACACATGCTTTTGGAATGCTTACCTATTTGATAGATATTGGAGTAATTGATCATAGCAGCAGCATTTGCTTCAGATATACCAATTCCAGCCTTGCACCAGTTCAATAAAATTGATCAAAACTTCCTTGCCTTCTAGAAATTCAAGAACCTACATGGTCAACTGTCTTAAGCTTGCTGTTTGTTGCTGGTGGTGTATAAATTTGGCAAGATTGCAGTGCCTTCATGTTAATAAAGTCTCTGCGGCTAGTGATGGTGTTTAATATTGAGGATAGATTCTCTGTACTGTAAAAAACATACATATTACAGGGATTTTCTGCAGCTATACGGAGTTTTAGCTGATTAACTAGATGCTCAATAATTTCTTGTATTTCGTTGATAGTAATGCACTGTAGATTTTCCTTACTGTGAGGTAGAAGTGTTTTTTCTGCTGCACAACCATTGTTGTCTGGTGGACCTTCACCCACCTGTGTTAGCTGCTCATTTTGTCCCCGAGTTGAGAATTTGAATATGTTATGGATATTAACAATCGTGGGATGGTGTTGTAATTGGCTCATTAGTTGCATAGCTATATAGCTATTTAATTGGCTCATTGGTTGCAAAGCTAACAATCGTTTTCTTGATGACATTAGTTGCATAGTTATATGGCTTAGTTAATTGCAGTACCTTATAAAGACACAACTGAAATTTTCCTATTATTAGCTTTGCATTTAGAGCCTATCAAATTGCCATCAACACTGTGAAAGTTTTTTGTATACTTCAGATGAGCATCGAACAACAATTCTCTTCCAGATTCTACCTTTGATCTTGCAGTTCTTTCTGAATTGCTCGTAGGAAAGAGTATTCTTCATATATGGCCAAAAGCTGTGTTTCATATAGAAAGGGTTATTCCAGTGTGTGTGTTGCTTTATAGAAAGGGTTATGTAGAACATATGCTAGCAAAATAATAATAGTGCTTTACCACCAATGCTAGCTATTCCACGCAGTTACCTTTTTACATGACTCATAAACGAGTTGGCAGTGAAGCCAATGTCTTTCTTCTTTGTTTAGTGTTAATATGGCTATTCTAAAAGTTGAAGACCTATGTATTCTTGATCATGCTGTGAAGTAGAGCATTGATTAATAGTTTTATCTTCGTCTTACTGTTTATCGCAGGAGAAGTCATCAACTGGATCACGCACAGAAGACATGTTTCGTCATGATGAACAGCGGTCTGCAGCAAGAGGGTCACCTTTTATCCAAAAAGACTCCAGAATGCGTTATGAGAGCCCAGACACATATAGCAAATCGAAAATGAGTGACAGAAATGGAGAGCCTAGTGATGTATTATATATAGGATTCCCAGCTTCGCTGAAAGTAGATGAAGCGCTCTTGAGGAAGGTCTTTTCTCCATTCGGAGATATAACAAAGGTCACAATATTCCCTGGTCGTAGCTATGCGTTTGTTCAGTTCCGGAATCTAATGGCAGCTTGTAATGCAAAAGAAACTCTTCAAGGTAAACTCTTTGGCAATCCCCGAGTGCACATTTCTTTCGCAAAGAGTGAACCTTCCTCGTCTAGGGGTCCGCGCAGTCGATCACACTCTCCGCCTTACAGATCTGTTGATAGACTGGGATCTTCAGAAGGATATCTTCAAGATAGAAACTATGGAAGCATCAACAGAATTCCGAGGGACCAGCAACATTACATAGCAGACAGGGATTTCGAAGAGTCTGATGATTACATGTTTAACAGAAGAGGAGCCTCAAGGAATGATGGAAGCCCTGCGTATGGAAGGTCGAGGTATGCACATAAACTGCCTCAGGACATGCATCAGTATCATGATAGTCCTAGGGAAATGGGTTCCACATTCCGTGATGATCCTCACAGGTTCCCTTCAAGGAGTTCAGTGTATGAAGAGCCATGGGGTTTACCAGAAGAAGACTACTACTACCAAGAAACCAAGAGACAGAAGACAAGATCCATGCAGCCTGAGAGACAGCTTCAAGGGCACCAGATTTCTGATGAAAGACGCCATTTTTCAAGGGTGTCTGCTGATTACTCCCCAAAAGATGCCTTCGAGCGGAACTATGAGTCTGGACAGCTGAGATACAAGCAAACAGTTGAGCAGCCGTTGACTGCAAGGAACGGGGAAAAGAGTAGCTTCCGAGAACAACCGCATGAAGAGTTAATGGGAGGGTTTTCTCGGCCGTCGTTGAATCGACCATCACTCAAGGACTGGAACTGGGAAGGGACTCTTGCCAAAGGAGGCAATCCCATTTGTCGCGCTAAATGCTTTCCAGTAGGCAAAACAATGGACATGATGCTGTAAGTTGCTCTCAAATCTCTGTTTTCTGTATTTCTTGTTTGTTAAGACTTGTAGTGATTTCTTGATGGTTGTGATTTGCAGGCCTGAGTTTGTAGACTGCACGGCGAGAACGGGTTTGGACATGCTGGCGAAGCATTACTACCAATCATCACAAGCGTGGGTGGTTTTCTTCGTTCCTGGAAGCGATGCTGATATTGTGTTCTACAACGAGTTCATGCATTACCTGGAAGAGAAGCAACGTGCAGCTGTTTCTAAGTTAGATGAGACAACCACATTGTTCCTCGTGCCTCCATCTGATTTCTCCGAGAAAGTACTTAAAGTCCCTGGCAAACTCAGCATCTCTGGCGTTATTCTTAGGTTAGAAAACGAATCTGTGCCTGTTCAACAACAAGGCGAGAGAAACGATCCAGACTTGTTAACCTATTATGGTGAAACATCATATCCGGATGCAAGTGGAGCTGCTCGAGATGTTCGAAATGCACCTATGGATCCATACATTGAGAGAAACCACGATCAGTCAAGTCACAGGTACTCTAGATCAGACTGGCCACCTCGTGAAGTGTCAGTTTCCAACGCTAGAAGTCCGCAGATGCAGCAACCCTTCATAGATCATAACGTTCAAGACCGTAGTAGCAGTGGGTTTGTTCAAGGGAGGCAGCCAAATGCGAATCTAAGCCGTTACCACGAAACTGAAACTTCAGGGCCACCAGGGTTTCAGCCTGAGCAGCTCACACATTTAGCTTCTTCTATGTCCAGACAGCAAAGGCAGGTCGATAACATTCCGAATCAGGCCGAGAGATATGCACCAGAGGCTCGAGCAAGTTTTAGCCATTTGCAGTCACCAAGCATACCTCAATTGGTATCTTCAGGGAATCAAAATGTACAGCTACAAGGTAGCAGCAACAGCCAAGAAGAGGAAGAAAACGATGGTAATCCGCAGAAGCGTCTGCAAGCAACGTTACAGCTAGCAGCAGCACTTCTCCAGCAGATTCAACAAGCGAAAAACTAGTTTGGAGATTTGCTTCCACGAGACATCTACAGATTCACAAAGGATGGAATCTTTGGTTTCTTACTTTCTTGTCTTTTTAAAGAAGGAAAGCGTCTAGTTATCATAATATCATAATAGATATAAGCCAATCTATTCCAGATTCAGGTGATTGTAAAATGTAACTTCCTCATATCTTTGTTAACCCTTCTGCAAGAAACCAAACACGTTTAATAGTAATGACTATTTTTCCTCATTTGATGTGTCATTAACTAACAAGCACATCCTTGTAATCCCTGGATGCTTACTCGCAGCTCTTTTGGTAGATTGATGCTCACGAAAAAAGCTATATTTCCACGTAACAATCTTTCTTTGCCACCAAATATCATTGACAGGTCTATTGGGGATACTCTTCTAGCGAGGAGATACAGAAAAGGTTGTTCAAATCTTCTGTCTACTTGGTTTACCTATAGTTAACTGCTATTTAGCTTCTCAGTGTGTTCTTTGTGTGGCCATAAATAGAAGCTCTCTGCTATTAATTAGCTACTGTAGAGTTAAGCCTTTGCTTTTGCTAATATAAAGCCAGTTCGACATTTTTAAGTTGGCGTAAACAAAACATCGTTGAATCAACGGCTGAATTGGTTACTTTGATGTAAATGATTCATTGCTAAAATACACTCGCTTATTCGTCGTTAATCAGCAACAAATGCTTTTTGTATATTTAAATTAATTAAAATTTTAGTAGTTTAAATAATTTTTTATAAAAAAGTTAAATCAAATCGAAATTAAAATTTAACAATTTATATATTCAAAGTAAGAAATAAAATACTTTACAAAACATAAACTAATCAAATATGAAAATCGTCAAACAGCTGAGCTTTTGCAGCTTGTCGAACGAATCGTTTATTTTACACCAAACAATATTCATAAGCTAACTCCAAAAAGACAAAAAGGCAAAAAAATATCGTCCGTCCGTAAGTAGATTCTTGATTGGTCTATTACGTGATCAAACGAGGAAGAGGGACAAAAATTTAATTGGTCCTCACATCCGTTAGTCGTGCCATTCCCTTTTCACATTACAAACAAAAATATATCACTTCTCATCATCCTTTCTTTTTTTCTACATACGGGAAAGGTTGGAGCCGACGGGAAAATAAGAGACAATGATCGGAGCTCTCGGGGACTTGGATTTGCTTTTCGGTTTCTTCGAGGAACAGTCTTCTAAGTTACTGTCGGTTGAGCTAATCTTTGAATCAGATTTCGGAACAAAGCAAGTAAAGAAGGCCGTGAGGAGAGCACAGCCGTTCTCAGAGATTTAGAGCCCCTAAACAGAAAAGAAAAATGACCCTAAAATTATCTAATCCATTCAAATGATAAGTATTATCGTTCCAAAGTTATAACTATTATCATCACAAATAAACAAATAAAAACCATAGCAAAAAACTAAATACAGCATTAGTTTTAAAACGTAATTTTTATCTCCTTCTTTCTAATAAACTGAGTAACCAAACTTTCAAAGTCGACACTTTTAAGCAGCTCCCTTTCAATAGACAAGATAGCCAAGTTACTCAATCTCTCTAGTGACATAGTTGAACGAAGATAAGACTTTATCAATAACTTCAGTGTATTATTTGATTTTGTTTTGTTTATGGAGAAGAAGAAAAGTTGAGAAGTTGTCAATCAAAATCTTTGACAAAGGATAAAAGAACATAACCTTAATATTTTTTTTGTAATTTAAATTAATTAGTAATTAGTTGCTATATTAATATAAATTTATTTTACTAATACTACTAGTACACATAAACCGCATAGGCCCCTCAAATTTTTTATAAAGTTTGGGCCCCTAGGCCGATGTTTCAAAAGAAACAATGTGGGCACGGCCCTGGAGGAGAGGCATGTTTGGAGTTGTAGAATTTTTTGTGTTTGAGTCTTAAAGTTAAATTTGAGCTACCAAATATTAGTTAATGTATTTATAGAGAATGAAGAAAGTTATTGAATCATTTTGGACACGTCTCTTTGTTCGGATAGAGACATCTACCTTGTTGGCCAAGCTAAATAGTCTCGTGGTCCTTTTTTTAAATATGCCTTTTGACAAGTTTTAGTATCCGTGAACCTCAAGGTCTTTTGACTCTCCATGTAGATTATTTAGCAAGAAGAGACTCCAAGGACCCACAATTACTTTATTACTCTCTCTTTCCCAAACTTTAAGCAGTTTCTTTTCGTAAATTGCTTAGGGAGTTTGTACCTACCTACTTTATGTGCCGGATCATGTTTTTCTAAAACAAATTTGTGAATTTTAATGTTAAGAAAATTATCGGTTATAAAACTTAAGTGATGTTAAATTGTTCATATATGGTATAAATGTTTTATAGAATAAGAGTATATTTTGTTAATTATTCCAGTATCAATATAACATTAATCATGCAGATTTTATCATCGAGAGTATTGAAAAGTGAAACCCTAGAAAAGTAGTTTTGAAAATAAACACCGCAAAATATATACTACTTTTTGGAGAAATATAAAAAAATATACAGTTTGGGAGTTCATTTTAAATACTACATCTAGTGTTTCTCACGAGATCTCAAAAGTTATGAGAATCGATTCTGCGACCTAGTCGCACATCTTTCTAACCATTTTCTAGTAACTTTGCAATCAATTTTCAACCATCTTCTCAGCAAGTACTATCTCTTTCTCTTTACCTCCCTCGTTACTTAAGTACTCTTTAAATCCTTAGTTTCACTATGAATCAGTCCATTTCTTTCAGACCAGGTGTCCCGCAAACAATATTTTCCATGTTTTTGAATTCGTCATGTGGTCGTAAGAGCGTCCTCGGAAAGCATTCCACCATCGTTTTTGTCTTGATTTTGACTGTCATTTCTTGTTTAAAACGATGATACCTTCTCCTTAAATGAAAAATCCATGAACATAAACTTGTTTCTATCTTCCCACATTATCTAAAGGAACCAAGGGAAGCTTCGTCTTATCTCAATTGGAATTGACAAAGACAAAGTAAGGGTCAAAACCTTCAGAAGGGAAAGGAAAGCTGAACAGTGCCCATGCATGGCTTGCTGTTGTGCACGTAAACATGACATGGTTCATAGATTCACCCTCCAAACCACACACCATGTACACCACATCCACATATATCCATGTACTTTTATTTTTATTGTTAGGGTCGTTTCAATGTGTAAGAGCTGTGACTCGTAAGAGTTCGGTCTTCTTTTTAGTTAACAACACAAGTACACAACAAATAACCAGACTTGACACACCTATTATGAGCCCAACAAAAACGGTCTGATTGAGTAATAGATGGATTCATGGATAGTATAATGTCAAACAACCTAGGCACAAGTGCATAACTTGGAAAGCCAAGTTCTCAGTGTTGGTATACAGAAACTACAAACAATTCTTCATTTGATTAAAATTCCACCATCTGACTATGGGCCTGTCCATTTGCTCAAATGAGATTTCCATCTATCTAAAAGCCTCATTTGAAAGTTATTCGTACCGTTTTTGGTTTTCATCTGATTTTCGTTTTGATTTCAGCTTAGCGACATATAATTTTCGCATGGTGTCCCGTTTCCATAATAAATAAACAAAAATGAGATACATGTGTTCATCCGATCTTGAAATCCAGGGTTCGAGAGATTTTCAACCTTCCGAGAGTTGGTGAGTTTGGAGATTTGGATACCCTATTCCAGATACAAAAACATTGAGATTTTTTTTTACATTTTGTGAAACAAATATATGGGTGTTAATTGATTGGGAGATTTGGATATGGGAAATCGATTTGGGGTTCCAGTCCCATTTTCAGTTTTGCGATTCAAATCTTTGGTTAAGATCTAATCATTTATATAATTTGACAATTAGGTTTTCTTTACTTAATTCATATTTTGCCACTCACACCCTTCGCTGGTTCAGATTCAAAATCAGGCAGGGCCTTAAGCACCAATCTTGTCGTATGGTTAGAAGAGATGGAAATGAAGAAAGATTGAGATTCAAACGAAAACATTGGAAAGAAGTTCACAACATGCAGACTAACAATTAAAAAAGAAAAACATTACAGAAAATGATAGATAAGAACTAGATCTCGTCTTCACTATCCGTTGAATCATTGATCTTCCTTCGCTTCACTGCTGATTCAGGTCTCGTCACAAGTTCTTGCATCGAAAGCGTTTTTCGAGGTTTCCCCTCTCTCATGCTTGCAGCAATACCTCTGTTCGACTTCATTAACCAAAATCTTGGATTGGTTTCTTCGTTATCAACAGAGTTCTCTTCGGGCTGTTCAGGTGACTTAGCTCTTACGGGCTGTTCAGGTGACTTAGCTCTTATGGGAAGTGCTTCGTTCTGCTGCTTCTGCTGAAGAGCAGCCAGACGTTGTGATCTTCTTGGCTCATCAGGTTTATCACTCATTTGGTTTTAATGGAATTAGCAGCAAGAAAGTGCTAAATAGAATGAGAGAGATGAATTGTTTATGAGGATACAAGAAGTGTCTTTGGAGGACTCTAGTGATTGACTATTTATATTACACATTCTTGAGAACAATAGAGGTACATGAACTAGGCATACAAATATGTTCTAAACGTATATAGTATTAAAAATTTAAAACATAGAAAGATTTTATATAAATCTATAATTTAAGAAAATGGAAAAAATATTTCTTTGTAAATCTTGTGTATTTGGTAAAGAAAATTTGGGTATGATTTTTTCCAATTGTGTTTTAATCATGGACAACTGGATAACACATATTCATTTTTAAATATAAAGAGATTATGTATCTTAATATGTCAAATATGTTTCTATATATTTAATTGTTTAATTTGTTTCTGAAAAAATATTTTTCCTTATTATTTTAAGAAATAATAATTTTCAAAATATTCATATTTAATCGCATAAGATCAATAAGATTTGATCGAAAAAAATAATGTATTCTTGCCTGAAAATACGATTATGTTATTGAAGTTAACAATGTCGGTTAAAAAAAAATGTTGTTAAATGAGAAAGTATAAAAAATCGTCGTATTTTTCGTTAAAGTTTGGTAAATTAGCAACTACTGTACATAACAACGAAAGCAGGTTAGTCGTTGCTTCAGTGGTAAAATGTTGTCAATTTGCATCCAGAAAATGAAATCCTTGCCATACTAAAGCCTCATGTCATTGTAAAGTCTTCACAAAATTGTATAGAATAAGGTGTGACCTTCATGGTCGAGGAACTCGCTGCTATAACCCTCAAGAAAATGCATGCACCAGTGCTCTCACGAGTGCATGGCACTTTCTTTTGGGGGTCCCTTGATCAGTGTTCTGATATGAACCTTTGTTCACATATAAAAGAGAAAGCTTTACTCACTATTTAATTAAGGTTAATTCTTGGAAGTTGGTTTCTTATAAATTCATTAGAGATCCTTAATTACATAGGTGTTGATGCAATTTAATAATAAACCCATTTTGAAAAGAAAAATCACTGTAACGTAAAAGAGAAAATACCAAAACCTAATTCATAAAGCAAAACACCACAAACAATAATTAAAACGCCCTACCATATCCTAAACACTCAAACCATATTCACATATCATGTTCCTCTATTTTCTCAACCCAAAAAGACATGGGAGCTGTTAAGGCCAAGAAAAATTGCAAACCGTAGTTCAAGGCTTAAATCTTAACATGTTACCAGTGAATGCAAGACTTGCTCAGTGGAGCACAAACGTTAATGCAGCCTGCACTTTCTGCTCCACTCATGAGGAAACCAGGAATCATCTGTTTCTCCATTGTGAATTTGTGACTACTCGGCAGAGATTTGGAAACTCGTCCTTCACCGGTTAGGAAACCAGAACCTTCACTTTCAATCTTGGCAAAACCTCATTCAGTGGATGCTTACTCGCAGCTCTTTTGGTAAATTGATGCTCATGAAAACGTTATATTGCCACGTAACAATCTACCTCATTTTGAGGGAGAGGAACTCTATAGAAAACACAACAATCTTTCTTTGCCACCAACAACCATCTTTCAGCAGATTGACAGGTCTATTAGGGATATTCTCCTAGCGAGGAGATACAGAAAAAGCTGTTCAGATCTTCTATCTACTTAGTTTCCCTATAGCTAACTACTACGTACTTAGCTTCTCACTGGTTATTTCTATTATTCTTTTGGCCATAAAAGCTCTCTGCTATTAAAGCTCTTGCAATTAAACCTTTGCCTTTGGTAAAATAGTTTACATCTTATCAAAAATAAAAAAATCTTCGCAAATTTTCGTTGCCAGTTCGACGTTGTTAAGTTGGCGTAAACAAATTAAACATCGTTGAATCAACGTAAATAATTGATCATGAAGTCGACGTATTCGTGGTTACTTTGATGTAAATGATTCATTGCTAAAAGGCACCCGCTAATTCGTACGTTGTTGTTGGACCTGGATTTCCCTCCAGAAATCCGGCCCATAAGGCCCATCACCTAAGTCCTAAGATCAAGATAAGTCCACTCAGCCCAGTAAAGTGACCTCGAGCCCACCAAGTATCCTTGTCCAAATCCAGCTGTTTACTGTCCGAGCTACTTGTGAAGACGAAGTCGAGCTCTAGCTCGACGGAGTCAAGTCCACAAGCTGAGTTTGAACGAGTCAAACGAGAATCTCGCTTCGACTGTTCAGATCCGGAAATAGCGGGATCGGTAGTTGCACGTGGACGAGATACGCGGAGGAGGTTGCGATCTACTTCGGAGCTATAAAAGGAGGACGATTCTTGATCACAAGGCATGATTCCTTTCATCGAAAATCACAACACAAGTTCTTCTCATCATCTTTTCACAGCAAAACAGAGTGAAGTTCTTCTTCTTCGTCTTGAGATATTCTCATATCTTTTCTCTTCGATCTTCGAGATAATCCCAGAAAGCCCTGATCTTTCTAGCCGGAAATCACTTCCGGCAGAAGTTCGACGTAATCTCTTACCTTCGGATCACTCCGATAACCTGAGATTTATCGTCATCTTCACACCCCTTTAGCTCTTTTCGTGGTCATTTCTCTTCAGAAAACGACTCGAAATAGAGAACAACTTACAATCGAACTACGTTCTGGCTTGATCCCTAAAACAGGGTACGTAGGCAGCTCGTTACACGAGCGCAGCCACCACCTAATTTCCATCTCTTTTGCTTAGTCGAATCCTAGTGTTTTACATGGTCTTTTAGGCCGGTTTTGTAACCACTTTATTCGATTAGCCTAAGTCCGATTTCGTCAAATATTTGTCTACGAATCATTCGACTTACATCAGAATCTAACCTCTGATTCCACAGGCAATTTCTCCCTACAAAATACACATAAATTTTGAGTGTGGTTTTCCGAACCCACATTTTGGCGCTAGAAGGAGGGGAGACAATAGCTTTCTCTTACACAAGGGTCGAACCTAGACCAGTTGAGAACGAAATGGACTCAGTCCTATCAAATTCTCAGGGAGCTCGCTCCCAATCTCAGATCCCATCGGATCAAATCACTTCGGATGTCAGCAGTGCCAAAACTGCAGACACATCGAAAAACCCGATCACCTCGCCAACTGGCAGCAGCCAAACTGCTAGTAGATCGAGCGTCCTGATCGATCCGGTTATCACCTCCGCGGCAGCGAACTCGAATGTTCCAGCCCGCGTGAAACCATCGGTGATCAACCTCGTCACTCCTGTGACAGCCGAGAACTCGATTCTACCGAATCAGATCTCGCACGCAATTGAGAGACCTCATTTGCGGATTCGGGTCAAATCTAAAGATTTCCCGATTACCTCGACACCGATCAGTCGGAAAACTCCGACTCAAACTGTGTCAACGTCGTTTGCCTTGGCTCGACCGAATCCGGACGACCAAGCCCGAATCAAGCGAATGCTCACCGACCTGATTAACAGTCAATACGACCAAAAAATCAGGTTGGAAAAACATGAACGAAGTCTTGCTGAGCTACGGACGATTATAAGTCCTCCTCCGGGAACTCAGCTCGACTCTTCACCAATCTACGAACCTAACAGCTCGTCGAAACGGGATGAGGCACCACGCGCGCTCGCGTCTTCCAGACTCTCATCCCACCGATAGTTTAAACAGCTCGTCGAAACGGGATGGGCGCCACCGCGCGCTAATGTCTTCGAGACTCTGTCCCACCGATGAGTTCAATAAACAGCTCGTCGAAACGATGAGGCGCCACTGCGCACTCGTGTCTCCAGACTCTCGTCTCATCGATGAGCTCGCCAATGAGCAGCTTGAACATTCCTGATTCAAGCAAATCGGAGATAGGATCTCAGCCAACAGAGCGACTTCCATCTCCACCTCCAAAGCCAGGTGTCGAGCCAACTATATTTAGATGGCCCGAAACTATGGCTTCACAACTCAAGCTTGCATGCGGATGTCTCAGCTCAAAAATCAGTCCAATGAAATTTTGAGCTCGCAGCCCCGCAACAGCTCGAACTGTTGAACGGAAACTATCAACAGTTTCCCGCAACAAATGATCTAGTCGATCGAGCTCAATTTCATAGAGCAAACGATCCGACAGATCTAGCTCGATTGACGAAAGCAAAAAGCTCGTCAAATCGAGCTCTATCCCATCGATTCCAGCTAATCGGATTCCTGTCGATCCGCGAAACCTTTTGGACTGCGAATCTTTCGAAAGATTCCAGGACCAAACAAACCTCGCATTCCGGCAAGCGAACTCAACGTTTAACCAAACAATGAGTTCGATTCCGGATATCGACAAAGTAATCAGGGAGACACAACGAACTCCCTTCTCATCCAGGATCACTAATACCTATCTGCGCGATACTTACAAGCTATGTATCCCAGAATACTCTGGTAACAGCGATCCACGAGCTTATATCCGAGCTCTTTATCTCGAAATTCTTCGAGCTCAATTTTTTCCTAAAGAGATAGCTGAAAACCTAGCCGGACCAGCTAAAAATTGGTTCGCAACGCTGGATGAAAATTCAATCGATACTTTCGACCAGCTCCTTTCGGTATTCATAAACCAATATTCGATCTTCATCGAACCAGAAGTTTCTGAAGCCGATCTCTGGACGCTTTCTCAAGCTCCAAACGAATCACTTCGATCTTACGTCAACAGATTCAAAGCAATCATCGCTAAGATCGAAAACCCTAACGAGGCAGTAGCTCTACTAGCCTTCCGAAACAACCTTGTGGTACAAATCGAAATTCAGAGAAGAACTAATCGTTCGACCTCCTGTTAACCTTTGCTACTCTCGAAGAGGAGATTACTCTCCTCCTAGAAAAATATCGCAAAGGAGAACTACCACAACATTCTATCTCATTGCGAGCTCAGTTCTCAAATCGAACTCGAGCTCCGAAGTCGAGAAATTCTGCAAAATACACAAAAAGCACGACCATTCCACCAAAGAATGTCGATCTTATGTTAAAAAGCAGAAAAGAAAGGCCAGGTTAGCTAAACGCAACAAGACCTCATCGAACGATAACGACAAAGCATCCCAAAAACGGGAACGCAAGGTCGGAATCAACCACCAAGAGTCACCTCTTTCTAAAAAGAAACGATCTGACTCGACCCAACACCTAGAGAGCTCAGCTCACGCAGCAGCTCAATGACCTTCGCGGTCACCCACCACCCGCACCAAAAAGATAGCGAGCTCTAGCTTACGCAGACCTCACAATCTCGGGGGAGTGGAGCGTCTTCTCAGACAGCTAACCAAAACCTCAACCCGAGTCCATAAACTTTGTGAACTCATGCCTACACATGATTCACAAGTTTTCGGGGGGAGTGGAGCCCCCCACCCCCAAATGAATTGCATTCATTCGCGGAGGCTCTAACAAATGCTTAGACTCAAACAACTCGATCAAAGCATACAAAAAGGTCAAATCTTCAGGACGAACTCTTCCTCCAGACGGATCCGACCCAAAGCTCGTGATGTTTAACTTGGACTATAGCTTAATAACAGCTATTCCGAATTAATACACGTCATGACAAACACAAAGAGCCCGGTGTTAGGTAGTCCGGAACTAGCTGGGTAGATCCCTACCTCATCACTGGTGTAGCTCGCAACAGCGTCTACAAGCTCACCAATCCAAAAAGGAATACATGGACTGAGTCATTTAAACGCAATGTACCTGAAACGGTACTTCGTTAAAACAATCTCATCCGAGGTATCTCCACCCCGCGAACTACGTCCAGGCTTGATCCTCCTTCCCTGGAGGTACGTAGGCAGCTCACCCATGAGTCCAGCCCCAATCAAATCCATTCCTAATATTCGAGACGACTTCAATGGCCAGCCCTTCAACAGGTTCGATTTGTATCATCTCAATATCAATACTTTTCTATTTTTCTTTTTACGAAATTGCTCGAACTCACCTTGCGAATCCTTAAGCGCCTCCTTAGACTCTTAAGCGTAATTAGATATATAGAAATAACCTGGTCCAGCCACGGAACAGAAAATCGCTTCCTTATTTCGCAGAAACCCATCAGAGTCAACCGCATCCAAGCATCCGGCATCAGTGTTACAGCCGAGTGCGAGTCGAACTCCTCAAGGCAGCTTGTAGTCTAACACGATATCGAGCTACTTTGACGGCACGTCCGAATCGCACTTGACCCGAACGTGAGCCGAGAGACCTCAGGCAGTTTGCATTATGATACGAAATCAAGCCGCTTCGACGGTCCCATCCGGACACGCTCGGAACACTATCCGTTGCGACAAGATCGTAGTCACTCCGCATGGTAAACCATCTCTCCCACAAAGCCGAATTAGGAACACCTCGTATCAACAACCGGGAAAACAACAAACTTTGGGCCCAGCTACCCAAAACAGCTAAAATTTCGAATTACTCCTAAGGACATCGAATACTTAGCAAAACGCCAGTAGAATCCGACTGAAGATCTGAAAGGTGATCAGCTCGACTCCGAGCTGTCCTCGAAGATTAAGCCCAAATGCTGATCGTATAGATCGATCTACGAAATCAAGCAACTGGCATCAATCAAATCCGATTGATAATCTTAAAGGGAATCAGCTCAACCCCGAGCAGTCTTCCTTTAAGCAACCTAAACCGGCTAAACATTCGAATTACTCCTAAGGACATCGAATACTTAGCAAAACGCCAGTCGAATCCGACTGAAGATCTGAAAGGTGATCAGCTCGACTCCGAGCTGTCCTCGAAGATTAAGCCCAAGTGCTGATCGTGTAGATCAATCTACGAAATCACACAACTGGCATCAATCAAATCCGATTGATAATCTTAAAGGAAATCAGCTCAACCCCGAGCAGTCTTTCTTTAAACAATCCAAACCAGCTAAACATTCGAATTACTCCTAAGAACATCGAATACTTAGCAAAACGCCAGTCGAATCCGACTGAAGATCCGAAAGGTCATCAGCTCGACTCCGAGCTGTCCTCGAAGATTAAGCCCAAGTGCTGATCGAGTAGATCAATCTACGAAATCACGCAACTGGCATCAGTCAAATCCGATTGATAATCTTAAAGGAAATCAGCTCGACCCCGAGCAGTCTTTCTTTAAACAATCCAAACCAGCTAAACATTCGAATTACTCCTAAGGACATCGAATACTTAGCAAAACGCCAGTCGAATCCGACTGAGATCTGAAAGGTGATCAGCTCGACGAGCTGTCCTCGAAGATTAAGTCCAAGTGCTGATCTGTAGACAATCTACGAATCACACAACTGGCAAAACTAGTCGAGCCCGACTAAACATCTGAAAGGTGATCAGCTCGATTCCGAGCAGTCCTTGAAGATCAAGTCCAAATGCTTACCATGTAGATCAATCTACTAATCCGCGCAATTGGCAAAACCCAGTCAAACCCGACTGAAAATTCAATAGGAGATTAGCTCACCTACGAGCAGTCTTTAACCATAAAGCTCCAGAGCTGATCATGTAGATCAATCTAAAATCACACAACTGGATCCAATCGAATCCGATTGATAATCTTAAAGGAAATCAGCTCGGCCCCGAGCAGTCTTTCTTCAATCAAGCCCAACTGCTGATCATGTTGATTAATCTACAAAATCACGCAATTGGCAAACACCGGTGAATCCGACTAAAAGTCTGATAGGAAATCACCTCGACTTAAAGAAATCTTTAAAGATGAAGCTCGAGTGCTGATTGTGTAGAACCACCTACTGAATTCAGACGATCATCTAAAATCAGTCGTTTTCAACCGACAAAGGTTAGCTCAACCCGACGCAACCTTCCAAGTTGAAGCTCAACACGTTAAAAGCTCGAGCTGGAATTCAAAAAGAAACTAGCTCAACTTTATACGATTCTCAAAGAGATCAACTGAGCTTCATCCGGTCCGACCAGTTAGCTTACACGCTAGGTCAAATCTCCAATCAAACCAAAACGACTAATGTTCGAACAATCGAGCTAACAGTCAATTGATCTGGAAAACAAAGATAAACTCTAAGACATCAAACGTCTAAGAAAAATTATCAAACACCAAGCTCATTCCGAGCAAACAAGTTTGAACATAAAAGGATAAAAGCCTTCCAGGCACCAAATCCAAAGGCAAAGCATAAAAACCTTGCTGGAGCTAACTTGTTCAAAACTTAAACGAGAATAGAGCTCATCCTTAGCAAGCCGCTTTGACGAGCTACTCTATCTCTCACATATTCGAGCTTAGTATCGAGCTCATCTACCACCTGTTTCATCTTATCAAGCTCATCTTGCCAAGACGCTTCATGTAACCTTTGTTCACAACGAGCAGAGAGCTTCATGTTCACCTTCAAAGCTTGATAAAGAAATCGCAAATATTAAGTCCGAAGATATCAAATCATCGGCAAAAACTTAGAAAAGGTAAAACCATACCTTCTCATCCGCCGCCATCGCTGCCGCATACAGCTCCCTCTCGAGCGTCATATCCAAAACTGGAGATTGATCTGCAGCAGGCCCGCATTGGCGCAACATGAATGTTCAAGGATTATCCAAAACTGGCACATCCTTCGAACAATCTATCATTACAAGGGATGACGGACTCGCCGTCGAGTTAACTCGCTTTTTCAAGGAGCTCGACAAATTCGGAGTACGATTATCATCTCTTGCTCATTTCGAGCTCCATCCTCATTGTTCGCTATTCGACCTCAACGAGATAGTTCGTCTCAAATGAGTCACTCGGGTATCATCCCCGATAGCAGCATGAAGAACCTGACCTACTACTTCATCACGAAGAGTATATTCAACCGCAACGTGGACAATCTCCACAACTCCATTAGCTCTAGATTGGATTGCTTGCTCACAACGAGTGGCAGCCGACTTTGCAGATCGTTCACAAAACGATAGCTCGCGAGAAATCTTCTCTCTTCCAAGAGGTGGGATACTCGAAGTCGGGCTCTAATCTGTAACAGATGGAACGCGGCGAAAAACAGTAACAAACAAAATTTTGTTGCTAAAAATGGATGAAAACCTACACAGGTGTTAAATCCGAAGCAAAACATATGACTTGCCCAAGTCACTACAGCGAAAAACTTTCTCTATCGCAGCATCGAGCTCGATTCGAAGTTCGCTCGGGACATATACCATCTTGTCAAGCTCGATTCTAAATAGATTCTTGCTTGATCCTATATGATCCTAAGAAATCAACTAAGTCTCACTTAGTCTGATTTGAATGGCAGTCAAGCACTCTGCCATATTCTCGAGCTAAAATTCGAGAACATCTCCGAGATCGAGCTAGATTCTCAACAGATTCTAACCTGACCTTAAGAATATCTTCAAAGATATTGACTAAGTCTTTGTTCAGCTTAGCTCAACGATAAGCTCGACCATTTGGTTGAAATAACATTCGAACCAAAGACTAAGTTTTATTTAGCTCGACCTAAATAAAACAAATACTTAGTCGAAATCATGCCAAGTAGGACTCGAAATTTCAAAAAGAAATCAGTTTAACTTGAAGCAACTTTCAGGAAGAGTTGGAAAAGTCTTTTCTGCTAGATTTCACGGTCAGCCGAAAATCTTATGCGAGAATTCAAGTCAAACAAACCGACTAAAATTCATTTGGTCGTATCCTTTTTCGAGTTCGAGTCGGAAAAACAGTCCGACTTAAAGCGACCAAGTTCGATTAAAGAATTTAATCAACAATTGGTCGAACTCGAAAAATAATCGATTAACTCAAAAAGAGCTCGCGCAATGTTTGAGTTAGTTAAACCAAAAGCCTTCTCGAGAAACAATCTAAAAGAGTTGATAATCGCAAATCTTCTCCTAAGGTTTTCATTACTCTCGAAAAGCTCGACTCTTAAGATCATAATAGCTCTTCGATCTATTTTCGATCTTGATTGTCGATCTAAAGAATAAGTTATTACCTTGTCTTTCAAGGTGAAACTATCATTCAACGGCAAGATCTCAAAGATCTCTCGCCTTCCCGTTTGCGACCGTCGATCTCTAATGACATTCAAAGTCATGATTTAGTTCGACGGGACTGCGGGACAATTTTTAAAACAACCTACCGCTCATTAAGTTCGATTATACCTCACTTAATGAGCTGGGGGGCTATTGTTGGACCTGGATTTCCCTCCAGAAATCCGGCCCATAAGGCCCATCACCTAAGTCCTAAGATCAAGATAAGTCCACTCAGGCCCAGTAAAGTGACCTCGAGCCCACCAAGTATCCTTGTCCAAAATCCAGCTGTTTACTGTCCGAGCTACTTGTGAAGACGAAGTCGAGCTCTAGCTCGACGGAGTCGAGTCCACAAGCTGAGTTTGAACGAGTCAAACGAGAATCTCGCTTCGACTGTTCAGATCCGGAAATAGCGGGATCGGTAGTTGCACGTGGACGAGATACGCGGAGGAGGTTGCGATCTACTTCGGAGCTATAAAAAGAGGACGATTCTTGATCACGGGACATGATTCCTTTCTCGAAAATCACAACACAAGTTCTTCTCATCATCTTTTCACAGAAAACAGAGTGAAGTTCTTCTTCTTCGTCTTGAGATATTCTCATATCTTTTCTCTTCGATCTTATCCTTGATCTTTGAGATAATCCCAGAAAGCCCTGATCTTTCTAGCCGGAAATCACTTCCGGCAGAAGTTCGACGTAATCTCTTACCTTCGGATCACTCCGATAACCTGAGATTTATCGTCATCTTCACACCCCTTTAGCTCTTTTCGTGGTCATTTCTCTTCAGAAAACGACTCGAAATAGAGAACAACTTACAATCGAACTACGTTCTGGCTTGATCCCTAAAACAGGGTACGTAGGCAGCTCGTTACACGAGCGCAGCCACCACCTAATTTCCATCTCTTTTGCTTAGTCGAATCCTAGTGTTTTACATGGTCTTTTAGGCCGGTTTTGTAACCACTTTATTCGATTAGCCTAAGTCCGATTTCGTCAAATATTTGTCTACGAATCATTCGACTTACATCAGAATCTAACCTCTGATTCCACAGGCAATTTCTCCCTACAAAATACACATAAATTTTGAGTGTGGTTTTCCGAACCCACAGTTGTTTTGTTTATATATTTTCTTTTATTTTTGCTAATTCGTTGTTAATTTCAACAAATGCTTTTTAGAGAGTTAACAAACAAACAAAAAAGAAAGCCCTAATTCTCTTTTCTCCCTCTCTCTCAAACCTCCGCCGCCAACACCTTCAACCTTTAATCTTCCTTCCTCTCCGGCGGCCAGCGCTCCTCGCCACCGCCAGGAGAGGCCCCTTCTCCCTTTCTTTCTCGTTTGATTCGGCTTCCTCTTTGTTTTGCTCGATTTTCAGCATAGAGGGTTTTGTGAGTTTGGATCGAGATCCGCGAGGTGGTCCTCCGTCTTCGTGGTTTGGGGATCTTAGTGGAGGTAGAGTGTGGCATTTCGGCTCCTCCTTCAGATGTGGTGCTCTGGTCTTTGCTCTGGGAGGTCGTGGCTGAAGTTTCCGTCAGATCTGAACGGTGTGGTGGTTCGGAGGCTTTGAGGACGAGTTTCCGCCGTCGATTTGTTCAAGGAGGTGGGGTTTTCGGCTGCTTTGATCTCGTCAGGGCAGCGACGGCGTGGTCTCCGGTGTACCGGAGAGTGGCTCATTCCGTCGTCTCTCTCGTTCCTTTCTCGCCGGCGGCTGTTGTTGGGCGGTGGTCGACAGTGGTGGGATCTCACAGTGACGACTGTGGTTTCTCTGCTCAGATTTGGCCTTCCGTGTGGCTCCTTTCAGCTTCTGCTGGTTCCTTTTGCTTCTCGGGTTCGTAGATTGGCTCAAGCTCTGATAGGGGATGACTCTGTTAAAGCTTAAAGCTTCCGAGGTGGTTCAATGTTGGATAGAGGCGGCAGCTCCGTTTTTCAGTCTCTACTCGCCCTGTGGAGACTATTCTTGTGGCTTCAAAGCTTGAGTTTGGTGGCTAGAGGCGGCTTCTCTAGCTGTCCGTAGAGGCTCCCGTGCCGTCAGTGGTGTAGTAGTTCGCTGATGCGGTTCTGTTTTGTGCTAGTCCTCGGAGAAGCTGCAGGTACCGCTACTAATGAGGTTTTGAGGACTGGCCTTGTGTGCGGTTGCTCACGGCAACAGCGATGGGGATTCCAGGTTTTAGGATCTGCGGCAAAAGCGCAATTTTCCAAGCTTTGGTTTGGAATCGGTGTTCCTCATTGGTAAGCTCTCGGTTGGTGCAAACATGTGTCTAACTTGTTGTAGTTAAGCCGTCTTTTAATCCTGTTTGTATCGTAGATTTCGGTCTTTCTGTCTTCTTAGTTTCTCTGTATTCTGTCACAAATCAAAAATTTGGTAATAAATCTTAACATTAAAACCAAAAAAAACAAATGCTTTTTATATTTGAACTAATTATAATTTTAGCAGTGTAAATATATATTTTATATAAAATTAAATTAAATTGAATTTACAAATTTCATAATTTATACATTCAAAGGAAGAAAAAAAATTACTTTACAAAACTAAAAGTTCATTACAAAACATAAACTAATCACATATGAATGAAAACCGTCAAACAGCTGAGCATTTGCAGCTTCTCGAACGAATCATTAATTTTACTCCAAACAATATTCATGTACTAAAGACGAAAAGGCAAAAAAATATCGTCCGTAAGTAGATTCTTGATTGGTCTATTACGTGATCAAACGAGCAAGTAGGACAAAATAAAATTGGACTGATCAGTAGAATCATCCTCACATCCTTTCTTAGTGGTGATATTCCCTTTTCACACTACAAACAAAAATATATCACTTCTCATCATCCTTTCTTTTTCCTACAAACGGGAAAGGTTGGAGCCGACAGGAAAATAAGAAACAATGATCGGAGTTCTCGGGGACTTGGATTTGCTTTTCAGTTTCTTCGAGAAGCAGTCTTCCAAGTTACTGTCGGTTGAGCTAATCTTTGAATCTGATTTCGGAACAAAACAAGTAAAGAAGGCCGTGAGGAGAAGCATGTTTGGACTTTCGAGTTGTAGAATTTTTGTGTCGAGTTTTAAAGTTAAATTTGAGCTACTAAATTGAATATCAGCTAATGTATTTATAGAGAATGAAGTAAGTTATTGAATCATTTTGGAGACGTCTCTTTGTTTGGATTGAGACATTTACCTTGTTAGCCAAGCTAAAAAGTCTTTTGACAAGTCTTTTGACAAGTCTTCGTATAACCTCAAGGTCTTTTGACTCTCCATGTATATTATTATTATTTAGCAAGAAGAGACTCCAAGGACCCACAATTAATTTATTAATATTTGGACCTGCTTTATATATGTGCCGGATCATGATTTCTGAAACAAATTTGTGATTTTTATATTAATAAAATAATTGTTATAAAGCTTATTGTTGGACCCAGATTCCACACCTGGAATCTAGCCCGTAAGGGCCCATTACCTTGATCCAAGATTGAAGTCCAGGCCCACTCAAGCCCAGCAAGAAGACCTCGAGCCCACCAAGCGACTCCCTCGTAGGCCAGTTAACTGCCATCCGAGCTATTCCGGTCGACGTAAAGACGAGCTCCAGCTCGATCAAGGACCAGGTCGGCACTGCGAAGAAAGACGAAGTCAAAGAAGATCTCCTTCAAATCCGGTCTGGTCCGAGATCACCGGGATCGTTAGCTGCACGTGGCGAGATACGCGGAGGTGGATCGTAGCTGATTCTGGAGCTATAAAAGGAGCTTGACAGCAGTCGGATCAAGGGACATCTTCTTCCGATCACTTTAGACCTAATTACTATCATACTTTCCTTGTATTCACCTTTGAGCTTAGTTCTTTCTCTCTTCTGAGAATTCATTGTAACCAAATTCATTCGTTTAATACAATTCCGTTTAGCCAAATCCTTGCTTACGATTCATTCGACTTACATCAAAATCTAGCCCTAAATCTCCCTAAGTTTCTTCCTTGCAAAACCTATAAATTTCGAGTGTGGTTTTCATAGCCCACACTTATGTGATGTTAAATTTGTTAATATATGGTATACCATGTTTTACAGAAAAAAAAGATTATTTAGTTATTCCAGTATGAATATAACGATAATCGTGTAGATTTTATCATTGAACTTATCGGTTTTATCATTGATAGAATGTAGTTTCAAAATTTGAAACCCTAGAGAACTAGTTTTGAAAATAAATATCCAAAATGTATCTAATTAAAATTTACTTTTACAAGAAATAAAAATAAAAAAATATTTTAAGGTGTTCATTTCAAAAACTATATATCTAGGGTTTCTCACGAGGTTCTCAAGAGTTCTTAAATGATGAGAACCAATTCTGCGACTAGTCACACACCTTTCTAACCATTTTCTAGTCACTTTCCAGTCAATTTTCAACCATCTTCTCACTAAGTACTATCTTTTTCTCTCTTTGCCTCCCTCGTTACTTAATTGCTCTCTAAATCCTTGGTTTCACTATGAATCAATCCATTTCTTTCAGACTCTTTGTCGCGTAAACAATATTCCCATGTTTTTTCTATTCATCATGTGGTCATAAGAGCGTCCTCGGAAAGCACTCCACCATCGTTTTTACTAGATTTTTCATCATTATTTATTTTATTTTTTTTAATTGAGACATTATCCCTAACTGAAAAAATCCATGAAACGTTAACGCTCAAACATAAACTTGTTTCTATCTTTGCATAGAAGATTGGAATTGACAAAGACAAAGTAAGGGTCAAAACCTTCATGAAGGAAAGGAAAGTTGAACAGTGCCCATGCATGGCTTGCTGTTGTGCACGTAAACATGACATGGTTGATAGATTCACCCTCCAAACCACACACCAGGTATATACTTCCACACATATCCATGTTCTTTTATTTTTTTTAGGGTCGTTTCAATGTGTAAGAGCTGTGACACGAAAGAGTTCGGTGTTCTTTAATTAGTTAACAACACAAGTATACACAACAAATAACTGTGGGTTCGGAAAACCACACTCAAAATTTATGTGTATTTTGTAGGGAGAAATTGCCTGTGGAATCAGAGGTTAGATTCTGATGTAAGTCGAATGATTCGTAGACAAATATTTGACGAAATCGGACTTAGGCTAATCGAATAAAGTGGTTACAAAACCGGCCTAAAAGACCATGTAAAACACTAGGATTCGACTAAGCAAAAGAGATGGAAATGAGGTGGTGGCTGCGCTCGTGTAACGAGCTGCCTACGTACCCTGTTTTAGGGATCAAGCCAGAACGTAGTTCGATTGTAAGTTGTTCTCTATTTCGAGTCGTTTTCTGAAGAGAAATGACCACGAAAAGAGCTAAAGGGGTGTGAAGATGACGATAAATCTCAGGTTATCGGAGTGATCCGAAGGTAAGAGATTACGTCGAACTTCTGCCGGAAGTGATTTCCGGCTAGAAAGATCAGGGCTTTCTGGGATTATCTCAAAGACCAAGGATAAGATCGAAGAGAAAAGGATGTAGAATATCTCAAGACAAAGAAGTGAGAAAGATGTTTTCTAGGAAAGGAACTTTTCATTCAGGAATTGATTCATGAGAAGGATAAAACTTATGCCTTGTGATCAAGAATCGTCCTCCTTTTATAGCTCCGAAGTAGATCGCAACCTCCTCCGCGTATCTCGTCCACGTGCAACTACCGATCCCGCTATTTCCGGATCTGAACGTCAAAGCGAGATTCTCGTTTGACCCGTTCAAACTCAGCTTGCGGACTTGACTCCGTCGAGCTAGAGCTCGACTTCGTCTTCACAAGTAGCTCGGACAGTAAACAGCTGGATTTTGGACAAGGATATTTGGCGGGCTCGAGGTCATTTTACTGGGCCTGAGTGGACTTATCTTGACCTTAGGACTTAGGTGATGGGCCTTATGGGCCGGATTTCTGGAGGGAAATCCAGGTCCAACAATAACCAGACTTGACAAAATACTCTAGAGCAATAGATAGTATAATGTAAAACTACCTACGCACAACTTGTAAAGCAAAGTTCTTAGTACTGGTAAAATCATATGTTGGTATATAAAAATTACAAACGATTGAAGGCCTTTTAACAAAAATAAAATAAAAATTACAACCGATTCTTCATTCGATTAAAATTCAACAATCTGACTATGCGCGGGGCTGTCCATCCAAAAGCCTCATTTGAAAGTTGTTCGTACCGTTTTCGGTTGTTCATCTAGTCTTCTAGATGATGCATCCAAATGTTTCATCTGATTGTCGTTTTGACTTCAGCTTAGCGACATATATTTTTCACATGGTGTCCCGTTTCGTAATAAAAAACAAAAATGACATACATGTGTTAATCTGATCTTGAAATAGAGGGTTCGAGAGATTTTCCACCTTGCGAGAGTTGGTGAGTCTGGAGATCTGGATATACCATATTCGAGATATAAAAAAAAAACATTGAGAATTTTTTTTACATTTTGTGAAACAAATATATGGGTGTTTAATTGGTTGGGAGATTTGGATATGGGTAATAGATTTGGGGGTTCCTGTCACATTTTCAGTTTTGCGATTTAAATTCTTTGGTTAAGATTTAATAATTTATTTAATTTGACAATTAGGTTTTCTTCACTTAATGCATATTTTGCCATTCACACCCCTTCAAGTCAGTGTGCTGGTTGAGATTCAAACCCAGGCAAGCCCTTAAGCACCAATCTTGTCGTATGGATATAAGAGATGGAAATGGAGAAGATTGAGATTCAAACGAAAACATTGGTAAGAAGTTCACAACATGCAGACTAACAATTAAAAATGAAAATCATTACAGAAAATGATAGATAAGAACTAGATCTTGGCTTCACTATCCGCTGAATCATTGATCTTTCTTCGCTTCACTTCTAATTCTTCAGAACTGGTTCCTTCACTAGACGTTTCAGAACTGGTTCCTTCACTAGACGATGAAAAATAATAATCATAATCAACTGGTTCAGGTGTCCTACATCTCATGCGAGGATAGGGAGGCTTTATTCCAGCAACAGCTTTCCCCTTTCTTGCACCAACAGCTTTCTTCGACTTCATTTTCAACTGTTTTGAACCGGTTGCTTCGGGCTGTTCAGGTGACTGAGCTCTTATGAGCAGTGCCTTGTACGGCTGCTTCTCCTGACGTGAAGCCAGACGTTGTGATCTTCTTGGTTCCTGAGGTTTATCACTCATTTGGTTTTAATGGAATTAACAACAAGAGGGTGCTAAATAGAGGATACATGAAGTGTCTTTGGAGGATTCTAGTGATTGACTATTTATATTACACCTTCTTGAGAACAATAGAGGTACATGAACTAGACTTACAAACATGGTTTAAACGTATATAGTATTAAAAATTTAAAACATAGAAAGATTTCATATAAATCTATAATTTAAGAAAATGGAAAACAATATTTCTATGTATATGTTGTATATTTGGTAAAGAAAATTGGGTATAACTTTTTCCGGTTAAGATCTTTAACAAAAAAAAAGAAGATCTTTTCCAACTGTGTTTTAGTTTTAATCATGCACAACACAGATTCATTTTAAAAATAAAGAGATTATGTATTTTATTGTGTCAATTACGTTTATATATATTTAATTGTTAGTTATTTTTTTGAAATTTTGTCTTTCTTATAATTAAAAAAAAAATCACAATATTCAATTTTAATCACACAAAATCAAGAAGATTTAATCGTATAACCAATGTATTCTTGCCTGAAAATACTATTATGTTATTGAAGTTAACAATGTTGGTAAGCATACAAGTGTTAGATTGAAAGTTATATAAGCTAAACTTTTGAGTTTTTTAGTTTAAACTATTAGTTAAAAACTCTCGATATTTAGAGTGTAAATGGCTACAACTCTGATAGTTTTTATGCGTTTTTCCAATTTGTTTGAAAACTGTAGGAACTAAAAAAACAATTGAATATGCCACAATGTATTTGACAGAATAAGACGCATAATCTTAAATGTTTAAAAAATATATATATTTACTTCCAAATAGTATAATTTTGCCATTTACCCAAAAAATAAGATTTTGCACTGTATATATGATTTTCTATGACCTGAAATTTTTTACTTTATATAAACGATTATTTTAACATAAACGAAGAAGTTATTACCATCCTTTAAAACCCTTACAATTTAGAGATAAAAACATTATAACTTAATTTGAGATTGTGGATAATGTCTACACAAAAGCGTGAATTCTCATTATATATATACTATTTGCGAAGCCAACATTTTCTTAATTATATATATATATATATAATTACAAGCTATATATATCGTTTATGCTACCAAATTTTATTTTAAATAGTTGTATAGGGCCGGGGTCTTGAGAACAGCCTCATGAAACATTCGTTTTGACCCTCAAATTTTAAGAGGTTAATATATGTAAATAGTTTGACTCCCAGGTTGTATATGATTTTGAGATCATTTACAAGCTATATATATCGTTTATGCTACCAAATTTTATTTTAAATAGTTGTATAGGGCCGGGGTCTTGAGAACAGCCTCATGAAACATCCCAAATTTCTCAAAAAACAAAAATTATGTATAATTATTTAGCTCTAAAACCGTAAAATGTTTCTAACCCCGTAAATTAATCTCAAGACGGCCCTTAACAACAGCTAATTTATTTAATAGTTCGCTTATCTTCCCCTTAGCAGTTCCCATCCAACCACAATTCCCATTCCAAATGCCATTTAGAGTAAAACTTGCTCTAACCTTACTCAATTTCAACTTCAAAATGGAACAGTGTCGTTTTTACTCCGAATATGGAATGACCCCATTTATAATTCCTCTATTTTAGAGTTGAACATTTTTTTTATTTACAAATGTTTCGGAGGAAGTTGGCAGTTATCAGGTACTATTGATTAGTTGACGACGTTATTCGCCTAATAACTTTGCTACAAACCTTGATGAGTAGTTGTCTTTTTAAAAGTTGGAAAACCGAACTTCAGTATAGTTTAATGCTCTCGAAAACATGGAAACCACTTTCAGCTGCAGTTATCTCTTACGTCGCCATTTATATATATATATATATATATATACATGAACTGCATAAAGAATTAAATTGTGAAATGTTCTGTGTTCATCCCCTGATTGCAAGTTTCTCACAAGTATATTTATTTTGTGAACTCAAATAAAACCAAAACACAAAGCAGAAATAAGGTATATTTATTTCTACTCAAAAGTTCAGAACAAAAACATATAAGAGGAATATTATAAAAGGTCCGAAAATTAAAAGAAACAACAAAAAAAAACATGTAAAATATTTTGGACTCTACAAGTCTAGTAACTGACAAAACAAAAAAATAACAACACCTGAAAATTTTGCTTTAGACAAAAGCAAACATCAACGGCCTGAGATTTTTTCTCGTCAGGTAAAATCAATCGATTTTGACAGATGAAAAGAGATAATGGACGAAGTAAAAGGAAGTGAGGAAGCCAATGGTTCCGGTAGCGAGCATGATTGCAATTGCCATAAGCAGAGAGTAACCAATGTAAAGCATAGCCGAGACCGGTCCACTCAAACTCTGCAGATCAAAGACCAAATAGTTGATGGAGTAAGCAAACACGTACAACGCCACTGAGCCAGACGCGTAGAACGCTTTCCACCACCATCTCCAATCTTCAACACATAGGTGCATATAGGTCAAGACCACGGAAACTTCCGCACACACCACAACCAGAAGAAGCAGAACAATGAGCAAGAACCCGAACACGTAGTAGAATCTCCCTAACCAAATGCTGGAGAAGATGAAGAAGAGCTCTATGAACAAGGTTCCAAAAGGAAGCGTTCCTGCTCCGAGGACGAGAAGCCACGACGGGTATTTCCGTTCTGGGATCTCCCTTGGGATCTGGTTGGTCCTCACTGGGAACTGGATTGCTTCTGCTTTCGTCCCCAAGAATCCTCCGAACAAGGTGAGAGGAACGGAGATGCAGAACCATAGAGCTATGAGCTCGAAGTACAGCGATATTGGGATCGCGCCAGTGCTGTTGCTGTGCCAGAGAAGGAAGTTGAGTACTGTTAGTATAACAAAAGCAATACCGGGGAAGAAACATGCGATGGACCATGAGAGTGATCTCCATCCTTCTGAAGTTCCCTTGACGGTTCTCCAGAGACGAACACCGGCGTACCCAGCAGCAATACCCAAGAACAGGTAGAGAATAATCATCCCTGTTAGCAACATTCCTCTTGAAGCAGGCGACATGAATCCAAGTGCTGCGAAAACAATCGTGACAACAGCCATTCCTGTGATACGAACACCGTCTCCCACCATAATGCATAGAAGCTTCGATAGCTCTGGTTCTCTGAACACATCTCCAACAACTAGCTTCCATCCAGAGAGCTCCTCGTTCATCTGCGCCTGTGCTTCCTTGTCAAGCTCCTCATACTTTGTCAAATCCCTTCTCACTGTCCTCAGGAATATGACGAAAACTATACCCGCGAGAAAGAAGATCACCATAAGCGAGTTGAGGATAGAGAACCAATGGACACGAGCACCTTCCATTTTCAAATACGCATCCCATCTCGACGGCCATCTTGTCTCACTCCTAACGAACTCAACCTCATAAGTGAAGGTTATCCTCTCATGCTCTTTAATGATCTGAGCTTTATCAAGCTCCAACGGACAGTTAACCGAAGGAACAGGGTCATACATGTGAAGCTTCGTCATTTTCTCAGCATCGTACTTCACACTACAGGGAACAACCTCAAACCCAACTATCTCATAACCAAGAGCCTTCTTTTTATCAGCTTCAGAGATCACACCCATACCTTCTTCACCAGTGCCAATCACCTCCATCACGTTCCCTTCATACTCATGGACCAAGACCTTAAACTTCAAATGGTTAATGATGTAATCATCATTGCTGTTAGGCGGTGAGTATCCAACAGGGTATCCAGTCCACTGGATGGTAACACCGTTCTGCTTGGCGAATCTCAAAGCCGGCAAGTTATCAAGAATCATATTCACTTGGTACAGCTCGCGAGTCCTCTGTTTCAAGAGCTTGACCTCATGCTCGTTCAAAGGGCTCGTGGTGCAGAGATAGAGAGACTCGTTCTTGTTCATCCGAAACCTGTAAGCAGAGTTATCAATCTGATCCCCCATGAGAAGCTCCCCAAGATTCTCAGCGCTCTTCTTAATGCCCTCGATCGGTTTGCAGTAGGGAAGACTGTAGAAACTGAAAGGAAGCTCGGTTTCAATAGACGTCAAGGAATTGACTTTGGCTAAGATTGGGTCTCCGTTTGAGTATGTATGCATATAACTCCCTGGCAAGTAGAACCCATTGCAAAGCTGACTAACAAACACCAGCAAGACGAAAACTCGGTACACACCAAACATTTTTTCCCTTTCCTGTATTGAAAACAAAAAACCTCTCTTGCGTTAATAATCTCTTTCAACAATGCTTGATTCAAAATCACCCAGAAACAAGTCAGTCTCATGAAATCGAAATGTTCGTGTGTATAGATCAAAGTCACCAAACACGATGCGTTGTAAACAGATTCAGAATTGATGTTAAGCAGATCGAAAGATCAAAAAGATGGAAACAGTTCGTCGAGTTTCAAATTGGGAAATCAGATCCCATCGGATCATAAACGGAAACTAAACTTCCAAAAGCTAATTGACAATTGGTATGAGTGAGAACGAAGATCGATGGAAATGTGTATACGAAATACCAAATCAAACGCCAAAATCAATACGATGCAATGAACAGATCTCAGAATTTTGAGAAATGAGAAAGAGCAAACCTGACGCAGATCCAGGTTCCGAGATCTTCAACGGAGTCAGATCCAGGGGTACGAGAAGGAGCTCTTGTTCTCTCTCTCTCGCACTCTCTTCCTCTTTCGTTATCTCTCTCTCTCTCTCTCTCTGTATAAGTCACGCTGCTAATCTCGCATTGCCTTGCTTAGTGCGTTCGCAAAGAGCGAATAACGAAAATCAAGAATATCGTGGGGTGGGGTAGTTATTCCCTGCAACGCAAATACATGTGTCGGTGATACGATTACCGTTCCTCACTTCATCTAAAGGTCAGAATCGTTTATTCCCCCATCAAGTTTAGACATGAAATTATTAGATTAGTGGTATATTTTGTTATTTAGCAAACGTGAAAAAAAAAAGGAAAATGAATGCGATTTTATTTCAATCAATTTTTTCTTATTTTTAATAAATAGTTATAATAATAATAATTTGTATGTCTTTTTCTTGGTAAATATAATAATATGTATATCTTTCTTTGGTAAGAAATTAATAATATGTATATGTAATCCCGGTAATTGTTTAATTGCAGATTTTCAGATGGTTATAGTTAATTTAATTAGTTACCGTATTAGTTTAAGACGTACTAGTCCATTGTATAGAATATTAGAAAGTACCAAAACTAGTCTGTTGTGGATGATAAAATGTCTTTGTGGATCTTAGTGAAAAAAATAAACAAAGTGAGAAGTTGGGAAGAAGAGGATCGTGGAGATTTGAATGCAATTGTTTTCAATTTTTAATATGTTGGATCGCGTAGCAGAGTCATAACTCATTTGTTAAAATAGAAACTAAGGGAATTAAATGATGTTTGAATGTTACTCATCAACAACTAAGGGAATTAAAAAAATATAAGCTCTTTGTTGTTGATGAGTAACTTTCAACCGATGGAATCGGACCGATATTTTATTTGATTGTTGAAAGAAGAGCGGTCTAATAATGTTAAGGCAATCAATAATCAAGGTGAAACAAAAACCGGTGAGATGATAGCAAAGCTGATCATAGATTTCATAAAAGATCGGACATGAGAATGTGGTCAAGATAATCACTATAATACATTAATGTGGTGCAGTGATTTCAACCAAATTTTTAGTTATCTTTTGGACACCGTATGTGGTTCACACCTTAAACTTTGCTTTGAAGAACGCACTATTACTGAGCATTAAAAACAATGAAAATATGTTTGAATGGTGTGTTATTGGATAAAGTTGATTGAGAATTGTAATCTTAAGATCTTTACAATTGCTTTTACAAAGTTTCTTATCTATCTTGTTAACTTTTAATATTACGTTAGAATATATGAAGTTTAAGATCATTAAATTTATTTTCAATGGTTTGTGTTCAATAGTTTAAGAAACTTTCCCCTTGGCATTCCAGCCTTCAAAACAAATGAAGTTGACACCAACAGGATGATTTCAAAGGGCTTTGAAAGCATCTTGGAGGATAGGGTACTTTGGTACTTTGGTACTCTTGTAATTGTTATATACTCTTCACCAGCAACTGGCGGACGGTTTTGAGAACAGTCGAAGTCACTCTCATTAGTGGTTTCCCTTGGGATTTCATTTCTCCAGTAAACCTTAACACGAGATTGCTATAAGGATAGCACCAATGATTCTTACCTCTCTTTTTTCTTCTAAACACAACCTTTTCAAGAGCTGCATTATTTCCGACGAGGTGTCACGGACTTAAAAGCTTATATTCGTGGTCCAACTTATATATTACCCTGTGGGCACTAACCAGATCTGACGAAGAATGAGCCCAACAACTAAAATGTTGTCACTGGTCTCTAACAGGACTTGCAGGCTTTTTATAATTCTTTCTCTTCAAAATGTACCGTTTTTGTTCAGTGACACAAAAATTGGTGAGATGACTGCAGTCATAGATTTCCAAAGGGAGGTAGGACATGAGAATGTGGTCAAGATAATCACTATAATGCTTACAATGCTTTGAATTTTGTAAAAGCTGGTGTGGTGATTTCAACCAAGTTTCTTATTATCTTTTGGACATCATATGTGGTTCACACCTTGAACTTTGCTTTGAAGAACACATGTGCACTATTACTGAGCATAAAATAATGAAAATGTCTGTGAATGGTGTTATTGGATAAAGTCTATTGAGCATTGTAATCTTAAGCTATTTACAATTGCTTTTTACAAAGTTTCTTATCTATCTTGTTAACTTTTAATATTACGTAAGATTAAGAATATATGAAGTTTAAGATCATTAAATTTATTTTCAATGGTTTACCTCCACAGTTGTGATGTTGAAGAGATACAAATAAATAAAAATCTGATTGCAACAAATGGGATGATAATAAGAAGGTGGTGTGAAGAGAGCATTAACAGTGAAACAAAAAAGAAAATATTATTTGAGCTTTTTGACCAGAAACCACGCAACTTGTCTCGGGTATTTTTGCCTAATAGTTTTGTCATCGTTCAGAAACAAAGCAACGTTATCGCTCATGTTTTGTTAGGCAACAGTTAGGCCATTCTCATGCCTAATCAGCGAAACCAAGTCAACGTTGCGTTTTAAAACCCAATTCAGTTTCTTTTGTTACTACATGTCCAAGGAATCATTATTGCAAGTTTCCGAATTCGTATTTCATTAAGTTTTAATATAAAAGCTAACGTGAGGGAGAAACAAGACTGAAGATTGGTGAGTTGGCTGTGAAGTGAACTTAATTAAGAGGTCAAGACAGCGAAGATGATCAAATCTCAAGAATTGTTTTTCTTGGTCGTCTTCCCCAAATTCTTTATTTATTCAACAATCAATTTAGCAAGTAGCCGTATTATCTATAAATCATCGACTCATCGTCATCTGCGGATCAAAACCTTTAACAAAACTGATTATTCAAAGACCATTCCTCCAAGATTCGTGTATGAATTTTTCTTTTCTGTCATACAACTTATGATCTTCTTAATTTCGCCACATCCAAAAATTCGTTATGCATGGACCAGCATGGTAAATATATTTGATTTTTTTGTCTCTTCTTGTAGGTGACTGTATCGGATTTTGATGGGGGAATCTTGTGCTAATTCGAATAGAGTTAAGCTCCGGGATGGGAGACTATTAGCATATAGAGAAGGAGGAGTTCCAAAGAAGGAAGCCAAATTCAAGATCATTCTTGTTCATGGCTTTCGAAGCTCCAAAAATTTGGAATTCTCTGCCTCCAAAGTAAAAATATGATCTTAGTTTTTCTTTCTACGTGATAATAAAAGGAAAAAAGCAAAAAACAAAAAATTCTCACTAGGGTTTAGTATTTTCAGGAGCTGATAGAAGAGCTTGGAGTGTATATTTTATTCTACGACCGTTGTGGATATGGAGAATCGGATAAAAACTCGAAACGTTCGGTGAAAAGCGAAGTCGATGACATTGCAGAACTTGCGGATCAGTTGGAGATAGGACCCAAGTTTTACCTAATTGGGAGTTCCATGGGATCTTACCCTACTTGGGGTTGCCTTAAACACATACCTCACAGGCAATTAGAAGCATAAGTAGAAATAAATGCTAAAATAAAATAAGCAAGTTGTGAACAAAACTGTTGACTATTGTGTCTTGTCTAATTTGCAGGCTATCCGGCGTGGCTTTTGTTGCTCCGACGGTTAATTATCTGTGGCCGTCAATTCCTGAGAAGCTTATAAAGAATGATTACAGGAGAGTTCTTATCAAATGGTGTTTGTGGATGTCGAAACATGAACACGGACTGTTAAATTTGTGGTTTATTCAAAAGCTTTGCCTAGCTGCCATTTCGGTCATTGCAAGCATTCCGGTCAACTTCAATACCCGCGACACCGAGTCACACAAGGTAACAATCGATAATCACATGCTTAATAAGCTCAGTCCTTAATTTTTTTTTTTTTTTTTTTTTAATCTACAACTTGTAACCATGCATGGAATGAATTGTGACTTGACTTGACTTGACTTGACTTGCAGGACAAGTTACGTGAAAGAAATGATTTGGATACTATAAGGGGCGATTTCGTGACCTGTTTCGGGCAATGGGATTTCGAGCCAGCGGATCTAAGCATTAGTCAAGAGAGCTGTGTTCAAATCTGGCATGGCAAGGAAGACAATGTAGTTCCGGTTCAGCTTCAAAGATGCATTCTGGAGAAGCAACCTTTGATCAGCTACTACGAAATCCCTGGAGGCGGACATAAGATCATGGAGTATGATGGTATATGCGATGTGATCCTACGCGCGCTATTGCTAGGGGAAGAACAAAATCTGTATAAACCACTTCTTTAACTCACGTTTGATGAGTTCACTTACAAAAACAATATTTTTGGGGTTTTTAAGATGTTGCTCTTGTTCTTGTTGTTTTTATGTTCCTTATTGTGGTCTTTTTTAAAGTTTGTTTATCAATGTGATTGTCCGCGCAAGTGTAAATAATTTTTTTAAAAAATAATTGTTGATTCTTTATAAACGAAATCAATCATGATTCAACATTATTCAATTCATTTTCTTTTTGTTTTTTTTGTCGACATAAGTAAAATTATTCAATTCAATTGATTTCTAATACTATAGTTTTATAAAACTGAAACAGTTTAATTCGCTTTGGTATATACCTTGCATAATTTCTGCATCTTTGTCTTTTTGTCAGAGTTAGTGTTGTTGTTTACTACATGCTTATGAATGACAAAATGGATAGGTAATCACCTATGCATGGACAAAATGCAAACACAAATGTAATAAATCAGTCAAAATAATTATGATTTATGATTATTGCAGTGTTTTTATATAATTCATCGATTTTACCCTAATATGTATAAATTAACAATTTTCATAACGAATCTTTAATTACATATGTGAAATTTGCAAGAAGAAAAAAAGGAAAAAAATTAAAATGAATTTAAGTTTTCTGTAAAATTTGTTGGTTAATTAGTTTGAGGAAAATTTTCCACCAATTTACTCTCAAAGAACAGATTTTCCACCAATTTACTCTCAAAGGCTAACCATTCAGACCCTTGATTAAAACTTGAAGGAAAAAAATATGGCTTAGTTAATAATATGATTTTTTCATACTGGCAATAACATATTGATAATAATATGGTTACTTGTAAAGTCGTTTGGACTTGGAGTTGAGTTAAGCAAATGGCAATTTGCAAAAACAGAAAGGAAGTTACGGTATCGCTCATGTTTTGTTAGGCAACAATAGGAATCTTGTCAGATTATGCCAACAACAAGGTCATTTCCGGTTATTGATTCTCATGCCCAACCAGCGGAACCAAGTTACGTTACGTTTTAAAACCCAATTCAGTTTCTTTGTTACTAACATGTCCAAGGAATCATTATGGCAAGTTTCCGAAATCGTATTTCATTAATTTTTTTATTTAAAACTAACTTGAGGGAGAAACAAGAGTGAAGATTGGTGAGTTGGCACTAGGCAGTGAAGTGAACTTAATTAAGGGGTCAAGACAGCGAAAAGGATCAAATCTCAAGAATTGTTTTGCTTGGTCTCTTCTTCCACAAATTCTTTATTTATTCAACATTCAATTCAGCAAGTAGCCCTATTCTCTATAAATCATCGTCATCTGCTGCAGATAATGATCAGACCTTTAACGAAACTGATTTTTCAAAAACTGTTTTCGTATTCCTCCATTCCTCCAAGATTCTGGTATGCATTTTTTTTTTTTTTTCATACAATTTGTGATCTTCTTGGGTTCGCGACATAAAAAAAAAAACGTTTTGCATGGTAAATATATCCGATTTTTTGTTGTCTCTTCTTGTAGGTGATTGTATCGGATTTTGATGGAGAAATCTTGTGCAACTTCGAATCGAGTTAAGCTTCGGGATGGGAGACTATTAGCTTATAGAGAGGAAGGAGTTCCAAGGGAGGAAGCCAAATACAAGATCATTCATGTTCATGGCTTTGGAAGCTCCAAATATTCTGAATTCTCTGCCTCCAAAGTAAAAATATGCTCTTAGTTTTTTTTTCAAGGTTGTTTAATTGTGATGATAAAAGGAAAAACAAAAAACAAAAAAGTCTCACTGGGGTTCAGTATTTCAGGAGCTGGTAAAAGAGCTTGGAGTGTATATTTTATTCTACGACCGTTGTGGATATGGAGAATCGGATTCAAACGCAAAACGTTCGATGAAAAGCGAAGTCGATGACATAGAAGAACTTGCGGATCAGTTGGAGATGGGACCCAAGTTTTACCTAATTGGGAGTTCCATGGGATCTTACCCTACTTGGGGTTGCCTTAACCACATACCTCACAGGCAATTTGAAGCAAAAGTAGAAATAAATGCTAATTCAAATAAGCAAGTTGTGAACAAAACTATTGACTCTTGTGTCTTGTTTAATTTGCAGGCTATCCGGAGTGGCTTTTGTTGCCCCGGCGGTGAATTACCTATGGCCGTCGATTCCTGAGAAGCTTATAAAGAATGATTACAGGAGAGTTCTTATCAAGTGGTGTTTGTGGATATCGAAACATGATCACGGAATGTTAGATTGGTGGGTTATTCAGAAGCTCTTCCTAGCTGCCTTCTTGGTCATTGCAAGCATTCAGGTCTACTTGAATAGCCACGACAATGAGGCACACAAGCGAACAAGCCATATTACCATGCTTAACAAGGTTAGTCCTTAATTTAGTTTTTGTTTCATGTAACCATGCATGGAATCAATTGTGACTTGCCTTGTAGGACAAGGTACCGGAAAGAAATGATTTGGATACTTTAAGGGGGGATTTGGCGACCTGTTACGGGCAATGGGATTTCGATCCCGCGGATCTAAGCATTAGTCAAGAGAGCTGTGTTCAAATCTGGCGTGGCAAGAAAGAAAATGTAGTTCCTGTTCAGCTTCAAAGATGGATTATGGAGAAGCATCCTTTGATCAGCTACTACGAAATCCCTGGAGGCGGACATAAGATCAAGGACTACGATGGCATATGCGATTTGATCCTACGCGCGCTATTGCTAGGGGAAGAACAAAATCTGTATAAACCACTTCTTTAACTCACGTTTGATATGAATTCACTTACAAAAACATTTGATTTTGTTTTTGGGGTTTTTAAGATGTTGCTCTTGCTCTTGTTGTTTTTATGTTCCGTATTGTTGTATTTTTTTTAAGTTTTGTTTATCAATGTGATTGTTAAATAATCTCTTAAAATTAAAATTTTAGTTAACTCTTTAGAAACGAAATCAATCATGATTTAAAACATTATTCAATTCATTTTACATAATTCATTTTATTTTAGGGGTAAGTCAATCAGAAACTGTCATCAACGCTCGTATCCGCCGAGATTTCGAAGCACGACCTTGCCGAGAACGAAAGAGATGAGTTACTTAGTCGATGAGATTGCGCCGATTCTGGAAGAGAATGCGGCCGAGACTCGTCGTATGTTGGTGGAGTATTGGGCTCATGTGGCGAAAACCGAGGTGTTTCTTTCATCTTCTTACCTTTTTTTTATCGCTTTTAGGGTTATGTAAATTTCTGGCTGATTATTTGGGTAATCTGTCTTAGGGTTTCGATTTGGAGGATATGCCGCCAGTAAAGTGGCCTTATAATAATGGATTTTACAATGGTGGATTAATGGCAAGTCACTGTGATAAGAAGACTCCTTGTTCGGGCTTAGTCATCCTTTACGCTAGGCTCGGGCTTCATCGTTACCATTTTCTGCAGGTGAAATTGATTTTTTTTTTTCTTTGAAGTATCAATTAAAGTTTTGTTATTTATGTGTCAACGCCAGGGGAAAAACATGCAGCTGAGCTTCGTGAAGAAATTCAATTATGATGCAGGTAGTGCTGCTTCCTGTTACTACATCACTTTGGTTGCAAAGGATCCAGATGAATGTAAGGATCAGAATTTTCAAACTAGTGTGGACGAAGATCGTTTTGGCAAATTCGATTTGGCATCCTATATTGCTAGACCTCTAGGTAATCTTGTTCTGCATTGTTGCTTTGTACACAAGTTTCCTTGTTTGTATCTCTCTTACTTGCTTGCTTGGTTTTAATATTGTATTAGGAACCAAGGACCCATTCGTAGGTTGCGATCACGGAGCAGTACTTGATGATTTCTACCTAGGTAGTTTGCCTGAGTTACCGCCAGGGAATGATTTCAGTGACAGGAACCGATTCTACATAGTAAGATTCAGAAACACATCTCTTTGTGGCTTTAGTTTTGCTTTGCTTTGCTCTGCTCATGACCAAGTAGTGATGAAATGTTTTTGTAGGTGAAGGAATCAGAGTTGCAAGTCCATGATTGGATTCGTCTATACTTGGAACTTGCAGTTGCCACAACTGATAGGAGCACTGTCAATGTATGTTCGTTTGGCTTCTTTATTTCGTTTTATTAATGAGTGGAACACTGTTGGTGATAATGAAACGTTGGTTGTTTACTTACTGTTTGTTTTGCAGCATGATCTGTCCGACTTGAAGATTCTGGAAGTTGCCGTAGAAACTAAGGAAGATGTGAAGCCCTCAAAGGAAAGACTCAACGCCAAAAATGCAGTCTTTTACATAAGTTACAAGGGCAAGCCTCGTAATGGCAACCCTGCTAATTGCATAGCTATAGTTAGGAGAACATTTGATGAGCGTGAGGGCTGCTTAAATCTTGTTGGTAAGATTCAGAGTTCAGAAATCACACCAAAAAGGGCAAAAAGAGCAAAAAGGGCAAGTAAATGTTGAAAGGATGGTGTTAAACTTGAAATGAAGAAAACTCTTAAAAAATAGCTGTTGTGCTCCAGGATTATGCACATATTTTTCATGTTCTTGAAATGAAGATGACTGTTAAAGTATATCCGACTTCTGCAGAATGGTGGACCGTCCATCATTATTAAAAATAGTTTACCTCTGCAAAGTCACTATGCCCAAATTTAAGTCCTCCTTGTTTCTCCTTGAATCATTTCTTCCCATTTATGTAGTTAATTTAACAACTAGCTTGTTTTCTTAGTTCGATTTCTTTGTATTGTACAATTCATAGATATAACAACTAAATTACTAACGTGGACTTATATAGCTTTTAAAATCCTAATCAGATCACTACATTCCCGTTCACTCGATTAAGAAATTGAACAACGCCTCTAAAATACTGTTCAACATACAACAGAACATGCAAAAACTAAACTTAGCAGCAAAAGTTAAACTATGAGTCTCATCTCACGCACCATAGGTACCTCCAAAAGTTTTCTTCTCCCATTTTTCTATCTAAGAGTTGCAACAACATAATCAATTAACTGTTACACGCATGGAAACATAGTACTAACCAAATATAAAATGACTAAATAGACAAACCTTTAATTCTGTTTTCTTGTGCGTCTTCAAACTATTAGGCAGTAGAACTCAGTATGCAGATAATGGGGCTTTAAGTCAAATGCAAGGTCAGGAAATTCCAGTTTCACGGACTGTGTGACACCAATTAAGGTGATCATCACTTCCAATGATACATTTATGTATCCATCGTCTCCAACATTTTTCTCTTCAAAAAATTTGGTCTCTTCTACAAAATGCAGATGGCAAAGAGTTAAAGACCTTCATTCGACAGCCTGCACAACCTGTAGAAGTGATAAGTCTAAAATGTACCGTTTTTGTTCCGTGAGACAATAATCGGTGAGATGACAGCAGTTATAGATTTCATAAAAGAGGTCGGACATGAGAATGTGGTTGAGATAATCACTATAATGCTTTGATTTTGTAAAAGCTGGTGCAATGATTTCAACCAAGTTTCTTATTATCTTTTGGAGACCATATGTGGTTTACACCTTGAACTTTGCTTTGAAAAACACATGTGCACTATTACTGAGCATAAAAAACAATGAAAATGTGTGTGAATGGTGTTATTGGATAAAGTCTATTGAGCATTGTAATCTTTAAGCTCTTTAATTTACAATTGCTTTACAAAGTTTCTTATCTATCTTGTTAACTTTTAATATTACGTAAGAATATATGAAGTTTAAGATCATTAAATTTATTTTCAATGGTTTACCTCCACAGTTGTGATGTTAGGGAGATACAAACAAATAAAAATCGGATTGCAACAAATGAGATGATAACAAAAACCCCATAAAGTACACCACGCTAAATTCAGTGCGTGAACTCATTTTGAGTTTAACAAAAAAAATTCACTCTAGAAAATTCCATAAAAATACACTAACTAAAATTCTAAGCTACCGAACAAAAAAAAGTTGAACTTTGCATCTCATTTTACTACAAAAGGTTGAATTATGAATCTCTTATGCAGGTGCTACTGGCTTATTTAGTCTTCATCACAGCCCCAATACCAATAGCTAAAGGAACTTTGAAGCTTGTGTTGATTCTTGTGAACAGCTTCTCATTTGGTGTCATGTGATTTGTGCATCTACTATCAATTTTTGTTTTTTTTTTTTTAATTGTAGTACTTTCATAATCAACACTTGGACGGATCCAGTCACTTCCCTCAGTAGAAACTAATTTGTTCATTCAATTCCAAAGCAAGATCACAAGTGTTCTGGTCAAAACCAAACAAGAATTTGATATCCAAATGCTAGAGCTAGAGCAACATATAGACAGACAAGCTATGAGAAGAAGGAGATCATGAGATTCTTCGTTTCCTCGAAACGGCTGTTCTGTTTGATGAGACCTTAGCAACAACAGATAAGCCTTGCTTGTGTGCTTCAACCATTGAATACACCTGCACTCCATCAACATTTTACTTACTTTTAACCAAAGAGTTCTCAAATCAAACAATCATGAATCTTCTTTAAATCAAAACCTACGTAAATATTTGTCTATTTCAAAACTTGTTCCTTCTCAACAATCACATCCAAGGATCTGAAAGGAAAAGTAAATACCTTTCTAACAGCCGATGTCAGTCCCATGGTAGAAAGAACATCACTGTCCACACACTTCCATGTCAGATTCTCCTTCGCCTCATCTTTGAACAGATCATCATCTGTATCACCTTCTATGACACAGAGAAGAAACAAGAAAGTAACTTCTTATCTATGTCTATGGAAACGAGAGACCAACCAAGAAAGAAAGAGACAGATAAGGCTCAAACCTGTAAGCTGTAAGACTAATAGCTCCACATATATTTTCCGACGTATGTGTGTGAAGATGTGAACAAACTCTCCAAGCTCTTTTCTTGAAACTACAGTGCATGTTTTCTTGGGTTCTACATGAAACGTTTCCTTAAGGTAGACATCGATCGCGTCCCTCCTCGTTTCGGAATCAGCTTCCTCATCCAATATAACAGATGGGAACTCCCAAAGACCAGCAAGAAGACCCTCTTCAGGTCTCTTTAGAAGAACAAATCTCCCTCCTGATTGGTTCCTCTCCTGATTCAGTATCTCCAAAACACACACGCAACAGAAGTCGCTCCTCGGCTTGGCCTTGACTACTTTTGTAGGATAATCTGTCACAGGATTGGTTTCGTTTTCCTGGAAAAGCGAATATGCACGGCATTGGCTTGAAACAGGACAAGAAGAGCAACTTGGCTTTGACACACTGCATAGAGTCGCACCAAGCTCCATTAAAGACTGGTTGAAATCTCCAGGACGTGAAGGATCCACTAGCTGCGCAGCTAGTTTCCTGAAAGAAAAAAGTTACCAATTGTTTTGTTTATCCTCTCTACTTGTTATTATCTGAGCAGATGCAAAATGTTTGTTCTCACCAGAAGTTCTTTATGGTAAGACGGTCTTTCGGATTAGCTGAGATTGCTTTGAGTCTGGCAAGCACTCTTATCACGTTTCCATCAACAACAGGTACCACCTGGAAAACAGAATCAAGTAATGGTTACTTGAATGTCTTACATCTATGAATTGAAGAATGAAACTGACTCACCTCATTGAAAGCAATAGAGGCAATTGCTCCGGCTGTGTACTCTCCTATTCCTTTAACTTTCATCAAGCTAGACGCTTGATTTGGAAAACCATCCTTCCCTTCAACAACCATCTTTGCTCCCTAGGAGAATCAGAACAAGAACGAGTGGATTTAATACGGTTATCAATGGAAGTATCAACTTGTTGTCATTGCAGAGTGTTATTCACCTCTAAAAGAAAACGTGCCCGCCGATAGTACCCCAAACCTGCCCACATTTCGTTTACCTCCTGCAGAGCAAAGTACTAAATTTGTTTAGTAGCAATAAAATCAAGAACTTTCTCATTACCCTAAGAAAGAAAATCCAAATGGTACTCTATTCACTAGTAATGATAGGCAAATGCAGAATAATACCAAAACTATTTAGCCTTTACCATTCGCTTCACCGAAAACAATGACAAACAAGCAACCGCAAAACACAAGTAAACACAACTTGTTACTATACAGTCCTCACATAGTAACAATGAAAATTCCATCCACTCTTTACAAAGGAACCAATTTGGCAAAACAATGACAACCACACATACAACCAATAAAAGAAAGCTATTTCATCATCCACCAATGGTACGAAAATGCACAGCAAAACGAAAAAGACTCAGCCTTTACTTCAAACGGGACATCTGAAGCATATCAAAGTTGACATTTTTAGGGTTTATGCTCAATTTCTCATATAGCAGCCTTGAAAACACAAAGGACCCCATTTGCAGAAGCGAGCAACCACATAAGCTAAGAAAAGAAACCTCTTTTCTCATCTAATTGATTCTCCACCCAAATTGAAATTAGAAAGAATCACCTCAAGGGAAGCTTGAGCAAGGTCGTAAATGGTGGGCCATTTATGCATCCAACGTTTATAATACTCCATCACAGTCTGAACCCTAGTTTGCTGCAGCATAATCTCCGATACCCAAACCTCATAAGCTCTTTTCTCCTTCTCATCTTCACTATATCTCTTCCTCCATGGAAGATCTCGCTGATTCTCATCGTACCAGTCAAGCAAAGAGACTCTGATTTTATGGGTTTCCTTTTCGCTGAAGAGATCCTCCATATCAGTGGCTTCTTTATCTTCTACTGCTTTCTGTCGACACTTTCTCATGAGTTTCTCGCGAGGCACGGAAGGATGCGACATTGATTTGCTCTTGAAGCTCGAAGCTTTGCAGTGTAAACTTAGAATGGTCTTTGGATTTTGTCTCTTTGAAGCGACCGTTGATCTTTCAAATGTAGGGTTTGTTAGACGCACGCGAAGAAGAAGAAGAGCCATTCAAATTAGGAGGGATCGAGGAGACTATATCGACACATTCATATAATTTGAGACGAAATTAGAGAGTTTGACATTTAATGGGGATTACTATGAAATAAAACCTAACTTTTCATGTAAAATGCAACTTTAAAAAGGACTCATTTACGAAAATAGGCATAGTTAGGTTTAATTCGGTTGGATTTTTTTAGATTAAAAACATATGTATACCACACATTCTTAAAAATACCACAAAAGTAAGTTTATAGTCCACATAATACCAGCTAGTTTTGTCTTTCATCTGTAGCATAAAAATTGTTTGTTTTCAAAAATATTTTTTTTTAACCAAACCAAGCTGTCACTTTTTATGTGATAGATAGAGTAATCAAAATACTTAAAAATGGAAAGAAAATGAGTTGGCAAGACAAGTGACCTCGTGGGACCTTGGATTTTACTTCTTGGTGAGTCTAAATTTATATGCCAACAGTTTTAAAAAACTAACCAGGTTTAAGATTTATTTTAGATAATACTAATAAACCTCAAACATAAAATAACCCTTTCCCATAAAAGAAAACAAAAAGAACATAGACAGGAAAAAAAAACCGAATGTGATCCTGCTATTTCCTAAAATGTATGTACATATTTTCTCAAGTAACGTAGATTGTAGAATTTTCCAATGCTTGAGAACAATGCAGGGAACCAAAAAAAAACATCTGTTATCTATACAATCTTTCCCTATCTATTGCCTTCCATGATCGTCCAGATTAGAGCTACAACTACTGCTTAGACCCTCGCCTACCTGCAATGTAGCAATCCACAAAAGTAAGAAACTCAAATCATCCAAAAACATATCAAGCATCAAGAGACCATGGCGCTTAGAAACAGGGAACAAGCAAGACAAGAAACTTTAGTTGTAATGGATTATTTTTTAGATGAATATCATACTTGTATATCTGGTCCTGCACAATTGATTCCTTTCAGGTTGAGCTTTTTCGATATAGGGAGCAATCAATGTATCCAATTTCACCAGCCAGAGAGCAACCGCAGAAGTTGTTTGAGGCAAAGAAGGGAAGCAACTTATAATTTCTCCCATTGTAGCATTACCATGCTCTTCATCATCAGAGTGCCATAACCAAACTTCACTAATCGCCCCAACAAAGTCCCCAATCACCTTCAGATATTACACACATCATGTTTTATCATTAAGATGCACTTAAAGAGATCAGTCAGACTAAAGAGAGAAGCTTGTATACTAGATTGAAAACCTGTATAAGTTCAGACAATGTTGAGCTTCGCCGTAGTCTTTTCGCCCATAACCTATGAGCTGACTTTCTCCATGCACCAATCAAGGCATCTTCAGGCATAGCAGACTGCAAATCGTTACAACACAACCAAAAAGGAGGCATCTGTTAATAAACTTGACGAACACCGCTAAATGGTAAAGCAAATGACTATTGACAGACCTCAATGGCATAAACTGCAGCCTTTAGTGATTGCAACTGGGAAGATAGAACTCTATGATCTGGAAATGCATCACTCTCTTCTTTCTCCCTGCACGTTGCCGCATGAATCGCATATCTTTCTTCAAGATCTATGCCAAGCTCAAACGTAGCATGGCAAATCTTACAGTGCTTCTCATCTCTCCAATACAAATCATGACAACTCTTACACCTGTTAAGTGAATCAAGGTAGGATCTTCGGCTGTGTTTAACAGCACTGAGATTAAAATTAAAATTAGCCCATATCCATTCATCAAACTCCTGAAGAAGGGTCCACCACAATTGGCTTTTCTCCCGCTTACTTCCAATCTCAAATACTATCGCCGCACGTTGCGTGGAGAATCGATCATTGGCAATCTCATTCGAACATAGGTTGTTGTCTATATCAGAAACCGGTGAAGAACTGTCCTCTCTGACTATATCTGTGAAACGATCTGTCTCCGACTGTGTCATCTGTCTACTCAACATGGCTTCACAAAGAAAACTTTCCCGTTTCTCCAAAGACTCAATTAGACGTGCTTCTCGTATGCCCCTATCGTCCAAAACTGACAAAAGTGACCGTAAGGCCTACACCAAGTGGAAAGAGAAAAAAATAAGGCACATAATCATACAACCTTCATATGCATCGTAAGCAGTGTATATAAGATTTCAGGAAGAGCACAGTTATATTACCTCCTTGTCGCTGATAACTTCCCAGTGGCCATCTTCAGAAGACTCAAAGTACACACATCTATGACCAGGGTCGTTCGCATTGCATGGGCCTACGAAAAGCCAGTACCGGTTGAACCTACGATCAGAACCAAGGTATATAGATTGCATAGGATGACCACTATTAGGTTTATCTCCATCCTGCCTTGCAAAGGCCCCCGAAACTGATGTGGAATCAACTGGATGAGAATCAGACGATTTAGATAAATCTTTCATTCCTTGACGCTCTCCTCCATGGACCCATGATACGCGTGGATGTCCGTACTGATTAGAGGATGATCTCTTAATTTTTCCACCAGAACCATGACTGTAGATACTAGGGGCAGGGGCAAAGTCAACCACAGCTCTCGGAAGATCCTGTGGTACAAGATCAAAGTTAACACTACGCAACAGTTATATATAGCTGTAACAAGAAAAACATATTCCATCTACTGCCAAGTATAAGTATTATTTTCTCAAGTCTCAGAGGCAAAGGGTATCAACTTTTAAGTTCATCTACAGAAACAATCTTTAGCCAAGGAGAAATGACATGGACAGAACATCCATCTGCCAAAATTTTTATTACAGATGCAAAGATGGAGCGATCTAGAACTTAGGTCTTAAAAGTTATTTAGAACCTCAAGAGTTAGTAGAATATTATAGGTCTACATAGTACGGGGGTTACCTCCATTCTGATTGTGGAACCAGAACTAATAAGATCAATCAAAGCCACAAAAACATCCAACTTCTCTTCAATGCGTAAATCTGAATATTCCCCTTCCATTAGCCCCAACAACCATGGTTCTCCGGGATGGCTTTCATCAATCTCTTCAGGCATTTTACTTTTATGCCTCCTCCTTTTACTACACTTGACTTTTTGCAGTGCAAGATTTTCTGAAATACGCTCGATCTCGTCACCAGAACTAAATGAGCAATCATCACACTCATCATCAACACTCCCAGACTCGTCTGAATCAGAGTGGCTCTTGTCGGGGTTTCCAGAGAAACAATTAACACGCACACGATATGTTGATTCAGATATCTTTTCGAATAATGTAATATCACTCGCCAGAGTTGAACTTATTAAATGCTCTTGTTCTTCTGATGCAGTAGCAAGATTCAGCACAGCAACCTACAAATGCCCAAATCATTATGAACTTCACACAAACTTACACGCCATCAGTCTATTCTACTAGATATCATCTGAGATTTATAGAAAGCAGCGGAACATTACAAGTATACGACCTATCAATTTAGTCCAAATTAATCACTTCAAATAATTTCAAAATTATTTTTACCTCTGCTGCATTGGCCAACTCGGATATTTTCAAGCCATTATTGCCTTCCTTATTAAGCAGTATAAATAATTCACCCTTTAACGTTCCAAGACGAAGGCCATACTTTTTCATGAGTCTCCTTTCCTAAAGGAAGAAGAAAGGTAACATCAACCAATGCCTCAAAAAAGAATAATAAACCACTAAACAACACAAACAAGTGGATACAAATAACAATAACGAAACAGAAACATGCTACTGTTTTGATAAAAAGAGAACTATCATGGTCTTTGATAAAACATAGCCAAGCAAATACAGTCAACTGTCAGTGTTTCAATGGATCAAAAATGTCAGCAAGAGCACGAAATTAGTACCTTACTTAGCTCTTCTGAGTGAACAGCACACTTCACTGAACCAAAACCAGCTGCAACCAATATCTGACGCAATATTTCCGTCCATGTAAGAGAATTTAATGAATCCTTCCAGAGATCAAAAATATGAATTTGGCTCTCCACCTGAAAAATACAATGGAGAATACTGAAACCTGTCCCCCTCAAGCTTCTTTTTATGCGTCTATGAAAACAACTAGGAAAAGCAGCACACAGAAGGCAAAAATAGCTCAACATTAGTGCATACCGACTGAAGCAGGGCTAGAAACTTGCATGAAATACTCAAGTTCGAAAAAGATCCCCTTTGCAGCTCGGTTTCAACATCAAGCAGAAGCAGCTTTAGCAGGGAAAGATGAATTTTACCAAGGAGCAAGGAATCCTGAGGTTCAAGGCAAGCACAGAAAGAGGAAACACGAGAGTGAGGGAGATGCGGGATACAGAAAACAATTTCCCTCCACGGCAGAAACACGTAAGAGACTGAACATTTGTTATTAAAGAAGAGAGAGGCCACCTTATCATGAAATGCCCGTGTGAACTCGTCCAGTGTGAAGGGACATATATCACAATTTACTGAATAAGTATAAAGGAAATGGACAACCTGCCAACAGAAGTGCTAGGTCACTTTCTAGAGAGTCGGCAATGAGAGGTAATTTAAGAACACAATAAGAAATAACCAAGAGCAAACTTTGACAGTTACACACCTTAAACAGTTTCTTTACAGACTCTGGAGAAGAATTCCATGGATGCAAACCAAAAGGCAGCCTCATCTGAACAGAATTCGGGGGAAACTTAGGCAACAAATCTGGAAACAACAAAAAACTGTCAGAGAAGTACATGGAGCTGGTTATGCAACCATGGGATTACGTACCAAAGTATTTTAGGACTGAACCAAGAAAAATGACAAACATACCTTTGCAAAGAAAACAACCATGGGATCCAGTACCAGAAAGATGGCATGAACATGCCAACGGATTTGCTGCCTCACGCATCTCCAATTCCTCATCATCCACTAGTCCTGACATTGTTTGGCAGGTTTCTTTAAATGCCTCCCCGTCCAGGGCAAGCTCACATTTCTCTTTAAATGCCCTTTGAGTTTCATCTTCGTTTAATTCCGCCTGCAGCAAGAGTCAAATCACTGTTTGCATCTAACTATATTGAATCACCAGTTTTCAAATAAATATCAAGCTACCTCTCTATGTATAGAACGCCTCTTCTTTTCCGTCGTCCTCTTCTGCAACAATTTCTGCTTCTGATGAAAGCAAATTGCAGTTAGCATAAAATTTAAGGGAAAAAGGCAACAGAGAGAGAATGAATCATAACTACTAAAAATAAAAATACCAGTATAGATGCTAATTGTCTTTGCTTTTTCTTTTGGTGTGGGGGATTACGTTCTGTGCAAGGAGATACATCCCTTCTATTTCGATTCATTACCCTCCAGACTGTCATCAAACCTTTGCCCATACCATGTTTCCTCACAGTAGCATTCTTTTCAACGCAATCCTGACTGGTCTGATCCATCAGCTCAGAAATCTAAAGCAAATTAAGATCAGAGACAAGTAACGTAGCGTATCCAAGTAAAAATACCTTGAGAAACAACATATAGGATCTATCCACTACCTTTCTCTTTTTTGCCACTCTCTGGTTCTGTGGATTGACAGACGACGTACCCAGCCAAGAAGCTAACAGAAGGTAAAGCAGTCCAGGTAAGAATCAACATAGCTATAGCATAACTTTTAAGTGAGTTATCTGGAGTCCAATTATCCAGTCATGGATATTTTTCATTCGAAAAATCAAAAGCACTAACTACATAGCCAGAGTATAAAAGCTTTGGTGTTTAAAGTCAATTTTTCAGAAATTCAAGCCTTCTTCACAGGGCATATAGGCTTTATCTTGCAACGAGGCCAAAATATACCTTTAAGTGCTCCAGATGGGAGATGGTCGAATTCAGAACCAAGCGCTGGACCATCTTTTCGAAAAATCTTGGCCAAAATGTGCTGTGAAGTTAACAACGTTTGACTAATACTAGCCTTCCTTGCTTCCACACTACATCTTTTCTCGACACCTCCTCCAAAATCGCATACGGAAGATGTGGAACTGCTCATGCGAGATCTATCATTCCCCAGAGATTTCCCGTCTGTCCTTGTGCTTCTTCTTCTCTTGAACCACCCGCGTACTTCCTTCACTGTTAACCCTAAAGACTTTCCCAAGTCCCCCATTTCCTTAGGAGTCGGATACATTTGCTCTGTGTTCACATATATGTCAACGATCAGAGACAGAATAAACAAAGATCCAAAGCAAACCATATTCTAAAACATACCACAAGTGACCATTTCTAGAGATTTCTCTAACACAAAAATTATCAAAACCCACAATCTAGCATATATTACCTAAATAAAAGCTCTCAAGAGCTTGAAATTGAACTGGCGACTTCCTCTTCATTTCCACTTAACTAAACTTCAGAAAATCTGGCTACTCTCAAGATATCAAAACCAGTCGCATGATAGTCAAAACCGTCTCCAACATTCTGCAACATCAAGCAATCAAATCATCTCCATCAATACACATTAAATAACAAATCGGAAACAAAAAAAAACTTAAAGCTCACGAATCATGCGATCACCACTTGATCCAAAATTCAACAAATCCAGAATTCTCGGAAATGAAAATTCAATAAGAAAAGGGATAAAACCCAAAATCTCAATCCGATGATTAACACAGGAAATTAGAAACAATCACCCAAAGTGGGTTAGACACTATAATGACAACAGTAGAGATCCTAGGAAGTGATTCAGCGTAATTAAAAGCAAAGAGCCAAAGTAAATCACAAACCCCATCAGAATTGAAGATACCCAACACTCATTTTCCGCGAAATTGGTGAAAAAAACACAGCAAAATGACGATGATGATAATGATAATGGCTGACTAAAAAACAGCCACTACAACGAAACCCCAGAGAATTACGAGTGAGGAAACTTACAGATAGAGAAAGAAGTTGAGAGAAATGGAAGAAGAAAGAAGGTAGAGGAAGAAGAAGAGTAAGATTTTACAGGGGAAGAGTAGGGTTTTGGGTTTTTTATCATCTCCCCGTCTTTCTCTGAGTCTGGGGTTTTAGTTTACGGATAGTTTTTTTTTTTTACACTCTTTTTTTTTGTTCACTGAAATAGCTAAAAATATCTCTGTTCGTTACACGACGCCGTTTTCAGCAAGCCTAATTAGGGTTTTTTTTTTCGGGACAACCATTCCGCAGATTAAACCGGTTGGTTATTAAAAATTAAAATTAGACCGGATTTGCTTTGGTCCTCGAGATATAAATTATCAAACTTCCGATCTCCTCTGTTCATCGTTTCCGATGGATGGAAAGTTTGAGAAAGATGAGAAATCGTCAAAACCAGATTCGACAATTCCGAAACGAGCTTCTATTAAACATCAGCCCGATTTCGATTACTCTATCAGGAAGCAGAAGGTTGGTTACTTTCAGTTTAGTGTTTCTGTTTCAATACCTGAATCTCTGTTATATGTTCATAGTTCTGAATTGGGTTTTAGAGAATTTTCAATTTTGTTTCGTTTCTTAGCTCTCAAATCTTAATTCTCGTCTTAGCTTATATTCAAATTCTCAATTTTGTTTCGTTTCTTAGTTCTCGTCTTAGCTTATATTCAAATTTTCAATCTTTGTTTCATTTGCTTAAACCTGGAAGCAAAATGTTCCTTTCAATTTTTGGTTTCTGGTTTTAATTACTGAATCTATGTTTATGCTAATAGCTATGAATTGGGTTTTAGAAAAATTTCGATTTTGCTTCGTTTGAATTACTGGTCGTAGCTTTAAATTGACCAAAAGAAAAGATTTTTAGGTTTGTTCTTACTACTTGTTTGTAGCTGAGAGAAAGCTGCTTCAGAAGAGTTAGAGAAGAGAGGACGAGTCTGCTGTGGAAACTGAGGCACTCTCATTGTCAATCTTCTAATAAAAACGTTTGTTTCTCTCTTCTTGTGATCCTCCCTATTGAGAAACTTCTTTAGCTTTGTCAATGACTTTCAAGGTGTTATACTTTTCTTTTCAGGAGATTATCAATTCTGCTTTCCAAGACATTGTTTCTGATGAGTTAAAAAAAATTGAGGATTCGTCGAGAAACCTCTCAGGAAATCCGGCAGTAGCTCCTGATTCCGGTGATATATTATGGGAATATGAAGGTGTAAAACATGCTTATGAAGGTGATAGTGAAGAGATATTGCTAGAAATGCAACAGATATTCTACGAGGATTTGATATCAGAGACTACTTTAAACGGTAAGCAATTTTGGAACGAAGCCTTGTGGCTTTGCTTATGAGTACTTAACTTCTTCTTCTTGTTACAGGATCGTATCTACAGATTGAAACATGGGAAGACGCTGAAGATGATTACTTGGCTAGCTTAGTATCTCAGCATATGCTTTTAAACAGTGAAGAGGTAAGATTCTCTTCCACAGAGCAGCCTTTGTCTTTTTCAAACCAGTTCAAGTGGTGTGATGTGTTTTTGTCAGGAGGAAAATCAGATATGGTGTCCGATATGCAAGCAAGGAGAGCTTATGGAGAATCAGCGACATATTCATTGCAACATGTGTGAAATGCAGCTGAACAAAGGCGATGAGGTTGCAGATTCTTCTTGTTTCCTTTTAACTCTCTTTGTCACTTCTTAGCAACGCAATGAACTTGTTCTTTTCCATTAGGTTAATCTTAAGATTCTGCAAGAACGGTTAGCGGAAGCTCACGCTGAGCATCTGGAGAGAGGATGCAGATTGAAACCCAAGTTCAGTGTTCAGAGTCAGTATAATTTAAAGGCGTTGTACATAACATGCGATGCTTGTAATACCTTTGAGGTCGTTGTATAAGCTCTAACTTAAACAAGGATCCGCCGATGTATATGTAACAGTAGAAACACACGCGAAAATGAAATGAAAATGAATCAAGAATAACAACTTATTCAACTTTTGCAGTTTACACCTTGAATGCGACACAAGTTGAATAGAGAGAGGTTGGAGAGGTATTACATAGTCTATTCAACTACAAGTTGGATTGTTTTTTTTTTGACAAAGAGGAATAGAAGTTGGGGAATTTTTATTTCTTTTCATATTTGATGGAGAATTTTTTGACACTTTAATTCTCAAGTTAATAAGGAATGAGAAGGAATCATGAGTAATAAATTTTACTTTTGAATGCTGACCAAGGGAATGATGAAAATAATGAATTCCCCTTCATTTTTTAAAGCAATATATATCATTGGAAAGTAAAATTTATTATACATGATTCTCTCTCATTTCTTATTTATTTGAGAATTATAGTGTCAAAATATTACTCATCAAAAATAAGAACTTGAGAAGGAATATAAAAAAAAATCATATATTTTATTCGTTCCTCTAATAGTGTTATTATTCATAGGACTTCTCAATAGTGATGTAACTTGTAGTTCCAAATATCTTATATTAATTATTTTACTATCTATATAATGATGCATCACATCTATTATTTGAATTTAAGACAGTCCATTGCATCATTATATAAGAAACAATATATATAATGATGCAGCGCACCTTTTAAATTCAAATCACAGATGTGATGTTCAACAAATATTTGGAAAACTAGGGTTGAGAATAAAAAACCTTAAATAATTTTTTTTTTTGTCACAATATTCAGTATTTTTGTAGTGAAATTATTGACTATGAATTATGACCATTAGAAGAACAATTTGAATGAATATGAATAAAATCCATATTCCTTATTGAAGAAGTAATTAATAAGAAGGAATGATATTACTTATGAATAGTGTAATTTTTGAGGTATGAAGAAGAATTCATTGTTCCTCATAATTCATTTGATCACCATTCAGAGCATGTTTTATTTCTTTTCCATCAGATTAATCTGAACATTCTGCAAGAACGGTGAGCGGAAGCGCACGCTGAACATCTGGAGAGAGGATGCAGATTGAAACCCAAGTTCAGTGTTCAGGGTCACTATAATTTAAAGGCGTTGTACATAACATGCGATGCTTGTAATACCTTTGAGGTTGTTTTATAAGCACTAACTTAAACAAGGATCCACGGCAACTTTCATGTATATATAACACTTGAAACACACGCCAACATGAAAATGAATCAAGAATAACAACTTATTTCAACTTTTGCAATTTACACCTTGAATGCGACCAAGTTGAATAGAGAGAGAGGTTGGCGAGGTATGTTATAGTCCATTCAAGTTGAATAGAGGTTGAAGTTGAATTGTTTTTTGACAAAGAGGAATAGAAGATGGGGAAACTTTATTTCTTTTCATATTTGATGGAGAATGTTTTGACACTATTGGAGAAGGATATTATATGGGAAACCTTGTAAACCAGTCAAGGGTCTCCTCCACCCCTTCTCCTTTGGATCATATGCAATGCTTGGCTCTGGAGCCATATTCTCAAAAACCTGTTGAGGATTAAAGATTAAAGGAAAATTAAATATCATCGATCGTACAAGAAGACATGTGCCACCATAAGCACTGCCAATAACCTTTTCCATTTACCTTCTTTGGGTTCTTAAACAAAACTTTTTTTTTACCCAAAATGTAAACTTGATCCTCCATGACCACATATGTAAAGAACACATTAGTATGTGGCAATATGCGGTCATGGAGAAACAGGTTTACATTTTGGGTAAAAAAATGTTTTGTTTATAAAACCAAAGAAGTTAAATGGAAAAGGTTGAGCGTTGTGCTTACGGTGGCACGTGTCTTCTAGTATGATCGATGATATGTTATTTCCTTTAATCCTCAAAGGGTTTTTGAGAATATGCTCCAGAGCCAATCATCGTGTATGATCCAAAGGACAAGGAGTGGAGACCCTTGACTGGTTTACAAGGTTTCCCATATAATATCCGTCTATGTATCTGTGTTGAGTTACATTGCTAGTCTTAGAATGAAGAAGAATATAAATATTTACATGTTTAAGTTTGGAAATTACAAACTTTTCAACCTAACTACAACCTAATACTTATTAGTCATTGAATAACGCTACTAAGTATATTTACTACATCTTTTGAAGGAGCGAACAAATACTAATGGGATCCACAACATAAATATCAAACAAAAACAATATGTGTGTAGAATCTACCTCCTCTCTTGAGCTCACTCGCTTAAACTTGTTCACAAGTTTGTACCATTGATTGATAGAAAAAATCATTAATGGCAGAAAAACGTGCCCAAAGTCTCAAGCGAGTGAGTACAGAGACATGGAAACCGATAGAATATGTTTGAGAAGAAAACTGAAGAACTTTAAGGGTTGATGAAGAATTTGTTGAGAGAATCAACGACTATTTAAAGAGAAGGATGGCTGTGAAACTTTCAAGTGCAAAGATAGAAAATCACATTTTAGGGTTGGTGACAATGTATCCAAAGATTTTTTATCTAACTACAAGATATTTTCCATTAATTCATGACAATTGATGACACAACAATCTTATCCCTTAAGTTAATTTCTTTCAGTACATGATATATTTTATGGTTTAGAGGTATCATCTACAAGATAGGTAACTAAATCACATTTTAGGGTTGGATACGTTGTATCCTTTAGATTTTGTTTTGGTAAAATATCCTTAGATTTTTTATCTAACTACAAGATATTTTCCTTTAATTCATGACAATTGACAACACAACAATCTTATCCCTTAAGTTAATTTCACAATTGACAACACAACAATCTTATGCCTTAAGTTAATTTCTTTCAGTACATGATAGATTTTATGGTTTAGGGTATCATCTACAAGATAGGTAACTAAATCACATTTTAGGGTTGGATACGTTGTATCCTTTAGATTTTTTTTTTGGTAAAATATCCTTAGATATTTTATCTAACTACAAGATAGTTTCCTTTAATTCATGACAATTGACAACACAACAATCTTATTCCTTAAGTTAATTTCACAATTGACAACACAAGAATCTTATCCCTTAAGTTAATTTCTTTCATTTCCATTCAATAAAAATTTAAAGTTAATACTATGAGATAACAATTTCGAATTCGTAATGGTATGTTGACCAAGCAATTTGCCGCTCTCTACGAATACAGTGCGACAAGATAAATTTTGTTTTTTTACTACACTGGAAAAATATAAAATCTGGTCTTACTTCATTTTTTCGAGAATAAAAATCTTCATACACTCTGGTTTGAGACTAAAATATATATAATCTGGCTTAACACACTCTGGAAAAAATATCAATAACGTTGATCTTTTGCACTAAGTCATTTGGTAATTGACTTTTCAGTTTAACAAAACTAAAGTTGACAAGAAACAAAAAATCATAAAATGTTATTGCATGCATCTTGAATTCGTTGTGCGTCTTCTGACTTATGTCTTCCATGTCAATAACTTGAGGCATATCGTTGCTTTGCGACTGTATTCTGTGAGATGAAAAAGTGAAACTTAAATCAGAGACATAAGAGATAAAGCTTGAAGCTTTTTTCTGGATATTACATGAATTGATTGATGTTTAAACTTTGTTCTGGAATAGCATAGATTCTTGCTTTGATTTCGCTGTCCGATGTCCAAACTGTAGAGGTTTTGATTTTTTTTTTTTTTTTTTTAATTATTGTGTTGCTTTTGTTTTACTGTTAGCGGCCTTTGATGTTCCATAGAAGAATTCAAACCCAAGAACGTGACTACTATCATTTTCGGAGATGGCAGTGAAGTAAAAACAAAATTCTTATACAAAGAGAGCCCGAGACGAGGGAGAAATACTAAATTAACCCTAACACAATAGGACTACTTGTGTGTGTATGATGTATATAGTTATAGCCATAAAATTTAATGGACTGAATAGAGGTTGATTCACCATAACACCTTACTTGTTATGATAGGGTTATATAGGGAACTCCGGCCGTAGCTCCTGATTCGGATGATATAATATGGGAATATGAAGGTTTAAAACATGCTTATGAAGGTGATAGTGAAGAGAAATTGCTAGAAATGCAACATATATTCTACGAGGATTTGATTTCAGAGACTACTTTAAACGGTAAACAATTTTGGAACGATGCCTTGTGGCTTTGCTACAGGATCGTATCTTCAGATTGAGACATGGGAAGACGCTGAAGATGATTACTTGGCTAGCTTAGTATCTCACCATATGCTTTTAAACAGTGAAGAGGTAAGATTCTTCTTCACAGAGCAGCCTTTGTCTTGTCAAACCAGTTAAGAAGTCTGATGTGTTTTTGTCAGGAGGAAAACCAGATATGGTGTCCGATATGCAAGCAAGGAGAGCTTATGGAGAATCAGCGAAACATCCATTGCAACATGTGTGAAATGCAGCTGAACAAAGGCGATGAGGTTGCAGATTCTTCTTTGTCCTTTTATCTCTCTTTGTTACTTCTTAGCAACGCAATGAGCTTGTTCTTGAGGTTTTTGTTCTCTGATTCCATTTTGTTCCATTCAGGTTAATCTTAAGATTCTGCAAGAACGGTTAGCGGAAGCAAACGCTGAACATCTGGAGAGAGGATGCAGATTGAAACCCAAGTTCAGTGTTCAGAGTCAGTATAATTTAAAGGCGTTGTACATAACATGCGATGCTTGTAATACCTTTGAGGTCGTTGTATAAGCTCTAACTTAAACAAGGATCCGGGGCAACTTTCATGTATAAATAACACTTGAAACACACGAGAAAATGAAATGAAAATGAATCAAGAATAACAAACTTATTCAACTTTTGCAATTTACAACTTGAATGCGACACAAGTTCGATAGAGAGAGAGGTTGGAGAGGTGTTTTATAGTCCATTCAAGTTGAATAAACGTTGAAGTTGAATTGCTTTTTTTTTGACAAAGAGGAATAGAAGATGGGGAGTTTTTATTTCTTTTCATATTTGATGGAGAATTTTTTGACACTATAATTCTCAAGTTAATAAGGAATGAGAAGGAATCATGGGGTAATAAATTTTACTTTTGAATGGTGTATTTTATTAAGAATGAAGAGGAATCATGTGGGATCATAATGATTAAGATGGTTTTTTAAGGTTTTGAATGGTGACCAAGCGAATGATAAAAATAATAAATATGAGAAGGAATAAAAAAAAATATATTTTTTATTCATTTTGATTATTTTCCTTTTCTCATTCATTTTGTTCTTCTAATAGAGTTATCATTAATAGCCTAAAAGTGGATGTCTCGAATAGTGATGTAGATTGTAGTTCCAAATATCTTATATTAATTATTCTACTATCATGTAGCGAAACGTCTTAAATTAAAATCAGAGATCCGATATTCCAAAACTATTTGGAAAACTAGGGTTTAAGAATAAAAAACCTTAAATAAATAAGTTTTTTTGTCAGAATATTCACTATTTTTGTAGTGAAATTATTGGCTATAAATTATGACCAGTAGAAGAACAATATGAATGAATATGAATAAAATCCAGATTCAAGGAATGATATTACTTATAAATAGTGTGATTTTTGAGGTATAAAGAAGAATTCATTGTTCCTCATAATTCATTTGATCACCATTCAAAGCATTTTTCAATTTCGAATGAGTAGACTTAACATATCTGATAATTAGTGTTATTATTGGATTTTAGTTTTAAGAATTAGAAAACTTTTGATAAAAAAGATTAGATTCAAATATCGCTCTCATCAATTTTCAAGTGGAAATAAATAAGCTCAAACCTATTGTCACAAGTCTAACTCTTTAAACTTTTACTTCTTTTTACTATCTTATATATTATATAAAGTTTGATGTGCACGACATGATTTTGACCCATAAGATTTTTATAATTCATCAGATCATATCATAAGCTGATAAGTCATAAAAATCTAATGTAACCAACTCACATCATACACATCCAACTTTATATAATAAGATACATTAAAAACATTATATGTGGGTTAAAATGTTTTAAAATCTTTCACTAACATTCAATAAAGTTTGAGAATTTCACCTGTTAAATTTGATACCATAAGATAACAATTTTTGTATGATAATAAATAACCAATACTATTATTGACTTCCATGCATGGTACCAACGAAATTAAAATATACTAGTATGATCCATGTGCTACACTCGGAATAATGATACTTGTAGCGTTCTTATGTTGGGTGACCAGAAATAACAAAATGGTTATAAATTCTATTCGACATAAATATAATAATTTTAATGCTAAAAAATTACTTTCATTCTCTCTGTGTATCACTGCTCGTATACTAGTCTCATAATTCTGCGTGTACCACTGATCTTATAGTATTAACAACAACATGGATCATGATCTGTCGTTCCATTTTTCAATAAAATTAACTACTTTTACAAACAAAAACACGCTTTTATTAAGTCGCAACTACTTTATTGTTTAGGTACATAACAAATGAAAGAAACGTATAATCACTTTTTATGGGTGCAGCTTAATCTATGCAAGAAGCTAAATTGTTTTTTGTCTCGTTTTTTCTAAGCATAGTTATCCAATGTTGAAGAATTAGGATAAGTACCAAAATGAAACCCCTAGAAAGTAATAGACCCTATACCATAACGTAGTGAGTTTGAAAAACAACGATATGCAGAGAGGGAATATAATAAGGGAAGGAGAAAAGAAAGATAATGTGAGATAAAGAGACACTCACGAAAAGAGGGAGGGCAAAGGAGATTTAAGGGTTGTTTTGGCTCCTCCATCAGGATCTAGGAAGCTCATCAACGACCGTATACGATCTGCCAGTTGAAATTGAAATCCCAATATTAGAGAGACTGCTTAGAGATAGTAAACCACAAGTTTCTAGGTATTACATGAATTGATGAATGATGTCTTTACCTTGTTTTCGAATATCATTAGATATTATATGTTTGTATAAAACGTATTGGAATCCATCAATAATAAGTATTTCAACAATAAACTGCATATATAGAGTGTTTTTGTTGACATTCTATTTGTTTAATATATCTTCTCTTTCCTTCAAAAAAGTTATCATATATAGGCATCTTTCAATCAGAAACAAATATTTGGCCAAGGAGAAACTGCAGTACATTGCTTGACTTGGAATGAAGAAGACTATCAAATATTTACATGTTTGAAGTTACAAACTTTTCAACCTAAATACAATCGAACCACTTTTGTAGCTGTATTGAGGTTAAAAATTTGAAAAACAAACTCATGTGTATATATTTATAGCCTTACCCATTCCAGGACAGGCTAAGTACGTAAGGTGGATTCACCTTTTGGTTACCTCGTAGCAAAATACTTATTAGTCATTGAACAACGCTACTAATATATTTACTACAACTTTTGAAGGAGCGAACAAATTAAATACTATTTGGATCCACAACATAAATATCAAACAAAAACAATATGTGTATAGAATCTACATCCATCTCTTGAGCTCACTCGCTTAAACTTGTTCACAAGTTTGTACCATTGATTAATGAAAAAAATCATTAATGGCAGAAACGCGTGCCCAGAGTTTCAAGCAAGTGAGCACAGAGACATGAAAACCGATAGAATATGTTTGAGAAGAAAACTGAAGAACTTTTAGGGTTGATGAAGAATTTGTTGAGAGAATCAACGACTATTTAAAGAGAAGGATGGCTTTCAAAGATAGAAAAACACATTTTAGGGTAGGTGACAATGTATCCAAAGATATATTACCTAACTACAAGATATTTTCCTTTAATTCATGACAATTGACAACACAGCAATCTTATCCCTTAAGTTAATTTCTTTCATCAGTACATGACAGATTTTATGGTTTGGGGTATCATCTACAAGATAGGTAACTAAATCACATTTTAGGGTTGAATACGTTGTATCCAAAGATTTTTTATCTAACTACAAGATATTTTCCTTTAATTCATGCAATTGACAACACAACAATCTTATCACTTAATTTAATTTCTTTCATTTGCATTCAGTAAAAAAATTAAAGTTAATACTATGCGATAACAATTTGGAATTCGGAATGGTATGTTGACCAAGTAATTTGCCGCTCTCTACGTTTAACGTGCGGCAAGATAAATTTTGTTTTACACTACACTGGAAAAATATAAAATCTGGTCCTAACTCAATTTTTCGAGAATAAAAATCTTCATACACTCTGATTTGAGACTAAAATATATATAATCTGGCTTAACACACTCTGGAAAAAATATCAATAACGTTAATATTTTGCACTAATTAAGTCATTTGGTAATTGACTTTTCAGTTTAACAAAACTAAAGTTGATAAGTAACAAAATCATAAAATGTTATTGCATGCATCTTGAATTGTATCTTAATTAGTCTAGAGGTTCAGTTCGTTGTGCATCTTCTGACTTATGTCTTCGAAGTCAATAACTTGAGGCATATCGTTGCTTTTGCGACTGTATTCTGTAAGATGAAAAAGTGAAACTTAAATCAGAGACATAAGAGATAAAGCTTGAAGCTTTTTCTAGATATTACATGAACTGATTGATGTTTATACCTTGTTCTGGAATAACATAGATAACCGACTGATTCTTGCTTTGATTGTGCTGTCCGATGTCCAAACTGTAGAGGCTTTGATTCTTTCTTTTTTTTTATTTTTGTTGGTTGTTTATTATTGTGTTGCTTTTGTTTGACTAATAGCGGCCTTTGATGTTCCATAAAAGAATTCAAACCCAAGAACGTGACTACTATCATTTTCGGAGACGGCAATGTCGTAAAAAAAAAATCTTATACAAAGAGAGCCTAAGACGAGGGAATAATACTATATTATGGGGGTTTTTTTTTTTTTTCATTCCACTTGAGAAATTAAAATGGTATTACATTATAATTATTATAACTTTTTTGAATAGACTATTACACTAGCTTACTCTACAAATGTAATATTAGAGAATAAGTCTTTGTGTGTTAATCAAAGTGGACTATAAGCAAAGCTCAAGAGATTTGATAACGCAAATACAGTGAACAAATAAATCGAGTGAGATGATAGAAGTCATAATTAGGTAGAGTTTCGTAATGAAATATATGGATTATTTTTGGAAACGCATGTTAATGAAACGAACAACTGAACAAGAACCATGTTTTGCTCATGCTTACTTTCGGTTTTGGGATGTCCCTTCAGAAATTTTGTTCCTCATGGACCTCATCCATCCCACCCATATATCCAAGCAGAAATGGATCGTATCCCTAATCCCCGGTCCCTCCCTTTTCGGATAACATATTTTTGCCCAATCCAGTCCTAAGTAAATATGAGAAAGACCTTTCTCCTTTAATGAAAACTCTATATAAAAACGAATCATTATCTCGATAACATTTAACTTCGAGTTTCGGTTTTGGGATGTCCATGATTTTAAAAACCTAAAAATAAATTTTTGTCGTAAATAAAAAATATAAGAAGAAAAAACACAAACACGTACAGATTTTGTGAGCTGAGACATCTTTCGTTGCATTATACAAACTTCTAGGTTTAAGTATGCAGCATAATTTCAACATAACTATTTGTTAACAAAGTCCACAATTGAAGTACAATATTCACTATTTTGAAATTTTAGATACATATTTTGACATTAACATGGATTTTTTTTTAACAAAAACAAAATTCAGAAGAATAATTAGATTAGAAAAAAAAAAACCCGCATATATATGCTAGAATCCACCTAATTAAAATTTTAGCTTGTATAGCCTAGGTATAGCACCTTCAAGGCTTCAAATCGTACAAAAGAACAATAACAACATGTTGTATTTTTTTTTTGTGTGTGTGTGTCCATGCACCTAAAAGTCAAATTGTACAAAAGAACAATAACATCATGTTGTATTTTTTTTAGTGTATATGCATGCACCTAAAAGTCAAATTGTACAAAAGAACAATAACATCATGTTGTATTTTTTTTAGTGTATATGCATAGCACCTTAAAAGTCAAATTGTACAAAAGAACAATAACATCATGTTGTACTTTTTAGTGTATATGCATAGCACCTTAAAAAGTCAAATTATACAAATTAAAGGAACAATTACATCATATCATATTACGAATACAAAATATAAAATCAAAAGAATGTTAAAATAGTTTGTCATGCAGCGCCGGTCATCTTTTTGTATATATACTTCTTTTTTTGTCAACGAATCTTTTTGTATATATACAAAATGACACTTGAACGTCATTCCTCATGACTTCTACATCTATTCTTTGACACTTAATCGTACTTACCATCGACATATACATTTCTCTTTCTTTACGATAAAAATTTGACGTTCGGGTTTCAAAGGAAGAAGATAATGAAAATGACGGTAGATGTTGTGGGGATCAGAGAAGTGATCAAACCTGCTTCACCCGCACCTCGTGATCGTCTTCAACTCTCCCTCTTCGAGACTAAAATAGTCTTTTAAGACTTTGAATTGTGACTGAAAGAATGATTACATTTGTAAAGTAATCACATTCCTTTCCTTGTCCTTCTATGTTCATTAGGTAATTTTAATGTAACATCTTTCTCATCATCAAGAGAAAGAATAAAAATTACCAATATTTTATTCGTCTTGATTTATTTCTTTCTCAAATTCAAATATCACTCTCATCAAGTTTCAAACAGAAATAAACAAGCTCAAACCTATGTCACAAGTCTAACTCTTTATACTTTTTTTTTTTAACTATCTTATTAATTATATAAAGTTGGATATGCACAACGTAAGTTTGACACGTTAGAATTTTATAACTCATCAGATTAAAAATATTATCGTAAGTTTGAGTTATAAAAAATATAAAGTGTCAAACGCACATTGTGCATATCCAACTTTATATAATAAAATATATATTAAAAATATTATCGTAAGTTAAAGTCTTTCACTAACATTCAATAAAATTTGATAATTTCATTTGTTAAATTTGATACCATAAGATAACTATTTTTGTATGATAATAAATAACCAATGTTATAAATTTATAGTTGACTTCCATGCATGGTGCCAACAAAATTAAAATATACTAGTATAAGAACCATGCTACACACGGAATAATGATATTTGTAGCGTTCTTACATTGAGTAAAGTTTATAATCAAAAATAACAAAATGGTTATAAATTCTATTCGACATAAATATAATACTTTTTACGCTAAATTTTACTTTCATTCTCTCTGTGTATCACTGCTCGATCGTATATTAGCTAGTATCGTAATTCTGTGTGTACCACTGATCTTATATTAACAAAATGAATGCCCTAGACCCTATACCATAATGTAATGAGTTTGATAAACAACGGTATGCACAGAGGGAATATAATGAGGGAGCGAGAAAAGAAAGATAATGTGAGATAAAGAGACGACACTCACGAAAGAGATGGAGGGCAAAGGAGATTTAAGGCTTGTTTTGACTCCTCCATCAGGACTCAAGAAGCCCATCGCGACCGTATACAATCTGCCAATTGAAAATTGAAATCCAGATTTTAAAGACAGCTTAGAGATAGAAAACCACAAGTTTCTGGATATTATTGACGGCATCAATAACCAGCTGATTCTTTATAGAGAAGTAAATATTATCATCAAGAGACTAAAATATAACAGTGTTCTAAATTCCTCAAGTTTAGGATAGATTAAAGCAGCCCACAGGAGAATTGCATCATATAAAATCAACAACATATAAGAGAGAGATATGTTTGTATAAAACGTATTAGAATCCATCAATAATAAGTAATCCAACAATAAAACTGCATATACAGAGTGCTTTTGTTGACATTCTATTTGTTAAATATATCTTTTCTTTCCTTCAAAAAAGTTATCATATATAGGAATCTTTCAATCAGAAACAAATATTTGGCGAAGGAGAAACTGCGGTACATTGCTAGTCTTAAAATGAAGAAGAATATAAATACTTACATGTTTAAGTTTGGAAGTTACAAACTTTTCAACCTAACTACAATCGAACCACTTTTGTAGCTGTATTGAGGTAAGAAAAAATGAAAAACAAACTCATTTGTATATATTTATAGTCTTCCCCATCCTATAGGACAGGCTAAGTACGTAAGGTAGCAAAATACTTATTAGCCATTGAATAACGCTACTAAGTATATTTACTACATATTTTGAAGGAGCGAACAAATACTAATGGGATCCACAACATAAATATCAAAGAAAAACAATATGTGTGTAGAATCTACCTCCTCTCTTGAGCTCACTCGCTTAAACTTATTCACAAGTTTGTACCATTGATTGATAGAAAAAATCATTAATGGCAGAAAAGCGTGCCCAAAGTCTCAAGCGAGTGAGTACAGAGACATGGAAACCCGATAGAATATGTTTGAGAATGAAAACTGAAGAACTTTAAGGGTTGATGAAGAATTTGTTGAGAGAATCAACGACTATTTAAAGAGAAGGATGGCTGTGAAACTTTCAAGTGCAAAGATAGAAAATCACATTTTAGGGTTGGTGACAATGTATCCAAAGATTTTTTATCTAACTACAAGATATTTTCCATTAATTCATGACAATTGATGACACAACAATCTTATCCCTTAAGTTAATTTCTTTCAGTACATGATATATTTTATGGTTTAGAGGTATCATCTACAAGATAGGTAACTAAATCACATTTTAGGGTTGGATACGTTGTATCCTTAGATTTTTTTGTTTTTTTTGGTAAAATATCCTTAGATTTTTTTTATCTCACTACAAAATATTTTCCTTTAATTCATGACAATTGACAACACAACAATCTTATCTCTTTAGTTAATTTCTTTCATTCCCATTCAATAAAAAAAAATTAAATTTAATACTATGAGATAGCAATTTGGAATTCGGAAGGTATGTTGACCAAGTAATTTAAAAAAAAAAAAAAAGTAATTTACCGCTCTCTACGAATAAAGTGCGGCAAGATCATTTTTTCTTTTTTTACTACACTGGGAAAATATAAAATCTGGTCTTACTTCATTTTTTCGAGAATAAAAAATCTTCATACACTCTGGTTTGAGACTAATATATATATATAATCTGGCTTAACACACCCTGGAAAAAATATCAATAACGTTGATCTTTTGCACTAAATCATTTGGTAATCGACTTTTCAGTTTAGCAAAACTAAAGTTGATAAGGAACAAAATCATAAAAATGTTATTGCATGCATCTTGAATTGTGTCTTAGTCTAGAGGTTCAATTCATTGTGCATCTTCTGACTTATGTCTTCCAAGTCAATAACTTGAGGCATATCGTTGCTTTGCGACTGTATTCTGTGAGATGAAAAAGTGAAACTTAAATCCGAGACATAAGAGATAAAGCTTGAAGCTTTTTCTGGATATTACATGAATTGACTGATGTTTAAACCTTGTTCTGGAATAGCATAGATTCTTGCTTTGATTTCGCTGTCCGATGTCCAAACTGTAGAGGTTTTGATTTTTATTTTTATTTTTTTTTTGTTGTTTATTACTTTATTATTGTGTTGCTTTTGTTTTACTGATAGTGGCCTTTGATGTTCCATAGAAGAATTCAAACCCAATTAAGAACGTGACTACAATCATTTTCGGAGACGGCAATGACGTACAAAAAAAGAATTCTTATACAAAGAGAACCCGAGACGAGGGAGAAATACTAAATTAACCAGACGTTTGTATCTGGTGGTAATGGACCCACGATTGTGGTATCCGCCACCAGGGTTCAACGCCTGACCACTGCGGATTTAATATACGGGCTGTAGCGTTCTAGACCACCAGTTCCATAGGGCCCTTCAGTGGACGCTTAAAAATCCCTGGTCTAGTCGGCCCATAAATGTGGTCTGGATACTGGGTTAGCAAAAAAAAAAAAAAAACTAAATTATGACTTTTTTTTTTACTTTTCCTTCCACTTGAGCAATTAAAATGGTATTACATTATGAATTTATTGTAAATTTTTTTCGAATATATATACTACTACACTAGCTTACTCTAAAATTGTAATATTAGAGAATAAGTCTTTGTGTTTTAATCAAAGTGGACTATAGGCAAATCAAAGTGAAATGTATATCGAAGTTAAAACGTATTTCAAGTCTAAGTTTTTTCCATCGCAAATACAGTAAAACAATAAATCGAATGAGATGATATAAATCAAAAGTTGGTATAGTTTCGTGATGAAAGACATGGATTCTTGGAATCGCATGTTAATGAAACGAACAAGAACCATGTTTTGCTCATGCTTTACTTTCGGTTTTGGCATGTCCCTTCAGAATTCCTGTGTCCTCATCCTATGAACGAGGACGAAAGTAAAACATCCATATTAACATGCGAAATGGATCTTATCCCTAATTCCCGGTCCCTCCTTTTTTCGGATAACATATTTCTATCCAAATCTAGTCCTAAGTAAATATGAGAAAGACCTTTCTACTTTTAATGAAAATCCTATATGAAAAAAGGATTATTATCTCGATAGATTCTAACTTCTGAGTTTCGGTTTTGGATGTCCATGACTTAATTAAAAAACCTAAAAATAATGTTTTCCTTGAATAGACAAATATAAAGAAAAAAACACAAAAAAACGTACAGATTTTGTGAGCTAAGACATCTTTCGTTGCATTATACAATTGTAGTGTTGTAGTGCATTTCATGTGCTATAAATACACATAGTTCTTGTAGTGATTCTAGCCTCCAAGAACTACAAGACAGAGCTGCCAGGTTGAGGACGAACTTGATGGTTGTGCGGATGTTTTGGGCCACGTTTTTTGAAGCGTAAATGATGCTCTTTGGGTGATATGTGTCGTGCAAGGAAGGAGGTTGAAGACATAAACCCAAAGAGCATGAACTCGGTTTTCTAGGTTTTCTAAGCAGCGTTCCTCTCCGGTTTGATTGACGGACTGGAGCCAACTGTTGAACTTGGTTTGGAGCAATGTCAAGTTCCTGGTTTTGAGGCTGGTTTTGAGGCTGTTGTTGCTGATTTTGAGCCGCAATGACCACGGGCTGTAGAGGAATGGCAACAACTTGCTGATTTGGTAGCTAAAGTTCACCATCAATCATCACCTCATAGTCAAGATTAAGAATATTATGATCTCTTGCTTCGTTTTTCATGTCCACTCCGAGAAAATCGTCCCCAATAATATATTCCACCGGGATCCACCAATCCGAATTCGTTCTGCCTCCACAAGTGACTAAGACAGCAACACATCAGAGAATCCCATTGAATCAAGATAAGCGAAATCCAAAATCCTAAATCCCCCAGTCCTGATCTAAACCAGTGATCATTCATATCCAAAAATTGATCTTTGCTTTTTAATTTTGTAGTTGGTGTGTTGCTCTATGCTTTTGAATTTCGCTGTGATTTATATTATTTCAGTTTTTATGTTTGTACTCAGTAAGAAATTGTTCTCCTAAATGGATAAGGCATTTGGTTAATATTGATAAACGTTCTTGTTCTTTGGTAGTGTTATGTAATTCTTGGTTAATAACTTAATACTGATAAACGTTCTTGTTCATTTGGTAGTGTAATATAAGAACCAAGGAATTAAAAAAAATTATGTTCATTCAAAAAAGTGCTTTGCTTTTTCTTTTTCACTTGCTCAAATCTTTTTCATCAGGGAGGTGAAAAGTTAAATCCAAACATTTGTGGGGCTGCGATTGAGTTTATGGGATTATGGGGGTCAAATCTGTAAATCTCTGAAAATGTAGGACCCAATTATCAAAAGAAGAAGAAATAATGGAGACTCCGAACATGTTCGAGCCGGAGAAGAAACCAAATAGAAAGAAGAGGGGAAATCGAAGCATAAGAATTGCTATTTTCAAATCTAATATCGGAAACAAATCATATGCTTTGATCCAATTCGTTAATGTATTCACAGATCTGAAGACAATCTCGTCTTCATTTCCGGTGCGATTTTCCGATTTGGAGGTAGAAATCGAAGCAATCCATGGACGATTTCTCCGGCCTGTTAGCGAGAGACTTCGGATTAAAACCTCATGGCAAATCTGCTCCGATGGCGCCACAAAGCAACTCTTCTACCTACAGCTTCACGAACGCCTCATCGAAGAAGTCCGATTCGTCGCCGGTATTCGACGATCTGAGTCGCGACGGTAATGATCTTCTCTTCAACGATATATTTAGCAAACCCTCCGATTCTCGTTCTCAGCCGAAGGCATCTGCTCCCGCCTTTGACTACGATGCTATGTTCAAGGAGCGGGCTTCACCCAAATCGTCGTCCATACCGGTTTATGATAAGCCGGTTTACGATGAGGATGTGTTTGAGGCTATCCCTGAGCTCAAAATCCCATCGACTTCTCAATCTGCTCGGTTTGACGACGTTTACTCTTCGATTTCGTCACCTACGAAGCTCAGGAAACAGAACAGTTCTCCTCTCGATGATCTGATTGGGAACTTGGGGAAACGAGAAAAGGAATCAAACAAAACAGAGAGTGAGAGAGAGGAGAAGGGTGGCTCCGCTTTTGATGATTTGATTCCTGGGTTTGGTCGCAGTAGCTCCCCTGCAACTAAACGGTAACTTTCAGCCTTTTTGTTGATCGTCAAATCTGTTTCTCCAAGAAGTGGCTTGTGTGCTTATTGGTATAGAGCTTAGAGCTATCACACATAGTGAAATGTAGCATGAACTTTTTGCTAATGAAACTTGTGGATATCGTAGAAATTCTTCAACTAAAAGGTTGCATTTTTCAACCTTCTTGCGTTACATGGCTCAAGTGTGTAAAGCTTAGAGCTAATGAATTGTAGCATGAACTTTACAGTGCTTATGGAGAGCTGTTAGCAATATAATATTTGCACACAAGGTTCTCTATTTGTACTTACCGGAACTTAAATGAATCTTAGAAGTCTCCATATGCTTAAACCTTTTGCTTCTTATTCATATGCAAAATTCCATTTTGATTATGGGGTATAGGCAAAATTTTCTTCTTATCAGTTGAAAGATGTTGAACTCTTTTTGCACAGGCCAACTTCAGTGACAAGTCCGCCCCAGAAGCCTTTTTATCAGACAACCGAGAGATCTTCAAATCATGTGGAAGACCCATTTGTAGTCTTGGAGGAGTCTGCATCAACCCCTAGAGAACCTTCCGCAGGAGGGTTCACTGATCCATTAGAGGAAATTGGTAAATTCAACAGCAGAAAAAGTGATAATGCATCTGTCCATAAGAAAGTTTCATATGATGAAGTTTTGGAGCCGTCCAAAACTGTTCCTCATACTGCTTCTCCGGTGTATGAAGATCCTCATTTGTACAGGGACAATTTGGCAGAGAACAAATCACTCTATTCAGATGGAAGTTTTGAATCATCGGATGATGTGTGGCTCACTGTATCTGAGATCCCCCTATTTACGCAACCTACAGGTGCTCCTCCACCTTCTAGGCCTCCACCACCAAGACCTACACGTCCTATAAAAAAGAATGTTAACGAGCCTTCTTTATCAAGTTCTACTAACCACTCACACGTTCCCAGCCCAGTTAGAGCTTCTGTAAATAGCCCGACAGCATCTCAAATGGATGATGTGGAAGATTTTTATATGGTAAGAAATCAGGCTGCTGCTAATGGACATCCCGAGCCTCCGTCGGGCGAAGATGTTTTCATTTCATCAGCTGATGCCATGAAGATTGCCATGGAAAAAGCAGAAGCGAAGTTTAGGCATGCCAAGGAAAGGAGAGAGAAAGACAATTTGAGGGCGAGTAGAGGTAGAGAAGGAGATCGAATGGAGAATAATGATTCTCGGGAAAGGGAAATTAGAGAAAAGCAAGCAAGGGAGGCAGAGATTGAAAGGGAGAGAGAGGAAAGAGAAAGAGAGCAGAAAAGAATTGAGAAAGAAAGGGAAAGACTGTTGGCTAGACAGGCAGTAGAGAGGGCTACAAGAGAAGCACGCGAACGAGCAGCCATTGAAGCACATGCGAAAGCTCAGAGAGCTGCAGCTGTTGGGAAGGCAACCGATTCCCGAGAACGCTCAGAAAGAGCAGCGGTTCAAAGAGCTCATGCTGAAGCACGTGAACGGGCAGCTGCTGGGGCAAAGGAAAAGGCTGCGAAAGCTGCAGCAGAAGCTAGGGAAAGGGCGAATGCTGAAGCGCGGGAGAAGGAAGCTAGGGTTAAGGCAGAACGAGTTGCTGTGGAAAGGGCAGCTGCAGAGGCACGTGGAAGGGCAGCTGCCCAAGCTAAAGCTAAACAGCAAGAGAATAATAAAGCTAAGCAGCAAGAGAATAATAATGATCTTAACTCCTTCTTTAACTCTGTTTCCAGACCAAGCAGTGCTCCACGACAGAGAACCAACCCTCCGGTGAGCTGGGATATCTGCTTCTGCTCTGCTTTAAGTCCTTTAAAGGAGATTCGTCTCCTCCTCTAACTCTCGTTGTGTTTCAGGATCCTTTCCAGGATACATGGAACAAGGGAGGATCATTCGAATCTAGCAGGCCATCTTCGAGAGTGCCTTCAGGACCATCAGAGAACCTGAGAAAGGCCTCTTCAGTAACGAATCTTGCTGATGATCTCAGTTCAATATTTCGAGGTAACTGCAATTTCTGAGATTTTCTGCTTTACTATCATGTCTTTTAACTTGGTCACCAACTGAAACATCCTGCGTTGTAAAGCCCCAGCTACTCAGTCCGGTGGGTTTCAAGATGTTGAAGGAGAAACTGAAGAGAGACGGCGTGCCAGGCTGGAACGCCACCAGAGGACACAGGAGCGGGCTGTATGTATCAATTTATCTGTTAGATCATTTTCTTTGACAATGACGCAAGATCTATAAGTAACATAAATTCTTTTCTCAAACAGGCGAAAGCACTTGCTGATAAGAACGAACGTGATCTTCAAGTGCTAAGAGAACAGGCTGAGAGAAATGTAAGTTTCTTCCATCCTGTCTACCCAATCATGTTGCTTTGTTGAGATACTAAATAAGTCATTAGCGTCAGAAAACTGTCCCACCTTAGTGAACTGTCTCAACTAAAACATCCATCTTTCTTTTTGAATTGCAGAGGATTGGTGAGACTCTGGATGCGGAGATAAAACGTTGGGGTGCGGGGAAGGAGGGAAACTTGCGTGCTCTGCTTTCTACGTTACAATATGCAAGTCCTATTGTCTGTTATTCTTTATTATGTGTACCTTTGATTGTATGAATCTTACAATCTTTTTATGTTGTTTCAATGAAAATGAACAGGTTCTTTGGCCCGAGTCCGGTTGGCAGCCTGTTTCACTGACCGATTTAATCACCGCTGCATCGGTCAAGAAAGTTTACAGAAAGGCCACTCTCTGTATACATCCTGACAAAGTTCAGCAAAAAGGCGCCAATCTCCAGCAGAAATACGTTGCCGAGAAAGTGTTCGACATGCTCAAGGTAAGTGATTCTCCATTTTTCACCATCACATCTACTTTAGTTGCCATCAGTATAAGTTAACTTAGTTGCATTACTCATGGAGATGACTATAAACCACATGTACTGGCTTCATCTCTTTTCTCTTGGCAATAAACAGGAAGCATGGAACAAATTTAACTCAGAAGAACTTTTTTGAAAAATCTTTTGCTGGGATTATGTTTTGAGATTGTGTTGTTCGTGTGCCTCCAAAAAGATGAAGCAAGCATGATGCATTTTCATTAAAATGTAGAAAAATGCTGAAGCCACAGATAGTTGTTAATAGAGTATGTATTCCCTCGGATTTTACCCAACACTGCATCATTATAGACATTGCAGCAATTGGGCATTCTTTTTTTTGTTAATTTTTTCCCTTGGCATTACCGACCCTACTTGGTTCTCATCCTTGTAAAGAGTACGATGTCAAATGTACTGATGTTAATTTCTTGTATCAGAACACAATACTTGAGAGAGCTGTGTATTGTTTCTTATAATTTTTTTATATAATATCCATATATATTCTTTTAAGTGGCATGTTGGCGAATCTAAAGGCAATATGGCTTCTCTCTTTGGATTTTTATTCCCTCAAATCAAAGAGAAATTTTACAGAACCGCTCAATTTCACCCTCGATTATCAAAGCGTTTAGGCACAACTTTCAGGAATTGCAAGAATATCTTGCGTGATCAAGACAGCATGTCATTTGCATTAAGTAACACATCAAGTTCAATGCAACCACGAGGGTCGTCTCCAAAACATCCTTACATAAAACCATCTTACAATCTCGGAATTAGGTGCAAAGAAAGGTTTGCTCTTGATAATGCAAAGAAAAGAAGACCAAGGCGACAAAGAGGATTCCTTCATTAGTTTACAAAGCTTTATCACTCAAAATGTGTTGTGGGATGTCAAATATTATCATGTTGCTTTGCTTTAGGCTTCTGAACCAAATCCATCGCGAGGCTGTTGAGCTCAATACAACAAAACACAAACACGCCTGCATATAAAGAATATTCATATATGCATATATAAATAGCTTGGAAACAACATTACACAGTTCTCTCAAGTATTGTGTTTTTGATACAAGAAATCAACATCAAATACATTTGACATCGTACCCTTAAAACGATAAGAATCAAGAAGGGTGATGAAAAGGAAAAATTAACAAACAAAACAAAATATAAGAATGCCCAAATTCTGCAACGTCTTCAGTGCTGCAGTGTTGGGGTAATCCGAGGGAATACATACTCTATCAACAATCTGTGGCTCCAACAGTTTTTTTGCATTTCAATGAATGCATCATGCTTGATTCATCGACGCCACACGAACAACACAATCTCAAAACATAATCCCAGGTTTTTTTTCAAAAAAGTTCTTCCGAGTTAAATTTGTTCCATGATTCCTGTTTTTTGTCAAGAGAAGAGATGAAGCCAGCAAATGAGGTTTTAGTTATGCATGAGTCATGCAATCTAATTGTACAATAAACTTCACTTAAATTTGTGGCATCTAAAGTAGTATTGATGGTGAAAAATTGGAGAATCACTTACCTTGAGCATGTCGAACACTTTCTCTGCAATGTATTTCTGCTGGAGATTGGCGCCTTTTTGCTGAACTTTGTCAGGATGTATACAGAGAGTGGCCTTCCTGTAAACTTTCTTGACCGATGCAGCGGTGATTAAATCCGTCAATGAAACAGGCTGCCAACCGCATTCGGGCCAAAGAACCTAACCATTTGCATTGAAACATCATAAGAGATTGTAAGATTCATATCATCAAAGATAAAAATTGTAAAGAAAACAAAGACAATACGACATACATATTGTAATGTCGAAAGCAGAGCACGCAAGTTTCCCTCCTTCCCCGCACCCCAACGTTTTATCTCCGCATCCAGAGTCTCACCAATCCTCTGCAATCCAGAATTAAACAAAAAAAGATAAACAAGAGATGGCACAGTGGTTTGACAGTAATGACCTCAGGAGGCCCCAGACTTATTAAGTGTCTCAAGAAAGTAACATGTACAGAAATAAAACTGAATTCCACAGTAATGAAACTTACATTTCTCTCAGCTTGTTCTCTTAGTACTTGAAGATCACGTTCGTTTTTATCAGCAAGTGCTTTCGCCTGTTTGAGAAAAGAATTTATGTTACTTAACATACTTGTGGATCTTGCGTCATTCTCAAAGAAAATGATCTAACAACTCAATTGATACATACAGCCCGCTCCTGTGTCCTCTGGTGGCGTTCCAGCCTGGCACGCCGTCTCTCTTCAGTTTCTCCTTCAACATCTTGAAACCCACCGGACTGAGCAGCTGGGGCTTTACAAAGCAGGAGGTTTCAGTTAGTGACATGAGAATAAAGCAGAAAAATCTCAGAAATTGCATTACCTCCAAATATTGAACTGAGATCATCAGCAAGATTCGTTACTGAAGAGGCCTTTCTCAGGTTTTCTGATGGTCCTGAAGGAACTCGCGAAGATGGCCTGCTAGATTCGAATGATCCTCCCTTGTTCCAAGTATCCTGGAAAGGATCCTGAAACACAACGAGAGTTAGAGGAGGAGACGAATCTCCTTAAAAAGACTTAAAGCAGAGCAGAAGCAGATATCCCAGCTCACCGGAGGGTTCGTTCTCTGTCGTGGAGCACTGCTTGGTCTGGAAACTGAGTTAAAGAAAGAGTCAAGATCATTATTATTCTCTTGCTGCTTAGCTTTATTATTCTCTTGCTGTTTAGCTTTAGCTTGGGCAGCTGCCCTTCCACGTGCCTCTGCAGCTGCCCTTTCCACAGCAGCTCGTTCTGCCTTAACCCTAGCGTCCTTCTCCCGCGCTTCAGCATTCGCCCTTTCCCTAGCTTCTGCTGCGGCTTTCTCAGCCTTTTCTCTTGCCCCTGCAGCTGCCCTTTCACGAGCTTCAGCATGAGCTCTTTGAACCGCTGCTCTTTCTGAGCGTTCTCTGGCATCTGTAGCCTTCCCAACTGCAGCTCTCTGAACTTTTGCATGTGCTTCAGTGGCTGCTCTTTCACGTGCTTCTCGTGTAGCCCTCTCTACCGCCTGTCTAGCCAACAGTCTTTCCCTTTCTTTCTCAATTCTTTTCTGCTCTCTTTCTCTCTCCTCTCTCTCCCTCTCCATCTCTGCCTCCCTCTCTACCCTTTCACGATCCAATCTTGCTTGCTTTTCTCTAAGTTCCCTTTCCCGAGAATCATTATTCTCCATTTGATCACCTTCTCTACCTCTACTCGCCTTCAAATTTTCTTTCTCTCTCCTTTCCTTAGCATGCCTAAACTTCGCTTCTGCTTTCTCCATGGCATCCTTCATGGCAGCAGCTGATGCAGCAGCAGAAGAGAAAAGATCTGGATCTTCGCCCGACAGAGGCTCGGGATGTCCATTAGCAGCAGAATAATTTCTTCCCGTATAAAAATCTTCCACATCATCCGTTTGAGATGCTGTCGGGCTATTTGCAGAAGCTCTAGCTGTCGTGGGAACGTGTGAGTGGTTAGTAGAACTTGATAAAGAAGGCTCGTTAACCTTCTTTTTTATAGGACGTGTAGGTCTTGGTGGTGGAGGCCTTGAAGGTGGTGGAGCACTGGTAGGTTGCGTAAATAGGGGGATCTCAGATACAGTGAGCCACACATCATCAGATGATTCAAAACTTCCACCTGAATTGACTGATTTATGCTCCGGCAAATTCTCCCTGTACATATGATGGCTTTCATATACTGGAGAAGCAGTCTGCGGAACAGTTTTGGATGATGTATGCTGCGGCTCCAAAACTTCGTCAAATGGAGTTTTCTTAGGATGGTAACTCCTAGAACTTTCTACTGGTGACTGAGAGCCGCTGAAGTTTTCTGGTCTCAGATGACTTTTGCCTCTACTATTCATATCTGTCCCTGATTTTCCAAGACTATCGAGAGGGTCAATATCAACAAATACTCCTCCATGGACATATGTATGATCAGTTTTTCTTTTACTAGTTTCCTCTAATGGATCAGTGAACACTCTTGGGGTTGATGCAGACTCCTCCAAAACTGCAAATGGGTCATCCACAAGATTGGATGATCCACTGGCTGTCCGGTTAGGAGATTTCTGAGATTGACTCGTCTCTGAAGTTTGCCTGTGCAAAAAGAGTAACAATTATGCCTATAACTTTTATGAATGACAAGCAAAAACCTGCAAACAGCTCCCATAAGCACCCAAAAATTCAAGCTATAATTCATTAGCAAAAGGTTCAAGCTTTTGAAGAATTTTTGAGATATCTATAAGTCCCATAAGAGAAACTTGTAATGCAATGTTAACCTGAAAATAGCTCTCCATAAGCACTATAAAGTTCATGCTACATTTCACTATGCAAGTGTGTTAGCTCTAAGCTCTATACCCTTGAGTCATTTCACAAACCAAAACCTCTAGAAGAAACAAATTTGAAGACTGAATGTTTACCGTTTAGTTACAGGGGAGCTACTGCGACCAAACCCAGGGATCAAATCATCAAAAACGGAGCTACCCTTCTCCTCTCTCTCACTCTCCGTCTTGTTTGATTCCATTTCTCGTTTCCCCAAGTTCCCAATCAGATCATCGAAAGGAGAACTGTTCTGTTTCTTGTGCTTCGTAGGCGACGAAATCGAAGCGAAAACATTGTCAAACCGAGCTGATTGAGAAGAAGTCGATGGGATTTTGAGCTCAGGGATAGCCTCAAACACGTCCTCATCGTAAACCGGCTTGTCATAAACCGGTATGGACGACGATTTGGGTGATGACCGCTCCTTGAACATAGCATCGTAGTCAAAGGCCGGAGCAGACGGCTTCGGCTGAGAACGAGAATCGGAGGATCGGGTAAAGACGTCGTTGAAGAGGAGATCATCACCATCGCGACTCAGATCGTCGAATACCGGCGACGAATCGGACTTCTTCGATGATGGATTCGCGAAGCTGTAGAAACTGTTGAAATCAGCGGTGGAAGAGTTGCTTTGAGGCGCCATCGGAGCAGATTTGCCCTGAGGTTTCAATCCGAAGTCTTTAGCTAATAAGCCTGTGAAATCCTCCATGGATGATGATTCCTTTGATTTCTACCTATCGGATTCGTCTCCGATCTTTTGAAATTCCCCACCAGAAAACGAAGACGAGATTTTTCCTTCAGATCTGAGTGTCCATTTGACGAATCGGAGTTAAAGTTTCTGATTTTAGTTTTGAAAAATTAGCTCTTTGTATTCTTCTTCGTTTTTTCCTCTCTGGTTACTTCTCCGACTACATGTTCCGAGACTCCATTATTTTCTACTTTTTTATATATGGGTCCTACATTTTGTCTCTTTTACACATTTGCTCCTCAATATTCCTTAAAGTCAATCACAGCCCCTAGATTTCGGAATTTGAACAGTGAATAAAACTTAGGATGACAATATTCAATCTCAAAAACTCATTGGCTGCTGACAAGAACAACCAGACCAAGATTGTTTAAAGATTTTAGAAATAAGGTCGTGTAGATACAGAGTAACAAATTTATCAATCAGAACCATCATCTTCATCGTCATCTTTGATCTTGACATCTGCGTCTTCACCAAACTGGATACAGACATCGATTTGGGACAGAACATACTGAATGCTGCTCATAGATTAACATTGTTGATGTTAGTTTTTGAACTGAATCAAGATCAAAGTTAGGAAGAAAGAAACTGAGAGGGTTAATTAGTTTTACCTTCGCTCTTTCCTCAAGTCAAGAGGTATGAAATTCACCATCCCATAGTCTCCAACCTGATAATAATAACCACAAAAATACCATAAAAATGCAATCATGAGTTTCAAACGATTACAATCAATATTTGCAGTTGCATATAACATACCATTTCCATCAAGGATTTGTTCAGTTTCGCATATTTAGGACCCATCCTTTGGTTTAACTCTGCTAGCAATGTGCGAGGCTCCGGATTCAAGTAGCTAGAGAGTTCACAGTAAAACCAAACCAATTTATTGACTAATCACGAAACTTCAACAAAGAGTAAAACAGTGGGATGAGTAAGAATCCATACTCGTCAAGGTTGCTTTTATCCTGTAAGAGATCCATCTTTGAGAGGATGTTGACATGAGGTAATTCAAGCTGGACCATTGCAGAGAGAGACGACATGCAACCGCTGATAAACTTGGTTACATCTGTTATGAACTGATAATCCACACACACACAAAAATCATCATCACTTGTCAATGCAAATTGGCTCTTCTTCGCTATAATAAAAGCAAGTATACGCAGATTACAAAACCTGAGAGTCAAGCAGGTAAACAACACAGACGTTGAAGTTCTTCTGCTTCAAATGCTCCACAAAGTTCTTGAGCACAGGGACATGTGTAAACAGCTCTATCTGGCCTATTAACAGAAGCAAAATTTTCAAAGAGTTTAGAGATGAAAACCACAGTTGAGATGCATCAACTTCATCTGCTATCAAACACATTTGAACATGTATGCACCTGGACAGTCAAAGATAAGGTAATCGTCGTCCCTGTAGTTCTCCAATTCTTCATCCACCCATTCATGTAAGCTATCCTCAAGGTACCTAAAGATTCAAAGTTAAGGCCTTTCCAATTCCACACATTAGCTTCTTTGTTTTCCCCATATAAAGGTAACAATTTTGTATAACTCTCAACAAAAAGGATACTCCATGCAATACATAAGGCCACCATTAGGACCAAGCTTGAGCTCCTCCATTACATCTTCCAAAGAAATAAGTTCTCTGATATCTACGTTAACCAAAAAAAAAGTAGTAAGCTTTCAATCAAAACCATCAAGGGAACTGAATTTTAGAGGAAACTCACTCACCCATAGCAACAGGGTAGTTAAAGATTTCAGCAGCAGGATCCAAGTTAACAACATGCATTGTTCGGCCGATTGTTTCACAGTGTTCAAACAAAGATGAACAGTAAGTAGACTGATTCAAAACACACAAAAGAAAAACTTTTAGTCAAATCTCACTGATAAATTTAAGACTTTTACAGAGAAAATTGACATAAGACTAAATAAATATATAACCTTTCCGCTTCCTGCTGGACCGATAACGAGCTGTGCGTAACCCATTGTAGCAAAGCAAGCCTCTTAAATCGAACAAAGAGAGTGGATGATTCTAAAAGATGCAAAGATTGCGACAGTTATATAAGCAATGCACCAAACACCTAAACCAAACAATACACTCAATATGTCGCAGGAACCCATAAACCAGAAGCAATACACATTTCAGCACCTGAAAATAAGGGAAAATACTAGAATCGGTCACAGAAATCAGACTTAGTCAGGGTTTTAAGACCGCGTATAACCTAAAAACGAGAACGATGACAAATTTCGACAGAAATTGAAGAAACTAAGAGTAGCCGACATGAATTTCCATGGTGAAAACGAAACCCAGAAGAAAGGAATCACAAGTCCTGTGTAGGATACTAAGTGAATCGATGGAGAAGAAAAAAACGGAATCAGAGAGATGATTTGACTTCACCTTTGAGTATTAGACGAGTCTTCCTAAACTTTTCGCTTCTGATTAAAACCTAAACCACAACCAAAAGAAGAGAAGGAGCCAATTCACCGATTATTGCTTCTAAAGACTTTTTAGGGTTTTTAATGGTTTTTTCTCTTTTCTTCAATTTTTTTTTTTCTAATATTTATTGAATGAATGGTTCGGTTGCGTTTGGTTAGACAAGAATTTAATGCTTTACAATTTATGATTTGACCACACCAAAAATGATATGATTTCCACCACGTGTTTCACGTAATTCCTTTTTTATTTTTCCCAAATTAAAAAACTAAAAAAAAAGTTTCGAAAATTTGATGTATAACCGTTGTACACATTTTACCACAAGATATAAATTGCAGAAAGCACAATGATTCGTCGATTTTGAGCTTAATCACCATGAAAAACCTGATTAACCAGTCAGGATTAATATCACAAAGAACAAAGTATAAGCCAGTCTTTATTCATCATTGTTTTTATAAGTTTGGCTGTAAAAAATTACAACATCAAGGTCATATATGAGATGAATAATGCATAATAAGAAGACAACAAATATCCAAATCCCATCATATTCAATCAAAGACCTTCTTTATCTGTTGGCATCCTCAGAACCATAGCGTCTCCATCTGCATAACACACAACACAGATATTAAAATCCCATAACATTCCTATCACATAGGCACACCACCAATGCTCTTATCCAATTAATCATGAATCAAAACTACTTTATGGTTGATGATTTATGATTTTCACTTACCCAATGGTGTGTATTCCGGCAGACTTACGTACTTGGGACATGATTTCTTCGACGTCAAGCCTTTTGAAACAACACAATCCCTGGGCTGTTAGAGATAAACAAACAAAAAATGCTGTCAGAAAACTGTTACCATCCTTAGAACCTACCATAATGTTTAAACTTTAAACCAGAAAAAAAAAAAGCAAAAACAAGAAGCTGAGATGAAAGAGATGTCAAATACAGACCGTGAGATCTTTCTCGAAGCATATACGCAGTTCGTCGATTGCGTCCTTTTTGCATACAACTTCAGGGTTAACATGAAACGCGTTCTGAATGGCTGTTACAATACCTCCTAGAGGATACTTCTCGCTGTTGGAAGCAACGTAGCCTTCTTTATAAAGGACATCCTACAGTTTACAGATAGTAAAAATGTCATTAAGAACTTCTCCATGAGTGAAAAATGTACAAAAGGTTCTTCACCAACTGAGAATTCATAGCAGAATATGACGCTCTCTAGTTCAAAACTCATCAACTATATCATAATTAGCTCTGTGAAGACTTACCGTGACATTATACTTGAAGTAGATATTAAGTGTGGTAAGGAAGTAACTATACTCATCATGAAAAACAGGAGAAGAACAAGTCCCATGTTTCTCTGAAAATAAGACAATATCAGCACAATTTTAGAGAGAAGAGCCCATTTTATCGTTTTAACACACTCAAACCAGAACGTATTGTGTTAAGTAAGCATGGGGCTCTATATAACACTATGTAGAGACTGAAGATGATTACCCCACTGCCAGATTGTATTGCAAAAGAAGATACATGAAAACAAAAACAAAAAACGAAACCAAGTTAGTTTTGGTGAAGAGTAAAATCAAGGGGAAGATGTAACAAATGTGACTAATTATCACACCTCATGGCCCCAAAACGATCCTTTTCCACCATAGCATGATGATGGAGAACCACAGCTGAGGCTGGGCCAGTACTTATCAAGGCCGTCCTTTAACGTTGTGATCTACAATTTTTCTCCATTCAGTATCTTCGTTTCAGAATATCAAATTTAGGTAAAATTTCGGATGCTTTCTAGCCAACACAATAAAAGTTCAACAAGGAGCAGGTAAGAATGTGAAATGTTTACCTCTTTTTCATTAAATTCAGATCGATAACAACATGAAGGCCATGAACCGTCGTTATAGTCAGGCCATAGTCCATCTACAAGATTAGTATTGGAGATTATTAGGATGCAAAATAAAGTTACTTCTCCAAAAAAGAGCTCAAGAGTCTGAATGATTGCATTGCAGAGAAGATCAGTATCAAGCAAATCCTGTAGAAGAGAGAACTAATCTTGTTGAAAACTCATAACACAAAATTGTTTTGATGCAGAGAGTGATGAATGCAGAACTACACAACTAGATCCACGCCCTCACATATAGATTACTCATCAGACCAAATCACTAACTATAAATCCAGGATATGCAATATCTTTACTATATTCTCCAACTCCAAGATTTTGACAAAAAAAATGAAGTTTCTTGTTTCTAAAATTTGATCTTAGAAAAGTCAGAGCAACAGCTTTAAACTTCACCAAGAATTTACAAAACGAGAGCAACTAAGCTGAGAACTTTAACTTCACCAAGAACACAAAATTGATTCTCAAACTGAAAATAGGATCCAAAGAGTTTACTTACGGATGGTGAATTGAGTTGGAGTGTCCGAGCTGGAAAAGAAAAGAGAAAGACGTAAGCACAATCTCAAAAGCAAGATCTTTACAATCGCTTTGGTTTTGATTAAATCATTACTGAAACAATCTGAGGTACTGCAGAATCATGAAAACACTTAATTCCTCATCGCTATTATCAAATCATCTCGATTCCAATCAAAAACTGGTTCTCGAATTAGAAAGAAAACCCTCAGCTAATTCGATTTTTTGGGTTTTCAATCGGAGATTCGAGAGAACAAGAACCGATTCAAATTAGAGAAAAATCTTACCCTCGACAGCAAGCATTTTTGGAGCAGCAATGGCGAGTTCCACGGCAGTAAGTACCAGGCCATTGAAGAGAAAGAGCGAAATAATCGAACTCTCTCTGTGAGCGATTGACTTCGACGACGTTGTCTCCGGTAATTCCTCCGGTCTCCGGTAAATACGCCGACGCGGAGAGAAACGTAACGAAAAGGACTTCGAGGAGAAGGAGAAGAGATCTACGAGACGCCATTGACTCTCGATTTCCGGATTTTGGAGAACCGTTTTTAGCTCCGATTCCGATTCGGGTCACTGTATGTTTTGTTTTATATGTGGAGGGAAAAGGAGGGTATTATAGTCTTTTTGATCTTTACAGTTGGGGAGATCAACGAATATTCCTCTACACCTTTAGATTACGTTACGTAAGATATGTTTATCCCTCTCGTTTATATCTACAGTATAAAGAAGATTATTGTCGGTTCGCAGAAAATATAAAGTACGGAAAAATAATTTGAATGAACCAAAATTTATCAATATGGTTTCGATCTAGATTCTAGAACAATACATAAATGATTCATGAATCATGATCTTTATTTCAATCATTCTAAAGTAGCTTTGACAAGCAATGAGCTTAAGATATACGTTCACGGTTCATCATTGGCTCAAGGAATGAGATCAGATGAGTCACTCAAACCGTATTTCATTAGCCGCATAATTAATTTAGTAGTAACAATTTAACTCAAACCGTATTTCATTAGCTCTGAATTTTTGTAAACCAGGAAAAAAAAATCGAGAATATAATATTGATAACGTTTTTCTTTTTCTATGCTCTTTCTCTATTCTCTTATCTACATTCAAAAATTCTAGAGAGCTGCTAAAAAGCATACAGCCTAAATTTTACCATAAAAAATTCAAGAAAGGCTTATGTAATAAACAAACCAATTTGAACGAGCCAAAATTCATCAATTTGGTTTCGAACAAGGTTCTAGAACAACCTGAACAACACATACAGTCGATTCATATATGAATATGTGGTTGAGAAAAATTAAAATAAAGTTAAAAAGGTTTAAATAAATTAATAAGCTGTATTACTTAGACTACTAAACAATATCTTGCCTCATTGTTATATATAGATTCGATTTAGCTGTCTTGATAGGAATAACTGAAACTATGTTAGTAAAAAAGAAATCAGTTTAAGTATGAATTTTGACTAAATAAGAAATTCACAATATTTATTTTTAAAAGGAATATTTTCAAAAGAAATTTTTTTGAAAAGGAATTTGTTTATATAGAAATTTTGTAATCTACCAACTTTTTTTTGTTGGTTTTCTAAGACCGCCACTAAATACCAAGAAAAACAAATCTTAAGAAAATTTATGAACAATTTTGGTATAATGACAGCGTTTGTTCATGCACAGTGTACGAAACACAGAGAGAAATTTTGAAGGAAAAAGGTTATATGAAAGATTCATGCACAATACCCAACCATATATATAGAATACTGAATAAAGGAAAAAAAAATTAGCAAATTAAGAAAAATTGAAATTTCATTTTTATAGTAAATTCTTATTCATTATATATATGTTAGGTGAAGAAGTCTATGAACAGTAAAGAGCAAACCTGCAAGCTACAATGGAGGATCTAGAGGTATGTACACTTTTATATGTAGATTTGTCAATATGTATTGGTATAAGAAATCAAACTCAAATATTTTCTCTATTACGTTTACGATATTTTTGTTCATACTAGCTTAATTTCTCTGAGATATACACAAATTATTTTGTCATCAGATTCAATGATTTCATACATACAGTAAATAAGAAACGATTTGCGCTATCACATATAGATTACTACACAATTAGAACCGAAAATACACCATAATCTATCTCACTGATCAAATTAATCTTCTTTTCTTTTGTATCAACTCAAATATTTATTTCATTTACTTTGCGTTTGTTTGCAAAAGATGAAGAGCAACGAAAGAAAGACGCCGGCGGAGGAGATGTCAGTTGTTGTAGATTTGAGGGTGGTTAAACCATTGCTCAGTTGTCAGATTTGTTCCAAGCTAATGAAGCAAGCCACATCCATAACCCTGTGCCTCGACCATTGTGAGTTATCTCTGTTCTCCGATTACATCATTTTGTTTTGTTGGGTGCTGAAATGAGTAATTGATAATCATTAGTCATTATTTATCTTGAGCTTAGTCACCCATCTTTCGTAGCAAATAGTTTTTTTGTTTTGAAATAGTTACATGCGTAGGAATACATATATTAATCATGAATAAACTGGTTACATTGTTCACCTTGCGTATACTGTTCAAAATAACAATTTTGCCTTCAATTGCTGCTTTATGCCTTGTGTATGTATAGATCTCATTCATAATTCATAGCAAATAGTTATGCATATACATTAATCATCTCTATATAATGGTTAGTTTAGTTCACTACAAGTATACAAGAACAATAACTATTTTTGCTCACAACCGCTGACTTTCATATGTTGTATTTGATGTGGGGATTGAAATTTGTACAATCTTTTTCAACTATAAATAAAAGGACTTATGAACTCTTTAATTTGTAAACAGTTTGTTGGGAATGCATCTACGACTATGTCACCGAGCATGGTGGTCAAAGTTGTCCAGTCTGCGGTGTTTACCTTGGTTCACGACCTCTAAGCAAAATTAGGTATTCACTTTAATCTCTTTTACTTAATCACATTCCAATTTAAGTTGCACACCCGTGCTATATAGTTCTTGATTTCAGCCTACTTCTTGAAACAATCTCTACGTTAGATTTATATCTTTATTTAATCTGCATATTAATTGATCTTGTTTAAATGATAGGCGTGACCAGCAGTATGAAAGGTTGATAAACACAATCTTCCCTCAAGAGAAAAAAGAAGTGGAGATGGAGTCCAAAACTTCTGACGTTTCGTCATCATCATCAGCCTAAAGATGTGAAGCCCCCAAACACCTGAAAAAAATGAGAGAACAAGTCTGAACTTATTTTTTTTAAGGTTATTTGTGGCATCAGTTTCCTTTTGTTTTTCTTCTTTGCTACCATATTTTCAGAAACAATTTTCAGTTCTGAATAATTTTTCATCCACTCTACTTTCAAGTCATGAAAGAAAAGTTGGTTGATGTAATAAGGCCCGGATATCGTTGAACGAGCCCTTTTTCGATTTGGTTTACATGAACTAGTTTTCTTCATGCTTCGTTTATTTGGTTTCAAAATATATGAATTACCGCTATATTATTTTGTGGTTTAAAATTAGATTGGATTCCTTAACTTGGACTGCTGCAATACATGTTCAGTATATTAGGTTTTAGCATGTATAAAAAATTGGTTTATTGATTTTGGGTTTGGTCTTTGAAAGGGACAAGAAAAAAGCAAACTTATGTACATTAGATAGGGATAGGTATATGAGTTTGTTAGGAGGGCCTTAAAAGATCAGACTATTGACAGCGAATGAAGGGCTCGAGAAGATAGACTAGTTGAAGGCAAGTGAGAATGGTGCATGAGTGGAATGTGAAGCATAAGACAAAGTGGAGGTAACGTGAAAGGTACTAAGACAATGCATGTGATGAGGGAAGAAGTTATGCAAATGGTTAGAAAAAATGAGTCACTATGAGGAAGAGGAGAATGTATCGATCTTAAACTGGACTTTGGTAACAAAGAACAGTAAAACATTCTTCGGCAAATTGTTAATTATATGGTTTTGCTCTTGAGGGCATAATTTGTTTATCAATGTTTCAAATTGCTGGTCACGCCTATCATTTACCATATTGATTAATATTGAGGATAAATACAGATATAAACATAACGTAGAAATTGTTTCAAGAAGTAGTCTGAAATCAAGAACTATATAGTACGAGTGTACGTATGCATAACTATTTACTATGAAAGATGAATGAGATATATACACAAAATATAAATCATCAACTGAAGGCAAAATTGGTATTATAGTGACCAGTATACGCAAGGTGAAACTAATATAACCAGTTTAATCATGATTAATATATGTATTCCTACGCATGTAACTATTTGCTACGAAAGATGGGTGACTAATGGTTATAAATTAAAGAATGCAGCACCCAACAAAACAAAATGATGTAATCGGAGAGAAGTGATAGCTCACATTTGTCGAAGCACAAGATTATGGATGAGGCTTGGTTCATTATTTGGGAACATATCTTACAAGTTAACAATGATTTAATCTCCCTCGAATCTACACGCACTGTCTTCTTCTCCTCCCCCGTCTTCTCTTTGTTTCTCCTCATCTTCTGCCAACAATAAAAAGTAGATGAAATAAATATTTGAGTTGCTAGGCAAGTGAGAATGGTGCAAGAGTTGAATGTGAACCATAAGACGAAGTGGAGGTAACGTGAAAATAGTGGAATGCATGTGAATAAGTGAGGCAAATGGTTTTTAAAAAAGAGTCACTACATTTGGTACTACTTTTTTCTCGTTAATTATCATTTATGATTTCTTACACTTATTGGGAAAATTGTTTAAAATTTGTATCGTATCCTTCGTTATTGGAGTAGTTGTTAACCTAAAAAAATAGATACTCCATATATAGTCCATACCAAGCATCCCCCAAGTATATTTTCAAACATAAATGATAATTAAACATCACGAAGGCACATATTAATACAAATACTGCTTAATTGATCAATATTTATGTTTTACATTCTTTCTCTAAATCTCTCTATCACTAATGATTAATTGGGGATTAAAACTATTTAGTCAACATGCAAAAAAAAAACAGAAATTTGAAAGTTGAAACTTTGGTGGCAATTTTTTTCTGTTTTAAAATGTATATAATCCAATACAGTAGAACCTCTATAAAACAATACTCGATAAAACAATAAACACTATAAGATAATAATTTTCTCCGGTCCCAACTCGGGCCAATGTAAAAAATAGCATAATGCGATAAGATGATAAGACAATAATATTTTTGAAACTCCTATGTAAAAATATAGTCCCAACAATAAGCTAAGATAATAATTATAAAACTAAGGCATATATATCTAAGACAATTTAGTAAAATATGACTCCAATGTAGTTTGTCTTTTCTGAAAGTTGGATTCCCGTTGGAGCTCATCTCGAATTTTTCTTATTGCATCTACAATTTCTGGTGGTGTATTCTCAACTTGCAGCCAAAAGTTGTGAAGAGTTCTCGAAGCCACAATTGCTTAACTACTTGCACATGTCTTTCCTCATCATCTTCAACTTCATCTTCACCATTAAGAACATAGACATAATTTCTTATAGATTTTGAACTTCTGAGCATGAAATATGTAAATAACAAAGTATAAGGAAAATTTGAATAAAAAAGTGAAAAAATATATTCTATAAAGTTTCTTGTTTTTGATAGAATATTTCTATAAAATAATAATTATTGTTTTATCGATAAAATAATAATTATTGTTTTATCGATAAAATTTCAAAGTCCAACATTATTGTTTTATAGAGGTTTTACTGTAAACCAAAGATTTTGGAGGTAAGGAATTATTCTTTTTTAATACATTTTAAAAAATAAATATATCAATATATATTACTGTTGGCCAAAGTGGATAAGATAACATCCAATCAGAATCAGATACATCAGCCACATAGATCACTGAGAGCCACAACATCTCGCGAACCCGATCTTCAGCCCTGCCACATCAGCACACGCAATCTCAAGTCTCTTGGATTTGCTTATTTCTTCTTCTTCATCACATACTGAAGCCGCTTCTAATTTCAGATTCATAAGAGATTACAAAATAATGGCAGCGAGTGCATCTCCAATGGCGAGCCAGCTAAGGAGCAGCTTCTCCTCAGCTTCTATCGCAAGGCGTCTCGCCGTCCCAAAGGGCATCTCCGGCGCTCCTTTCGCTGTCTCTCCGACCAAAAGAGTCTCTTCCTTCACCGTCCGAGCTGTTCAGGCCGACAAGGTACTTTCTTTCTCAATAATTCGATACAGCCTTTATAGAACAATATCTACTTAGTATGATTTGCTAGCAGAACAATATCTATTTTGTATAGTTTGGTAAATGACACAAAAATAATTCATATAGAAGCTCTTAAAGCCTTAAAGGATTAACAAGTGTGACAATTTTTTGATTCCGTGACATATGACTGAAATATATATGCATTCATATGTAATACTGCTCTAACGTTAAGTATGCAATTTGGGCAGCCAACATTCCAAGTGGTTCAACCAATCAACGGTGATCCATTCATCGGAAGTTTGGAGACTCCGGTGACGTCAAGCCCATTGATCGCATGGTACCTCTCAAATCTCCCGGCTTACCGGACCGCAGTCAACCCTCTCCTCCGTGGTGTCGAAGTGGGTTTGGCCCATGGTTTCCTCTTAGTAGGCCCATTTGTCAAAGCTGGCCCATTAAGGAACACTCCTTACGCCGGCTCAGCTGGCTCTTTGGCCGCAGCTGGACTCGTAGTCATCCTCAGCATGTGCCTCACCATCTACGGAATCTCTTCTTTCAAGGAAGGAGACCCTTCGATCGCACCCGGTTTGACTTTGACCGGACGTAAGAAGCAGCCTGACCAGCTTCAGACTGCTGATGGATGGGCTAAGTTCACCGGAGGGTTCTTCTTCGGTGGGATCTCTGGGGTGACTTGGGCTTACTTCCTTCTCTACGTTCTTGACCTTCCTTACTACGTCAAATAAATGTAGATGAAAAATATAAATGTACCTTCAAACTCTCTCTTGCATCATTGTTTTTCTTTTGTCTTGATCAAGAATCTTGAATCTTTAAGGGAATGGTTAATGTATATTACTATGGATCTTTTCTTAACATTTGATAATCTATATTTTCCTTGAAAATGCTTTAATTTAAACTTTAAGTTGATACATCTCATTCTCGAGCAACTTTAAGAACTTGCTTCCCTACGTTTTGTCCATGGAAGAGTCCAACAAGAGCAGCAGGACCATTCTCTAGTCCTTCAACGATATCTTCAACATATATTAACTTCCTTTCTTTAATACATGGAAGCACAAACTCCAAGAACTTAGGGAAGCTATTGAGGAAGTCAAAACAGACAAACCCTTGCATCTTGATCTTCTTGACGATAACAAACGGTAGATTTTGAATCCTTTCATTGGCTTTAAGATGGTACTGAGATATCATACCACATACAGCAATGCGTCCATTATCTTTCATGTTCATTAGCACCGCGTCAAGCATTTTTCCTCCCACGTTCTCGAAGTATATGTCAATGCCTTGTGGTAGACACCTTATTAAAAAAAAAACAGAGGAATTGTGACTGTATGATTCAAGAAATGAGCATGTGTTAACCAGTGACTAAACCTCTTTAAGGCGGCATCAAGATCAGGTTCTTCCTTGTAATTAAATGCATCATCGAATCCAAATTTGTTCAGCAAGATATCGACCTTTATGAGAACCAAACCATGTAAGAGAAAGCAGAAAGTGTATAAGTCTATTGATGGATAATTTTCAAAAACAAAGTCCTAACCTTTTGTTTACTACCGGCACTTCCAACAACATAGCAGCCCATCAACTTAGCAAACTGACCCACGAGCTGGCCAACCGCACCAGAAGCCGCAGAGATAAATACCGTTTCTCCTTTCTTAGGTGAACATATCTCGAAAAACCCACCATAAGCAGTCAAACCTATCATGCCTGTTATGTAAGAAGAGAGCTTTTTAAGAAAGATTTAAACCATTTTTATTAGTTATTGCATTCACATATCCGTGAAAATAAACATTATACTAACCGAGAATTCCAGTGTAGTAAGAGAGAGGAACATTGATATTGATATCAATTTTGAATATACCAATCGGGTGAATAGTACTATACTCCTCCCAATCGACGAGTCCCCAAACATAATCGCCCTTTTCAAAAACTGGATCATCAGAATCTATGACCTTAGACACTCCAAATCCAGCTATAGGCTGCAGAAAAATTATCAACATCAATTGCCAATTACAAGCCATGCATGTGTGCTTGTGTATGTATGTATGTGTATGATGTTGTTACCTTGCCAGGGACAAAAGCATCTATAAGAGCTAAAGTCGAAGGATTTGGTTCTCTCATGCGAATCCCCATATATGGGTCACAAGATAAGTACAGATTCTTCACCAGAACCGCCATTGATCCGGGCTTAACCTTGAGTTCCGTGGTGTTTGAAGCTGTGACTACCTTTAGATCAGACTCTTTAGGGAAACCCTCAATGTAATCCCTAAGTATCACTTGCTTGTTCCTCACGGTGTTCTCCATTTTTGCTTAGTGAAAGCCTTTTTGCTTTGGTCAGATCTTTATCGTCTTCAAAACCTTAACAAAAATAGTTAGTTAACATCTCACATCGTAGAATGGGCTCAGCAGAAGGCGTAAAACATGTTTGGTAAGATACAATTAAAGTTTTGTTGGAACATTACTAGTGACTAAGACACGTTTTCATGCAAGCCACTAGATACTGTACTCTTGTCTGTTGAATCAGAGAACCTCGCCAATTTGTTTAAACATGGAAAAGGGTATCACACGTGACCTAAAACTCGTGTTACGTTCCGTTTTTGTAGATTTTTTTTTAAAATAAGTATCCTTGATGGGACTTCGCATCTTTCGGGTCGGGCCGAGATTTGCATGTTCCGGGTAGGGCTTGCCACATAGATTCCCCCCCCACGTGTCTAGAGAAAACGCAGCGTGTTTCTTCTACCCTACGGCATGCAATGACATTTGAGAAACAAGAAAACGGCACACAGTTTAGTTACGATAGCAGAAACAAAAAATCAGTCAACCACATAAAGCCTATCTCTCTCTCTCTCTCCCCTAACCAACGGTTTAAACCAACCCTTGTCCTCTCCCTCTCTCTCACACACACACTCTCTCGTACCAGAGGACGATAAAAATGGCGGTTCATATTCACAACCCTAACTTTTTCCACACTCATCAACTCCGATCATCTCTTTCCTCAGCCTCTGCATCACATGCACCTGCTTCATATCTCTTTTCCAGATACTCTCCTGCAAAAATCATCTGCAAATCCAGTAACCAAGATGTATCCTTCTTACTTAACTTCCTAATCCAATCAGCTTGCAAAAGAAAAAAACTAATGAAATCGTTTCCTCTATCCTCTAACAGGACTATCTCATTGATGCTCCTGTTTCTGTTGGAGACGGATTCTCTTTCAGTGGAGGTTTTACACTACAACCATCCAAAGTTTTCACCTTTTCCTTCTTCCTATTGGTTTCATTGAGAAAAGTTTCGATTTTTTTCACAGGGAAGTATTCGGATCAACCAAGTCCATCAGATGAATGGTTAAAGCAAGGAAAATGGGTAGAGCAAAAGATTCCTTTTTTAACTCTATAGTTTTGATTGAATTGAACATTTTCACTCTGCAAATTCTTCAGGTTAAAGCTCATAGAGTTGGTGGATCAGGTGCAGAAGCCAAAGATCCGATTTTTGGATTAACAATGGGAGCTAGCTCTCAAGCTTCAAAAGATATTTTCAGGTAAACACAACTTGAGTCCAAATTCTCTGTTTTTTCACTGTGAAGTAATTGGCTTTATAGTCTATGATTTTGTTTCCATAGATGGTTTTGTGTAGAATCTGGAAGTCCTGATAGTCCTCCTGTTATACTCATCCATGGATTCCCATCTCAGGTAACAATAATATCCACTTGAAACACAGTCATCTTGTTACAGTGATAATTATAAAGCTTAAACATTTTGAACATTCTTGTGATTAGGCATACTCTTACCGGAAAGCTCTCCCCGTTCTTTCCAAGAACTACCGCGCCATTGCTTTTGACTGGTTAGGATTTGGATTTTCTGACAAGCCTCAGGCCGGATATGGATTCAACTATACATTAGACGGTAACATATTCCTAAACCTTAGCTTCTGAACAGAGCTTAACCTGAGAAAGTTTTCAAGATTAATGACAAGAATCTGTTTGCAGAGTTTGTTTCGTCGCTTGAGTCATTCATTGATGAAGTAACTACCAGTGAGGTCTCAGTCTCACTTGTGGTGCAGGTACTTCATTTCTGACTGAAGAAGCAAATCTTTCAGGTTTTGTGCAGTGTGTTTAACTTCTCTTCTTTTGGTGTTTTTTTTTCACAGGGCTACTTCTCAACTGCTGCGGTAAAATATGCAAGAAACCGACCGGAGAAGATCAAGAATCTCATACTCTTGAATCCTCCTGTAAGGGACAAAAAACCACAGCAAAACCTTCCGGTTTCTTCTCTTCGTTCGAACTAACTTAGAGTCTGTTTTTTTTTCAGCTCACACCTGAACATGCTAAACTTCCTTCAACATTGTCTGTGTTCAGCAACTTCTTGCTCGGAGAGATTTTCTCTCAGGTTGGTTCTCTCAGGTTTGTTTGCTCCTGTGAAGGTTATGTACACTAAATTCCTGGTTTACCTAATAACAATAGGATCCTCTAAGAGCAAGTGACAAGCCATTGACAAGCTGTGGTCCTTACAAAATGAAAGAAGATGATGCAATGGTTTACCGAAGACCGTATCTCACCTCAGGTTCTTCTGGTTTTGCCCTTAACGCCATTAGCAGAGCCATGAAGAAACAGCTGAAGGTTTCATAAAGTGTCCTGTCAAGATTCAAGAGTTTTTAAGTTGATATCTAGAGAAAGATTGGATTTTTTTAAAGAAGTTTTACCTGACAGGGCTATGCAGAAGAGATGAGGACATCACTGATGGATAAAGACTGGAAGATTCCGACCACCGTGTGCTGGGGACAGCGAGACAAGTGGCTAAGCTATGAAGGAGTTGAAGACTTCTGCAAGAGTTCGGGACACAAACTCGTTGAGCTTCCAATGGTACTTACTGTTGTCTTCTATCCATGAGACATTTCTAAACAACAAAAGCTAACTTGAACCGTTTTTGACATTAATCAGGCTGGTCATCATGTACAAGAGGATTGTGGAGAGGAGCTTGGAGGAATAATCTCAAGAATCATACTCAAATCTGCTCTTCTCTAATAGGAGCGAGTTACTTCCCAAGAAGATTGAGAAAAATGTAAAGAGTCATGAAACAACCATTTGTAAAAACTCAGCTTTATCTCAAAACATTTTGTACTTCCAATGGTACATATATATATAATGTAAGTCACCAGCAAGATTTTTGCACTAAATCTCTGGTTCTCTAGTACACATTTTGTAACTTTCTACAAAGAATTTAACTTGAGCTACATGTATACCTCAGAATGCTGTCATCTGAATCTGACCAGTCTTATAATCATGTCTCCCTTTTCTTTCTCTTCAGTGTATTCCTGTGCTTCTATGAATGTATAATTTGTATCGAAAACAAGCAAATCTTTCAGTGTTGGAATCGGTCTATCCAGCATTCATCTCTCTTCACAGCATTTTTCCATCTGTTTTTAAAAGTCTCTAACTCGGCGTAAGTCTGCTTCCGAACCTAAATAATAACAGTCTTTGTGAATAGAGATTTTCGCCATTAGTGAACATCAAGAAAAAGAAAACTGATCTCCTCTTTTCAAGTACCAAACTTGTTAAAAGCTTACCTCAGATCTAGCAGATGACATTTGAGGTGTTGAAGATGGTTTCTGCATGGTAAAAGGTAAATTAATCAACAGTTAAATATCTAAAAGTTCAAAAAGAAGAGAGCAGATTACAGTAAAGAAATGCATACAGATTTGTCTGAACTATTCTGAGTCTTGGTCTTATCGAGTTGTCCTAAATCCGTCTGCATGTATAATACAACTACAGTTACTTCCCAAAATAGAAACCATGAGGGATAGGCTAAAAGGAATGGCAAGAGAAGCAGTTTCAAACCTTGTTATCAGATGAACCTCCCAATGTAGGAAGACCAAGATGATGTATATACTCGGAATCAACAATGCCAATGTTTTGAGTTCGATCACCCTATTCAAAGCAACAACATATTACTAAGAATAACACAAAAGAGTGTATTGGGTTGGCTCGGTTACAAATTTACCTGTGCGCAATATCCAAGCTGAAAATCTATGTTCAAGAACCAATACTAAAATAGGTACTACCACACGAGATTCAGTTCTTTTACCCCGTGCAAGGAGGTCCAGTGCTGTTCTCGTTGCATCTAGACCGGCCAATGACTTTGTATGTCCTCCTGGTACACAGCAAAAAATATATTGCATTAACTCCTTTAAACCTTTTTCTTCTCTTTGCTAAGAAATGTAAGTACCTATGTACTCTCGAATTGTTGTCCCGTGAGGTAAGTTGATGATGCACTTCAGAGAATTGGGGATCAAGAGCAGGCTGTGATATTTCAAGCCCTTCTTCTCTAACAATTGAAACATACCTGAAATTTGCAATGCATAGAGAGATGCTATAAATTTCATTTTCACATCTTTTATCAAATCACAAACTATATATGACATTATTTTACACCTTGTAGCATCAAAGTGGTCAACACCGAGATCTTCATCCCATAGAAATATGTAAGAATAAGCTGAGACAATATCCGGGTGTAGAAAACGCTTTGCAAACCACCTGAAAAAAAAAGAATCAGAATGACATTGAAAACTATAAAACCAAATGCTACAAATCTGCTTCCGGTTTATGATTCAGAAAAAAAAAAAAAACAGTTACCATTTGGTTTGGTTTACAACAGAAATATGAATAGCAGTTTCACTCCACTCAAACTCTTTCCATTCATCCACGGCTCCATCATAATGAAACAGCATCACAACGAACTCACTTGACGCAAACTGCCATATAAAAAGAGAAATCACATCAAAATCTGTTTTATTACAGAGAGAGAGTCATTGTCCGAGTTTTTACCTTCTGGACAATCTTGTTGACACTCTCCTTCTGTTTTATTGCGGCTGCCATAGCCAATAAGTTCGGCTTTGGCTTATAACGCTTTGCGCCCCATAAAGGTCGCACTTCCAAGTCAGATGTACTTGCAACAATGCCTCTCGGTAACGTCTCGCTTCCAGGTGGCCTAACTTGTGTCTAATTTGAGCAAAGTAACATGAAAAAATTGTCAATATTCAAATAGACAGGGAGATTGATTTTCAACATAGAGACTAAGTAGCTTATCAATGGATCGGACCTTGCACATCTTCAGTTTCGCAAGATTTAGTCTAATTATCGAACTCCATCCTGAGATGCCCTGTCAATTTTTATACTTAAAACTGTTTTAGGATTTAAGACATGTTCAGATTAAGAATGTGACATATTCAGGCTACAGAAGAAGCTATACCTCTGTAATAAACGCATTTCCTACAAGGAAAACCATTGCAAGCAAAAACACGAAAGGGAACAGTCGACGAAGAGACGAGCTCTTTCTCTTCTGATTCATATTCAGTGATACCTGAAAGATCAAGAACACATGGAAACTCAATCTACAATCTTGGGGGATCACAAGATTGAGCAACAATGCCACAGTAAAAGATTCAGATTGTGCATTTATAAGAATATTTACAGACAGTAATTGTCTGAATACCGACATTTCCTTAGCTACCAATGTGAGAATTAGATCAAAAACCCACAAACCCACAAAAACAAAAATGGAAATTTCTTTGGGTTTCTCATAAAGATCCATACTTCCGTGAAAGGATACAGGAAATGATTGACACAAGTACTAACAAGACAAAAAGAGTTGAAATTTCATGATTATAGTCTCTTAAGATCATCAAAGGTTGGTAAAAAAAACTTCAATTGTATTGAGCTACAGAAATTTCACAACTTTTTTGTATCAAAAAGTTTTTTTCCTTCCTCAAAACCTTTGAAACGCAAAGAAAGAAACTATAAGCACCAAGCTATTGAGCAACAGAACAAGAAGAAAAGAAACAAAAGCTTACGGATATCAAACTGTTGGGTTTCTTCTTGTTCATCCTTCAGTGGCGGTATTTAGAGCAGAGGAGGAAGATAAACTGTTTTCTTTAATTAAATCAAATAAATAAAGTGGAGTAATACCATATTTTTCTGTTAAAAAGACATTGATGGCTCTCCGTCAAGTATGGGTTTTTTTACAATTATAAAGTAGTACCACTTTAGTTCCTTAAAGTGAGTTTCAAACTGGAAAAAATGGGTATGAAAGCATTTCACTGTAAGAAAGGTCAATAAGTCAACGTTTTAGACAAGAACAGTAATATTTTAATACAAATCTGAAAAAGGCATTTGGCAAAACGCAAGGCGTGCCTGTAGGCAAGGCCGGAAATCACTGACCAATGATATTAAAGGTCGCACGTGTTTTCTTAATGCATTCCTCCATTTTGTGTAACGTATACTCGAATGCAATGTCCTCATACATGTGACTAGCTTTGCTTCATCTGACATTAATGATTGTTTAGCATTACTGATTGCATATTCTTACGATACATCTAACATTATACTACAATTTCTGAGCGGCTGTCCAATTCTCTTAATAATCTTGGAGTTGTTCCCTTTTCTTTTTCTTTTTTTTGTTCTTTATCAAAAACGATCATAACATTATAGCATCACGATGTTTAGTTAAACTCGGTTTTGAAACTGGTTGATCACAAGATTAAATATTGTCTTCAATATACGTCAAACGATTGGCAAGTGTCTTTAGTTTTTTAATCGTATGGCTCTCGATTTCAAATACATGTAATTATTTTGTTGGCAAGTTAATGGGTAATGACGTAATGTTGTTCATTATAAAAACCGTTTCTATCATGAGCTGAAGTGTATGGTACCACTATATTCTTACTTGACACTATGTCGTTTCGATCTTTTCTTGTGCTGAACGATTGTGACTGTTTTCTATGTATTGGATATATTCATCTTATGGTGAGCTGGTTTTATTAGTCAAAGTCATGTATTTATGTTGCTTTAAATAAGCATTTTAGTTTGTACAAAAGATTCACCATAAAATGACTAATTTGTAATATATGGAGATAGATACAGAATTTCATATTCTATTCTTTCTCCACATATCACTGATGACATGACATATTGTTTGGTTGGCGTTGCAACTTTGAGAACTTATAGAAAGTTGAAAAGAGTATTATTGACTTTTATCCCCAGCATACTTTTATTGATTTTATTTTTATTTTTTTGAAGTACTTAAATGGGCTATTACTTTATTTTTTCTTTCTTATTTGCTTTATTTTTGTTAACGTCACGAAATCATGGCTTTAAAATATTTAAAAAAACTAGGTGGATATGCCGCCTCTTGTAGTGCACCATATGTGCAACTAACCATTTCTCTTAGTAGTCTTAGAGTGGTTCCCTTTACTAAAATTGGGTTGAATCGAAGGCTCTTACTTGGCCTAGTGTTCTAATTTGCTGAGAAGACTCCAGAGTCTTGGATACTTGATGATAAACTTGTTGGTCCAAGTAAACATGGAAGTTTCCATAAGTTGCATCGATTGGATTGGATTGCAGTCTAGAACATTTATTTGGTTTGGTTTGCTTGAGTACTGGTGATATTGATGTTGTGGATTCATGCCTTTGCAAGAAGCAAGTTTTTTTTTAATATTTCTCAAATTCTCTTTGAGCATCTTGATGCCATATCCATTTCCTTAAGAGCCCATTTTGAGATCAAAATGTCACTTAATTTTGTGAATTTATGATGGATAAAGAGACTAATTTCAGAGTCCAAATTATTATAAGAATCGGGTGGAGTCCAGGTGCCTTTGCAAGAAGCAAGTTTTTTTTTAATATTTCTCAAATTCTCTTTGAGCATCTTGATGCCATATCCATTTCCTTAAGAGCCCATTTTGAGATCAAAATGTCACTTAATTTTGTGAATTTATGATGGATAAAGAGACTAATTTCAGAGTCCAAATTATTATAAGAATCGGGTGGAGTCCAGGTTTACTGGAAGTTTGATCAATGAAATGATGAAATTCGGACAATATTGCTTAGAGCGAAACAAAAACAAGTTGGTATACGAAACATATTAAAGACTTGGAACAAAAGGAACAGATGGACTAATGGACAACTCCGTTACATAACAGAAAGAGGAAAATCAGGTAAAGAACAACTCTTTGGTAACTTTATTGTTGTTTATTTAAAAACTTCTTCTGGAAAATGGTAATCACTCTTTTGAGTACGTATAATCAGAGGCAAGCTAATGAAAGTCATACTTGTCTAGCAGAGCTCTGATGTGTTGACTTCCAATGAAAGAAAGCGCAGATGCCCCAATCGCTATTCCGGTGTATATAACCACGGTCTTGGGTTTATTCATCTTGAAGGCGTGAGCTTTGCCAAACGAGAGAGAGATGACACAAACCAGAGATGCGGAAACGAAAACCGCAGCTTCATAGTGTCTATTGTCTGTTATTTTGAAAGCGAGGCCGTAAAAGAAAAGAGGTATCACACCAAAGAAGATGAAGGAAACCACAACAACGACGCAATGGAGTGTGGTCTTCTTTCTCTTTCCCAACAATTCCACGTAGGGATCTATCGTAGGTTTTGGAGCTTTCGGATCATCTTTTGAGTCTGTCGCTTGCACACCCGTCAAAAGAACAATGTTCGCACTTGGATTAAATGGTTGAGAGTTTACAAGTCCATATAGCTGCCAAAATACATTCTCTTTTGTAAGTGAGTTGTTTTTTTTTTTTTTATGTCATTTGTAAGTGAAGTAGTTAAAATTCGAAGATTTTACTGACAAGAAGAAAGAGAGGAAACAAAATGACTCACGTTGTAAATGATGAGAAAAAGGCCACTGGATAAATTGGCAAGCCCTAAAGCCAGAACGTTGACTGCATGCAAAGACAATAGACAATGTTACGTTGAAACTGATGTGTACTAAAAAATCCGTGTGAGTGTTTGTGTGTTCATTACCAGTCGAAGTTCCAGATCCAGCAGCAGAGGATACAACACCGAAGCTTGTGATAGACTCGATTAGACCTCCGTACACAATACTCTTCAAGATGTCTAGCTCTGTTAGTAATATATTTTTAACTGTAACCATAATATAATTCCGCAATGTCTCTAGATGTTTCATTGACGTTGAGGTTTGAGAGATCACAGCAATAAGACCATCATTCTGCGGAGCAACATCTTGTTTACCTTCATGGACCTGCTTTTTGCCTTCTAGAAAACATCAATGAAAAACAATAACAAACAAATGAAAATAGGTGAGAGATTCATAATATGCAACTTAAAAGATGAACATCATGGTCATTGCTGAATATAAATGAGAGAAATAATGTGTTTAAAATGGAAGGACCTTTATCTCCATCACTTTGGATTTCACCAGCAGGAGCATCGATTTCCTGTTTTGGACTTTTGGTCCAGGGAATGAAATGCAAGCACATAGCCAAAATGGCAAGTAGCAACAACGAGATAAGGGCAAGAACCCTGTTACTTGAGAAATCTTTGACCCCAGACCTAGAGATCCAACCTCCTTTGTTCTTTATCAGTGGTGGAGAAGGAATTCTAAGGTTATTGGGCTTGACATCATCAGGAGTACCATGTGGTTTTAGACTAGCATCGATCTCTGTAACCTCTTCAGGAATTTTCTGCTGGTCAGGGATTACAATCGTTGAGCTTCCACTGGAATGTGCCGGTGGCGTTGGCGGTGTTGGTGGCTGAGAAGGCGGGACCAACAGAAAAATGGCTGATAGCAATAGCAGAACCACAACAAATGCCAACCGCAGCCAGTCCAGAACATGTTTCTTGGTGACTGCTCAAGAATTAAATAAGTAAAAAAATCAAGAGATTAGTCTGTCTCCGCCGTAAAAGCAAACAAAAGAAAAAAAGTGTCCTTCGTCGTATATTGAAAGCAGTATATATGTGTGTATATATTTGCATACCTCTTGTTCTATTGTTATAGAGCCATGGGAGGAAGATGAAAGGGTACTTGAAGGAGAGAACGATAACAAAAGAGAGAACGAATTTCTCTTTGTTGTACGGAAAATTCTCTTTTCCCTTTTCAACGATTTCAGCAGTTTGGGTGATGTTATGAATGCAGTATCGACAGTAGAGATCATGGCTCTTTTGCATTTTTATCTCCTCGAGCAAATCCTTAGTATTTTTCCTGTCTTCTTCCTCCGAAGGCTTCATTTCTCCATTTTTCTCGACTTCATTTGTTGTTTCAGATCCATTCTTGTTGCTTCTCCCTCCTACGCACCGTATAACAAATTTACTCAAGAACTTAGTAGTTCCGTCTTTAACACTTTCTTGATACCGATAATTCAAAAGAATGATACTGTACTTAAAATCATCCCTACATACTTCATTTTTTTATTGCTTCTTCAGTCGCCCATGCACAACACTTGTTGCAATATCCACAATTCTATTTGATACCCAAAACTATCACTTATTTTTTTATAGAAAATTAACGTGAAAATAGTTGTATACATCCAACTTATTGTTGTCATAAAATACTTAAACAGAATATCTTGTCTCACTCTTGTTTAGACCTCGCTGGGGTGTGTATTATACCATTAGGCGTTTGTTTTTTCTTGTTTCTTTGCTATAAATGCTAAATAAGGAATTAATGAAAATTCTACCTCCTCAGCATTGTACAATGTAACTCTACAACAATTATAATCTTTGAATAATCTACAACCATGCATGCAATAAAGCCATGCAAACTTTGGATAAATAATAACCAACGAATGCATGATATGCGTTCTACATACATGGTTCACTAAAACGCTCCATAGATTTAATTTAGTAATACGTATATTAACCAATATATTTACATAGACCTAGAGAAATGTTATTAGATTAAAACCTGTCAGTTGCGGCGGAGACTCATCGGTTGGGGCCTTTAGTTCCTCAGCCGAAGGGGGATTCATGGCACTATCTTCAGGACTCGAACTGTTTCCTTTCATTTGAAGACGGTGATGAGTTGATGATGGCAAAGGAAAGAGCCGAGGACAATTATTTATATGTGAATGGCTTGCTTATTATCTCGATATGTGTCTTTTTTTTCTACGAAGATGGTGATGGCTTGTTGATGACAAAGAAATAACCGGATGACAACTATTTATTTTCTCAGAAATTGCTTTGCTTCCTATCTCTATTTTAGTTTCTTATTTTTTTTATTACATATTGACGTATTACTTCTCTACAACGGAAGAACCAGAGGAGACTTCTCTACGACTTCCTATCTTCTGTATATTTTTAATTTTTTTAATCATATGTTGATGTATTATTTCTCTACCTTGTATTTTTTCTTCAGAGTCGTATTTTGTAATTTACCGTTATGCCAAACGTACGAAGACGGTACGTGATGGTTTGAACTTTGAACTTTGATGATGACAAAGGAAAAAACCAGAGGAGACTTAAGATTTCTTTGCGACCACTTGCTTCCTTCTCTATATTTTAGATAATTTAATAAAAATAAAAATTGATCATTTGTTTTAGAAATTTAAATTGTATATTAACTTAAATTTTTTGAAATTGTACGAGTATTAGAGTTGGATGTCACACACTCACACATGAAATCTGACCCTCAAAAGCTCATCACCTAAATGAAAAAATGAGATGAAAACATTGCTTTGAGACTTGACCTCTCAATTGGAAACAATTAAAGGACATACATACCACTATATTACATAGCTTTATTTTTACAAAAATGGTGCTCAATTAGAATTGTATACAAAGTTTGGCGCTTAAACTGGTGTTTCACATGTTTTAGCCCATTGTCGGTCCTGTTGTGATCCGGAAAGTAGGTTCGGATGTAGACCGATGTGTTGATAGGCGGTTTACTTTCCCTTCTCAGATAACCGGTTTACGGTCGAAATATCTTTCCGTCATCACCACCACCGTGTCCAACTCCTGATTATCTCTGTATCTCTCTGCTTCTGCAAGTACACTTCCTTCAACTGTTCTCTTCTCCACTGTTCCATTTGCATTCATAGATCTTCTCACATCTCTATATTCTCGTTTTCTTCTTCCTCGGCACACGCGCCATAGCTCGGATACTGGATAAAGGGTCTCTCGTTGTACGAAAATTGTTGATTTCGATTTGGACTACTCGTTGATGACAATGGAATCCAACAAAGGAGACGATTCCAGATCTCCGAAACCTCGTGAATCGGAGACCGTAGAGGAACCCTGCCTGGGAATGGAATTCGAATCGGAAGACGAAGCCAGAGATTTCTATGTAGACTACGCCAGAAAATCAGGGTTCGTCGTTCGTATGATGCAGAGACGAAGAACTGGGATCGACGGAAGAACACTCGCTAGGAGATTAGGCTGTAACAAGCAAGGATTTTCTCCCAATATCTCAGATTTCGGAACAGAGAAGCAGCGGTCACGATCTAGCGCTAGAGAAGGTTGTAAAGCCACGATTCTTGTGAAGATGGAGAAATCTGGGAAATGGGTCGTTACGAGATTTGTCAAAGAACATAATCACTCACTTGTTCTCAGTTCTTCTCCTTGTGATTCTCTGGTTCGTCTTCTCTCTCTTCCTCCAAAAATTTGATTTTTGCATCTTTAGATTGAATAAAATCTCTGTTTTTGTTAATACTTTTGATAAAGTTTGCGTCTTTAATTGTGGTTTAGTTGATTCTCACCTTAAAGAGATTGTCTTTGTTCTTTGTGAGTTTTGCAGGCTGATAAGGACGAGAAGATCAAAGAGCTCACGGAGGAGGTGGAATTACAGGGACGATTATGCGATTTGTATAGGGATAAATTGGTGAGTTTTATGAACAATGTTGAACAATATAATGAAGAATTGTCAATCAAAGTCCATGAAATTGTAGAGAATATTAAGAAACTTGAATGTGAAATGCAAATGCACAAAAGTTTTTGATTACCAAAAAACAAGCTAAACTGAGTAAATGACACCACAACATTCAAATCTATTGTTCATATGGCAAATTTAAAAGGTCTTCGCTTTGATTTCATCTATACAAAACTTTATTGTTGGGATTTGTGAGTAAAAGTAAAAAATGAAAATAGGTAAGGATTATTGTTTAACTGGAGCTAAGAGCAGCAAATCCACCACCTCTCATCATTTGCTTAAACTCCTTGAAATTAACCATACCATCTCCATCAACATCAACTTTGCTGATCATCTTCTTGCAATCTTCAAGTGTTCTTCCTTGCTTCAACCCCATTGATGCAAGAACCGACCTCAGCTCTTCATCTGTGATGAATCCATCGCCGTTCTGATCGAACACTCTGAATGCTTCTTTCATATCCTCTTCTTCCTCTTTCTCTTCGATCATTTCTTGGTACAATGATCCAAACTCATCTATATCCATGCAACCGTCTCCATTCACGTCCATCTTTGCTATCATCTCCTTAATCTCGTTTTCGGGGACGAGGATGCCCACGCTTTTAAAGAAATCCTTCAGCTCATTCTTTGCGATCTTGCCGTCTCCATTCTTATCAAACATTTGAAATACTCTACTCAATTCTCCTCGATCCATTTCTTATCGAAAGCTTTAGATGTTTTAAGGCAACAAAGAAAAGGAATGGTCTTAACTCTCAAAGATCAGGATTTGGACACAGAAAATATTGTAACAAAAAAAGTTCAAGGAAAACAGGACATAGAAATTGAGAGAAAGAGAAGAAGGTTGATAGAGAGAAAGAGGGAGAGCTTAACGGCTTCTGTTGATAGATTCAACAACTTTGGATCTTTCATTTTTCTTGTGGGCTAAAAATAGTTATAGAGATCTCCTGAAATAGACTAACTGAATGGTCTATTTCTGACACAAATCAAGAGATCCCCGTTGGCTTAACCATAATTACTCGCCGTGCCTCATGCGTTACTAGGGAGGTTAAATACAGTCTATACAGAGTTAATGGTTATGAACTTATGACTCAGGGGGCCATGCCTCATGTGTTAGGGAACTCATGTGTTAGGGAAAAGGCTTTTGCCACAGGCTCCAAAACTATATTTTCAGGGCCACCAAGTTCTAAAAAATTGTGTCTATCGTAGTGGTTTAAGCAAGTACGTGTCATAGATTTTTGTTGTTTTTTTTCTGATTTAGACAAGAAAATTGATATTTCAAACCAAAAATGAAATCATAATCCCAAGGAAATCATAATTTCAAACCAAAAATGAAATCATAAACTTTTTAAGTATATAAATAACTAGAGTTTGACCCGCGCCTTGCACGGGGTGATATTTTCTCAATTTGATTTTATTAAAAGATGTCTATTTACATACAATTTTAGGAACATAGAGTGTTAGACAATTAAAAAAATGTCAATTTACATTAGACGAAATTTTGAGTGATGCATATTTTTTTAGCCTGGTTTGATTTTTGTCATCGTTTACAGTGTGGTAATCTAACATTTGCTTTAACAACAGTTTCTCCCTTTCCGAACCCACATATATATTAAATTTTAATACATTTAAAATAATTTTATATTTTGATAAATATAAAATGGCATATATATTTTATGTTTTTATCAATTTTAAATAACTAAAATAATTTAACTTATATGATAAGTTATTAGAATTTATTACGTTTAAAATTTTGATCAAACCAAAATACGATTTAATTATTTAATTCAATTAAAGAATCAAATTAAATCGAATAAAAGAAATTTTAAAGATTTCCAAACATGGTAAATTTTTCTTTCCTATTTGTGATTATGGTTGATCATTATTTGGATCCTATTTTATAATAGGTTTTTGAACTATTATCCCAAAATATAATCATGTGGGACATTTAACATTTTTAGAGATTTGCTTCATTTTTAAAAATTCAAACCATAGCATATGTAGAAAAAAACTAATTTTCTTTTTTTAAATATTTTGATGTGATGATATAATTTATTCTTGAAAGTAAAGCTAAACAAAAATGATAGATGAATAAATTAATTTTTAAACAATTAATATAATACAATTGAATAAAACTTTCCATATTTTACTGATTGATTGACTAATAAATAAATTTTCGTCATTACCAAATAAGGAAACTGAAAGAAAATAATTTTCATTAATAATTATTTTTCTGACTAAATTAATCATATATATTTCATTCTCTAACCAAATATGAATGGCATAACATGTAATTAGTCTAGTAATGTTTGTCTTAATTAAAACTAACCTTGAAAGTGAACCTGGTGTTGACACATCAGCATGACATTTCTGTTAATAACACATGAGACAAAGGTTTATTTTATAGTGTTTTCTCTTTTAATATATTAGGGATTTATTTTAATATATTAGGGATTTGCTGGTTTATAGTTTATAAATATGGACAAAGCATCATCCGAATCTATGACTATGAATCCGACAATCCATGCACCATGGCGTAACAGGAAGGCATTAGAAGATTTTACATCTATCAAAGGTAGATCTGAGTGATCTAATTATTGAGGTTGTTTTGAAAAATATTAAACTTTAAAATATATTGCAACTTGAAAGATGGCATCAAGACCTACTCAGTAGAACCTACCTACAGCTAGTATAATTCTTATTTTATTTGTTACTATGCTATATCATTTTCATATATAACAACTATATTGTGTCAGATTTATATATTTTCATAGACGTATAATTGATCTTTTTTTTTTTTTTGAACAAAGCTTTCAATTTAAATTGCAAGAGAAGAAAATAATACAAGCCAGCCTGGCCTTAGTTTGTTTGGTACTAGCCCATAATAATAAAAACAACCCAATTAGAAAAGGAACCGTAATAACCCAAAAGATAGTAAGAAAGAGAAATTGGATCACACCGAGAAAGCAAATCGACGCAAGCAGAAATCAGACTGATGAGGTGGAGAACCACAACTGAATCATCTCGGAAGCTTGATTTGAGTTCACATCACGGAGGCTAGAGCAGCGGTTACGAATTAGAGAATCAATGGAGGAGATAATTGAGGATGCTGATCTGAAGGCATTGCGGTGGAGTCGAGCGTTTCGTTCAGTCCAAATGAAGTAGATGGCACATTGCCAAACCAGAAGTGTCAGTTTACGCTTTGATCTTCTTCCCTGAAGCTGCTGCAAGTGTAAGAGAGTTGAATCCCAAGATTTTGAAGGGATTATTCCACAGCGTGACCCGAGATGTCCCCAAATTGACCAACTGAAGCTGCAATCGAAAAATAGATGATTTTTGTTCTCAGCGCAGCGATTGCAGAGGAGACACATGGGATCAACCAGTAAACCCCAATTGAGCAGACGATCTTTAGTTGGAGATCTGTTGAGAACGAAGAGCCAAGTGAGGAAGCTATGCTTTGGGATACCACCGGAGTTCCACACCGACGTCTTCCAAGGGACAATCGGAGCATGAGCCTTCAACGAATCATACATTTTTCCAGTAAGGTACTTGGTCCAGACGACATCATCACAGATCCATTCGTAATAGTCCTCTGTATCTGATAGAGATAGAGTAGTTAGGTGGGATTGAAGAATCACCTGGTTTTCGGAACGTGCAGGGGCCAAATTCCAGTGACCGTTGCTGTATAAGTCATTGAGTGTGGTGAGAGTGCCAATTCTCATCCTCCTAGTAGTTTCCGACTGTAAGAAATTTCGGAGATCGCCAAACGGAGACCAATTGTCTGTCCAGAATCTTGTGTTTTTTCCATTGCCAACTCGACGCTTGATCCAGTTGTAAGCCGTATCTCTGATTTTGATTAGCTTGTTAGCTAACCAAGAATGTTTTTGTTTTACTTTGCAGGTCCAGTAATTGCTCAATGAACCCTGCAAAACTTCATTAACGTACCAAGCCACCCAGATCGAACCAGAGTTGCAAAACAGAAGCCACACCAGTTTCAATGTACACGCCTTATTCCAGGTAACTAAGTCTCTGCATCCTAGACCTCCTTCCTCCTTTGATAGTGTTATTGTTTCCCAAGCAACACGAGCTGAATGGTGTCCTTCTGTAGTGCCTTGCCATAGATAAGCACTGCAGAGGGAGTTGATTTTTTTGACACAGGCCTTTGGGATTACAAAGGTGGAGCACCAGAAATTTGTGATCCCCGCAATTACTGTTTTCAACATCAAGAGTCTTCCTGCAAATGAAAAAGAGCGCGCGCTCCAGGAGTTGATTTTTCCTTTTATGTGTTGCAATAGAGGTGCACAATTGAGAAGAGACAGTTTCTTTGAAGAAAGAGGAATTCCAAGGTAACGAATTGGCAGAGAGCCGTGAGTGAGTCCTGTTGTTGAGCTGATAACTTGAATCTCAGACTCTGAAAGGCCAGAGGAGAAGAATGACGTTTTTTGAAGACTGACTGCTAGACCCGAGAGGCGCTCAAACTCTTCCAAAATCTGAAGAATATTCTGCACTGAGCTGAGAGAGCCATCTGTGAAGATCAGGAGGTCATCAGCAAAACAGAGGTGAGTGAGTTTTGATGTTTGACACTTGTGGTGGTATTTGAACTTTCCTTCTGTAGCTCCAGCGTTTAGTAAAATAGATAAGCAGTTCATAGCTATAACAAACAGATATGGAGAAAGAGGATCCCCTTGGCGTAGACCTCGTTTGCTTCTAAAATAACCATGAATAGAACCATTATAGCCCACTGTGAAATTTGGAGTACAAATACAAGCCTTTAGCCATAGGAGGAAGGAGTTTGGCACGTCTATACCTGCCAAGCAGTTTAATATGAAGTCCCAACTTAGAGTGTCAAAAGCTTTAGCAATATCAACTTTGATTGCAATCCTCTTTGGACCATTCTGTTTATGATATCCATTGACCAATTCCGTTGCCAGGATCGTGTTTTCCACTAGTAGACTTAAAGAACATCTTATAAACGTTGTAGAAACGAAAACAACATCTTATAATAAAAACTATATTCAAGATAATGTAATTTATTAATATTATTAATGCATATGGTCGAATACTCGAATGGGCATCTTGAGTTACAATGAGAAAGAAGTCAAATAAATAGACCTCACGTGAAAAATGTTACCAAACTAATAGAAAAACACTTACAGTAACGGTAGAAAACGTAAGTATCTACAGTGACGGATCCAGGATTATATTTTACCGGTGTCAATATTTTTTTGTTTTTAAACTATCAGTACAAAATAATATAAATAATGTGATTAAAAAAACAATGAATGCATTTAATGATTTAACAGATTTCCAAATCCTCATAATATTATAAACAATTTTGTTGGTGTTTATTTAGAGTTTAAAACCAACAGAATCCTAAATTTTTTTAAAAAATATAAAAAGTTTAAAACCACATTTTGAAAGAAATAACTAATATAAATGAATTTCTCACCTAAAGTTCAATATATATGCAAATGTTAATTGAATAAAACGTAAATGTGATCAAATTTAACATTTAGTGAAAGATTATACAATAAATATTTTATAGATAAAAATAAAAATTAGTTATTTGTTTTCCTTTTCTCACTAAAGAATAAAGAAACAATGAAATTTCTTCAAACATAAAGTTATTAGGAGATCACTTAATGAAAATTGTGGTAATTAAAGAATAAATTAGTAATTTGGTGGGGGTCAGCTGACCCCCTTACCTTGCAAGTGGATCCACCCCCGAGTATCTATAAATGTATACACAAAGCAGTAGTCATGGGGCCACGCACCTCAAACTCCTACTACTAATATTTTTAACAATGGCTTCTTCTTCAAACAAGCTTGTGTTCTTCTTCTTAGCTTGCCTCTTCATGTTCACATTCTCAGACAACCTCGTTGCCGGAGATTCCGACAAAGTGAAACTCAATCTTTACTACGAATCACTTTGTCCCTTTTGTCAGGATTTCATCGTTAATGATCTAGTCAAAATCTTTGACTCCGATCTCTACACAATCACCGATCTTAAGCTCATTCCATTTGGTAATGCCAAAGTCTCCTCGAATCTGACTGTCACTTGCCAGGTTCATTTATATCTCCCTCTTCTTGTTGATAAATTAATTAATCTTTCCAATTTATATAATTAGATCATTTTGATAACTTATGTGTTTACCTTGTACGACATTTATAATTAATCAAATTTGGGACATTTCTGAAGCATGGTGAAGAGGAATGCAAACTAAACGCCATTGAAGCTTGCGCCATAAGAGCTTGGCCCAATCCGGTAAATAATCAATAAAAACTCAACATTTCACTATTTTTAACTAACTAAATATTGATGGAATAAAACAAATTTAATGAGTTCAGTCTTTATGAAAATTTAAGGAGTATCAGTTCAATAAATAGTTAAATACAAATTTTAAATAAAATAAAGTAGATTTGTTTGGGTCACTTATGTGATTGGTTTTTGGTTCTTTTTTTTAATGGTATATCCGGTTTAAAAGCATTTAAGTTTTTGTAGAAGTCCAACCTAGACATCAATCTAGTTTGCTACCTAGTGGAACCAGAACGACATTTCGTATCAGAGCCAGTCTTGAGTTTTATAAGGCGGTAAGCTAATGAAAGAAAATAGAATGTTTTAGTTTGTTGAAAAAAACGTAAAAAGAAAATATATAGTTTCAGAATTTGAACTCGTTACCTCTTATTGTATATACACTGTGAATTTTACCTCTAGACACGAGAATTATTTTAGAAATTAAGAGCTGAAATCTCTCTTATAACAATAGAGCCAATAAACACGGCCTTGTCCTGCTTGGACTCAGGAACGGAAATCGGGACATGGTTTGATGGTTATGGTTAATTATGATTTGTTTGTGATCGTTTTGGAACGCAGAAATTACACTACACGTTCATACGATGCGTTGAAAATGACACGAAAGATTGGACTTCATGTGTTAAGGACTCTAGCCGAGAGAAAGCCATCAGTGATTGTTACAACGGTGATCTTTCTAAAAAGGTAAGTATACTAAAAACACTAATAATTTATATACTCATATGTTGTTTATTTATACAACCCTATGACCATTTATATTTATATGTTATTGCAGCTCATACTTGGGTATGCAAAACAGACCTTGGCTTTGAAGCCGAAAAAACAGTACGTACCATGGGTAACCATCAACGGCGAACCACTCTTTGACGTATAAATTCTTCATAAACTCTTCTTTTCATAAATGATATGACTTCGTTTAATTACATTTTTGAATCAATTAACAATGTGCCATATCACTAATTGTCTTTTTGGTTTTGGGGGATGCAGAATTATAAAGATTTTGTGCCCCAAGTCTGCAAAGCCTACAAAGGGAATGCTGCTGATCTCCCAAAAATCTGCAATTCCTCTGCCTTGCCTAAGTGTCCAGAGAGCAAAGTGTCCAAGCTTCAAGTTTCCTATGCCGATGAAGTTAAAAAATTACTAAAATAGTGATCAAACTAAGATGATTAAGCTTTTGTTAATGGGACCATTATTATTTATTAATGACAAAAGAAAAAAAAAAAACCCGAGCAGACGGAAGATTTCCACACTGCATCTACCGAATGGGACCATTCTCACACTGACTTTCTCATAATCGTTTAAATTTGGTGACAGTATTCTGAGAAATATATGACTTGAATTAGTATCATTATAATTTGGTTTTTTGGCATAAAACTATGCATGTGAGAACTATAATCATTCATATTTTGTTTATCTTATTTTTTAGAACTGGTTTGCTACATTAAAAAGGTAAACTTACAAAATTATCATTTGGTAAAACTGTACAAAAACATGATTGTATCACAATCCCTTATGGTAAAACAAACTCATAACGTTATCGATATGCATTTGAATAAATTATCAAAGTAAAGTACTTCAAAAAAAAATTAAAAGTCATTACTTACACACAACAATTTACACGAAACAAATATATTGAAAAAATGAAACTAGTTAATTACTCCCTCTGTTTCACAATATAAGGGGTTTTAGAGTTTTTTTTTGTTGCATATTATAAGGTGTTTTGAGGTTTCTATGCAAAACTAAATATTTGTTTGTTGCTTTTTACTCTTTTAATTATGCAGATTGCTTTTTCATTGGTTGAATTGTATTGGAACTAATGATAAAACATATTTTATTTTGAAAGCTTAAAAAATTAAATGACTTCTTAATCTTTGTGCCAAAACCTAAAACCCTATATAGAATGAAACAGAGGGAGTATTTGCTGTCTCACGTTTATAAAGTTGTAACAGAATTTCAAACTTCATGACTAAACGAAACGTTGTACCAAAAAATATGGTATTTGAGCGAATGTTCTTGATGAAACGAAAAGTTGAGCTTATTCATACTTACTTTGGTGTCACTATTCCAACCGGAAATTATACCTCTATTGGGGTCAAACTATATACCCCCACTGATAGCGTACTGAAACAAAACATTTCCAAAACTATTACAATTTGATAGACGACGCATGCATACCTACTCAGAAAGGTGGATTTGCAGAACTCACACAGCTAATGAAACTTTCGATTTACAATTAGGGACCCTTACTAGTATTATCAATATCACTTTCTTTAACATTTTCTTTCTTATAACTATGACCATTTGATACTATGAACCTAACGTGAAAAATGTTACCTAACTAGTAAAAACTCAAGTGATAGTAACAGTAATAAATATATCTATAAATGTATACACAAGGCAGTAGTCATCAGCCACACTCAACTCAAAATCTTTAGTTAATTTCTTTTTTAACAATGGCATATTCTTCTCCTTACATGCTTGTGTTCATCTTCTTAGCTTGCTTCGTGTTCGCATTCTCAGACAACCTCGTGGCGCCAGGAGATTCCGAAAAAGTGAAGCTCAATCTGTACTACGAATCACTTTGTCCCTATTGTCAGAAATTCATAACAGAAGATCTAGTGAAAGTCATTGACTCCGATCTCCTCACAATCACCGATCTCAAGCTTGTTCCATTCGGTAATGCCGAAGTCTTGGATAATAATACTATAACATGCCAGGTTCTTTTCAATTCCTCCTCCTTTTTCTTAATGCTTTTGTTAAAAGGAGGTTACTACAATTTTTTTTAAGGATTACTTCAAAAAATTATAAGTTCTCCGCTTTCTGTTTTATAAATAAATTAACATCCTTTTTTATGACTAGATCACTCGTCGATTATGTTGATCTTATTATATAATCATGTTTGGAAAATTTTGTGAAGCATGGTGAAGAGAAGTGCAAACTAAACGCCGTTCAAGCTTGCGCCATAAGTACTTGGCCTGATACGGTAATATAATGAATGTATTCATTTATTAACTATATTAATTGTTATAATAGAATTTTGATAAAATTAGTGATGGTTTTTGGAACGCAGCTGTTGCACTTGTCGTTCATAACGTGTGTTGAAGAGACCACGAAAGACTGGAAATCATGTGTTCCGGACCCTACAAGTTTGAAAGCCATCAATGATTGTTACTCCGGTGATCTCTCTAAAAAGGTTAGGGAGTATATTCATATAATACACACATGTTTTTTTTTTCTTTTGCATATTGCATAATTATATAACCCTGTGTATAACATTTTTTTATTGTAACTCATACTTTTTTTTTTTTGGGTAAAAATTGTAGCTCATACTTGAGTATGCAAATCAGACCTTGAGTTTGGAGCCAAAACATGAATACGTACCATGGGTGACACTCAACGGCGAACCACTCTATGAGGTATAGCCGTATAGATATTTATAAACTCCTCGTTTTCTGAATGATATGGCTTCGTTTATTTACATTTCTTAATCAATTAAAAATGTGACTCAATTCACTAATTGTCTTTTTGGTTGTCTGGGGTGCAGAACTACGGAGATTTTGTTCCCCTAGTCTGCAAAGCGTATAAAGGAAAGGAAGCTCTCCCAGAAATCTGCGATTCCTCTTCCTTGTCGAGGAAAAAGTCGAAACTTCAAGTCTCCTTTGTCGAAGACTCTAAAAATTATTAAGCAAAGTACTTATTGAACTAGGAAGGATTTAAGCTTATGAAGTGGAATGATAAATAATAAAAAGACATTTTTCTTAACTTTTATGTTTAAGCGTTGTTATATAAAACCTTCTGATATTGAAACAAAAAAATTAGAAAGCAGTAAAACGGCAAAACCTGAATTATATTAAGACCATTTCTACAAGTAATTAATATGATGTCTAAACGGATGAAAGTATAACGTAACTCGGTAACTAAGTGTAGTTTTGTTTCCTCAACGTGTCGTCTGGACTCGACTTGAGTTAAGAGTCAGTGTGTGAAAACGCCAAAAACACGGTTCCTAATCCTGCGTTTTGGTCGTGGCTATATAGAGAGATTGAAGACGAAAAAATAGAGAAGGAAAAGAGGGTTAGCTGAGTTGGAGTCCAAAACCATATATGTGATCACAGAACTAATTATTGAACTACGATGGATTTTTAACTTATGCCACTGCCTTGCCTAAGTCTCCTGAGAGCAAGTGTCCAAGCTTCAAGTCTTCTATGCCGATGAAGTTAAAAATTACTAACTTAATTATCAAACTAAGATGATTAAGCTTATGTTAAGGGGACCAATTATTATTGACAAAAAACAAAATCCAGTAGACGGAAGATTTCCGCACTGCATCTACCGAATGGGACCATTCTCACACTGATTTTCTCATAATCGTTTAAATTTGGTGACAGTATTCTGAGAAATATATGACTTGAATTAGTATCATTATAATTAGGAATTTTGGCACAAAACGATGCATGTGAGATTTTTTTTTTGTTTTTTTTTTTGACGTCAAACTTATGTTTATTAAACTTATCGAAGCAAGTTAGTCCTGTGAACTAACCAGCTTGGAATCGAGCCATCGAGGGATCTACATAAGAAAAGCAAAGAGCTGCTCGTGCTCCTTTGGAGACACAATTGGCACGGACATTGAGGAGACGTGGGATAAAACAGAGTGAAAATAAGTTAAAAGATGATCGAAGAAAATGAAAGTCTTCAAGTTCCGAGGCCAATGAGGGCCAGTCATAAGTTTCACAAGCTGCAGGCAGTCCCACTCAAAAGAGAGAGACGTTAAGCCTAGTTGTAGAGCATTCTTCATGGCCAATATCAGGGCTGCGAGTTCGGCGTGCAACGGTGAGGACACCTGGTGACTGGTGTGCAGCTGATGCTCCTATATAAGATGCGTTCGCCGTTGACCTTCTCTTTGACGAAACCGCTCCCGAAGAAGGTGCTATTAGAGTTCCAGGACGATGCATGTGAGAACTAGTTGTTGGGTGAAATAAATTCACTAACCTCTCCCTCCTCTTAATCTGCTATAAGCTGGAAATGTCGTCGACCGACGGCCACGACAACCGGTGGATCCTATCTCTTATTGTCTAAATGGCATTGACACCGGCATGACAAAGGCAGCGACCAACGATGTTAACTAATGGTTTAGCAGTAACCAATGGTTTATACAATTTCCTAAATCTATTGGAGTTGCATAAAGGACCGACGCGCACTTCTAAGGAAATTAGGAATCACGACCGACGTGGGAAATAGAAAGTTATGATCGACGTCAAAGCCCAACTCGATAAGGACTAGGACCGACAAACACCTATAAATAAGAGGTCCTAGAACCGAGAGACATATACACAGAAAAACACACAAAAACCCTAATAGCTACTTGTTCTTCGCCTCTCGACGAGCAAGCGACGAACAACCTAGATACGACGAACTACGATCTACGACGAGCGACAGACGAGATTCTCTTAGTTTAATCTTTGATATTGACTTGTTGTAGCTCGATATTCAATTGATTAATAAGATATCTTCTCCTGCGTCATTCCGTTTATTGTACTTGCGAACCGGTTAAATTTTGCCCAAACAGTTTGGCGCTAGAAGGAGGGGCAATTTTAACTGCGTGAGACATGGCGGCGGGAGATGATACACACCGACCGAAACACCGACCGTCACCGTTGCTCAGCTGGAGGCTCTCACAGCTCAGATGAAGCAGAACGAAGAACGACTTGCGCAAATCCAGGCGGAGAACGCAACCCTACGAGCAGAAAACGCGTCATTGGTTCAGGCTCGCAATAGATATCGAGCACCGGTTCCTCCTATGCAATCGTTCGACACTCCACCACTTACGGGTGCAACAGGAGCAACCCTAGGAGCAGGAGCTACCGACGCTGCGCAAGGTAACCAAACATTGGTTCCACCCCTTGCACCAACGATGGAACATCAATCTGAAGACTCACATACTATGTTCTCAAAGCGATTGGAGGCTATGGAGCTCTTGCTCGCGCGACTTCCAGGAGTAGCTCCTCCAATCACCAAAAGTGCTCCTAATTGCTATGCAGACACTCCCTTCACGGATGCCATCGCGTTGGTTGAGATGCCAAAGAAGTTCATCGTCCCTTCAATGAAGATGTACGACGGGACGACCGACCCTGATAATCATATAGCCAGTACAAGCAACGCATGTTCACAACGGCAATAGCAAAAGAATATCGCGAAGCTAGTATGTGTAAAGGATTTGGATCTAGCCTCACGGGACCAGCTCTTCAGTGGTTTACGAACCTACCGAACGCGTCAATCGACTCGTTCGCGTCATTGACGGACCGCTTTGTTGAGCAATTCGCGAGCAGCAGGAACATAGAAAGGACAGCCGACGATCTCTATGGTGATACAGAAGAGAGGAGAACCGTTGCGTAATTACGTAGGTCGCTTCAACAAAGAGAAAGTATCCATTCCGGCATGTGTCACGTCCACTGCTATCTCTGCATTAAAAGAGGATTGCTCCCAGACAGTGATTTGTACAAGGAGCTGACGAAGTACCAGTGCAGAACGATGGAAGACGTGCTGTCTAGAGCATGGGCTCAAATAAGGTGGGAGGAGATCCTGCATATCGACACCTACTTTCCCCACGATCTGATTCACGCGTCATTAGGAACGAGCGTCCCTTCTCGAGACGACAAACCGTACCAGAGACCTCGCAATGAAAGCACTAGCAAGCGAAGCGACTATAAGAGTAGTCATCGACCATCAGCCAAATAGAAGACGACCGACGCTCAACATCCACATGGCCAGACATCAGCAATCCTCGATCTCTCATGGTGAGCTGGTTGGTGCGTTGAAGCAGTTATCTGGTGAGATGGCCTCAAAGATGAAAGCACCAGACGAGAAGCGCGACTCAAAGTGGTGCGAGTTCCATAATGATCATGGACATCGAACAGAAGATATATCACTGAGAATGGAAGTGAACGAGCTACTAAAAAAAGGTCACTTGAGAGAATTTCTCTCTGACAGAGCGAAGAATCGACTGGACGACAGGAACGACGAAAGAGCAACGAAAAAACCAGCCCCCACTTCGTCACCGAGACACGACCGGGTTATCCACGTCATTTCAGGAGGTTCGGAGATCAGTGGAATAACCCATTCGGCCGCTAGGAGGAGCACTAGAACAGCTAGAAGTAACCATGGACATGGAGATGTTAAAGCCATGGACGAACAACTGTCTAGGTGCTCCATCAGCTTTGATTTCGACGAAGACATGAATGTGATAGCCCCACATCATGATGCACTAGTCATATCTTTGACTGTTGCTAATAGCTTGGTGAAGCGAACACTCGTTGATAATGGGAGCTCGACCAATATCTATTCATGGATGCTTACAAGGAATTAGGGCTAGATGAGGAGGCACTGACTCGAAAATCTACACCATTGGTGGGATTTAGCGGTGAAGTGAAGCAAACTGTTGGAGAAGTGATGCTGCCTGTGTATGCAGGAGGAGTCAACCGACAGACGAAGTTTATGATATTGGATTGCGCCTCCGCATACAACGCAATTATGGGACGTCCATGGATTCATGACATGAGAGCATACCATCGACGCTCCACCAAACCATAAAATTTCCTACTCCTTGGGGAATAAGAGAGATCAAGGGTGAACAAGAACACTCACGCTCGTGCTATCAGACGTCCTTAAAAGGGAAAAGCCATCAACTATATCAGCTAGAGAGCAAGCCGTCGATCCCCCATACCGAGGAACCAGAGGTAGAACAACTTGACGAGGTACCATTAACTAAAGACGATCCGGATAAGAAGGTCAATATCGGATCCAAGCTACCGACCGACGTACGACGAAGACTCATTGATTTTCTAAGATCCAATGCTGACTGCTTTGCTTGGTCACATGCCGACATGCCGGGGATCGATCCTGAGATCATTATGCACAAACTACAAGTCGATCCTGAACATCAGCCAGTAAGACAAAAACGAAGGAAGTTTGCTCCCGAACGTGATTTGATCATCAACAAAGAAGTGGAGAACCTACTTGAGGCGGGATTCATTCGAGAAGTACGCTATCCTGAATGGTTAGCTAACGTTGTGGTCGTTCGAAAAAAGAATGGAAAATGGAGAGTGTGCATCGATTTTACTGATCTCAATAAGGCATGTCCGAAAGACCCTTTTCCGTTACCACACATCGACAAACTAGTGGATGCTACCGCAGGTCACGAGCTGATGAGTTTCATGGATGCCTTCAGTGGGTACAATCAGATCTTGATGCACCCTAGCGACCAGGAGAAGACGTCTTTCATGACCTCACGAGGCATATACTGTTATAAAGTAATGCCATTTGGATTGAAGAACGCTGGATCGACCTACCAGAGGCTCGTCAATATGATGTTCGCTGATCAAATTGGTTATACTATGGAGGTGTACATTGACGACATGCTTGTGAAGTCGTTGGTGGCAGAGGATCATATCATGCACTTGCAACAAGCCTTTGCTACCTTGCGAAAGTACAACATGAAGCTAAATCCTACGAAGTGTTCATTCGGTGTAAGCTCTGGGAAGTTCCTTGGTTATATTGTCACTCACCGAGGGATCGAAGCGAACCCAGACCAGATAAGAGCGATACAAGTTATCCCTTCGCCGAAAAATGTGAAAGAGGTACAGAAACTAACCGGAAGAATGGCTGCTTTGAGCAGATTCATCTCAAGACTGTCCGACAGATCTCATACCTTCTTTGCTGCTCTGAGAAAACCGAAGGACTTCATGTGGGATGATAAGTGCGAGAAAGCATTGAAGGAACTGAAGAACTACCTAACATCACCCCCTCTTTTATCTAAACCAAAAGATGGAGAAGTGCTGTTATTGTACCTGGCAGTGTCGGACCACGCCGTCAGTGCTGTTCTGGTTCGAGAAGAGGAAAATAAACAGTACCCTGTTTACTACGTCAGCAAGTCGCTCCTAGACGCAGAAACGAGGTACAGTCAATTGGAGAAATTGGCCTTAGCGTTGATAACAGCAGCGAGGAAGCTACGTCCCTACTTCCAAGCTCATCCTATTGTGCTTGTCAGCTCAGCTCCCATAAAGGCGGTTTTACATAAACCAGAAGTATCAGGAAGATTAGCAAAGTGGGCAGTTGAACTTGGCGAATACGACGTCATATACCGACCGACTATCGCCATCAAATCACAGGTGCTTGCGGATTTTGTGGCGGAATTCACCCCCAATTTGATTCCTGAAGTGGAGGAAGAGGTGAAAACCTTACAAGAAGGATCTCACAAGGGAATTTGGAAGCTGTATGTCGATGGGTCCAGCAACATACGAGGTACATGCCTTGGGATGGTTATAACTTCTCCGACAGGGGAACTTGCATCAAGAGCAGTTAGGTGCAACTTTCGAGCCACTAACAATGAAGCGGAGTATGAGGCATTGATAGCAGGACTGACGCTGGCTCATGATCTTGGAGCTAGAAATCTAGAAGTGTACAGCGACTCACAACTCATAGTTAACCAGATGCAAGGAGATTACCAAGCACGAGATTCGAAGATGACGCGGTATATGAACGTAGCAAAGACGATTGTGGAAAAATTCGACGATTGCAAACTCGCACAGATTCCAAGAGAGGAAAATTGTCATGCGGATGCTCTTGCCCAATCTTTGGCCGGCCACAGACAAGGATTTACCAAATCTAGAAGTTGCATCAGCGGATGTCGCTCCGAATTGGATGACACCTATCATCAACTACCTAAGAGACGACCTACTACCATCTAATCGTAGGGAATGCAGGAAAATAAAACAACAGGCAGCACGCTTCTGCCTATATGAAGATAAGTTGTACCGCAGGTCGTTCTCTAGTCCTTACTTAAGGTGCATTACTCCAGAAGAAGCAAGGCAAGTTCTAATGGAGTTGCATCATGGAGAATGTGGATCTCACTCAGGTGGACGAAGTCTAGTATTAAGAGCGGTGAGAGCCGGATACTATTGGCCGACGATGTCGAATGACGCGACAAGATTCGCTCGTCAATGTGACAAGTGTCAGAGACATGCTCAAGTGTCGAAACTACCTCCAGAGAATTTGAAAAGCATAAGTTCGTCATGGCCATTCATGAAATGGGGCATGGACATAGTGGGAAAACTACCAACAGCGCCAGCACAAAAGGTGTTTCTCTTGGTAATGACTGATTACTTTTCTAAGTGGGTGGAAGCAGAGGCATTTAGTCAAGTCACAGATAAAGAAGTCAGAGGTTTCATATGGAGGAACATCATATGCAAATTTGGAGTTCCTCAAGAGATTGTCACTGACAATGGCCCTCAATTTACGAGCAACAACTTCAAAAACTACTGTATCACGTGGGGAATAAAGCTTAGCTTCGCGACACCCAGGCACCCACAATCCAACGGACAAGCTGAATCTTCAAACAAAACCATTATACAGATGTTGAAGAAACGGCTTGAAAGCGCAAAAGGCAAGTGGGTAGAAGAGCTCCCTGGCGTGTTGTGGGCTTATCGAACGACATCCAAAATAGCAACTGGGGAAACACCTTATTCTCTAGTGTACGGGATGGAAGCGGTAGTGCCATCTGAAGTCACTGTGAAAACGATACGAACAGAGCATCTACAATACCAAGAAAACGAGGAGCTGATGAAGCTCGACCTCGACCTACTCGATGAGAAAAGGGAAACTGCAAGGATTCAAAACTGGTGCTACCAACAGGACATCGCAAGACGATACAACAAAAACGTGCGAACTAGGACTTTCCAAGTTGGCGAATGGGTACTCAGGCGCGTCTTTCAAAACACGATGGAACGTGGTGCTGGAAAACTGGGGCCGACTTGGGAAGGTCCCTACAAGATAACAGAAGTGCGAGGATCAGGTGCATACAAGCTACAAGATAAGGATGGGAAGAATCAACCTAACAGCTGGAATGCTTTGCACCTCAAAACCTACCAATTCTAGGTTCGTTTGATAATTTGATGTTTTGGCTTTTTCTTTGGTTTTGATTTGGTGTTACTGAGTTTTTAGACGATCCATGTGACGTCGATGCTTTTATCTACTTTTATGTATTTGCTTATGTCTACGGACAAGCTTTCTAATAAGAAGTTTTCTACAAATTGATTCTACTATGATGTAACTCGTGTTGTCACTCGTCATAAGGCATAAGAAAGATAAGCGACAGTCGGAACACAGTGACGACCGACCAAAAAAAAGATAAAAAAAAAAGGGGGCAATGCCTCAGGAATAAATCGACCTTAGACCACATTGCAAAAGGCAAGTGTCATGTCCTTGAACACACCAAGGAACGAACGAAAGTTCTGCACGATAGGAAGGAGAACGCCCTCCTCGAAAGCAGAAAACAGTGACATGCGCATAGCAATATTATTCACGTTTAAAGCTTCTTATACTGAATTTGGTTATATTGCGCACCGTCTGTGTCGATATGGTCAAACACGAGGTACGATATCCTCGAGAGAGCGACAACCAGCAGCCTTGGTTTACTCCATTGGCGCTAAATGTCACCAACAGCCAAGAGCAAAACATCCTCAAATCGAGTAGAGAGACTATTGTCACTCTTAACCTCGAGAATAAGGATATAGCCCAAAGGAAAATAACGTTACGTACGTACACATATAAATAACTGTTGAATATATAAAACACAATTATATAAAAAATCAACAATGGTTAAATACCAAATGATTAAGGCGTTCGATAAGCGACTTAAAATCCAAAAGACAACCACAAAAGTTTAGCTGAGAGCCTACATGGTCACTCGTCAGAGCAACAAACCTTAAACAGAGGAGCTCCAAAAGAAAAGTTTGAAACAATACTAAAAACCAGAGTTCAAGGAAACTGCTAGTAGAAACGATAAACGACAAACGCGAGATCACTGATCACCACCAAGGGGAAGACCACCATAAGTATCACCACCAAGTATCCCACCAGTAGGAGCTTCGTTCTCAAAGTCAGTAAATGTCGCAGAGAAAACGGGTGGTACCTTCCCTTCCGCTTTGGCTTCCGCTGTCAAAACCTCACGATAGGCCTCCTCTGCAGCACGAACGTCCCATGTATGAGCTTGACCCATCTTGAGGTCTCTAACCATTGCCCACTGCCTCTTGATGGCTCCTGCGCTAGCTGCTTTAAGTGCGTTCTTCTCTGAGCGACGAAGGTCAAGTCGTAGCTTGTTCTCTGCGGATTTCAAAGCCGCTATCTGCTGATCATGGTCAGTCTTCAGTGAAAGAATCTCTCCATCTTTCTTAGCCATGTCAGTGTCATATCGCTCCTTCCCTGAGACGAGGTCCGCTTTCGCCTTGGTGAGGATGTTGTTGAGACGCTTGTTATCCTTGGAGACGGCGGCGAGCTCCACCTTCGAAGAATGGCAGGCAGACATCACCTAGATACCGAGAAAAATCGACGTTCAAAGGAGCAACTCGCAAGGGAACGACGTACAAAAGTTGTGAAAAAGAATAAATTATAACCTTGAGAAGGTAAACTTGTGACTCGTCAAGGACAGCAGCATGGCCGAGTTTGCCGAAGCTCTCCACATCTCGAGGAAAAGCTTTCTTGTTGAGATCGGCAAGCACATCGGAGTGATCGACATTGGAGAAGAGATCACCGGTGGAAGTTTTTCTCTTTGAGGCACGAGAAGGACGAAGATTGTCAGTCGGTGCAGCAACTTGCTTCGGCAAAGCATTGGAGCTGGGCGGGATCTCTGTGGTTACGATCGTGAGATCGTCCTCCATGTCATCTTCGTAAGCAGCTCGGAACGCAGCTAGGGCACCTCCGCCTGTCGATACATCAAACGCAGACATCCTGTAACCTGCAAAACGTGGTCAATGGCGATAAGGCGCGGTGCGACAGACATGTAATATTGATAAAAGTGATCTCCGAAAAACAGAAGGAATGAAGTTACCCCAAAGAGAACTCTTCTCCAAAGCGAAGCAACTGACTAGGAAACTCACTAAACGCTCCGGCTTAGGACGTACAATTAGCTTGAGTGCACGTTCTTCTCCTTCTTCGCACCTTGGATGACTGAAATCTGCAAAAAGAAAGAACAACATTGTTAAAGATCATGGACAGCGACATAAGATGAAGTACAAGCGGCTATCTACCTCTAAAAAACCAATCAACAGGGAAGTTGGGGTTAAAGCCCACTTTCATAAACAAGAATCTACTCTGCCATTTCTTCTCATAAGGCAAATTCCTCACTGCGCCTCTATCATAGTCATAGACCAAAGGTGGAAACGACGTCGTACGTTTGCTAATCGTACACCTACTAGCATCCACGTTATGAGCCTTGAAGAAATAAGAAAAAAGCACTTCCTCCACCCTCACGTCTACATTGTTGAACTCTCCAAGGACTTGTAAAGCGATTAACACTCTCCAAGCAGTAGGAATAAGCTGTCCAGGAGAAATGTTGAAAAACCGAGCGACATTGGCGATTATAGGGGGCATTATCCCACGAAAACCTATGTCAAAATAAGCCTCATAAACCACGATCTCATCTGATCTTGAGTTATGCGCCCTCTCTGTGTCAAGGGGAGCTCTAAGCGACAATGAATCTGGGAGGCTATACGTCATTCTCAGCGCCTTAATATCATCCTCTTTAATTGATGAGGCTGGGTAATCACGAAATGGAGTCGACAGACGAACTGCACATCCGCGCTTCGGTCTAATCTTAACTCCGGGCATCAAAACTGGCTCACTCATGTGAAAGGGGTATTGAAAGTCAGATTCGGTATGTCCTACTGACACAATAGCCTTATCCGAGACAGAACGACATCGATGGAACCCGAATCTACCCCTCGTCGGTGACTCTTGATACATGTAAACCGGAGAATCGCAGTCGATGTCGTGTTCACTTCCGGAGTCGGGGGCAGACTCATCGTCGAACTCACTTTCACCGTCACTCGAGTAAGAATCTAAGCCAACAGAGTTCCCTAACCTACTAGAGCTACTCGCCATCTAACTCGACCTAAACGAGAAGAGGGAGAGAGGCTGTTTGAACTCACCAATGAAATAGTGTGAAAGCAGCAGCGGTTGTCGAAGAATAGCCCCCAACTAATCAGAAAAGATTGACCTGAGAAAAGGAACACATAAGATGAGTGGTCGAACGACGCTCAATTTGAGTAAAGAAAGAAGAAAAGAGAAAATTCACTGTCGAGTGAAATAAAAATCCGAAAGGAGCAAGAGAGAAATGGAGGAAGGAGCTTACCAATGGCTGCCGCTTTCGTTCCCGAGATGGAAAAGACGACTAGACTAATTAACCAAATTGGAGAAAGACATGCGATGGGCTTAAGTGAATGGTTCTGTATTGGGCCTAGCTGATTCTGAAATTGATTAAGAAATGCAATTTGGCTGCATATGTTAAAACCCACGTGGAAAACATATCAAAAGAAGAATAAGCAAAGCACTTGTCCATCTCCATTTTTTATTAATCCCATGTGGATACTTGAAAGCACGACCGACCGACCGGCATGAACGTCTTTTTTGTTTTGTTGGATATTTTTATTCAACACTTATCTTCTTACTTGCGTGCGACAGACAAATGAGCATATAGGTATGACTTTCCATTTTGCTATTCGATTTATTTCTTTTAAGTCTGTCACTCTGTGGGCACGTCCACACTTGTGGATAATTCAAAAGGAACCATACCACTTGACGGTATATACCTTTTGGTAGATTGGCTTCGAAAGACCGAAGCATGAATTTCTTTTTAGTTTTCTACATCGACATTGGTAAATGACCCACAGTCACATATGATATTATCGAGCATCGACCGACGATTTTGTAAGAGATGTTACTCTACAAGTTCTCAATGAGAAATTGAAGAGTAGGGGGCAAGTTGTTGGGTGAAATAAATTCACTAACCTCTCCCTCCTCTTAATCTGCTATAAGCTGGAAATGTCGTCGACCGACGGCCACGACAACCGGTGGATCCTATCTCTTATTGTCTAAATGGCATTGACACCGGCATGACAAGGCAGCGACCAACGATGTTAACTAATGGTTTAGCAGTAACCAATGGTTTATACAATTTCCTAAATCTATTGGAGTTGCATAAAGGACCGACGCGCACTTCTAAGGAAATTAGGAATCACGACCGACGTGGGAAATAGAAAGTTATGATCGACGTCAAAGCCCAACTCGATAAGGACTAGGACCGACAAACACCTATAAATAGGAGGTCCTAGAACCGAGAGACATTCAGAAAAACACACAAAAACCCTAATAGCTACTTGTTCTTCGCCTCTCGACGAGCAAGCGACGAACAACCTAGATACGACGAACTACGATCTACGACGAGCGACAGACGAGATTCTCTTAGTTTAATCTTTGATATTGACTTGTTGTAGCTCGATATTCAATTGATTAATAAGATATCTTCTCCTGCGTCATTCCGTTTATTGTACTTGCGAACCGGTTAAATTTTGCCCAAACACTAATCATTCATATTTTGTTTATCTTATTTTTTAGAACTAGTTTGCTACATTAAAAAGGTATATTTACAAAATTATCTTTTTTGAGAAAAACTGTACAATTAAATTGATAAAAAAAATTATTGTATCACAATCCCTTATGGTAAAACAAACTCATAACGTTATCGATATGCATTTGAGTAAATTATCAAAGTAAAGTACTTCAAAAAAAAATTAAAGTCATTACTTACACAAAATTACACGAAAAAAATATTGAAAAAATTGAAACTAGCTAATAATTTGCTCTCTCACGTTTTTAATATTGTAACAGAATTTCAAACTTCATGACTAACGAAACGTTGTACTAAAAAAAATATGGTATTTGAGCGAATGTTCTTGATGAAACGGAAAGTTGAGCTTATTCATACTAACTTTGGTGTCATTATTTCAACCGGAAAATATACCTCTATTGGGGTCAAACTATATACCCCCACTGATAGCGTACTGAAACAAAACATTTCCAAAACTATTAAAAGTTTAACCATATCTTACAATTTGATAGACGACGTACGCATGCATACCTACTCATATAGGTAGATTTGCAGAACCAACAGCTAGTATTACTGTCGATTTACAATTAGGGACCCTTACTAGTATTATCAAAATAACTTTATTTGACATTTTGTTTCTTATAACTATGAACATTTGATAGATACTATGAACCCAAAAGTAAAACAAGGGACCCTAACGTGAAAAATGTTACCTAACTAGTAAAAAATCAAGTGATGGACTGATAGTAACAGTAATAAATATATCTATAAATGTATACACAAGGCAGTAGTCATCAGCCACACTCAACTCAAAATCTTTAGTTAATTTCTTTTTTAACAATGGCCTCTTCTTCTCCGTTAAACAAGCTTGTGCTCATCTTCTTAGCTTGCTTCGTGTTCGCATTCTCAGACAACCTCGTGGCTGGAGATTCCGACAAAGTGAAGCTCAATCTGTACTACGAATCACTTTGTCCCTATTGTCAGAAATTCATAACAGAAGATCTAGCCAAAGTCCTTGACTCCGATCTCCTCACGATCACCGATCTCAAGCTTGTTCCATTCGGTAATGCCGAAGTCTCGGATAATTCGACTGTCACATGCCAGGTTCTTTTCAGTTCCTCCTCCTTTTTCTTAATGCGTTTGTTAAAAGAACGTTAAGGATTACTTCAAAAAATTATAAGTTCTGCGCTTTCTGTTTTATAAATAAATTAATATCCTTTTTATGATTAGATCACTCATCGATTATGTTGATCTTATTATAATCATGTTTGGGAAATTTTGTGTAGCATGGTGAAGAGGAATGCAAACTAAACGCCATTGAAGCTTGCGCCATAAGCACTTGGCCCGATCCGGTAATATAATGAATGTATTTCTTTATTTACTACAATTTATTGTTATAATATAATTTCATAAAATTAGTTATGGTTTTCGGAACGCAGATGTTGCACTTCTCGTTCATAATGTGCGTTGAAGGGAGCACGAAAGACTGGGAATCATGTGTTCCGGACCCTACAAGTTTGAAAGCCATCAATGATTGTTACTCCGGTGATCTCTCTAAAAAGGTTAGGGAGTATATTCATATAATACACACATGTTTTTTTTTTCTTTTGCATATTGCATAATTATATAACCCTGTGTATAACATTTTTTTATTGTAACTCATACTTTTTTTTTTTTGGGTAAAAATTGTAGCTCATACTTGAGTATGCAAATCAGACCTTGAGTTTGGAGCCGAAACATGAATACGTACCATGGGTTACACTCAACGGCGAACCACTCTATGATGTATAGATCTTTATAAACTCTTCGTTTTCTGAATGATATGGCTTCGTTTATTTACATTTTTTAATCAATTAAAAATGTGACTCAGTTCACTAATTGTCTTTTTGGTTTTGGGGTGCAGAACTACGGAGATTTTGTTCCCCTAGTCTGCAAAGCGTATAAAGGAAAGGAGCTCTCCCAGAAATCTGTAATTCCTCTTCCTTGTCGAGGAAAAAGTCGAAGCTTCAAGTCTCCTTTGTCGAAGACTCTAAAAATCATTAAGCAAAGTACTTATTGAACTAAGAAGGATTTAAGCTTATGAAGTGGAATGATAAATAAAAAGACATTTTTTCTTAACTTTTATGTTTAAGCGTTGTTATATAAAACCTTCTGATATTGAAAAAAAAAAATTAGAAAACAGTAAAACGGTATAACCTGAATTATATTAAGACCATTTCTACAAGTAATTAATATGATGTCTAACCGATGAAAGTATAACGTAACTCGGTAATTAAGTGTAGTTTTGTTTCCTGACGTGTCGTCTGGACTCGACTTGAGTTACAAGTCAGTGTGTGAAAACGCCAAAAACACGGTTCCTAATCCTGCGTTTTGGTCGTGGCTATATAGAGATCAAAGACGAAAAAATAGAGAAGGAAAAGAGGTTGAGCTGAGTTGGAGTCCAAAACCATGTGATCCAAAACTAATTATTGAACTACGATGGATTTTAACTTTATGTCACTGTAATCACAAGTAAATACATTTTATGTTTATAACTTAGGCGTTCATATATGAAATTCGGATAATAAAAACAAAAGCATTAAATAGGTATAAGGTGAATATGACGTGACGTCCAAACCGACGAAAGTGTTATGTAACTCGGTAATTTATTAACCACACTTTTGTTTTAGCTACGGTACTTTTAGATTCAACCGATCATAAAACTAAAACTTCAAAGATAGAGCAAAACTAACGAGCTTTTGTCTTCTCATCTAATATAAATTAACAGACAATCACAACTACAGTTTCTCACAATCTCTTGATCTGTTTTTTGTTTTTCCTCCAGAGAGTATACACAATTATTAAGTTTGTCATGTTATGTTCTCCGGTGTTGGAAGATGTAAAGAAACATCGCACTTGTATATTGGGAATCTTACCGTAAAAAAAAAAAGAAGAATAATATAAGAAAGAAATCAAAAATGTAATACCAAATCAAAATGATGAGTAGGAATTGGAGAGGCAAGGTTTTAGTCTCATAGTGTAGTGTGACGGTTTTACGGCAGTAAGATTCCCAAAATACAAGGGCAATGATTATGTTTTCCAGCATGGAAGAACAAAATATGATAAGCTTAATTACTGCTTATACTCTTTAGAGGAAAAACAGAAGATCGAAGAGAAGGTGAAGAATTGTTATTATGATGGTGTTGATGTGTATTAGAAGAGAAGACAAAACTTGTTTATATTGCAATCATGCTCAACGTAAGCCATAAAGTGGAGACTGAGACAAATATTATCAACTTAGTCACCTTTGAACGTAATTAAGTGTTTCAGTTTCACAAAAGTCCCATAAAGTGGAGATTGTGTCTTTATGACATTGATGTCATGTAACGTCATTTTCAAAAGAGATATTCGTTGATCCGGTCAACAAAATAATCTAGAAGGAATTTGGGCCAAAAGAATAATACTTTAATCCGTTTGCCCATTTTTCAAAACCTGAGGCCCAAAGCACGAGCTTGAGTTTTTCATCTACACACTCTGCCTCTGGAAACGTCACGTCATACATTCATAGCTCGAGTTACTGTGGACACGAAAGTCAGAAAAGAGACCCCACGAAAATAATGTTAATAGTGAAAGAAGGCACTTTCAGAAACGATAAAATAAAACTATCTATAAATGTATACACAAGGCATTCTTCATGAGCCACTCGATTCAAACTCGTAAGTAAGAAATCTTTTTAACAATGGCTTCGTCGTCTTCTATAGACAAGCTTGTATTCTTCTTCTTAGCTTGCATCCTCCTCTTCACATTCTCAGACAACTTCGTCGCTGGAGATTCTGATAAAGTAAAGCTCAATCTTTACTACGAATCACTTTGTCCCTTTTGTCAGGATTTCATCGTCGAGGGTCTAGTCAAAATATTTGACTCCGATCTCCAGACAATCACCGATCTCAAGCTTGTTCCATTTGGTAACGCACGTGTCTCCGATGATATGACTGTTACTTGCCAGGTTCTTTTCAATTTCTTTTCCTAGTTTTTTTAAATTGTTTTTTTATAAAAATGGTTCTTTAGTTTCTTTTAACCAATTTTTCTCAGTGTTTTGGTATAAGATTTTATAGAAAGTTGTAGAATGATCTAAAACATTATGGATGATTTACTATATTTTTAAGGATTATTCTTCAAAAAATATCGCTCTCCTCTTTCTTATCGATAAACTAGTTTAGTCTTTCTGTTTATGGTTATACATCGTTTAAATCATTTGAATGTGTCATCTTATACTCTGTTCTAATTATCTGTGAAATTTTGTGAAGCATGGTGAAGAGGAATGCAAACTAAACGCAATTGAAGCTTGCGCCATAAGAACTTGGCCCGATCCGGTATATAATTATTGCATCTATTTACTGCACAAAAATACTTACAATATGATTGTATTTAATTTTGTATTTCTGAGATAAATCATAAACCAATGAAACTTTAGTACAACAAATTTAAAAATCTTTTAACTTTTTATGAAATTTAGACATGATCGTTTCTGTCACCCGATTCAAGGATTTTGTTTTTTTTTAATGGTTTTTAGCGATTATTGGTTGAGTAGCCAATAACTCATTGTGTGGTTGGTGCGGATTGAGACAAAGTGATTAATGATAGAACTTTAATTTGAAAAAGTGATGATTTTTGGACCGCAGAAAATGCACTATGGGTTCATACGCTGCGTAGAAAAGGACACGAAAAATTGGGAAGCATCATGTGTTAAGTTATATGGAGGTGAGAAAGCCATTAAAGATTGTTACTCCGGTGATCTCTCCAAAAATGTAAGTTCACATAAAACAATCATAATATACATAAATATTGTACAATACCCTAGAAGTTATAACCCTTGTTTGTTTGTTTATTATTTTAGCTCATAACTGAGGATGCAAACCAGACTTTAAGTTTGAAGCCGAAACTTAAATATGTTCCATGGGTCACAGTCAACGGCAAACCACTCTATGAGGTATCTCTTTTTTTTTTCTTCATGTACAATCTGATTTCGTTTATATAGATTTCTTTTTATAATCAACTAACTAACAATGTGTCGTTTTTCTTAATTTTGGGAATGCAGCGTATGGATGACTTTGTGGCAAAAGTGTGTAAAGCGTACAAAGGAAAGACTTCTCTCCCAAAAATTTGCAGCTCCTCTGCCTCGCATGTGAGCAAAAGGTCGAAGCTTCGAGTCTCTTATGCCGATGAAGCTATCAATTATTAAGCAAGTACTTATTGACCTAAGATGGATTTAAGCTTACGCTATTAGTGGAATGATAAATAAATAAATCTTTTTCAAAAACTCTTATTTTGATATATGAACATTCTGATATTGTCAACAAGCCACAAAGCATTAGAAACAAAAACATTAGCACAAGCCTAACTATATTAAGACCATTTTCTATTAAAAGTAATTCATATGATGTGACGTGTTGTTTAAGTCGGTAATTTATCAACCGCACTTTTGTTTCGGCTTACTTCTTTTTTGGACTCACTACTTTGATCAGCAAAAACGCTCTTAAAACTGCGTTTTGGTCGTGGCTTATATAAGTAACATACGAAAACAGAGAAGCAGAAGACCTTGAAGTAGAAACATCATGCATTCTGCTAGAAGAATAGGAAAATACATAATGTTTTAGGATGAATCATGAAGAATCAATTCATTCACAAGCTGAAAACATACATGTTTCTGATTCAAACGAGTCAATAAACAAGAACATGATCTAACATTTCTATATATCATGTACTTTTATTTTTTCAAATAGAGTATCTCTTTTAATTTAAATCGTGCTTCCTGATAGAAATCGGCTATAGAAATCCAAAGACTCTCGCGGTTTATACTCAGGAACCGTATGTCCTGCTCCCTGAAATATTACCACAATGATAAAAAAAAACATCAGAATACTATAACAAACATTTTGCGAATAAAGATATGCTTATTTGAGTATAGAAATGTGATTCAATGCTTGCCTTGATAGTTAAAAATGTGAGATTGTTTGCATATCCTTGCGTATACCTGTAAAAAAATATGCATAAATTGTAGAGGAACGTTGAGAGCTCCAAGAAAAAAAATTAAAAATCATATTTTCGACTACACCATTATAAGATTACCCTGCGACTTGGTCGTTTGACATCCATGGCCTCCATTCATCAATCACCTTGTATCCAAGAGAATATGTCCAAGCTTGAGAGCCAGTAAATGGAACACACATATCATGATCCCCGCTTCAAAATCAAAACTTGTTTGATCATTCTCCAAACTATACGTTAAGCCTTCATATTCATTTTTATACGTTGAAGTACCTGTAAATGAGAGCTCTATATCCACTTAGGGTGAGGTTTCTATGAAATCTGAGCATGCTTCCTGCATCATGGTCGAATAAGAGTTTTCCAGAACAGAGTGCCCATCTTCCAATCTCGCTCTCCTGTCAATTTTTCCATCACATTGATGATATATTTCATGCATGGTTATTTAACAGTAGAGTCAAACAAAGTTTGAGACCTCTTTAGCATTAATAGCTTTTCTAATCTCTGGATGGTTTAACCAAGCTGTTGCAACTCTATCATCCTGAAAAATAAACGTTCTTCGTTTTAGATTATAATCTGAGGATTGTAAAACAGAGAGACACTAGGTTTTCCTTTACTTACGATGCAAGGAACAGAGACATCAGCAAGGAGTTGAGACCAGCTAGGGACAATGCCTGGCCTAACAGGTGCACGAACTGGCCATGCACGACCAAACATTCTTTTTCTTACAGCTAACGACTTTTCGGTTTTGCCTAGCTGAAGAAGACTTGAAGGTAGCGATCTTATGTCAAAAGCTGATAGTGATGTTCCGTGGAAACATGGCTCAAGAATGTTGTACACGTTCAATCTGCCTACGTCCTGACATGAAAACCAAAAGAAAAATCAAAACAATGATCTCACAACATTCTCAATGTCTTTTAAATTAACATTATCAAAAACATTATATATACATACCTCTCCAACTTTATTCAACTGTTCGTTGCACTCAACTCCATCATTTTCATAGAAGTTTCCATGGCAAGCTTTTGTAACGTTCTACGGATTTATCGTTAGGTGTTAGATAAGGAAGTGGGAGAGTAAACACCATTGAGAAAATAAACAAACCTCAAAGAGTTGATCAGAGATTAGTCCCATTCCGTGTGCAAATGGGATAAGAGCGTTTCCATCAAACATCGGATCCGTAACTCCATTTCCAACCAAATATCCCTACCCAAAACCAGAGTAGAAGATCCAATCATTTCCTAAAACCAAGCAAGAACTCATGAAACTGAGATTGAGTCGTTGATCTCGTTACCTTGAAGTTAAGAGCCGGCTTTGACCCATCTTTGTTCCCTGCAACATATATAACCAACAAAAGGAGAAATAGAAGATCAAGATTTAAGAAGATGTATCTTCGATTAGGTTAACACATGAAAGGAGAAAATATATTACCTTTGACTACTTCTGCAGCAAGAGTTGGAACATAAACTCCAGCGTAAGATTCTCCGGAGATGTAAAACGGATTTGATTGGAACTCCGGGAACATCTGGAACCACTGTTGTAGAACATTCCAAAGAAGCATTTAGTGATGTGAGTTACACCCAAAAACTTTATTCAAAGAAACAAATATTTGAGTTTGAACGAATTTAGATTTTACTCCTGTTCCCATAACGCATTTAATGATATACTTATGTTACTGGATTTGTGTATTTATTTTTTGGTTAATTATTTTTGATTATATGGTTATTTAATTTATCGAATTTTAATTTCTATTAAATATAAGTGTTCTACAATCTTATGTATGTCTTGTGTTGGTTTTCATGACACTATCATCTAAAAGGAATATGAGAATGCCCTTAAAATAAAATCATACTTTAAAATCTATAGTTTCTGAGTTCATTTTGATTTATTTAGACTCAATCATTGAATTAAAACATTTCTTATAATTATACCTTGAGAAGGAACGCGTGAGAGTCAAACGCGGTTTTCATATCACCGGTATCGTAATCAGATTTGTTCTTTGAGTAAGAGAATCCAACCCCAACAGGAGAATCAAGGTATATGATGTTAGAGACCTGAAAATAAAAATAAAAATAAAAATAAAATAAAATGTAAAAAAGAAATCGATAAATATGATATATATAGCGGTCCCATATTGTATATTTGTTTTATTTATTTATTAAATTACCTTGGACCAACTATAACGATTGAGATGTAACTGTGGAAGACTAGTGTTAGTCTTTGCTGGTTCGAAATTGAAAGGACCATGCTCGTAGACAAATCCATCCATGCTTGAACAACCTGGACCACCATTAAGCCAAAGTACGACCGGGTCTTTTGATGGATTCTTTTCCGATTCAATAAAGTAATACCACAAATTCTTCCCATGCTCCTTATCGATCGTCACATACCTTATATCAAAACCAAATATTAGACAGAAATTAAACTAGGAAGCAGAAAACAGAAAGAAAAAAAAAGAAACATAAATCTTTTGATTCAAGAAGATAGTTTGATTATCCATTCCGGTGACAAATATCCCAAGAGTTTAGATACACGAACTTTTTAAAATTGAGATGATAATTTTGTTTTTCAGGAACAAGAAGAGGGAAATTATTTATGGGAAATGCGTTTATCCAGTGATTGAATTTTAAAAGAATTCAAAAGAACTCATAAGCTATATACAGCTGGAACTTTTTTATATGAATTTACTGGATTATATTGTCCAAACAAAAAAATGTGAAAGCTTAAAACCCAAATTCACATTCTTTCTGTTGTGAAGTACTACTAAATTCTTTTCCAAATGATATTGCCGTAAAACCCAAGGTAATCTTGAGTAACACTAACATTTAATGGAAAAAACTGAAGATATTTTGTTTTTCAAGAACAAGAACATAGAATTCAAACTTTTTACCCGGCGTAGTGTTTTGAAGGAAAAGTGCCATTGAAGCCAGGAATTTTGGTGATAAGAGCAGATTCAGGAGCTGATTCTGTTGTTACTACAAAGACTGAAAAGACTAATGTCACAGCGACAAGAAATTTCACCAAGAACCTCATTGTGATGAGAGAACAGAGAAATCTCAGTATTATAGTATAATTAACAAGAATTGATAGAGTGCTTTTATATCAAAAATCTTGGGAATATCACGTTAGTTGCCCACAAACCAACAAAACAAAAAAGGAACGTTGGAAAAATAATTGAAACACGAATTATGGAAGAATTTCTGGAAAAAGAAGACAAAAAAGATGAGTATAGGAAAAAATCTGTTGAAACATAGGACAGGAATATTAGATATAGGATTGATCCGTTTGTGGATAAAATACAACTGTGATTCTGCAAGCTACAGTTTCCTTAAAAGGCACGATTTTTGATTTTTTTTGTTTAGCATTTCTATGAAAGCTAACTTATAGGTGAGAGGCTGTGAGAGCAGCTTTGCATCTGTAAGCAAATTGAGTGGAGACAAGAGAACGCTAGTTGATGACTACTAAAGTTAACAAGCGGTTACTTCAAGTGACGACTGGCTTACAAAATTATGACAGGTGGCGAGAATGAATGCATTGTTTTTTTTCGTGAAAGACTACCGTTTTTTCTCACAACAGATTCCCAACTTTTTCATTAACTTTTTTTTTTGCTTAAGGTGTGTTTTTGACTTTTTTCGTTGTATCTTTTTGAGGCTTTGACTCGGAAGATTATTAACCGTTGGCTTAAGTACCCTTTTAAAATTAGTAATACTATTCCAACAGATGGAGAAAAATAAAAGAATTTTCTAATTATTAAACTATTTGATGACCAGCTTGTCTTCCTGCTGATGCTTTCACCTTCGTGACACTTGATGTGGTGGGCCTGTCGACTTTAGCTAATGAAATCGACTCTGCCTCTGATTTATGAGGTAACTATTGTGTGAACTAGGATAATCGGAGAAAAGTATACTTTAAGAGACGACTGATTTATAAAATGACATGAATTAGGTACTAGTGATTGGAGTATTAAAAAAGACTGATTATTAGAGTCTGTAGGAAACAACTTTATATCCCGTTATTGGGCATAATATAATCTGTTTTGAAAAGCATTTTGATCATGAAACAACATCCAGTAGAAAGCAAGTTCCAAATGCATGAAACCTCTTCGTAACGTTGGTTTAATCTTGATTTTGAACCGAACTGAAAAGGTAAAAGCGAATTCCAAAAGCAGTGTGATTCTTGGTGTAAAATTTTTGTTTTCTTCTTACGTTATAAAGAAGTCCAAATTTCGTGTGGCTGAGCCAAGACATGAAACTTTCGATAGGACTGTGGTCTGTGGATCGGACACCCCAACACACCATACTTTTCCTTCATATTCTACGCACAAACCACAAACCAAACAGTGAAAGCAAACTCTTAAAGAAGACAGTAGAATTATCTCCATCGTAAACCTTAATAATACCTCAATAACAGAGATAAAAATGGAAGTTATTCGAATCTCCATTACCATAGAAATTGTGCTGAAAAATCGTAGTCATAACTCAAAATATGAAATGTCCAATATTAAATGCTAATGGAGTAATTATTTAGCGAGGAAGAATAAGATAACTAGTTTTGTCCCACATCGGTTGAATAGTGAGTTGGAAAATGATTCGATGGCTATAAAACAGTTAGAGTTGGGCCTGTGATTAAATATGATCCTTCAGGCAAGTTAAAGGGGAAATGAGGAAAGGGTTTAATCTCGCTTAATGCGTGAAGAGCGTTCCGCTCAAAGCCTGTTACGACAATTGGGCGCTCCAATTTTCATATCATCTGATCCCTCTCCTGATTGAATCATTATTTAGTTTTCTTCTCTAATAAAATATTTTATAACAAAATGTGTTTTAAAATAAATTAGTTTCAATTAAAAAATTAACGGTTTTCTATAGCAACTATAGGTTGAATTAGTCAATGCTATTTTTCAATTTCAACCTTTTTAAAATTATAATCTAACAAGTAAACAACCTTTCTAATTGATTTCTGAAATGTCGAGTCCTGGAAGTTTTCTTTGGTCGAACAATTGGTCTAGATGAAAAGAAAAGTATACAATATGGTTACAAAGAACCAAAAAAGCCAAAACACCGATCAACAAACTAGTCGAATGCATGGTAAAGTTGAAGAAACAAAGACTCGAATAAAGATTTAAGGATAGGGACGAACTTAAAAGCTCAACCAAAGTATCATACGTACTTTGGGGTTTATATATTTATATGTGCTAATAATACGACCAATAGTGGGATATGACTACTTATACATTCACACAAACTAAAAGAAACAGCAAGAAGATATTAATCAAATCATCTCCGTCATTTTACTGCAGCTTTAAATAAATCAGCACCGTCCATTTCCATATGGCATTAAATCAATTGTCGCGCTGTTTATTGCTTGGCCGCAACTTCTAACTACATCACACTCTTCCCCTTTATATAAAGGAGATTACAACCTCAAAACTTCTTGGAGAGAACAAACGACAACCTAAACGCCAAAGGCAACTTTACGCGTTTTTCAATGGGGAAGAATCGGTTCGGTGTTGCGGTGGCTGTTGCATTCTTGGCCTTGATTCATGTTTCTGTCTCAATCCCTTTCGTAATGATCCATGGAATTTCAGCTGAATGTTCTGATAAAACAAACTCTAACTTCCCTCGGCTTCTCACTAACCTCTCTGGCTCTCATGGCTTTTGCTTGTAAGTTGAGAACTTTTATTGTTAACGATGTTTATAGTGCCTGAACATGATGATGTATTTAATTTGGTTCGATACAACATACAACTCTTGCTTTCTTTATGAATCCAGAGAAATCGGAAATGGAAAAAGCGATTCATGGCTTATGCCACTTTCGAAACAAGCAGAAATATTGTGTGACAAGGTGAAGAATATAGAAGAGTTACGTCAAGGATACAACATTGTTGCAAGATCTCAGGTTTCTTGATACTTTTTTGAAAAAAAAAAGAAAACAAAAAACAGTTTGTTATCTTTACCCGTTTAAAATTTCATGAATGATGGAACAACAGGGGAACTTAATTGCTCGAGGGCTGATCGAGTTCTGCGATAATGGGCCTAAGGTTTACAACTACATATCTTTAGCTGGTCCTCATGCTGGAATCTCCTCTGTTCCTTGGTGTGGTGTAAGCAATTTTTTTTAAAAAAAATCTCAATCTTTTATATGATTTTATTGTAACGCAGTAATCTTAGTAACAAAAATGTATGTTTCTGTTTTTTGGTTTTCGGGTAAAGAAGGGTATCTGGTGTGTGGAAGCAGATAAACTGATTGAGAAGGATATTTATACCGAATACGTTCAAGTATCTCTCTGTACCACTCTCACTATCAGTATATTAACCTTAATCAGGGATTAATTAACATCGTTTATGATTATGCAGGATCATCTAGCTCCTAGTGGTTACATCAAAATCCCTACTGTATTGTCTATTCACATTTCACCATATATAGTTGAGGAGTAGAACCATATCTAATTAGATTCTAACAGAATCTTTATTTGTGGTTTCTCAGGCTATAACAAAGTACCTGCAAAGTTCTAAGTATCTACCAAAGCTTAACAATGAGATACCAAACCAAAGAAACGCAACTTATAAAGACCGTTTCACCAGCTTACAAAACTTGGTTCTTGTCAAGGTTCAGATTTCCACAGAACCATCAACAATTTCAATCGATTGAATGAATATATATAATTTGTTTTAATTACCAGGAGGTTCTGACCTAAACCCGGAATGACCAATATTGGTTCGGTGTTCTAAGTGGCACTCCATCATATGACCTTTAAGTTTTGCCTAGGGTCATTTTCCAGTTGATCTAAAGCCACTTTGGTATATCTGTTTTGTTTACAGTTTCAGAACGATACAGTTATTGTTCCAAATGATTCATCTTGGTTTGGGTTTTACTCGGATGGTGCAAATCAACCTCTTCTCTCTGCTCAACAGACAAAGCTCTATACAGAGGATTGGATCGGACTGAAAACGTTGGATGTTGCTGGTAAAGTGAAGTTTGTGAGTGTACCTGGTGGACACCTCCGAATGGCAACTTCCGATATTGTCAAATATGTTGTGCCTTATCTCCAAAACCAACCGTCTTCCATACAAAGACTCAACCGGGAAAAGAAGGAAACATTGCGTCATTAACATAACCAATACGTCATTATGTGTAAAAGTAAAATATTTTGATTGGGTCTTTCAGATTTTGTTTCATGAAATAATGATGTGTGTGCTGATGTGTTAACCATTTGGAGGCACATTTGCTCTTTATATATTAGATTGTTTATAGTTAAACTGAGTTGCTGAAATTATGTGTATTTTTTTTTGTCAATATTTATATTAAAAAGGCATTTCTAGAATGAGAAATTTTTTTTAACAAATTTTAATCAGCTTTGATAAAATGGAAACTAGCCAAAAATGAAAAAAAATTATTCACATTTTTTTCTTTAAACGCTAGTACTGAACATATATAACTTTTTTTCGCCGAACATACTGAATTTGCCTCACAGGGGGATGACACAAATCCGCTAAACGTCGTATTACAGCTAAATAAATGTATTTGTGAATTAAAAAATTATATTAAAAATGTTAAAATAGGTAAACAATGTATTTCTTCAAATGATATAGTCATAAATATATAAATCAGCAATTTTGCAAAGAAACGTTAATTACTCAAGTAAGAAGAGTATCAGGTCGGCGTCGGGAAGAAGAAGAAAAAAACCACTAGAAGCAGATTACTAATTGAAATGTATGATTCTTTGTTTATGGAGTGATAATTTCTTTTTTGTATGCTTAATTGATGCTTATATAGTTTTTTTCGATTTTTTGGGGTCTTTTTCTCTGTTTTGAATGATTGTGACAGTGATTTGAGCAGTATGAGCAATGAAATTGAGCAAGAGACTCCTTCCCTTGGAGCCAAGTCCTTCATGAGAAAACCGGTCAAACCAACTGACTCCAATACCATCATATGGAATGATGCTATAAGATACTTGTTGACGGGTAATTTCTTATCGATTAACTGTGAAGCTGATGTGAACAGTATATAATAACAATCTTGTTGTTTCTCCTAGCTTCTTGCAGTTTTAATACAATTCGATTATACACATAATACATGTATTATGATTCTTAGCTAGATCTATATTATGATATGTGAACTATACAGATAATTCAAAGGACAAGAATCCAGATGTTGGGTGTTCTGGATCACAGGGCACAAAGAAATCTAAGATCATATGGACGGAATATCTTGTGGATCTATTTTTCAGGGCCATTAACTACCTCGGTGTCGATAGTAAGCTTTTACCGTTTGTTTGTATCTTATCTTTTACATGTTAGATTATTTGAAGTTCATTGAAATGTTCTTTATCACGAGAAAATCATAATATTAGATTGTAATTATTTCATATTCTCTTTTTTGTGTTGAATAGAAATATTACTCTACAATTGGATTCGTTGATTTCTTATTTTCTTATCGTCGGATATATTATTGTTTAGTAAAAAGCATTTGTAAAGATTTTTTATATAATTCTCTATCTTTTAGTTTTGATTTTATAGATAGATATATAGGTATTTTGAAAAGTTTCAAGGTCGTACGGTCGAACTATTTTGTTAATCTAAATTTTGGAAGCTATCCGACAAACTATTTTTTTTTATTTTCTAAATTTTGTTTTTGTTGTAAAACGACACATGATCTTGGCGGCACATATTTGAAGTTCTTACTTGTTACGTGTTGGATATTTTTTTTTTATATTATTGTTTTGCTCAGTGCAATATTACTTACCATCAACAATATTTTTTCATTGTGTAAAACAATACCAACACTCGTTTTTTACTTGCATTTTTGAACTATTTTGGTATACATTATATATACTGAAGTTCTATCTTCTGCTTCATGTTTGATACAATATTGAAGAGGCTACACCGAAGACGATTTTAGAGTTCATGAGGGTGCAAGGCCTAACAAAATTACAGGTGTCCAGCAAATTACAGGTTCGGTCTTCACTTAACATTGCTTAAAGTTGGGACCATATGTCATATAATCATATTTCAAAGCACTAAAAATATTGTTTCGCACCTAATCAACATCAACTTTTACTCTTCTTGTAATTCTTGAATAGAATACACCATGAAAAATAAAAGATTAATTAATAATAGAGCCAACCAAAGTTTTTTTTTAAAAGAAAACTATTTCGTATGATGTTATGATTTAGAATTAATAAAAAGTATAAATTTCATGAAAATCTATCATTCAAAATTGAGGGAGTAGGTTAAACATGTGCATCTTATATATATTATATATATATATATATATGTTTCAGGTCATATTAATTATACAGAGATTATAAAACTAACTAACAATTTTGAAATTGTTGAAACTACAAACAGAAGTACAGACTTTTCTTGAAAAAAATTAATAAAAAAGGCATAAGAGAAAGGTCAAGAACAGCTATGCACTTTAACAACAACACCACCAGCCCAAGGAACAACAATCTTTACTGTTCCGGACGTGGCTATGGTCTTGGTCAATCTAGCCTCTTGGGGAACGGCAATGTTGGTTTACGTGACTCTGTTCCTTATATGAACCGGAGACCCATGTATGGTTTTTTGAGTCAAAACGAATCCAACTTATTGCCTAGGGGATTTTCGAATGGTATTTTGAATTTAACGGAGGAAGAAAGGAGAAGCGTCGCTGTGACACCTCAAGAGTCTCAAGCTCCTAGGTTTGGACAATATGGTACATCGGGAAATGTTTTGGGAATGAACTCTAATCTTAATACTGATACTGTGGGAGGTAATTACGCTGGAATTACAGCTAGTGGAAATGGTGATTTGTTTGGACCTGGTGAAGTAAGAGTTAATGGTAATGATAATGGCTCTTTTGGTGGAGTAAGAGTCCATGGTACTAGCAATATCATTGGTAATGGTAATGCCTCTCTTGGTGGAATAGATATTCATGGTACTGATAATGAGAATGCAAATGGCTGTTTTGGTGGAATAGGAGTCTATGGTAATGACTCTCTTGGTGGAGTAAGAGTCCATGGTACTAGTAATATGAATGGTCATGGTAATGCCTCTCTTGGTGGAATTGATATTCATGGTACTGACAATGAGAATGGAACTGGCTTTTTTGGTGGAATAAAAGTCTATGGTATTGGCTCTCTTGATGGAATAAGAGTTCATGGTTATGGTAAAGGAAATGTTAACGGCTCTCTTGGTGAAACAAGACTTCATGGTATTGGTAATGGTAATGGATATCTTGGTGAAACGTTTGGAGCCAAGAATTGGAATTTCAATAACAACATGAGTAACCATGAAAGTTCATCTTCGAGTTTTCCTTCTGCAATGTCATCATTCTTAAACGATGGGGATCAGTCACATATGAATTTCACTGCGCAAACTGATAATGTGGCTCTTGTCCAAGAAAATCCAAGCATGTTAAATGATCATTATGGCACCAACGGGATTTTTAGCGATACAATTGACTCACAGTTTCAGGTACGTTGACTAACAACCGATCTTAAATTAACTATTTTTAAAAACATATATGAAGTTAGTATTCATGTCTATATGTGCATGGTTTTGATCAGCATCAAGATAAAGTGAGTGGTGAAAATCTTGGGCTGCCTACTTATCATGATCTTGCTAAAATGAAGGGAAAGCTAGTTGTTAATCCCCTTGAAGACATTGATAACTGGAGTTTTAAAAATGTAAGTCATGTTTATTTTATTTCTATTCAACTCTTGTTAAAAACATATATGAAGTTAGTATTCATGTCTATGTGCATGGTTTTGATCAGCATCAAGATAAAGTGAGTGGTGAAAATCTTGGACTGCCTACTTATCATGATCTTGCTAAAATAAAGGGAAAACTAGTTGTTAATCCCCTTGAAGACACTGATGACTGGAGTTTTAAAGATGTAAGTCATGTTTATTTTATTTTTATTCAACTCTTTTTAAAAACATATATGAAGTTAGTATTAAGGTTTATATGTGCATGGTTTTGATCAGCATCAAGATAAAGTGAGTGGTGAAAACCTTGCGCTGCTTACTTATCATAATCTTGCTAAAATGAAGGGAAAGCAAGTTGTTAATCCCCTTGAAGACACTGATAACTGGAGTTTTGAAAATGTAAGTCATGTTTATTTTATTTTTATTCAACTCTTTTTAAAAACATAAATGAAGTTAGTATTAAGGTTTATATGTGCATGGTTTTGATCAGCAAGATAAAGTGAGTGATGAAAATCTTGGACTGTCTACTTATCATGATCTTGCTAAAATGAAGGGAAAACAAGTTGTTAATCCCCTTGAAGACATTCATAACTGGAGTTTTAATAATATAAGTCATGTTTATTTTATTTCTATTTAATAGCTAGTTAGCAATTGCATATTTGTATACACCCACATAAATCAGCCACACATGATTTATTTGATTGTGTGATTTGTTTGAAATTTCTAAACAATACAAATACATGATTTATTTGAAGGCCGGGTGTAATGAAGACATCTTAAACTCTAATTCTAATTCAGAAATGTATTTTCCTCCTCAAGACATGTCCAACTTAGGCATTACAAACCAGGTAACTCTCGTTTCCATCATTGAGAGATCTTTGTTTGTACCTTAAACCACTTTCATGCAATATTATATATGGAACGATTTATGTATATACATAATATATTATTTGTTTTGAAGGTTGACCATAATGAAGAAATGTTGAATCAAATTGTTGCTAATTCGGAATTCTATCTTTCTTCTTGGGACATGAACACCAGAAATCAGGTAAGTCTAGTTCTATCACAAACAGATATTTGTTTGTACTTTCACCATTTTTCAGGTTATATATATCTGTGTGTGTGCGGATTGAAAATTTCTAAATCATACATAATTTATTATTTGTTTGAAGGGCCACTATCCTGAAGAACCATCAATGTTTTATAATCCGGGAATAAATTTTTCCCATGAGGATATGAACATTACAGACCAAGTAAGCTTCGTTTCTATCATTGAAAGATGTTTGTTTGCACTATAGACCACTTTTATGTAAAACAACATGAAAATTACAAACAACATGAACATAATTTACATTGATTACATAAGACTATGGTGTTTCAGATTTGGTGGAAACGTGACCTGATACAAAGTGTAATGTTTTGTGGTTATATGTTTTATATAGGAGGACCCATGCGCTGAATACCTGACGGACTGGTGAAGACGTCATGGACGACTATTTGCTCGAGCATGAAATGAATAAAAGAGTTGTCCCAATTTCTCTTAAAACATTACTTTAAAACAGTTATAAGTTGTTATGGGGTTGTTTAAGACTTTATTAAATCTTGGATGTTGTTTAAGTCATCATATTTAAATTTTGGTTGCTGTTTTATGGATTTACAGTTTATGTGTTTAAATGGTTTTGAGACTTTTGGTTTTAGATGCATGTGAGTGTATCTATATTTTTGAAGTTTTGAATAACCAGTATATTAGTCTTAAGACTGGTTTTCGTCAATCTAGTTTTGAACAAAGGGTTTCAGTCTTTCAGATCTCAGCCATTTGTATAAAAAATTGCAATAAACTTATGGGTCAATTTGCTCAATAACCATATTGATTTGAGCTATATCCATAATCTAGGTCCCTTGCATCATTATTAAAGAACAAAGAAAGAAGCAACAACATTCGCATTTCTAGACTTAAAATTAAGAAATCCAACCAGAAACACGAAGACAAAACACAAAAAGTCTATAAAAATGCACACTTGATGAGATAATGCTCTCGTAAGCTCACTCATGACTGCATCAAAACTCAGAATCAATGATTACTTCACAACCTTTTGTGAGTTTACGAATCTCCTCGTAGACTTCTGACTCTGAATAATGCAGAGGACAACCTGCAAAGCTCAAAATGAGTTTCTTAAGAACTTTTGAGTTTTCAAGAAAGTAACTCGTTATCTTCATCTCCTCTTCATCCCAATCAAAAAATCCTTTGATCTCAACACACTCGAGAATCGACAAGAAACACCGAGGCACATTCAAGAGTTCAAATGCGCAACTCTCCTTTGAATACACAACCTTCTGCAAAAACACACCAAAAAAAAAACAAAAGGCTGAGTTTTTCAATTTTTTCAATAATACAAACCCACAAAACCTCAACAGTGTTGTTAAAGCCTACAAAATCACAACAGGTTTTACCAAGATTAGGTGTTTCAGATTCGGGAAACTCTCAAGAAACGAAGGCAAGAACTGTAACGAGGAGCTCGGGAAGACGGCTTGTAGGCAGGACAAGTTGTTGAATTTCGGAATCAATCCCACTTTCGAGTAAACATCAAGTGCCTGTAACAACAAGAAGATAGTTAACAAAAAAAAGGTTTACAATTAGTCAAATTCCATGGACTGTTTGTATAAACATGTAACCTTCACTGTTTTCTCAGAGATGATCATATGTCTTGCACTCGAAACTCCGGCGAGAAAATCACGGACTTCGTTTCTCTTTGACAAGTCCTCCGGGCTGAAACTTAAGCAAGATTCTACATCAAGGTCGATGGTGAACAAACAAGTCAAATTCTTCACCACAATCCTATCGAAATGATTCTCTGTGAGACTCAAAAACTCCAATCCCGGAGCATCAATCTCCATTCTGTATTCCGGAGCATCAAACTCCTTGCCACTACGGAAACAACAATCACCGAGCTTCTTCAGGCTCCGAGACCTCACACGCGTAACCAAAGGCTCAAAATAAAGATCCCTGAGCAAGGTCAGTTCTTCAAGAACAGGACATCCCGAGAGAAGCTTCTCAAGATTCATAGGATCAACCCAATGAACATCTACAAGATCCATGAATCTAAGACAAGGCAGAGACACAAAGCCGCAATCTTGAAGACCCGAAAGTGAGAGCTTTAGAGAAACCAACGTCTTGCTCGTATACAGATTCAGAGGCATGATCTCGATGATAGGATAGCTTCCATCTTCAGGCTCTATATAGTAATCACTGCTCTCAACATCTAGATGCTGAATCCCGCGGCTAATCGCTGTACGAATCCGTTCTCTGAATCCATCTATCAACTCATCCCTAGTTTTACCTTGAATTTTCGGAGGCGTGACTCGCTGTTAGACTCGAGGAATCTGTCGATGAAGCTGATGAAGACGACTTCGGATTTTAGATCGCTGTAGGTTAAGTCGATTGCAGGAGCTTTGAGCCAGTGACTCTTCCATCTGGTGGATAAAGCGCTCGTCTTCACCGAATCCTTCGTCGGAAGGTGTGCGAGAATTTGGGAAACCAGAGATTCCGGCAATTCGCTGATTCTGTCAATCCCAGGAGGCATCACGAATCGAAACCCTAAAGAGAAATGAGCAAATAGCAACGTTGAGTTTCTCGAATTCGGGATAATGTAAAACGACGAATCGAGAGAGGAATTAGGGTTCTAAGAAAACTCACCGTGGATCTGAGTAGCCGATTGGAGTGTGACTGATATGATTCGCCGACTGGAGTAGTGTTTATATAAGCTCGAATCGATTCCTATTCAATTTTTCAGAGAGCGTTTCCAAAAAAGAAAAACTGCCGTATTTACTTGGGAGCTGTCTGCGTAATTGAGTAATTGAAGTTTCAGTAATCGGAATTTTGAACGTCGTTATGCGCCCGTTAGTGCCGGTTTTCCATTTATAGTGTCAATTCAAATTTTGGTTTAATTTCGGTTTGGTTCTCCACTGTTTGCTGGCGTGCTCTCTAGCTGTGGCAATGTTGTGTGATTGAGCATTTCCAACCCACCTCTATATAATAATCTCTATATTTTTTTATTTTTCTTAATAATAGAGATTTGTAAAATTGATGTAGATTTCTTTCCATCCCACCTCTGTTTAATCTCTATATTTTTTTTCTTAATAATAGAGATTTGTAAAATTGATGTAGATTTTTTTCCATCCCACCTCTATTTCTAAATAGAGGAAAAATTAGCAATTTTTATTTTTGAGTAAGAAATAAAGGTGGGAAGAAATGAAAATCACCTCTATTTTACAAATCTCTATTATAAATAAAATATAAAAGAATACATTGGAGATAGTCTAGTAAGAACAATAATGGAAATATTATCCAAAAATCTCCTAATTAGACGTCAAAAAAAAAATCCCCTAATTATCAGATTCTATTATCATGTATAGTTTATAAACCTAGTTGTTCCTGTTTTAAGAACTTGGACACAAGATTTTACATGTTTTGATGTAAACTCAGAAACTTAGAGAACCGATCCAATTTTTTTTTGTTTTTTGTTTTTTTGACCAAAGGCTTTACCGGTCCAAAATTATTGTTCTCAAATATGTGTATACGGTATACCTAAGAAACTGTTCTTGTTCAAAATACTTGTAAGAAAAAACCAACGGTTAAAAATGTTTTTGGATATCATATTCAATTTAAAACGTTATTGTCAGAAAAAAAAAAAGAACAAAAAAAAGAAAAAAATTGGAATTGGCTTGTTTAAGCTTTGTATTTGTGAGTTGTTGCCTGTTTCTCTTCGCTGGTGGCCACTTTGACATTGTGCACTTTAACATGCAAGTTAAGACAATTTCACACAATTTTCAAGCTTCTGTAACGTACATATTGTCCAATTACCTTCGTTAAGAATACTCATCAAAGCACTTACTGAATATTAAAATATCATCACATGGATTGGGGCTAAAATATTTGTGAAGATTGGAGATATACATTAGAGTCACACGTCTCCTATGTTTCAAATCTAACCATAGTGGTTTGTTTCCCAAAAATCATTAACACTACACATTGCTATATGTATCATCAATGATCAAACCAAACACTTCTTTATTTTCTTCTCCAACTTCAAATCTTACACTCTCCTCCTGATTTCGAGCTGCATAAAGAAACATATGGCCTCGACCGTTTTTTTGTCTTTCTCACCACCGGCTTATCTTAAACGGGCGGTTTCCGTTTCGTTTCTTCACGCCAAACCGCGAAGTTTTCAGCTACCTTTTTGCTCCTCCTCCTCCTCCTCGTTTACCGATTTCAGTGTACGGCGCAGAGGCAGAGGCAGAGGCTTGTACACTGCGGTAGCTTGCTCAACAAGGAAGATGGGATTGCAATGGATCAGAGATGGAAACATTTCCTTGGTATCGGCTAAAACCGATTTGTCTCAGGTTTTGTCAGCTTTGCTTCCTTTCGTTGTAGCTCTCACTGCCTTAGCCGCTCTCTCCTACCCTTCTACTTTCATATGGTACCAATCCACTCCTCAATTCATGACTTAGATAAAAAAAACAAGATTTTAGTTCAACTTTTGATCTTTTTTGGGATATGAAAATATAATTGTTTTCAGGGTATCTAAAGAACTATATGCTCCTGCTCTTGGAGGGATAATGTTATCCATTGGAATCCAGCTCTCGGTCAAAGATTTTGCTCTTGCACTCAAAAGGTTAATAACAATTACAACACTTGCTCTTTTTTTCACTCCCAAAATGTTAAAAGCTAGATTTTGTAAAACCTCTCTCACTCTCTCTCTCAACATTTGTAGACCATTGCCGCTTTCCGTTGGGTTTCTTGCTCAGTACGTTCTCAAACCGATCCTCGGGGTTTTCGTTGCTAATGCATTCGGGATATCTCCAACGTTCTACTCCGGTTTTGTACTCACGTCTTGTGTGGCAGGAGCTCAATTGTCTAGCTACGCGAGTTTCCTAAGCAAATCAGATGTTGCCTTGAGCATTCTTCTCACTAGCTCTACTACTTTTGCCTCTGTAATATTCACACCTTTGCTTACCCGTTTTCTCATTGGATCGGTCGTTCCTGTTGATGCAATAGCCATGTCCAGATCCATACTACAGGTTGTGCTTGTCCCAGTGACTCTTGGGCTCGTGTTAAACACCTACGCAAAGCCTGTGGTCACACTTGGTCGTGACTTTCCATGCCGCAGCATTCGCCTTGGGATATTGGTTCTCAAAGATCCCTGCCCTGAGGTAACTTGATCACTTCTTAATTTGATAAACTTTGCCTAAACATAACCGAAGTTGTCTATTTTCTTTACTCAGACAAGAGGAAGAAGTTAGCCGGACGATATCACTATGCACAGGAATGCAGAACTCGACATTAGCGGGTCTCCTCGCGTCTCAGTTCCTTGGAAGCAGCCAAGCGGTGCCACCAGCTTGCTCAGGGGTCGTGTTGGCCATTATGGGTCTATGCCTTGCCTCCTTCTGGGGCAATGGGTTTCGTATCAGAGACATCATTCCATCTCTAACAACACCACAAAGCAGTGGCTCCACAGTCGAATCATGAGCAATATCAACACTAATACACAAACCAGTAAGCATGAAACCAGTAATATCACATAGACCTGACATTTACAGGTCTTTTGATAATGTTTATTGCCATAAAGTTTTGATCTTTTGATACTTTTGATTCCAATACATCATTTCCATATTCCATATACCACCAAAAGCTAAACATAAAAGATAAAAACCTGATTTAAGGTCCATAAGCTATTGCATCACACAAAGAATATAGTCATGTTATATCGCTAAGAAAGAAGCAACAACATTCGCAGTTCTAGACTGGCTTTCAACAACTTGTAATACAGTAAAATTAAGAAATCCAAGCAGAAACAAGAAGACAAAACAAAAAGTCTATAAAAATGCACACTTCATGAGGTAATGGTCTCGTAAGCTCACTCATGACTGCATCAAAACTCAGAAACAATGGTTACGTCACATCCTCCACAACCTTTTGTAAGTTTACCAATCTCCTCGTAGATTTCTGACTCTGAATAATGCTGAGGACAACCTGTAAAGCTCAAAATGAGTTTCTTAAGAACTTTTGAGTTTTCAAGAAAGTAGCTCGTTATCTTCATCTCCTCTTCACCCCAATCAAAAATTCCTTTTATCTCAACACACTCGAGCGTCGACAAGAAACACCGAGGCACATTCAAGAGTTCAAATACGTGATTCCCCTTGAAAAACAACACAACCTTCACCAAAAACACACCAAAAACAAACAGAAAAAAAGGTTGAGTTTTCAACAATACAATCCACAAAACCTCAACAGTGTTATTAAGCCTACAATCACAACAGGTTTTACCAAGATTAGGTGTTTCAGATTCGGGAAACTCTCAAGAAACGAAGGCAAGAACTGTAACGAGGAGCTCGGGAAGACGGCTTCTAGGCAGGACAAGTTGTTGAATTTCGGAATCAATCCTACTACTTTTGAGTAAAGGTCAAGTGCCTGCAACAGCAAGAAGATAGTTTAAAAATGGTTTCCAATTACATGAAATGCTTATATAAATATGTACCTTCACTGTTTTCAAAGAGATGGATCATATGTCTTGCACTCGAAATCCCGGCGAGAAAATCACGGACTTCATTTCTCTTTGACAAGTCCTCCGGGCTGAAACTCAAGCAAGATTCTACATCAAGGTCGATGGTGAACAAACAAGTCAAATTCTTCACCACAATCCTACCGAAATGCTCTTCTCTCAGACTCAAAAACTCCAACTCCGGAGCATCAATCTCAAGTGTGTATTCCTGCAACCAGTGGCCCAAAAACTCAGGCTTGAAAGGAACACAAAACTTTTCTTCAGGCATCGAGACCTCACACGCGTAACCACAGGCTCTTCAAAACGAACATCTTCAGTATCAAAGGTCAATTCTTCAAGAAGAGGACATCCCGAGAGGAGCTTCTCAAGATCCATATGATCAACCCATCGAACATCTACAAGATGCATGGATTTGAGACAAGGCAGAGACACAAAGCCACAATCTCGAAGACCCGAATTCGAGAGCTTTAGAGAAACCAACGTCTTGCTCGTGTACAGATTCACAGGCATGATCTCAGTAAAAGGATAGGTCCTGTCACCGTCAGTCTCTAGATAGAAATCACTGCTCTCAACATCTAGATGCTGAATTCCGCGGTTGATCGCTGTGCGAATCCGTTCGGTGAATCCAGCTATCATCAAATCCCTCGACTTCACCTTGAATTTTCGGAGGCGTGACTCGGTGTTGAACTCGAGGAATCTGTCGATGAAGCTCATGTAGACTTCCAATTCGAAATGACGGAAATCGTTGTAGGTTAAGTCGATTCCGGAAGCTTTGAGCCACTGATTCTTCCACCTGGTGGATAAAGCGCTCGTCTTCACCGAATCTTTCGTCGGAAGGTGTGAGAGAATTTGAGAAACCAGAGATTCCGGCAATTCGCTGATTCTATCTATCCCAGGCATCACGAATCGATACCCTAAAAGAGAATGAACAAACAGCAACATCATCACATAAAATTATTGATCATCAACGTTGAGTTTTCTCAAATTCCGTGTGTAATGTAAACGACGAATCGAGAGAAGAATTAGGGTTCTAAGAAAAACTCACCGTGGATCTGATTCGCCGATTGGAGTGTGACTGATGTGATTCGCCGATTGGAGTGTGACTGATGTGGAGTAGTATTTATATAAGCTCGAATCGATTCCGATTCAATTTTAAGAGAGCGTTTCAAATCGGAATCTTGAACGTCGTTAGTGTCGGTTTTGCTTTTATCGCGTTAATTCAAATGTTGGTTTAATTTTCGGTTTGGCTCTCACTGGTTTGGTGTGTCCGGTCAGATTTCAAGGTATTCTTGAGTCTCCTCCTCTGTTTGCTCTCTAGCTGTGGCTAGTTTGTTCCACTTTTAGGAACTTGGACACAAGATTTTACATGTTGTGATGTACACTCAAACACCTTGAGAAACCGGTCCAAAATTATTGTTCTCAAATATGTGTCGTCGTCAACTTTTGTAAAAACAACAGGTAAAAATATTTTTTTGATATCATATTTAATTTACAGCGTTACAGTCAGAAGAAATATACGTTACTGGAATCGGCTTGTTTAAACTTTGTACTTGGTAGGTTGTGTGGCCTGTTTCTCTTCGTTGGTCGCCACTTTGACATTGTGCACTTTAACATGCAAGTTCACACAATTTCCAAGCTTTTGTAACGTACTAATTGTCCAATTACCTTCGTTTAGAATTACTCATCAAATTAGAGACATCCCATTTCTAACAACACCACAAAGCAGTGGCTCTACAGTCGAATCATGATCAATATCAACACTAATACACAAACCAGTAATATCACATAGACCTTGACATTTACAGGAAAGCTTCCATCTGGTATAAGCATGCTCTTTTGATAATGTTTTATTGCCATAAAGTTTTGATCTTTCGATTCCAATACACCATTTCATATTCCATATACCTCCAAATACTATAACTACAAACAATATGAATACCAAAAGTTAAACATAAAAGATGAAAATCCATAAGCTTTTGCCTTTAAACCTCATCTGCTATTGTTGAGAATCGAACCCAAAGTTCCCAAAACAGCAAAAGCCAACAGAGGGCTAACGTCAAGCGTATCAAACACCGGAGGGATAACGTTCCTGAAGAGATTCAAATAAGGATCACAGAGGTCTCTAATGGCGGACAAAGGCTGACGATCCCATGGAATGTTGGGGAACCAACTAAGCAAAACTCTGACCATCAACACGCCGCTGTAGATGTCGAGCCACTTCGATAGCCCCGCCGCGACTACCGTCAACGGCGTATTCAGATAACCGGCGGGGCGGTCACGAATCGACGCGAAGAACAGTGGACCGGAGATTCGGAGGGAGGTTTGGATTTGTGGGGAGAGGTTTGCGATCGCGACGGAGAGTTTGTGGATTAGGGATTTGGTTACGATTCCGGTTAGAAGCGCGAGGGTTGTGATTGATTTTGTTGAGTCGGAGAAGGGGAATTGGGGTTGGGGTTTAGTGGAGAGTGTTGGAGACGAGGAGGGCACGGCGGAGACGATGGGTTTAGGGGTTTTGAGGGAGAGATTGAAGGTGGGATTGTGGGGGAGAGAGAGACGGAGAGAAGGATTACGGTGACGGAGGTTTGGACGGGATCTAGGGTTGATGAGAATTGAAGTGCGGAGAGGGAGGATGTTGGTGGTGGAAGCCATTTTCGTTGATCGGAGCTGGAGAATAGTACTGCTCTGCGTATACTAGGAGAATACTAATTTTTAATATTTGTTAAAAATTATGTACAACGAAAAAAAAAAAATATGATCAGCTTTAAAAATTGAAAACTAATTAATTTTTCCTCAAAATCATTTATGTACTTTAACATAATTTGGGGGATGTTGTGGGCTTTGTAATTTTGTCGAGACTTTTTATTTTAGTTTTTGCATTTTGAAATATCCTAAAGAAAAAAAAAATCAATATAAAAATAGCAACATGTATATAGCTTGTTACAAAAACTAAAAACAAATGAATCATTTTTTTCCTTTGAGAGGATTTGGTGAATGATGAAATGTTTGAAATAAAAGAAATGTTTGACTGAAATGAATGAAAAAATAGTAAATGTATTATAATTTAGAAAATAGTGTTTAGTAGCTCTTAGATAATCAAAATAAAAATTACTAGTGACTGTTGGAAGTAGAAAATGAAAATAAAAATTTGTAAGAATTTTAGTATACGATTAAAAAAATATACTATTTCAAACATAAATTTAAAGATAATTATGATATAAGCAGAAACTTAAAGATAAAATATTGTGATTAAATTATTTTATAATGATAATAAATAAATAAATATGTTGAATGAAAGAAAATAGTTGAAATGAATATAGTACCAATATAGTTGAGATTACTCATGCGTTTACGTTCATATTTGTAGAGTGAAATTTGATAGTTTTAACGTTTAACTGTAAATATTTTATATTTATAACATGGATTCCAAATATGGGTGTCAAAATGAGTCATCGAACTCAGTCCAACGATTGTCAAAAGGAGCACTAACATTCGGTAACAGTGTTATGTGTATTGATCCTAATAGTACAAATGTCTTTAATGCCTATTGTCTTAAAGTGAAACCGAATAAAAGAGTGAGCTACAATTGAAAACATACAACTCTAGTTCCCTCATGTGATCCTTTCTTGACTTATGTCTCAAAATAGGACCATAGGACCACAGGACCATGTGATTTCTCCCTGCAGTTTTTTAACATACATATATGCTTATACAAACCACACATCCAAAATTTATATCATCACCACCATCTACATTATCATTATCTTTAACACCGAAACCAACACGAAACAACATGATGAGCCTATACATATTACCCCATGCTCATAAGATACATGACACTCGATGAAACTCTTGGCTACTGAGCTAATAACTAATAAGTTTAACAGTAAAACAAGTTTGATGCTCTATATGAATGTTGAGCTGTATATGACGTTTTGGTGAATGCACAAAGATTAAGAAACTACATTTTTTTGTCACCTAAAAAAAAAAAACCAATAAGAAAAGACACTCTGAAAAATACAAAATGTTGGTTACAAACACATCAAATTAAATTAAATTTTGTATTAAAAATTTGATAACTTAAACGAAGTTAGACAAATCAAAAAAATTAGAACCATATTATAAAATGGAACGGATGAGGTAATAATGTTGAACAAAACATCTCATTCAAAAAAAACAAAATTCAATCAAGTTGATACAAAAATCGCAATGGATGGACAAAAACAAGGGTTTATCATTATTATTATCGATGACAAACACATCTGTAATGATAAGCACTGTTTATAGGGTCATTGCCTTCAACGGGGACTTGCTCAGCTCTGCATTTGTATCTACATCCTCTGCACTCGTTGTAAGTGCAAGTTGGTGCCGTCGAGCCTATCATAAGCCTCCTTAATTTCTGCATTGAATTATTGTCACTTGTACTATTTAATCGTATACACAAGTTAATCAGCTATAAAATGTATTGGATATACTAATAAACAATATTTCTCTCTATGGAAATTTACCAGGAGATGTACTTGTGAGGGAAGCGAGACCGTATCTGCGACAGCACGAGCTCTTGAGGCTGATTCATAAACACACAAACAATAAAATAAAGAAAATAATAAGAAGACTAAAATCAAGAAGATAGAAAACGAAGGAGGTGGATTAAAAGAATGAGACCTTGAACAACACAATTTCCAAGAAGCAAACTTAAGAGAAGAAACAAGAGGGATATGCATCGTGGATTGATGTTCCTCATTTCATGCTTCATCTTCTTCCTCTTCTTCTTCTTAATTCTTCTTCTAGCTTTATCGTATGGACCAAATGTTTTGGAGAGAGATAAGTTTGGCTATTTGGCTGTAAGTTTTGTCTTCTACTTATCATCTAATGGTGAGGTCTAGAAACACGTAGAGATAAGAGTTAGGAAATACAGAGAATGAAGTATTCACTTTTAACCCACTGGATTTAGAAAGAGAGAATTACAAATATATTTAACTCTCTCTTTCTCTCTCTCTCTCTAGCTCTCTTATTGAAGCACGTCATACTTAAATCTTCTTATGTATGTTTTCTATGCTCATGTCTCCCTATCTCATCTCTTTGCTTACATATTTTATTATCAATTTATCTCGTCCAATACGTGGATTGTCTTTAAAAAAAATATTTTCTTCTTCTGATTTTGTTTGTTTGTGATGTATATTTACGAGTAGAGGGAAATTTACTATTTGGGATCGGAAATCTGACATGGATATAGGTAAAATTTACTAACTAACTGTATAATTTACTCTCCTTGAGGTACAGAGTACTTTTTGGAGAGGAATCTACTGGGACCTCTTAGGACAAAGGAGCTTGAGTCACTTGACAGACAGCTTGATTCTTCCTTAAAACTGATCAGAGCTTACCGGATAGGATCACTTGATAGGAATATAGGATCATAGGAGTAGAAACCAACCTCCTTATATAATAGTAGTATACACTAGTGTGAGTTCTATATATGCATTCTCGACCAGCTCAACTATTTTCAGAGGAAGGTAAAGTTAAAAAAAAAAATTGAATGGTATATATATATATATACTGATATGTAAATATGTCTAAATCCGATCAAGTAATAAATTTGTGAAACTTTGATCATTTCATCCAATAGATTTCAATTTTTATCAGTTTATCTAACCAAAAAATGGAAAACTGAAAATTAGAATATCTTGAACCTTTTGATTTTATCTTTTACATCCAGAATCATTCAAAAAGTAAAGCTGGAGTATAGGAAGTTGGACTCAAATTAATTCATTTCTTATGGATATCTTATAGCAGAAGCCCAAACAAGTGTTTTTTTTTTTTTTGACAAATACTTGTGTCTCCAACTACTTGTTACTCACGGACCAAGTACATTCCACTATTTTCAGTACTCGTACGGAGCAATTCGGACAGCAAAATATACCAAAAAACACGGGTACTTCCCTTCTGTCCACCTCTACCTTAATCGTTATTAATTTAATTGTTTTAAAGATAATAATAATACCAAGAAGAATGGTGCACTGTTCAAAATTTTAATTTTTTCTTTTCTTTAAAGTGTCCCGGTGCATTTGCGAGTCAATCTCGGATAGACAATTTGAAAAAGTTTCGAAAGAAAAGTAGCAACAACGTTGAAAAAGTTTCGAAAGAGATTCCCACATGAATTTGAATTTCATTCTGAGAAGATAAAAAAGCAATAAAAAAAACCCGTTGTAATTAAAGTTGATTCGGTAGTAGGTGGACACATTAACTAAAGTTAAGAATCTTATGCCAAGTGCTTTGTCCCACGGGGCCAAAGCCGTATGGCTAGCACGTAGACTCTGGTTTTGTCTTAACTTCATTTGAACTTATTTAGTTAGAAAAATAACGAAAGACTAAAGAATAAAACTTTTTTTCATTCCCTACAAGAACTCTGAATCACAACCACCACAATAACAAACGAAACAAAAAGAAAAGCTACAAAGAACAAACAAACACTAATACATGTGCTTCTCTCCTACTATACATAAAACACTAAAAGTCATGACAATCTTCATCATCAAAACAAGCAACCACGTCTCGAGATGAATAAAAAATCCAAGGAGAAATACAATGAATCTTCTAACTTTATAAAACATCATAACAGTGAAATCATTAGGCCTTGGTAGACCTTGTAGAATTAGAAGATTTTCTCTTGATGACAATAACCCAAGTAACAGCTTCCAAGATCAAAGTGATCCCTCCTAGAGTCGCAATCACAGCAACATAAGCCGTCTTGTAAGTATGCTCCGGTTTCAAGATACTAAGACCTTTGAAAACGTTGATGATTCCAAGGATAAGAATCGAGTACCCAACTCCATGGTGGTAAATATTCCAGAAAAATCTGAACTTGTGGTCCTTCCTTGGCCGCAACAACATGGCAAACATCTTTCAACACGCGCAAAAAGACACAACACATTAGTTAGTTAAAAAACAACAGAACAAAACACATCTTTTTTTCTTGTAATTAACATTTTGACTTTTTACCTGAAGAGTGGCCATAGCGAAGAGAGCAATGCCGATGTTGCGGTGGCTGTAGAAGGTAATACCTTTAGATTCGGACCCGAGCTTGAGCCCGGTGGCCCACCCGGCGACTCCGATGACGTAAGCAGAGAATTGGCATGACACGTGGAGGTAGAACCAAGCAGGATCTGCAGATTCAAATATCCTCATGTATCTTGCGATTATTGCTCCGATCGGAAACAGCAATCCCCAGCTCACGGCGTTCAATATCCCATGGATCTGTCAACAAATCAGATTTTAGATCGTTTAATTAATTCTTGTTTGATTTTTAATCTTGAAACACAAAAATGAAACTCACGTTTCTCTTATGAAGTTTGGAGTCGACGTCGCCGCCGCCGGAGACGGGGACGGTGGTGGTGGCGCCGGTTAAATCGAGAGATCCAGAGGCTTTCAGATTCGGAGGGTTGAAATCGTGCGTCTGTATTCTTCCGTTGGACACTCCCGGTCCGACCTGCCAAACCTGGTTAAGCTTCCCACTCGCCGCTAAATCCGCCGGAACTTTCAGCTTCGCGAAAATGCGAAGAGATCCGGCCGCTTCCTCCTCCGCCTTGACGTCCCACACATCGAACGATAGCTTTCCAGGGATGAGAGAGCTGTAGGAGACGATGTTAAGCGTCGTGACGGAGGCAACGCCGGTTTTGGAGTCTTTCGAGGCGACGAGAGCTTGAGATCCGGCCATACCGGTGGATTTCGGGTTAACCGCCCAAGCGATCCATCCGCCGGGTTTAGACGGAGGAGCGGTGAAGACGACGGCGAGGGTTTTGTTAGCGGAGTCATAAGAGTAGTGGAGGAAGGCTTTGAGGTTAGGGAGGTCGAGGCAGTGAGGGTAAGATTTGATGCCGGAGAATGTCTGTGACGAACATGACTGTGAGACAGTCGGTGCGATTAGCAGAGCCGAGAATAATATTAAGGAAAAAGATATTCCAAGGAGAGAAGAAGAAGACGCCATTGATGGTGATGATGAAGATAGCAATGAATTGTAGTAACCGTCAAGTTATTGGTCGGACATAAATAGAGAGAGGCTAATGTGGGTGGTGATAATAATAGCCTGCTTCTAAATCTACGATACACACGTGGTTTCAGCTAATAAAAGGTTTTTGTTTTTTTTTTTTTTTTACTTTTGATTTTGTTTGTTTTTCTTATTTCAGGAAAACATAGCAGAACGAACTTTTTTTGTGTGTTGTCTGATTCTAGAAGGCATGGAACAGAACATTATCGGATTAAGTAGTTGACAGTTATGTTTGACCTACGACAAAGGATCTCCAAGTGTTTTTCGCCTTCAGAATATGGTCGTTTTTAAATATATTTAAATAATTTAAAGGAAACATACAAATCTGATTCACAACATTAGAAAGAAATGTAAGAAAATCTTTTTGAAACAACTAAAATAGAATGAATAAATCGGGTAATAAATCTAAGAAATGAACCAAGAATTTGGTGGCAAACACCATTAGTGCTCGCATCTCATGGAAGCTTGTCCAAAGCAAGTTAAAAAAATCCCCCAAAAATATGAGGGAAAGAAGAAGGATATTAAAAATTAGTGATACCAAACTAGGTTGAAAGACTCTTGTTCATCACGAACATGAAGGGAAAAAAAGTTTATATGTTCTTTGACGAGACCGTACCCCATAAATCAGTCAATGTGAGAAAATCTCGTGCTCCTTGAGTTCTGGATGCATGTGGAGTTCGTGAAAGCTGTGGTGGTAGTACAAAAATATTGTTCACATTAAACTCGTTTGAGTAGTCTTGAGATTGCTAGTCACTACAAGGTTCTAAATGAAAGTGAGGTCATATATTTTCAAACTTCTTTGAGTCTTTTCCATACTTGAATTTCTGTTTTGTTTGAGGAAAAACAATGTCCCACCACAAGTATTCTCTGCATCTCCAGATTCTCCACTTCAGAATTAAGTCTGTAATTGTTATTGGGTAACAACGAACGTCCATTTTGAATAATTTTATCTTATGATGAAAGTTAGAAACCGATCCAACTTTCATGTTACCTTATCGAATAAGTTAGGTGAAGAAAAAAGATAGGGTAACTACTCCTTTTTTGTGTGTTGTTGTTGGATAATTGGAATTGTTGTGTTTCATAATTCTTCATAGCGGCTCTGAGCTGAAAGCTTTTAACACTGTAAAAATCAAAACCTGAAAATCAGAAGAAGAAGAAAAATACAAAACACAAGCAATCAAAGTTTTGAGTATCTTCCCCTTATGTGGTTTTTGTCTGAACAAAACATTAATACAGCTCCTGTATTTCTAGATTAGATACAATACGTCCGTCCTCAACGGTTTTTTCCTTATCTCCTCTTGATCTCGGAAATAAACAAAATTACTTTTCTTTGATTGTTGCATCATCTTCCCTTCCGAAATTAGTAGTCTTGATCAGATTAGTCTTCTCATTGTCGCCAGAAAGCAAGAAATTCTCTTATGGTTTTAGGATTGTGTAAATAATTCCTTTGTGTTGCACTTTTTTCTTTAACAAGTTAACTAAGCACCATTGTCATCAAGGGAAAGAGTTATTGAACTGCATTTTATTGACAAAAAAGCATCTTCTTCTAATGGCAGAGCATTTCTCTTGGCTATATAATACTGAGAAAGATCCAAGCTACCTTGGTAGACTCTAGATTGTCAAAATTGTTTATGTTATTGTATGAGACACTTGAGTTATTTCTTTGAACATTTCAAGTTTATTTCCATGTCCCTGGCTTTGGATATTACTACTATCGTTCCCCATAAAAGCCACTCTATCCGGTTTTAGACCTCGGTCCATCAGCAATTGATTGAAACTGGCAAGGGACTCAACCTGGATTGCTGTTTCTTGCAAGGCCCATTATTACGTTGTTCCAAAGAATCAAATCTTTATCATGTTGGGCTAGTTTCTTGAATTGGTCGTAAACCAATCACGTTCTTCTCACTTTGTTTTCACATTTACTCATCGGTTTGGCTGATTTGAGAAGAATCGATTCCATTGTAAAAGAAAAACTTGTGGAAGACAACAAGTCTCTTAAATGCCACCGAGAAACAAATCACGCTTCTCACTACGTACTATCATCACATGGTTTGTTGATAGTAACAAATCACGCATCGCTGAAGTAAATGTGAAATGAAACAAGAAAAAGTGTAATAAGAGACAGGGTTTGTTGTCAAACAATAGTCCAATGAAATTATAGATAATCTTGTGTCTAAGTTAGTCAATATGGAGTAATAAAATATTGGCATACACGTACACAAAAGTTCTGGTTTGAGCTTGAGCTAACAAAATATATAATCATTCACTGTTCTTTCCGTGAGCTAAAATACTCTTATCATTTTATGTGGCTTATAACATGTTTAAGTTTTTGACGTTTTCTTATAAAAGTATATAAACAACTGATGTGAAGTCATTAGCGATTTAACAATAATTCAACACCAACCATCTAGATTGTCTTTGTGATTATACTGATAGTAGAGTCTAGAAGTCACTATAGTTGGCTCTGAATCATCCTCGTAATAAATGAGTTGTTAAAAAGAAAGAGAATAGAGATGGGACAAATTTGAATATTGAAGGAGGAAGTAGGTCCATTATCAAACTTTCAAGTGAATATTGATGCCAAGCCACCGCGAAAACAGTTGATTCCATGCATGCTTCTTTGCTTTTCCTTCTTTTCGTGCCTTCTTTAAAACCACCCATTTAACTTTTTGTTTTTGTTAGATTCCAAGATTGTGGAGAAAAATATGATCTTAAATCAGGGTATTGGGTGGCCACACATGTAGTACCGGATGAAGAACAAATAGAGCCTCCACCAGGATCAATAACGCTAAAGCGGGAAATATGGAAGACGAAAATGGCTCCAAAAATCCAACATTTTCTGTGGAAGGTAATACCTGAATCATTACCTACGGCACAACGATTATGCTCAAAATCTTTGAATATTGATCCTACTTGTCAGAGGTGTTGTTTACATGAGGAAACACTCAATCACTTATTCTTCGAATGTCAACAAGCCAAATCTGTGTGGAGATGTGCAAATTTTACAACCTTTGACGCTCCAGGGACATTGGAAGACAATGTAAAGAAAATGCCCCACATCAGAGATTTGCAAATGATACCATATGAGGTAAGATATTTTCCGTTCTGGATTCTTTGGACGATTTGGAAATCAAGAAATGAAATGTTATTCCAACAGAAGATATCTCACCCAAATGAAGATGCTGAAAGGGGGATACAAGCAGCTAGAGAATGGCTGGAGGCAAACCCGATCAAGGAAACACACACTACACCAAGAGTAACAACATGTACTCAATGGGAACCTCCAGGTACGGGATTTCTGAAATGTAATTTTGATATCAGTTTTAAGGAGGAGTCGGAATACATGTCTGTGGGTTGGATAATTAGAGATGATCAAGGGTCTTTCATTGAAGCAGGATGGTCAAAACTGAGGAATGTTGCTACAATCTTACAGGCAGAAGCTTCAGGTTTTTTATATGTGGTACAACGTGTCTGGAGTAAAGGATGGAGGTCTGTATGGTTTGAAGGGGATAATATACAACTCAGAAACATCATTAATCAGCAACAGCCGAATATGGACTTGGGGAATCTGTTATGGGACATTCAATTTTGGATCCAAAAACTGCCTTTGTGCTCTTTGGAACATGTCAACCGAGAAAGAAATCAAGCAGCTGATATTTTAGCTAAATTTGCTCATAATTCTACAGATGTTTGTATGTTTTATATATTTCCTCCATTATGGTTGAGAAACTATTTGTATTACCCTTTCACATTATGATTAATATAAGTAGATGTTACAAAAAAAAAAAAAAAACTCCACAAAATACATCTTCATAATTAGGAATGTTATTAGATACAGAAAATGAATGGGAAACCTGAAAACTAAAGAATATAAAAGATCTCCTCTTAAATATATCTATTTTCTACTAATTTATAAGAGAAATAAATTAAAATACAAAAAAACTTTCATTATCTACTGAAGTGTTGTTATTAATCTGATCTTTACCTTTCAATTTACCGTGGTTATTATCACCATTATGATCGAGTTTATCAAATATTTCATGGACAAATTTCTCTACGTCGATCTTTGAACTTTCATAGTTCTCCGGCGCTGGGATATACGGTGGTCGAGAGACTTTCACCACCAGATCCCACTCCAAGCCACTAAAGAAACAGTGTCCCTTGATTCCATCCACATTAATCCTACGGCTAGGATCCTTCTCCAACAGCTTTTTCAGCAAGTCTCTTAACGGCGTCGTTTCACCGACCAAACACGGCGGTTCAGTTAAAATCTTCAAAAACGTCTCTTTCCGGTTCGATCCCCTAAACGGCGTCCTTCCGTACAACATCTCGTACAAAACCACTCCCAGCGACCACCAATCGACGGCGAAGTCATGGCCACTTCCGATTATCACCTCCGGCGCAACGTACTCCTCAGTTCCGACGAACGAATTCAACTTCTCTCCGGACGAGTCCGACTCGGCCAATGTCGAAACCGACTCGTCCGGTGAGATCCCCGAGTTACATAAAACGGAAAACGGGAAAAACCGTTCCTTTTTCATCCCCGTCGAGTGTCTACTCGTCGCCGCCGGTGAAGATCGCGGTGTTCTCGGAGAAAGATTCGTGGAGAGATCGAAGTCCACAAGCATTAAATGACCATTCTCTTGAATCATCACATTGTCTGGTTTCAAATCTCTGTACACGATTCCTTGATTATGCAGATACTCAAGTGCGATTATTAGCTCCGCTGCATAAAATCTGGAGAATTCAAATCATTAGAGAAGGATAAATTTTTAACAAACTGAAAATTTTGAAATTTGTGTATTGAAATTTTGAAATTTCTTTAAATTTTGAAATTGAAATTCAAACTCGAAAGGAGAAATTTTTAAACATCTAATTTTAGTATTAAAACCTTATGATCTCGTCGGAGAACATTCCTTCCGATTGTTTCTTCCTCAAAGAACTGAGATCTCGACCAGGACAGTAATCGATCGCGTAACCGACAACTTTATCAGTCGATAAAACTCCATGGAGACGAGGAAACAGAGGATGGTCAAATCGAGACAAGACTCCTTGTTCAAAACTCACGCGCTTGTTCTTGTTCTTCTCGATTGATGATTCCTTGAGTATGACTTTTAAAGCAAGCCATTTGCTGGAAACGTCATCGGATCTCACTAAGAATACAACTCCTTTAGAGCCACGACCTAGCGCTGAGAAAACTTCGAGGCCGTCGAAGTTGAGAGTCGGAATTGTGTTTTCCGGTGGTGGGAGGTTGGAATCGCTCATCGCTGGGATGATAAGCAGAGTTTATTTATGTCTCTTTTAATTCTGGTTGTTGGGTTTTCGTGAGTAAGGCTTTATATAAAGGAAAGGTTTCGCTTTTGGAAAGGTTTACTTGTTTTGATTTTTGCTTCCTTGCCGGTGAAGACTTGAATATAATAAAGGCAAGGCAAATTAAATTCTCTTTTTACCTTTACTTATTTACAGTTATGGCTGGTTATTCTCGACTTCTGACAGTCCATGGATCTAAACTATTTATGTTTATCACTCCAAAATGTTTCTTTTGGAAACTCATTCCCTAATGAGCATGTAAGTGCTATTGGTTTTGTGATTAAACAACAGCTCTGATTTTCTGCTATTGGTGCCATTTACATTAATCAGTATTATTTTCTCTATTATACAACGACTAGAAGCAACCCAATTACAGAAACCATAAAAAATTTTAAAGTAAGAACAATCTTGGTCTGTAACCCGATTTAGAAGCAATTAATTAAAAAGCTGTTCAAAAAAAAAAAAAAAAACAATCTTGGTCAAAAGTAATTTGGGTTTTGTGATCAGAATCTTTACACTTTAGACGAATGAATATGGATCATGTTAAACATAGTAAAGCTCAATGTGTAATAAGCACACAATGAATCCAGTCGAAACAAACTTAAACTCATGTCTGAAACAGGCCAATGATAAACCTTCAATTCTCAACGAAAGAACAAAAAAAAAAAAAACACGATTACAAAAGCAAGAATACTCGAGAACCAACGACTCAAAGACGTTGACAATGTCATTAAACCTTGAAACCACGACTCTTCCTCCTTCCTCTGGCTTTCTCGAACTTCCTTCCCGTGGACCGAACATACGGCTTTGAGTGACTGCCTGGCACACCCGGTGCAGGACCGAAATGCTTCACAGCTTCACGTGAGTTCTTTGGTCCTCTGAGAAGAACCTACACAACAACACACAAGAAGAACCAAGCAAAGTTTACACATTTTTGAAGAACGAAGAAGAGCGGTTTCGGTTTCGGTTTCGGTTAAGAAGAAGAAATTACCGTGTTTTGGCCCAATGGAGCTCTGAGAGCGAGCTGATCAAATGTCAAGCACTCACCACCAGCTTTTTCAATACGAGCTCTTGCTCTCTCCGTGAACCTCAACGCTGTAACTTTGATCGCTGGAATCTCGTGTACTCTCAAATCGTCGGTGATAGTTCCAACCAAAACAGCAATCTTATCTTCCTATGACATACCAAAACACATTTCAATTAACCAACACAGAGAGACTAAGTTTAGTGTACAGTGAGAGAGAGAGAGGGTTTAAAGGAAATGGAACCTTGCCGGTCATGAACTCGACGAGTCTAGATAGAGAGAGAGGAGCTTTGTTGACTTTGCTCATGAACAGCCTCTTCAATATCACTGCATTGAACTTGCTCTGTGTCCTCCTCACCAGAAACCGGTAAAGCTGCAAAATTTTCAAATAGACAAAAATCGATAATCTCATACTATTGAAAAAGAACATCTTCAAGCGAGAAAAAAGATTGTTGTTTAAAATATTGACCTTGACGGTGAGCTTGAGGTAGACATCGTCGGACTTGGGAGCTGTTCTTTTGGTCTTCTTGCTCTTACCTCCAGCGATTAGATCAATACCCTGCAAAAATTCACGACGAAATTGATCTCAGCGTTACAAGAGATAGGTTGAGAAACGGAGATGGCAGAGATGGAGGAATCGGAAGTAACCATTGCAGCGTCCGGGATGTTCTATCGCCGCGGTGTCGAAGCTTACAATAAAGAAAGAGTCTCTTACAATTTTAGGGTTTCTTATTTATGGGCCTAGATTTGTATTATTACCCAATAGAATTTTAAGAGGAACTCTTTGGACTTAAATTAGAGGCCTTGTTAATTACATAAGCCTATCTACATTATTATGTCAATATAATGTATTTTTTCCATTAGAGGCAAGTGAAATTCAGATTCACTAGGTTTTTTTACCTGCGTATCTGTATATTCTGTCTTTTAGATCAATCGTTATCTTGTAATAACTCCTTATAAATAAAGGTTTTTGCAATAGAATTGGATTTATAATATATTAGAGTATTCATTTTTAGAGTCAAAATATATTGGAGAGAAACATTACTCTATTAGTTAGGCAAAAATAAAGATGGTCTTGTGAGCAAGGGTAACCAAATATCATGGGCTATCAAAGCTCGTTTGTGAAGTGAAGCCCGTAAAACTAAATCGAAGAATATTCTATAGAAATTCTATTGTGATAAGGATTAGGAACATTTACATTATTAAACCCTATATATATGAGTCTTATGCTTGTATATCAAACACACCTCAATAATATAACCTTTCTATAATATTTGACAGGTCTTATCTTAACCACATTGGATTTTCAAAAGAATAGCTCATTCATCTACTGCTACCACTATGAATTAGTGTGTGATCTTCTAACCACGGATTAAATACGTACGTGGTCCCATGGATTAATTGCAGTAAACAAAACCAAAACCGTAGCTTGCAATCGAAACGTCTGCCCGGTCATTACTTCAAATTGCAATTTAGGGTTTACCGTGTTGTCTATATATATGGCAAATGTTCGAGTAAGTGAATTCCATTCGCTTTCTCCAAGAACAAAAATCCAAAGAAACCCTAACGGTTACGGGCTCATTTCAATGGCGGCAGCGAATGTTGATTACCTAATGTTAGTGGAGGAAAGTTATGGTGAATTCACTTTTGATGAGGACATGTGGATGATCTACGCCAAGAGCACCACCAACCATATGACTCCACATGAGAAGTATTTCACCACTTTAGACAGAACACACAAAGGTAAGGTTGGTTTGGTGGGTGGGAAATTTCTCAAGGTTGAAGGAAGAGGAGATGTGAAGATCATGATGAAGGAAGGGAAGAAGAAGACGTTTAACAACGTGCTTTTCGTTCCCGAGCTCAACAGGAACGTGCTGAGTCTTGATCAGATGATAGCCAGAGGCTATGAAGTGACAATGGAACCTAGTTTCCACGACCGGACTGGGGCAGTGTTTGGTGATACTGTGTGGGACGAGAGAGGACCAGCTCTGCGTTTGAAGGTGATTGAAGGTAAGGAGCAACGTCCAGCGGGGAGAGAAGAAGCTGAGGAAGAAGATGAGATCGTAGTTGAGTATGTTATGGCTGCACCGTTTAGTAAAAGTGATCTCACTTATGATGAGGACTTGTGGATGGTTTCAGGCCATGCCACGATCCATATGACTCCATATGAGAATGTTTTCACGGATCTAGACCGGAGACACAAAGCCATGGTTGGATTGGCCGATGGAAACGTTATGATGGTTGAAGGAAAAGGAGATGTGAAGATTGTGATGAAGGATGGGAAGAAGAAGACGACGATCGAGAATGTGCTTTTTGTTCCGCAGATCAGCAGAAACGTGTTGAGTCTTAGTCAGATGGAGTTCAAAGGATGTTCATTCAGAGAGGGAGGACGTGGCGAATGCATTATCAGCGATCATGTTGGAGCAGTGTTTGGTGATACTGTGTGGGACAAGAAAGACATGGCTCTGCGTATGCATGTGATTAAAGGTAATCTCACCGCTTGATTACTTGTGTATCACTTTGGTAGTGGACTTGGCTCTTTTTTTTTTGTTTTTTTTCAAGTTTGGTGGTATTCTGTTTTCAGTTTGTTGTCTAATTCATACTTTAGCCACTGCAGTTTGAATTAATCTTTTGGTCTTTGAAACTATTGGACGACTTTGGTATTTAATTAATCAAGTTTGGAAAAAGGCAAACAATTTTTGATGTTCTTTGTGGAATGGTTTTGTGAAGTTTTGTTAATGGTGATGAAAATGGGGACGAGATCTAATTAAAAGCTATGTTGAAAGAAATCAACAAACAAGTTAAGTGAGGTTGACTGACGACGGAATACAAAGAAATTGAAATTGAAGCAGAATTAGCTTGGTGTGGTTAGTTCTGATCACAAGTTCAAACCATCAACAAAACTCTTGTTAACTCTTATAGTTGGAGAGAAACTTGAGTAGAGTGTAAGGTTAATCCGGATCAACACATTTCAACTGAACCAGACTAACCGCATTGGATGTCTAAAAGTAGCAATATCTTTTTAAAGAGTAAAAAATAGTTTTTATAATTAGGCAAAAATCAACAAACACATGGTTTTGTCTAGAAATAGGTAGTTTTTTTTTTTTTTTTTCAAAATCTAGTTTCCATCAGTTTTAGGAATTTTATTTGTCAAAAATCTTGACTTGAACAAAAACCAAAACCCTTTTATAGAAGCTACTACAACAAACAATCAACGCCTAAATACTATTCACCTGGTCGTGACTCGTGACGTGATACATGTCACCAGTTCGCACCTCTTCCGAATGTACCAGAGAAGGTGACGTGGCAATATTACAACCATTTCTAGTTTATTACCGATTTTATGCCTAATTAATTCTCTTCAGCCTTCTCCAGGTTAACCGAAGAAGTATGGTTATAACTTATAAGTTCTTAACCTTTTTCTCTACAAAACAAAAACCACGTCCTCTGGCGATTTTCGAGATTTAGAGATTTCCTTCTTTCAAAATGGCCGGGAAACTGATGCACGCTCTTCAATACGATTCTTACGGCGGAGGCGCCTCCGCTTTGAAGGTCCGTTTGTCCCTTGTACTCCTCTGAGTCTGAGCTGCTTGTCTTATTGCTATTTGATTGATTCTCTTGTTTGTCGATACCTTTTTGTATTCTTATGTTTTTAAAGTTCCGTTTCTCTTGATTTCATTTGTTTTACTCGTAATATATATAAGTGTGTGCATACGAGCGATGGTTTTGTATGTTGTTTCATTTTTAAAAAGAAACCAGTGATACGAAAAGCATATGAACAGGCAAATTAATTGAGAAATAAAATCGATGATTTCTCTGTTTTTATCAACCCTAATTGGATTTGCATTGAACACATTATCTCCTCCTTTGTATTGTGAATGATGGATGCTTCTATAACAACTAAGTGCTCTTTAACTTTTTAGCTTTGATCTCTTTGTTCTGGGAATCTATGGAAAGGGCATAAAGTGACAAAGAACATTGTTGTTGAAGTGGATGAATTAGGTTTTGTTGGTATATGTTAGATAATATTATTACTCTTTTTTTTTTTGGTTGTGGAAACAGGTGTGCACCTTAAAGTGTCACTGACTAAGATTATGATCTGTAGATGGTTTTCTCATGTGTGTATTTGGTTCTGATTTAGATGACAGATTATCTGTTCTTTATAGTGTTTGTGATATTCTTGTTTCTCATGTGTGCATTTGTTTCTGATTTAAATGCCATATTATCTGTTCTTTATATTGTTTGTGATATTCTTGTTTCTCATGAGTGCATATCTTTTTCAGCATGTCGAAGTTCCGGTTCCATCGCCAAAGAGCAACGAGGTTTTACTAAAAGTAGAAGCTACTAGTCTCAACCCTATTGATTATAAAATTCAGAGAGGAATGATCTGGCCTATTTATCCTCGCAAGTTCCCCTGCATTCCTGGTATTCTAATCATATTTTTGCTTATTTTTCGAAAAGGAATGATCAGGCCTTTTCGGTCGTCTTTAAAGGATATAGTGGATAATGTTTAAATTATTAAGCAGATTACTGAGAGGATCTTGTGCTTAATTAGATTGGTTTAGGTGTAATGTTTCTTGTATAACTGTGGTTCTTGCTTCAAGAACTATAGGGTTTCTAGATTTTAATCTTATCCTTCAGTTTGATTATTCCCCTCCAAATTCTAATACTATTGAAAGATCCAAAGTTGGTTTTATTTACTGATGTTTCTTTAAGTAAAAGGTACCATGAAAGTAAAAGGCTATCTGTCTCCAAATAAGTGTAGAATAATCTTGCTTATATGTTACATTAAAAACCCATTTGTTTATTTTCTGAAAACTAAAAAGAGAGGTATGTGTTCTTGTCATTGCAGGAGGATTTCTATCCTGTTGTTGACTGGGCAAATGAAATAGATACCCTACGATGCATATCAATGCATGGTATAACGCAACGATGCCTATCTGGTCAAAAAGATGATGCTGCAGGATTTGTTGGCCTTTTGCTTGGAGATCTTGACTTGAGGGTTTATATGCAATTCAGCCGCGTACGTTTATTCATATTCGGTTTTAATTCCTGGCATAATTTTCCTACTAATCATTTCCAAGTTGAATTCAACTGCAGTTTGTGGATGAAGCTTGTCACCAGATTGAAATAAATGAAAGTAATGTAGGACAGGTGGGCGTCTTGCCGTATATTCCAAGGTAATCAAGATATTCAAATTGCTTAATACAGTTTTAATGCCATTTTAATAGATAGTATCTCCTTCCATTTTGTGAACAATCAATACCAATACCATTTCTCCGAATAAGATTGTTAGTCAAGTATCACTTGAGGCTAGCTGTCCTAACATTATTATCTTATTTTCATAGATTTGCAGAACTTACTACTCGTATGGAACAGTATATACAAGGGCAATCTAGGTATTTGGTTGATCAGGCATACACAAAATTCGTAAGCAAAATGTTTGTGACCCTCGAGAAAATTGCACAGCAAGATCCTAAGAATGCAGATATTGTCCTTTTGGAAAATTATGCTGCCTTTCAGAATAGGTAGATCTTTTTCTTACACTCTCTCTCGGTTTGTCTTCCTCTTCCTTAACCTTGTATTTTCATTTTGGTGTGTGTTTGTGCAGCCTGTATGACCTGGCTAAGGTTGTGCCCACTTTAGCCACGTTCTATCACCAGGCAAGTGCAGCATATGAAGACGCTTGTACCCGCCACATTAGCATGATAATATACTACGTAAGTGTTGCTTCCCGTTTGCAGCTACTAATAGAATAGCTTTTGTTTTGTGCTTCTTTTGGAGTTGTTAAGGGTAAAGCCGTTTGTGTTTACTTGGTGTGTTCTTTTTGTCTATGTAGCAATTCGAAAGACTTTTCCAGTTTGTTAGAAAGATTGAGGATTGTATGTATACTATCACACCTGAAGAGGTAAGTTATTAGTTACACTTCTCATTATGTAAACCATTTCATGTTATCTACATATTAGCGTTGTACTTTAGGTATTTATATGGTCAAACCTGATACACATACTTTCTTACATTTCAGATACCATCACAGCTCGGTTTGTCAAAAAAAGAACTCCGGATGATGATAAAAGCAAACTTGTCAGAGGTAAAACAGATGTTCCTTAATTAGGACTTTAAGAGTGTGTGTGTGTGTTCATTGTTCTCAGACCTTCTAAAACATATAGCTTTCCAACATTTTTTTTTTTTTAGCTGGACAAATCGTTTGAAGCAATGTATACAAAGTTGCAGAATGATTTAGCATCGAAGGAGTTGCTTCCACCGTTATGGGATAAATGCAAGGTACCAGTTTTCACTGAATTTTTTAAAATGTTAATTAAAAAGTATGCATCAGCTCAATGTGTTGTGTGAACTAAAACAGAGGGAGTTTTTGGACAAGTACGAGAGCGTCGTGCAGCTCCTAGCCAAAGTTTACCCTAAGGAAAACGTTCCTGGGGTAACTGAAATGAGAAGACTTCTTGATTCAATGCAAAAAAATTGATGGAACCAAAACTGAAGACAGCTGTTATTTAATCGCATTTGATATGGATACAAGTCATGTTTCGCTCTTTTCTTCTTGCTTTCTCATTTTTATATGTTCGATTGATAAGAGTCTCAAAATAAAGAACGTATGAAGAATTAAAGATCAAATCTCATACCTTATTTAAGCAAGAATTTTGGTTTAGTAACCATACTAGATCTAAAGGGAGAGAAATGTAATTATTCTTAGAATAGTCATTTGCTTAAACATTGATAATTGACACACAAAAAATCAAGAACTTATGATCCTTGTCCCACGAGAGTTGATCTCAGTCCCGTACCGTTCCTCCCCATCTCTGAACGCGGCTCTCGGCTTGCTCAGCCTGCATAACTCAAATGTTAATGAAATGATCAAACCAAACAGAAAAGGAGGAGGAACATAGCATTAAGAGGATACGGAGAAAAAGTAAGAGACCTCTTTATTCCAGTTTGTGAAGTAGATGATTCCAATCAATATAAGTGTCTGTAAGCAGATTCCAGCTACCATACCTCCCCATATTCCCTACAAAGTTAACAAATGAATTAGCACCAAAATTGAAAAGAAAAACAATGCAAATACAAACCGGTTTAACCCGGGCTGGATATAATAACCGAACCAAACAGAACAATTAAAAACAATTTTATACTCGACAAAACCGAACTTAAACTGTACTGAAATCAAACGTGATGCACCCAACCATTAAAAAGAAACCAAAATTCATCACAATAAAAGTATATTTTTTTTGTAATAAAACTCAATTATTTCTAACATTTTAACAAACCAACTTATCCAAAACCAAAGTAAACTAAACTCCTAAGAATTCGTTTGGTTTATCATGTTGCTGAAAAACCTAACCTGAACACCAAGGTTTAGTGTGAATCCAAGAACAAGACCAGCAGGAAGTCCAATAATGTAATAACACGCAATGTTCACGTAAGCCACCAAAGACTGCCACCCAGCTCCAACCGCAACACCTAAGAAAATATGAACCAAAAGTGATCACAACTCATTGTTCTCTAATTCCTACATTTTACATTTTGATCATCTTTTTCGTTTTTAGATTACTTATCATGGCTCATAAGGTACCTGACAAGACGGGCTGGAGGCTGTTCAAGAGGACAGTGAAGGCCAACAAGACTGCTATTCTCGTGGTTTCCGCTGCCACAGCTTCACTAGACGTGAAAAGATGAGGGAAGACGTCTTTTGTGGCTAAGACAACAATCATGCACACCGCACCGATAATAGTTGATGTTATGGAGACAACTACCACCGAGAATTTCGCAAGAGTTGCATTTCCCGCACCAAGCTCATTCGATACCCTCACGCTGAATCACATTTCATCATGAGAGTTTTAGTTAGCTTTCCTAATTCCTACGTGGCTCTATAGAAGTAAAAATGAAATTAAAATGGACCGATCTTACCTTATCGCAGCGTTAAATCCGACTGAAATCATTGCGGTCCAACCTTGTATGTTCATGCTGCAATATCCCAAAACATTCTAAAACTTAACAACAAACATATTTTCAGAGAAATTGAAACAAGAACCAAGCACAAATCAGTTACCAAATGGAAATGGCATCGACTGGTATTAACGGATTAGGAAGGAGACCCGTGATAACGACAAGAACCATCAAGTACCAGAACTCCAAACTGAAGAATCCAAAGCACAAACCGGTCACTACTAATCGAAATCTTAACTTATACAAGTCAAAAGACTATCTAAAATGAAAGAAAATTTTGGTACCAGAGCATAACAGCAGAGGCTAAAGACAGTTTGACAAATCCGTAGAGGTCATGAAACGCAAGCCAAGAAAACCCACTCCAAGCACCGTCTGACTTGGTGATCAAGATATACAAAAGCTGAGCAATAACAATAAGCCACCACGAGGTGTTGAGAGTGATGGCTGCACCAACAAGTCCCCAGTTAAAGTAAAGTATGAAGAGCCAGCTAAACACTGCGTGTAAAACAAGAACCCCTCCTGAGATCCAAGCCATCACAAGAACTTTCCCCTGTGACTGCAAGAATTTCTGTATAGGAAAGTTGGCTGAATAGGCAAATAGTTGCGGGATCATCCACAACGCGAATCTCCCTGTAAAAGTAAAAGGTTAAGCCATGGAGACGTGTGTCATAAACTTTGTAATTCTAAACCAATTCGCAAAGAGTAATGATGTAGGAATCGAATACCCGCGGCTTTAGAGATGGGAGGAGCTTCGCCGAAGAAGGAAAGTATAGGAGGAGCCCAAATGTAGATGGGAAGTATGCATAAAGCAGTGGTAAAGAG